CAAAAGCTGACCCCCTTAACGGCAGAAACGAGCCCGAGCATGTGCCAGGAGTTTAATCCGAGTTAGGGTAGGAGTTAAAACGCGAAACGCAACCGCTGGGGGGGCTCTAACAAGTCAGTGAGCCAACTGATGGCCAATGTTCGTGAGGAATTGCGAGACATGCCCGTGATCGAGCCGCGTGATCTTGCGGTCGCGCCGATTCTTTTAAACCTAGGACCAAAGTGCAAGGACTTGGCTCCGCATCTGCTAGACCAAAAAGATTGCAGTCTCTCCGCGGTTGAGGCAAGCCTCAAGCAGCGAGAAGCTTCTTTACAGGTCGTTAGTGGAGGAAAGCGAGACGAGAAGTCCCACAGTATAATGGCGGTTACAAAGAATCAACCGCAGAAACCGAAGAAGGGCGGTGGCAAGAAACCCGATTTCATATGTGGTCTGTGTCAAACGGATGGCCATGGATTCTGGAAGTGTCCGGCGCGTGACAACCTTGGTGACCAGACTGGAGGTTCCAGCTCTAAACGCGGCAAGGTAACGCGTGACACGGGTGCAGCCACGAGCAGCCGCAGCTACCGTTCCAACCACAGGGACAGGGACTACCGCGACCGATCTCGTAGCCGCAGTCGCTCCCAAAACTGTTCGCACGGAGGAGGAGGACGGGGCAGAGACCAGACGCCGGGTAGAGTCCGTGGAGGAAGTAGCAGATGAGGCCGCAGCCCAAGCCGACACAGAGTAAACTCTGTTAAGTCCCGACACGGTTCTGAAGGAGGTGATGAAGAGTCATTGTCCCCAAGTGGGGCTGACAGCGACAGCGCAGCTAGAGTATATTTACACTTTGAAACCAAAGAGCTCCTTCCTTTCCCAAAACAGCTACCATCTTATGCGCATGGAAATTAGCAACACCAGATGGGGGATGTTAAAGGAGCGCCCTACCATCGCCCGGGCTAGTTTCAATGCACTCACTAGTAGTTAATTTGAATGACTGAGCACTTCTGTTTGAAGAGTTTCCTTGATGCTGAGTAGGTAAATAAAAGCAAGGACTTCCCTCCTTCGCCTGGCACCAACTGAAGCATTGCGTTTAGCCGTAGAATTTTCGTTGAATGTTATTGAACATTCAACGCCGGGGGAGCTAAATGCCTTGCGACATCCGGGCCAAGGAAGTCCGTACTTGAGTAAAAGAAAAGAACTAGCAAAAAGCTACAGCTTCTCTCTCTTCCAATCACTCAACCACTCACACCGCTACCACCTAACTAATCATCAAGAGAACCGTAATTAAAATTTTTTTTCTCAAATCAACTAACCCAAAAACAAACTTCCTCGGATGGAGGGAGCTTCGTGCTAGTTGAGACAGCACAGGTAGCCCAGTCAGGGGCGAAGACGAAAGTGAGTAAGTATGTGATCGGGGGGGTGAAGTCGGTCAGCAACTTAGCTAGACACCTTCGCGCAAGACCTAAGACAGCGGACGCAGACCTGTCTGTCGAAGCGATTGTCGATAGCGGGGCTGAGACTCACTGTTCGCCGTACTTATCTCATTTCGAGCGCCTGGGAGCTAGGTGCAAGCTATACACAGCCTCGGGTGAAGAGATCCCTGGAACAGCGAGGGAGGGCATCTTCAGAGGCAGTTCTCTTCGTGAGCTACGCCATGGCGTGCATCAGCCGGCGCTGAGTAGTGTGTATTTATCTGTTGGCAACTTGCAGAAGGCAGGCGTCCTAACTTCTTTCCCACCTCCGGGCGGAGTCCGGTTAGAAGGGCCGAGGGGTGACGTAAGCCAAGGCGTAGGTCGGGATGGCTTGCCGGTCATCGTGCTCCAATTCGAGTCTGGACTGCCGAGACAGATCTGCGCCATCTCAGGGCTGAGAACGACAGAGGACACGCGTGCAAGTCTCTTGGAGCATGAAAGGTCAGGGCATTTTCTTCCTTTGCCAAAAGGCATCAGGTGCGCGGCGTGTCTAGCGACACAGGACTACGGGAAGCGACCAGCGAAAAAGCAACGGCCTACAACCTGGGAGCTTGTGAGGTCGAAATCGAATCAGCGTTGGCAGGTCGATTTCAAGGACCTCGCGAAAGACAGTCAGCGAGCTTCGGAGAAAAGCATGCTTGGGAATACTTGTCTTCTCGGTGCACTGGACGACTACGATCGGGCCCCCATGGTGCTACCATTGAAGTCAAGCAAGCACGCTGATGAAGCGCTACAGAAGATTTGTCGGCATCCGAGACCTCCTAGCGGCATCATATCTGACAACGGGCCTGAATTCCAGACCATCAAATGGGCGAAGGTTTTGGCGGAGTTGAAAATCGTGGCCAATAGCTTTTCCCCGCTGTACCAGCCTACAAAGAATTCACGCGCTGAGAGATGGCGGAGAACAGGTGGGAACAAAGTCAGGGCATTGATGTGGGGAGTAGATGCTCGGCTCACAGGTATATGCTGGATGGCTGCGGCCTTTCTCTACAGTCTCCGCGAACGCGAATTCAGGGAAGAAGATTGCTCGACCGCCAAACAATCGCCATACGAGCGAAGACACAAGCGCAAGCCGAACTTCAACAAATTGCGGCGGTTTGGGGCGCTGTGCTTCGTGTATGATGATCACCCTGCAGACAAAAGCGCACCCAGGTGGGTTCCCGCTGTCTTGGCAGGCTACAGCCCAAAGGGCTCGGCATTTCTCTCCTGTCACTTTAACAGTGCAGGCGAGTTTGTCTTACAAGAAACAGGACAGGCAAAGTTCTGCGAAGCTTACAAGTTGAGTAACCTCGAGCATCTTAAAGACCAGCTACTCCTGGATCTATTTTCAACAGCAGAGCCCGACGCGTTAGGCGCTGAGTACATGGAGCCACCTTATGGAACTGGTGAGGCGCTCCGGATGTTAGGCGCGGCTAATGTGAAAAGGCCGCTTTTTGAAGTGACAAGATCGGGACAGGATGGGTCTTCTGTGTCTAGTATGCCGACGGTAGACATGCCTAAGACTATGCCAAGCGACGGAGCCGCGGTAGCACCTGAGAGCGCTAACAAGTTGCAGGACAACAGCCAGGGAGAAGATCTGGACCAAACAACACATCCCACAGTGCGCAGGGATATAGATCCTCCGGCGAATGAAGCAACTGCTCTGGACAGGAATGCTAGCGAGCCAGGCGAATTGGTCAGCGCCGGCCGTGCAGGTCTTGCAAAGACTAAGTCAGGTCGAGGCTCTACCACTGTAAAGGAAAAGGCTAAAGTGCTGGCCAAGAAAAGCACAGACTCAGAGGGTGAAGCTTCTGAATCCGGGGCGACACCTAAGCGAGGTCGAGGTCGGCCGCGAGGGTCGCCGGATAAAGTAAAGCGCAAGGCCAGGGCGTCTGGGGATGCTGCGTAGGTTCTCGCTGTGGCTAGAACAAAGCCCAAGAAGAAGAAGCAGCAGAATGTAGACGCGGCTGCGCGGGATTCTATTCCCATTTCTGACCGTAGGCATGGACCCACATCACCTCACGGAAAGAAGCCACGCGGGGACCTGAAAAGGATCTATGGAAGGAAGCGGACAGCAAGGAGGTCGATGGCTTGAAAAAGTTGAAAGTCTGGAGAAATCTGGATCCTGCCAAGGATGCTAGACTGCGACGCCGTAAATAAAAGACCGGCTCGTGCGCACATGGTAAGAGTGCGGAAGTTCGATGGTCGGCGCAAGTCGCGACTAGTGGCGGATGGATCGACGCAGAATTCTCTGTCCAGAGCCGAGATCTTTGCCCCAACGCCAACAACTACTAGCATGCGTTGCCAGTTAGTTCATGCTGCACAGCATGGCTGGGACATCGATGGCGCGGACGTGACTCAGGCTTTTATCAAGGCAGACCTACCGGAGCCCGAGCTTCTTAGACTTCCAGGAGAAATCCTCGAAGAGGATGAAGACCCAATCTATCAAGGTTACGACAGAGGCTCTCTATGGGTTCAAGCAATCCCCGAGAGCTTGGCATAAAAAGGCGGGTGCGAAACTCCAGTCCTGGGGGTGGAAGCCATTGCCAAGAGGGGGGGGAGTCTACTACAGAACGGACGCAGATGGGAAGCTCTGCGCCATGTTAGTGTGTTACGTTGGCGACATCATAGCAACTGCGTGAAAACCGGCCAAGGAAGGTGAGTTTTCAGCCAGTGACTATTTGGGTCAGGTCAGCAAAGAACTCGGGTCGACAAAGATGGACATAACCAAAAAGGAGGTCGGTTACAATATCGAGCGGCACTCGTTTGACTTTGTTGGAGTAGATGTTGACATCGATGGATTACCGGGTGGACAAGAGAGGTGGCAAAACATATCATCGACTCAAGTTCCATGGTAAGAATCGAGCAACGAAGATCCTGAAGAAGTGGAATATGTATGACGTGAAGCCCAAGCCAACTCCGTCCGTGCAACGACACAGGGACGAGTGGCGCAAGCTTGTCAAAGAGGCTGGGAGCAAAGCTCCGGCCATCCACACCGACCAGGAAGAGGCATCGAGCCAGAGTGAAAGCGAGGCAAGGACCAAGAGCGGATCGCCGGGGGCGAGCTCGTCCAAGAAACCTACCAAGAAAGCGAAGGAAGGCGGCTGGCGAGTTCCAGAGCAAAGCTGTGGCTGGTGAGCTGTTGTATCTAGCGTTGTCTTGTCGGTTAGACATCACCGAAGCGGTGAATGCTGCGGCAAGATGTCCTTTTGAGGAACTGCAGACACTCATGCTCAAACATGTCATGCGCTACTTGCGTGGGACGCTTGAGCTGGGAGTGGAGTGGACTCAGGACAGCTGGGAGGAATACAAAGCAACCCATGGACCACTTTGGAGCGCCGGAGTCGCGGCAGCTAAAGGTAGCGCGCCTCAGGCTGGACCACTAGGCGAAATGTCTCTTATGGGTCTCTTCAGCGATGCTGATTTTCAGGGTTGTCCTTCTACAAGCAAGTCAACTGCGGGTAGCTTGGTGGCCTACTATGGTTGTCCAGTGGCGTGGCGATCTAAGCGGCAAACGATTGCGACACTATCCACACCGCACGCGGAGACGGTCGGTGGGTAAGTGTGAATCAATCCAGTTTGCGCAGCCGCAGGGCTTTGCTGGCATCGTTCTGGGCACAAAGTGCAGGGACCCGGATTACACAAACACCCCACCGACGTGGGTGGATAACGTGCCGAGCTTAGAGCAAACTCCCCAGGGGCATCGGCGTTCGGGTAGTAAGCACTACCACTCATGGTTGCACTTTGTGAGTGAGCTCGTCAACAGATGTCGGCATTGTCCGACGCATCTGATGTGCGCCGATGCTCTAACAAGGCCAGTATCGGGCGAGGTCCTCTTGATGATGTTGGATGGTGCTCGTAGTGGTACTAACCCGACTACAGGCGCGGGCCATAGTTTTCCTTCCGCAATGAATTCCCTTACAGGTGCGCGGAGATCGCGGAGCTCGTCGCTAAGCGGAGAAGGTCAGCGGACGAGGAAACGAAGCAAGAGCACCGAAGAAAACGGTGAAGAAGGGGGCAAAGAAGAAGGGAAGAAGAAGAAAAGGGCTACTTTTAGCAACCGAGTAACGCTTATTCTACCTTCTTGGAACTAGATGGATTCCCATACTGTTTCAAAGCTATTCTTTTTGACGTTAGTGGATAGCTTTGCTCTTCCTTGAAGTTCGTCCTATTTTGAACCATACCAACGAACTAGTCAACATAAGTCACAACTTCGACAAAGTTACTACACCAACTAAGTACTACCTAGAGTCAACCAACTTGATAAACAGTCTACAAGTTTTAAAAGCTAGCTACTACAGTTAAAGCTGACTCACTTGCTTCCGTAGCCAAAAGCTAAAACCACACAGAAAAAGCTGACTAGTTAGGTTTTTCTTAAACTGTGGAACCCATCAGGAGAATTGCGGGGGGAGAATGTGGCCCATTGTGAAACACGATCCAAATCCCCACCGAAGTCCGAAGTCTACTGATCCAGTTCCGCAGCGTCAGCGTCCTACTTAGCTAACTACTTAAGTAAGCACAAGAAGGAAGAACGACCAAGACAGAACAAGAACAACACAACAAGCACGACCCAAGACAAGACCGACGCAACAGGAGCGGCATGATGTCCATTCTCTCTCCTCGTGCAGGTTTGGTATATGTTACCTCGGTGCCATCACGTAAGACGTACTGAGAGGGTCTAAGATAGACTCAAGCTTAGGCCGGCTTAGTATGGTCTATTACAACTATGCGCACTAATATAGTGATAAAGTCAGCGCATCACATAACGCATTGGATCCACCCGAACGTCAGTCAGTCTTGAAGTTATGTTTTTATCTGCTTCATCCTTCAGGTAGAAAACACAAACTAAATTTGTTTTATTTATTCTACTCAACAGTGACTGTGGTCACCAAGTGCTGTATTTTATGTCTGATCTAGTAGCACTGTAGTAATTGATCATGGAAGGTAAAAGTACATCAGAGCTCGAGTTCGTCGACAAAAGCCACATTTGAGTGAGTTTTCTGGTTATCAGACAACGCGGAGGCAACATTTGCATCAATCTTGCCTGCACCCGCCTGGAAGCCGCGATGAACGAATGAAGGGATTCGCTTCCGGCGACGGAACGAAAATACAATTGGGTACATAAAAGGGGACCGCTGTTGAACTCTAAAGTACTCTTTTTTATTCATGAATGAATTCAGAAACAAAATACAATTGAAATCATCTGTGGTAGCTCTTGTCTGGGTCGTCGTGACATGCACTGAGTGCACCATTTTAACTTCCGTGACTTGACATGCTGGACATCTTGAATTGCAACATGATTTTGTTGATGTTGAAGTTGATGCACCAGAGATTATATTATAATTATGCTTTATATTTAAATTTCAATTACATAACCGGTGCCTTCATGTCTCGCATGGTCCTAGTCCAACATAACGAATATTGTATAGCAATGAATTACATGATTGGGTTGTGGTTGAGTACATCTAGTAACAAGTAATTGCAAGGAAGATGACTAGCACTAATCTCGTCCCCTCATCCACCTCTGAATTGATGACCCTCTCCCTGAAACTGTACTTTCTTGCTCTTCCAGATTAGGTTAACTACCACTGCTAATCATGCTACAACGAGGGGTATCAACATTCTGTTCAATTATGATACCATAGATACTTATGCGGAAGCTTCCACTTGTTCTCATGCATGCACTTCTCCCAGGTCCACCAGCAGGAGAGAAACGCTGGCAGAAGCAGAGTTATCGTCGTGCAGATGTACGGCTGCAACATGCAGAATGATCGAGTACCTACGCCTCTGAGGATGACCAAGAAAGTCTCAACATATTTATAACTTCTATTGGCCCTCCTGGTCGAAGAAGCAGCTCTCGTTCCGGATAGAAGCAGTAGGTTGAGCACATTTACCAGAACTAAGCTTAGTTACGTTTAGCACTATTACCAGAAATGGCTTGAGCACCATTACCAGAAATAGGTTGAGCACCCAGTGGTCGCACTCCAACATCCTACTTTTGCCTTGCTTCCATCCCTTCGACATCTTTTTTCGTAGAAGAATGAACGTGCAGGCTGTAACCACAAGTCAGATTCACTTTCACTGTGTCGAACAAAATCGTTCCCTATCCTTGGTGTCGCAGTAGTGTGATTGGAAGTTCCCCCCGCCAAATATTTATAACGAGATATTGAACAAATTCTTATTGAACGTTTCTCGTTTTTTGAGGGACAACAGATGTTGACAGATTGAAACCGAGTAGAAGGAGGATACATCATAATGTAAGTACTCCACCAGCACCTGTCACTGACAGATTGTTCGTTCCACCTGCTAGGAAACGATCACCTGTTCCTGGAGGCCCTGGGGTCTGCGAACCGGATATAGCTGAGCCAGTCTTTCAGCGGTTACGGTTCCCCTTCCCGGTCCCGGATCAGATACATAAAAAGAGGAGGAGGGTTCTCATCTAGTGAAATCTGAAATCCGTACATCGCCCACGACGAGAGTGATACGAGGAGCGAGCTACTTGAAGGAGAGACATCATTTTGTTGAGAGAAGAAGTGAAATGCACAACACCCATTAGACTGAGGTACATGAATCAATCTCATTCAATCTAGCGAACCTTTCCACTACCTGACTCCTGCTCACGACATAGTTGTACGTATCTGAGTTCCGATTAGTTTTAGTTCCCTACAGGAGGAGCACTGCGCATGTAGTTTATTAGTGTTCTATCTTGCGTTTTTACATAGGAGGACTTGATCGATAGCGATACGATCTTTTACTTCATCTTCAATGATGTAGCGCTGGTGGAAATCAATACCAACCTGTCATGTATATGTAATATACGAAGACTCAACGTCGAGTATTATAGATAGAGCAACTGCTTGTAGTTGTCCGATTATGAACACGAGTACGGCATACAAAAAAAAAAGGTGCTTCTGTTGAGTGTGAGAGGACCGGAGCTCAAACTTTTTCCCTTCGGGTTGAGAAAGCATGGGCGCAGATGGTCGCGTGAGATTTCCCTAAATTCTGTCCTTGTGTGATGATGAGTTGTACTGAGAGTTGCAAATCAAGCTCGTTCTCTCGTTCTGTGGAGTATTTTTGCTCTGTTCTCGTTTGAGTCCTTCTCGCTGTAGGCGAGATAATTATCGAGAAAGGAGTCCCAAGCTCCTTTCTCGCGTCCGATACTGTATCTTACCTCCCGCAGCAAACCCGTTTTTGTAGAGTAGCCCTCGTTGTTTGGCATTCATAAGGCTTTGCCTTTTCATCTTAGCACAACTTCGCCATCTTTCTCGTTTCTTATGTATTCTTTTATTCTTCCTTGTCCTGTTTCACTTATAACCCGTTAGGTGGTTGAGTGCCGCCCTCTTTTGAAAGTTGCAGCGGCGAGACGAGGCCGCTGCTACATGCAAGGGGTGAGTATTAAAAAAGTGGCAGGTTAAGTGAAAATAGCCTATGAATCAAAGATGCACTATTCTTAATTACGTGCGGGGGAGTCGCGCGAGGTAGCGGGTAGTTGAGTCGATCAAATACTAGATGGTGGTAGGAGGTTATCTACATCTTTTCTTATTGCTTCAGCTCTCAGCTTTCGCTCCGTGCGTGGTGTCAGTATAGCCATACACTCGGGCTGCGATATTATTCTTGTGGCAGGAGGGCGCGACGCAGGAACGAAAGGATTGCGCAAGGACATGGAGCGCGAAGCAGTGAAGATAAGAAAAACTAGGTTAGTGCTTCCCCAACAACGAAGACCATGTTGTACTTAGGGCGTTAGGCCAGTAGTCATTTATTCTTTGATTTTCACTTGTCAGATGATTGCGCATTAGTCAAGAGTAAGCAGGGTTGGCGGCCCTGCCCTCGTGCCTTGTAGGCAGGCGCATAAGAGCGGGACGGTTGGCAGCCGGTGGAGGTTTATAGTAATTAATTAATCGCCTCCTTTGCCCCTAGGGTTCATCAGTTTAAAATCGGCAGGTTCGTAGGCAATTAGTGCGCAGTAATATAAGGAGGTAACCGGACTCCACCTGCCGCCGGTTTGCGAACTGGATAAAACTGGGATCACCCCTCCGGCGGTCTTGGCATACAAAAAAAAAAAACGAGTACGAGGAGGATGGAGAATCATGAAAGAGAAAGACACGTATGCTCGTGGATCATGTTGCTCAACAATTACTTACTGAGTAGATGAGGAATATGTAGTAGAGCGATGATCATAAGTTGTGAATTTCAGCATCACAAGGCACTGGAGCATGACGAGGACGTAGACGTAGAGCACGAGCTATCAACGAGTGACTCTGAAGCATTTTATCTGTTACAGCGTTGAGTCTGAGTGACACTTCTTCTGGGCTAGCACTAGTGACATGGTGTTGCTCGAAATTTTGAGAAGCGAACTCTTGGCCTTGAGCTACGAGTCAATGTGATTGAGGCTACGAGCGCAGTCATCATCATCTTAAACTAAGAGCAAAAATCACTTGACGAGGCGTGTCAATGTCATCTTCTTAGCGGGAAAGATATATATAAAGATTTGTCAAGTAAGTAGTAGAGAGTGAGTGTGAGAGAGGAAGTAGAAGATACTTATTATGATTACTCAAGATTAGATTTTTAACCTGAGTACTAGACAATGATCACCACTTGAGAATCGACACTTCACCAGAGACAATTATAAACTCGGACACGGTCCACAACCCGCATCTACGTACAGTCCTGTTGTACTCGTAGCTATTGTGCTTGACAACACGAAGAACTAGTTGACTCTTACTCGATAATAATTGATTCTTACTCAATAAAAATATTAGTTAAGAAAAGATAGTTGATTTTTGTTCGGTGTAGTTCTTTTTATCGATCATTCAGAAGCAAACCAGACGTAAAATGACAAGGACGAAGTGAAAGTGACACAGTTTTCTCACTAGAACTTAAAGTTTAGTAAAAAAACGGTAAAAAAAAATCAAAGTGAAAAGGCCTGTGCTAGTGCCAGAGTTTCTAGTAAAGGACTCTGTTCATGTAGTTCAATATTGACTTAAGTAAGAATCTTCGCTCGCTATGTGTATAAAAATTCATAATTATTATCAATATTTCTCTTACCTTTGATGCATCCTGCAGAACCTGATCCGCCTATGTCACTTCAGCAACAAGAGGACGAAATCGTTTGAGTTTGTCTAAAGAGTTGAGATTTTTCTTCTGACTAATCATGACCGCCAGCATGCTGATCTAAAACTGAAACGATCCTCTCGCTAAACGATCCTCTCGCTCCTTGTTTGATCTGGTTCCTTCAGAGACGAGAAGTCCGTTGACAGGATCCTCTTCTGAGGCTCTTTCACAGACGCAGTCTAAACCACCGCTACTGACCACGATCACAGGATCTCGCAAAAAAACGATCACCAGTCTAGATTTATTGATTCGTCGTCAGTGCTTGTCCACCTCGTGCTACTATATTGTATAGTTTTTATTTACGATTACGAGCAGCTTCAACATTCGTTGTACAAAAGTGGATGAAGTATAATTTCGATACTACATACTGGTAATAAATAGTACATGATACATGTAGAATCATACCAGAATCAATCCCCAAAAAAATGAGTTACTAGAACCAATGCAATTTTCTAACTACTTATGAAAATAGGTGGATGCTCAATTAATGAATAACGCTTTGCATGCTCTGTTTGTTATGATAGTTATCTAGGTCTGTGTCCTGAGGCTCGATAATCTGAAAGTCCGCTGTTGATCTGTTGACGCTCAAACGTAGGCGCGCATTATATTTATAAGAACAAGCTCACTGCTTCCGCAGTCTAATTTCTTCGTTATAGCTCCTCTGCAAACTACAACATCCTTCTCATTGTGGCATCAATTGAATTGTTGGTCAGGTTTTTCAAATAGATGCTGTGTCATCTTTTTTGTTGAAAATTGCAGCGAAGAACAACCAACCTACAACAAACGCTAACCGTAACTACGTCGACATCAAGAACAATAAATTGGTTAAGCCCTTGCTCAAGAATCATACCCGAGCAACTTAGAACGAAAAGCAAAAGCATAAAACATCAAATATTTGAAATTTTTAGAACTCAACGTCTACAGCATCATAACCCTAATAAAGAACAGCATTACAACTGATTGAGAGGCAGTCTTACCCTGCGGAATAAGGTGAGTCAATTCCTATCCTATCCTTTTTATTGAAAGAGATATAAACCACAAAATGGCGATCCCGCGTGAAAGTGAGGACGTAACTAGCCAAATTTGGGCGATGCCCGATAAGAAGAAGCGCACCCCCAAGGTCGACACGGCCGAAATTTCCCGCGTGCTCGCTGAATGCGAAGAAATCAGCAAAAATGTGCTCGAGGGTCAAAATTATGCTGAATGAAGTTACAAATACAACAACTACTACGTAATATTAAGTACTTGTTATCACTTCTACAACGATATCGATAATATCTCTCTATCTATATTAATTACTCCAATAAAACGAAAACCACTCATCTTTCGAGCTCGACTTCCCTCTCACAGCGCACGTGGTGAAGCAGATTAAACTTTTCAAATGCTGTTACACCTACCCCGTACAGCTTCAGCTAGATCTGGTGTAGCTGTTGTTCTTGTTTTTGTCCATGCACGTTCTGTTTTTGAAATGTTGAGGTATTTTGATTCGCCACCACGCCCTCGTTCTTCTAATCAGTAGGTGGGAACAAGGGAGCCGCAGATATGGCGAAGAAGATGGCTTTTCCCATTGCGCTTTCTCGGGTAGATTTTTTGTTCGAGCTTGTGGCTGACAAAAAGCTCCAGGCGGCGGCTTCGAAGACCCTGTTTGACATCGCTGAGCATATGCCGGAATACGCCACACGTCAGTTTTTGTTACGGCTCCTTGATTACTTATAGATATACATAGATTCAACAAGATTATATTCATTGTAGATGTAGATTCAACAAGTTAGAAGATCGTAAAAGTCAGTCCTCGCTATCGCTTACACTTTTGTTTGGCTTTGGATGAAACTGTTATTTTGAAATATCATGGGTTTGGGTTATCGTTATAGTCCTCTCCAGGATGAACTACATCTAGTCCTAGTATTCAAAAACTTTCAAAATCTTCTAGAGCCAGAGCCCTTCCAGAGCTGGAGGCCTTGCAATTACACATAATAGAACTAGAAGGGGCTCTGGCTCTAGAAGATTTTCAAAGTTTTTGAATACTAGGACTATGGTAGGGACGGCGAACCGTGATTTGCAGCGATGAAAGACCAACTTGATCATGATGTATCTATAAGGCTGCTCCTCCATGTTGATATGTACCCGTGGTGGTCTTGATCTTGCTATTGCTTCGTACTAGGGTTGTGGTTCTTCCATAAAAATTTGCTTATCATGCAGATGCACAGCTGAATGATGTCGTCATCTAATTCGGAAGCGCATGCGTGGCGCTCTTCATGGTCTGGCTCTGCCTGAGCAGAAGAAGCTTGCCTTGTCGCTCCTTGACAAGTTTGCTACTGACCCGAAAGGCGCACGCAAGAGAATCATCGCTCAGGAGCTGGTGAACCTGGTCCCGGCTGTGGCGCCGTTGGGAACGGACTTGAAAGTAAAGCACGAGGCAGAACAAACCATGCGAAAGCTCTTCCGCTGCTGCGAAAACGCAGACCTCATTGCTGGCGGATCCACTTCCACTGGCACAGGTAGATGAAGTAGAAGTACTAGTACAAGAACTAGCACCAGGTGGTAGGCTGAAGTAGCAGTTGTAGGGCGAAGGCTAAGGCACACGCGCACACAAATAAGTACGTAGAAGAAGTGGAAGTAGAAAAACGCTTGTTTAGAATTTCGTATGCTATAATATATAAGTCAGTGAACAAGTAAAATAGATGATTGTATTTGTGTTTAGAATTTGGTATGCTAAGTGAAGTAAAGTAAATGATTGCATTTGCAGTTATTTGTATCATATCTACTTGAACTACATGCTTTCAGGTTTCGAGGAAAGTGTGATCAAGGGCGTCCACGGACAAGATATTCCAGGATGCGTGGAGACTTTGGCAGGGTGCCTCTTCGTCCAGCGTGTCGAGAGTCCAGCCTTGAGCGTGATGTTGCCGATCTTTCTACGGGGTCTGAACAGCGACGAAAAGGTCGTGCGTCGCACCTGCGTGATCATCGAGAATATGGCCAAGTTGGTGGACGAGGACCGACCCGAGGAGGCTTTTCCGCTCACCGGCGCGGTTCTCGCTGCCCTGCGGGGGCGCACCGACACCGTGTCCGACCCCGAGGCGCGTGGCGTTGTCGAGCGCGTGGTGCGGCTGTTGGAGATCCGTTTTCTGATGGCCAACTCGCAATCCCCAAGCAAGAGCATCAGCGTGCTCGCGCACATGCGAGCGGCGAGTCTACCCGCCGCCAAGCAGGTCGAAGCGAATCCACATCTCAACGAGTGGCTCAACGAAGCCGCGCTTAGCATGCTGCGCACTGACACGGAACGCATGGACGACTGGGACACCATTTTCCGCTACGCGCACGGCATGAAACGAGCAGAAATCAAGATTCTCATCGTGGCGTTAAAGGGCATGATCTTACGATGAACAAACAACTCTGACTGTTAGTGTTACTATTACTCTCGCACTCGCTACCCCTACCACTCTCGATCATCATAAAAGTAGACCAGAGCAGTTTTAGTTTATAGCACCCATGGCGCATGGAGTTCATGGAGCGCAGACCCATACGGGACGCAAGAAGCGCCGCATGTAGCTCCATGCGATCCATGCACTCCATGCCCTGCGAGCTGCCAAACCTTCGAAATTTTTCTGCTTTAGACTTTCAACAAATCACTTTCAATCAGGAGAGACACAACTTTCGGCCATAGAATACCAAGTAATAGCAGGTCTTTTGCGCTTATTAACAATAACATTGTCATAGACAGCGCTGCTCTGTGCCTGTCTAGAACAAAAACTAAAGCTTCTAAAACAAGATTTTTAATAATAGAACCGATTGACAGGTACAGGTAGGACTAGGTAGAGCTTGAGCAGGCACGAAAAATGAATAATGAAATGTTAATGTTTGTGTACTAGTAGAAACCCGACAACGGGCTGTCGCTAATGATGAACCTGGACAGCGATGAGCAGACACATCTTTTTGGTGGCGGTGATGATGACGGAGACATGAGCCAGGATCTATTTCGCGGTAGCTTCTCACTCGCATTTGGTAGTTGCACGCTGATCAAGGACACTCCCTTGCTCTTAAAGAAAAACCGTTTCTACGGATTGCTAGGGGCCAATGGCTGTGGAAAGTTACGGATCTTCTATTGCGAATAAATATAAACTGCTCCTTCACAACATTAGTTCTTCATCTTCGTCCTCCACATTTATTATTCGTTCGGTAGTCTTCGCGGTGCATTTTGTGCTTGTTAGAAAAACTAAAAGAAGGTACTTAAAAGAAATGATTACTTAATAAGATTATACCTTATTTACCTTGTACTTGAATAAATGATGGAAAGCACTCCCGGGTGCCTAGGAATTTGCTTCGAGATGACAACTACATCAACAGCATCAACCTCGTTCTCGCGCTAAGAACAACTTCGCTGATGCGTGCGATTGTGGAGGAAAAACTCGAAGGATTTCCAAAGCGTGATAAGCTCACCACCGTTTTCGTGGAGCATGACATCGGAGAAGAGCCTGTGTTGCTAGAGAGTGGGTCGAAGATTGCCAAAAAATCGACTTCGAACGGAGATATCCTTAAGGCTTGCGACCATAATCCATCCTCGGAAACATCCCAGAGGTGTTTGCAAGGGGAAACAAAACTGTCTGAGGGTGGTGGACTTTGAAAACTAAAGATAACCGGGTAGCTAACTTATAAATAAAAGATTCACGAGTAGGAGTACCTACCTTGTTCTTCTTTCAGTATCTCGTTTATTCTATTATGAGTTACTTGCTTATTTCAACAGTTTATCGATAGGGGTAATAGAAAAATATGCTCTAATATCTGTGACTTGGTCACCACAGACCTCTCCGGAACCGACTGGGTGTATCACACGGTCCGCAACGTCTACGGAAACAAGAACGTGACGAAGCAGGACTGCGCAAAGGCACTTGCAGCCAACGGATTCGGCCCCGGAAAGGCCGCAGACCATACCGCGCAGCAAATTACGGAGTACAGCGGAGGTTGGAAGATGAAAATGCAACTGGTCGCGGCTACCTTGGTGAAAGCGGACATTTTGATGCTGGACGAGCCCACGGCGCATATTGACGCTGCAAACACTGCTTGGATGAGCCAATGGCTTGCGAAGTTTCCGGGATCGGTGGTGGTGACCAGTCACAACATCCCGTGGCTGAACGAACGAATAACGGATCTGATCTACTTCGAGAATCGCAAATTGAGGCAGTTTCACGGCGAGAAAGGCAAGACCGTTGACCTTTTTGCGCAGAAGTTCCCAGATAAGCTGGAACAAATTGTGCCCACGCAGTCAGAGTCGCAGGCCTTTGAGCTGCCTCCGCCAGGACCACTCGACGGGGTCTCATCTAAGACAAAAGCTGTCCTCAAAATGCAGAACGTCTCCTTCAAATATCCACATCGCAACGGCACTCCAGCGAAAAAGAATGCACCTAATGTGGTACTACAACGGCTAACTTTCTTTTAACAACGTGCTGATGCACATGAACATCCTGTTCCTGGAGAACGTAGTGAGGATCTTGTTGCACAATTCCAATTTCCTTGAAGAAAATGAAATGATATTAGTGGATGTGCTGGTTCTGCTGTGTTAACAAAATGAGACATGTACAGGATAACCTTCCTTTTAGAGTACGGCAAGTACTCATTTGTTCAACATCATTCATGAAGAAAAACACAATCTAAACTTCTACCTCAGGTGAACGGCGTGTCTTTGAACCTGTGCCTGAATTCGCGCGTTTCTGTTGTCGGACCGAACGGTGCGGGTAAGAGCACGCTGATGAGCCTCTTGCTCGGAGAAGAGCAGGCAGACACGGGAACTGTTCTGCGGCATAGCGGTCTGAGAATCGCGCACGTGGCACAGCAAGCTCTCCACCACCTGGAGAAGCACCTGGATAAGACTCCGAACAAATACATGCAATGGCGCTTTGAGGGTATGGATGATTAAGACCCAACAAAAAACCAAACATAAAAATTCGAGCTTAATGTCTTGTATTTCTAAGAAAGTAGTATCTTCACTAGCATTAGCATAGGCATCTTCTTCATCATCTGTCCTCTTTACTATCTCTATCACTTGCGAAGTGACACTCCGATTGCGAGAATTTCAATCAGGTGAGACCTGCAAAGAATTAGAATCCTCCTCATGACAATTCTTGACTACGACCACTTCTAGGACATACAAGTACAACTTCTAAAACCACCGTGAAAATTTCGAGAACCGGTCCAAGGCTGCTTTAGCCGCTTCAGAAGCGGAATTGCAAAAGGTTCAATGGATGGTGCAATATCCAGAGGCCCTGGTCCGAAAATGTGAAGGGAACGAAAAACCATGGACAATTCACCAAGTTCTGGGACGAAAAAAGGGAGAGGTAATTATAACTATAACAAGAAGAAATGATATCTGAGGTTGTGACTCAGTAGCTGATTGCTTTAGTGTAGTTCTACTTACGTTAGTTACGTAGATCGAAATATATTTATCATGTGCATGGACTTGGATTTGGTTATACCGAGACTTTTGAGTGATGGGATTTTTCTGTCCTCATACCCTCATGAGTGCCTAGAGTGCATTCCACGTCTGATCATGGTCTCAGGCGCGTGCGTTTTCGCTGTACGATCACGTCCCTGCGGGCACGAAGAGCAACGTGCACGCGAAAGTGATTGGCAAGTCGAGCTACGAGTATTCCGTTCAGTTTTTGACGCCTAGCGGGGACAAACGCGAGGTCTGGGTGCCCCGTGACGTGCTCATTCAGATGGGCCACGAGAAGCTGGCGTGCCGCGAAGACGAGAGGCAGGCAGCCGAGAAGGGACTGATGCAGCGACCGCTGATCCAGAGCGAGATCGAGAAGCACCTCGCGAGTTTCGGTCTCGATGCGGAAATTGTGTCTCACACGCCCATCGCGAAGTTGGCGGCGGGCCAACGCGCGCGGTTGGCTTTGGGCGCCGCGTTGTGGCTCAGCCCTCACATTTTGGTGTTGGACGAACCCACCAACTACCTGGACAAGCGAGGTCAGAAGGCGCTTGTCAAGGGGTTGCAATCCTTTGGCGGTGGCGTCATTGTCGTGTCCCACAATGAGGAGTTTTGTGCGGGCGTCGCTTCCGAGTTCTGGCGCATGACCGGTCGGGACGGCCCGGGACCGGCCGGCACTCTGAAGCGCGAAGGCGAGCTGGCCGAGAACGCAGGCCCGCAGGCGGTGGAGTACGCGGCGAAGCTGGAGACGATGTTGGACGCCAGTGGCAATACGATTGAGGTCTCCAAAGGCGCAAGTGTGAACAAGAAAGAGCTAAAACGGCAGATTCGTGAATTGGAAGGCAAGTTGAAGAAAAAGAGCGGTGGCAACAAGCTCCTCACCGAAGACCTCAAATTTCAGATCATGGAGAAGGTCGCTGATCTGAAAGAGCAACTCACTTCGATCGAAACTGGACCGATGCTGGCTGACATGAGTTCCGCGAAATCCGGAGGTGGTGCCGGTGCAAGTGGAATGCTGATGTCGTCGGCCTACTCTTCGCCGTTGCAAAGCACGTCCCTGGACGCAGCACTGGCTTCCTTGAGTAGCACAAGCCTACAAGTATGCGAGCTTTCTTCCGAAGATATTACTTCAAGCAAAGCGCTAGGTGGGGCCAACAAAAACGGTGGCGCGGCCTTCCTTGGAGCTCCGAACAAGAATACACCGAGTTCCCTGACTCCTCTATCGACTGCCTCCGGTTATGTGCTAGTCCCGGAACTTTTGCCGCGTTCGCTGTCTTCCAACAGTGGGTATCAGTTGATCGATCCAGCGACGTCTCCCAAAAAGCAAGTGCCACCTGCACAAGCGGCCATGGGAAACACGGACCGCCAATACACTGGAAATGTCGCGGATTCGGTTGCAAATTTGTCGCCGGCCATGGGGAACGGGCAAATCCAACGGGGAGTCGCGCCGGCCTACGAGTACAAAAAGAAAAACGATTGGATGGAAGGCTAAGAAAAAGACTAGTACTAGCATTAATAAAGTATTAGTTGTACTTGTAGATTCGGACGGTGAGAAGAGAAGGAAGACACATTACCATTGTAATTATGTTTCCGAGTCTTCTTAAGATGAGCAAACACAACCCTATCAGTTGCGGAAATCGTATCCGTTGTAGATATTGTCGCTTCTGATGATCTTATTTATGATCTTCGGCCCCATCTGGTGCATCTTCTCTCAGATGTTATTCAAGATGAGCTTGTTTCACTAAAAACAAATGACATCAACGATATCATATTGAATCTTCAAAAAATGAACATCACCTCCGATACACAATGTAGTCGCATGAGTTCTTAAGGCTGTAACTCCAGTGGGTTCGGAATCAGAACAAACGAACAGAAGCACCACTCTTTTCATGGCATAACGACTAAGTACTCGTAATGAAATATGGAATGCTTTTTTCATTTTTTTTCTGTGTATTCAAGGTCCTTATGTCTTTGATAGGTTGATGCAAATATCATTTCAAAATCAAAAACATGAGCAAGAGCAACATCAAAATGTCGCACGTACATCTACATAAAAGCAAAGAAAGATGCATAGCCATAGAAGTGATAGTTGTACCTACGAGTACTAATCATGCAGGTGGAACTGCTTTTTCATTTTCTCGTACTTGTTATATATAAAAATCTATGAATGATCCAAATTTTTGAGAAGTGACTGGCTAAGAAATGACATGACACTTCTCTCGACTTCTTTCTAAGGAGCCAGATGAACTACTACTAGACCAAGAACTATAAGGTTAATATGAAAAACGCCTGTAAGTCGAGGACGAAGCACGCGGAGAAGGAAGTTACAAGAACAAGCAGAGGAGGATTTATAATATATTATATGACGGCGCGAGCTGCTACTCGACTGATTATGAGTTTACTTATGATTCGGTTAAAGATAAAGGATAATACGAGTAAAGAAAAACATACGTTTACGTTGTTCTTGCGATGCTACTACCAACTATTTTCTAAAACTACACTTCTAACTAGTTGTTGTAGAGCTAGAACTGCTGATATTGCCTCCTACAACATACGCAATAATGTGTTTTTCCATTTACGCACGACGTGAAGATGATAGCGCAAGGTTGCTACGGTCATTCCGACATCAGCAGGTACAGGTGTCGACGTTCACTACAAGGTTCTTGTAGTCAGAACGAGATGCCTGCTTGTGGATGTGGAGCAGCTGTTTTTGATTCAGCAAGAGTCGAGAGCACTTACTTTGAGGACTAGGCCACAAAGACCTACAGTTTTGGAAAATTATCTTCTATTACAAGTTATTGTTATGTATGCCGGTGGCAAACAGTTGAAGATGTGGCGGTGACATCCGCGCACATGACGCGATGATCTACTTCTTGTTCTTGAATGATATGATTTTTCGTTTCAATCATTATCACTTCTCAATGTACTATTAGCTCAAATGAAGGTCGTATTATTTCTATTTGGGTCTATCACTGAGTAAAGTTTTGAAAAATTGTATTTTATGACAAGAACAAAGGGATTGCCGTAAGGATCTACATCTTACTTCACACGATGAAGCATCGTGATGGGGAGGAAGATCGTCGACATCTCGGTATTTTCTCGCCAAGGATACTCGGATAGAAAGATGTTGTAGTAACAGTAGAGCTAGAAGCCACCGCGATATGGACAGGTATTTTTAATGATTTTCTTTCCAAAATGTATGAAACCATAGTGGACGCGTGATTGAATGAGAACGACGAGTTGTTATTGCGATCAGAAAAAAATCCTTCTTAACCATCTACATCACCATTTGTTAGCAGAAGAGATTGTCAGAGACTGACAGAGAAGGAGATGTTGATGTTGTATAGCAAATCATGTTGAAAGAACTCTTGGTATTCTTGACTTGTTCGACATTTGCTATGCGTTTTTCGTTTACTTACGCAGCCGAAGTAACTTTCGTGTTCGTCCTACTAGATCATCAAATAAATAATATTTACAACATGAAGAACAACAACAAGCCCTCTTGGTGGAGCGGCAGCTTCTGGCACTGGGTGTCGGACGCTGCCTTTTCGAGGAGTTATTGTTACAGTTGTAATGTGTGGCGGGTGTATTAAATATCAAAAGATAGAAGATCAACATCAACATCAATCATGAACAAAGATATTTTTAACGAAGTTGAAAAAATCAGCGTCATCTTTTTAATAACTTTAGTATGGATTTTTGTGTGGTTCGTGCTTGGGCTTGTATTCATCAAGCTCCTTGTTCAGGAGCGAATTCACAGCTGATACTTCAGGCGATGACCAAGTGTATTTCAACTCAATATCTATCAAAGACAGCTACAACTTTTCCAAAAAGGTGATGTAGCATGTACCATGTTCAAGATTGATCATTGATGCACAAGGGATATTAGAGATCTAGATGATGACAACACTTTTTTCGGAATATAATGAGAAAAATATCATCTGACGAGGACTGTCATGTTGATAGGTGGAAGTGATTTACTGTGCTGTTCGCTGATGAATGATTGATCATCATCTTCCGCATGACGACCGGGGTTGGAGCCAGTCTGTCTGTTGAGGCCTACTCCTGTGATTTTGTCCCACGAAAATCTCATCCGAAACGTATAGCGTCGGTACAACACAACTAGATATAAGTACAACCCATGTGTCCTCCGCTACCGCACATGCGTCTGTCCGATGTTGCTTGGATCGGTACTACTCGGTGTGGCGTGATCAATCTGGTCAACATAACTGTGAACTGCCCTACAACTGCCACAAACAATTTCCCCTAGTACGTACGTACCCATCCTCCTGCAGCTCTCATACAGACTCTCCACAAGCACGAAGCCCGCGAGGTAGGTACTAGTAATCAAGACCAGCAAGGCAACTTACTTTCTGCGTTTACAGCCATGATTTTCATACGGCATACCCCCGCACAACTTTGATCACATCTATCGTAGCTCTATTCATTGCAAAACAGAGACAGACCATGACTTCTTAGGAGGACGAATTTGTGTGACTGACAAGACTGGCTCCATTAAAGAGAAAGAGAAAAACTACTAGCTCAACATCCTCATTCTTTCATCTTCTGGTTTTTTGGCAATTTGAAACCTCCTCAACGGGTCGCTCAAGAGTCCTGGTTATCAATCCGTCTTTGCATACGTGGTTGGCTGAATAATATGGGACAACAGCAAGAGGAGACAAAGCCTGGCGCAGCACCGGGTGCCGCTTCTAACCGCACACTGGCCTTCTCGAGTCGCATTGTGGATTTATCACGATGTGGCTCAACGGTTGTAGAAAAATTGCCATCGACCTCGTCACCTTCGTCCGCTGCTCAGAACTTATGAAATTTTCTGCCTCCTTCTAATTCTTCTATCAGTCTGAAATTAGAATAAGTAAATGATGAATCAATTGTAGCAGCTCCTAATCCTCTGTGTCTGCACTACCTGACTAATTCTTGCAGGTATTAGCATGCAGTAGATGCGCATGCGCAACGGCTCATCCTTAATCTTCAACCTGCTGGCAAGATATAGATATTGGCCCTCATGTTTGTCCTGTAGGTGAAACAAAACACACTTTCATTGTCTTACTTATAATCTGCTTCTAAAAAATAATGGAGCTGACGGCCGTACTGGGTCCAAAAAGAACGAGCCAGCTTCACCAAGCAGCCTCGCGCCATCATCGCCAACTCGATATTTGACGAGGGCAAATTACTCGGCACCAAACTTGCAGAAGCATCTTGGAAGTACTCTAATACTAGGCTCCACAAGCTTCGCCTGGCTCCAAATTGAGCACTTCTTCGCCCACGGGCTGGGTAGTGCGCCGCGATGGATTGACTATGGCGAGCCTGCTGGCACTCACGTACTTAGCTACGTCGATCCATGGGAGAGAAGCGGGCTGCTTTCGGTTTTTTGTTGCACTACCGGGAAGGTTCCGCAAATTCTTCAGAATTTGCAAGACCTTCACGGCAGTCCAACAAAATCACTGGAAGAAAACCACCAGACACGCATAAGGACCCGCAGGGCTTAGCCTAACGCTTATAGCCGGCCCGCGGTGGCAGGCAAGAGCGAGGGCAGGGAGACCTTGACGGGCCAGGAAAAGGCAACGCATGGCCGCGCTGGCTGGGTCTCTCTCCGTGCCATTGTTGTGACTCTCTCCTTCGTCTTTCCTCGGTCAGAGAGGCGTCGCCTGCTGGGGGGGTGTCAGCTTCTCGGAAGACCGACGCCCTTCGTCAGGCTCAGGCCGACGCCTTTCGTCTGGCTGACGTCTTTCGTCAGGCTGATGGCGTTTCGTGTGGTCGGCCAGATCCAGATGTCTTTCGTCAGTCTTCTTTCGTCAGACTTCTATCCCCAACTTGCGTCCCTACGTACCCCTGCCGGGAATTTTTCCAGCTTCTTTGCTGGAAGTTGTACTATGCCTGCTTTCTCGTAGTTTTGTGCGAGAAAACGGTCGGAGACTACCGGGACTGAAGCTGGAGGGGAAGGGGTCGGAGCCTATACATAGGCAAGGACCTCGAGGAAGATGCGACTAATCTGGTGGGGTAGGCGGGGAGTTTTGTGGCGGTGATCAGTGGGGTGATTAGTCCTGGCGTGCTTCTTCAGCAGGGCTATCAAATATACTAATTCAGTTGCCCACTGCAAGAATGGCCTGCTGCTCGCAGCTTTTTAGATTTTTTTAGAAGTAATAGATACTCGTTGTTGGCCTTGCCCTTGTTGATGTCGTGCACATTGATGCATGGAGGTGAATATTATGTAGTCTTTTTGGATACGACATTTTCATTGCTTATGTAGTTGTCCTTTATCGCTTCTGAACAGCACGAACATGAACAAACTGATCATACACAAATGAAGAAGCATCTACTCACTCTACCACGACCAGCCCATCACCCACTTGGGAATCTGCTAATGCGGCAACGGAAAGAGCCAAAATATCCGCACCAGGCGTTCCCATTTGGTTTCGGTGAGATGCCCTTTCGCAGCAAAAGGAAAGGCGGATCCATCATTATGGCAAAGACTCGCGATGGGCATGTCGGCTCTTGTTGGCATTTGAACTCTGATTATCGTAGGTCCCTACGTTGTTGGTGTACTTACAAACATACATCATTGATTAAATTCCAATTCGAATGCCGTACCTCCTGACAAACAAGGCAGGGCTCCTAGGTGCAGCTGCTCTTGCTGTACAACAACTCTAATAAAAACATACCGACCACTGTCTTTCGCAATAAGACGAAAGTACCTATGGGCCTAGCAGGCATGACCGAAATGGCACGCGATGCAGCACACACACACTTGGACCCATATTGCGTACAACTACTTACTCCTGTTTTAAGGGTAGGGTAAAGGTGCTTTTGTTCCCGCTTTTTATGCCTTGCGGGGTCCACGAGCACCAAGACCCTACCTCTAACACTGTTTTCTTGTGCTATTCGGTTTTTCGTGATCATGTGACCGTTGTTCAACAGTTCTTTTATGTTTTGAATTCCAGATCATCAAGAAGGATCACAGTAGATGGATCATCTTCCTCTGAGAAAATCAAGTAAATAAGCGACATGATGGATCTTGAAGTTATTTTTTGCACATTTCTCATTTTTATACCAAAGAACACTCGTAACACTCCCTATCACGACAGTCTGACCGCTATGGCAAGAAGAATTTCCACCTGTCGGAGCATGCGATGAAGGCGGCGGGCGCAAACAGCGTTTTAGAGCAGATCGCAGAGCGACCACTTGATGATCTCGACCGTTTGGTCCTCATAGACTGCAAAAATGCGAGATACATGCAATAATTAACTCTAAGGTTCTGCAAGAGCTAGTAGTGTGAAAAACGAAAGTTAGTTATACATTCCGTTTCCGAGCCCTTCCGGTAAAAAAAAACGGGCTGGTGGTGCTGGTGGTAGTTTCTACGTCGCAAAGACCGACCATTATGGTCATGAAGTAATGAGCTTGCGCTTCACCTCATCCCGTAGAGGTACAAATTAAATGTTTATAGAGATTGGTGCTGATTAGATTTGAAGTTGATGATCATCATCATGTCAACATGATAGATAATATTATTTGGAATCACTGTTAGCAGGATACTTGTTGATAGTTACACTTTTCTCTTTTCTATCTTCCTCTGGTCTGTCTTTTTTCTAGTTAGGTCTGCTCCACCACAATTATTTGGAATCACTGGCCCTGTCCGTGAATTCTACTATCCTACTGCTTGATGTGTGTTATCGTCTGTACGAGGCGAGAAGGTTTCTTAGAGCTTGGTGTTATCATGTGGCTGTAGGTGATTCGGGGCTAAGAACTGGGAGCAGTACACCAACCAACGACAAACAAGAGAAACGACTGGGCTACTGCGAGCACACGATCTGTCCAACTACCAGTACTAATTAGTTGTGGTTAATGATGGTCTAAATCTGATAAGAAACCTTTCTTTTGGTCCTCCATCAAAATAATAGCAGCACCATCCGTGGTGAGGAAAACCAGGCTCGTTTCAACAGCTCGTGTTGGATATTCATATTGATGATGTTCGATTGTTATTCAAGATCTTAATGCACCACTTGTACCTCGTGGCCGTGTCGGTGCCACTCCACCTTCTTGGTCTACTTAAATATTTTCATTACCATCAAGCGAAGCGCATGAGAGTTCTGGCAAAAATGAATTAGTAGGTCTGAGCAATCAAGTTCTCAACTCGTGATTGATATGGATCGTGCTTTTCTCGTCAATTCTGATCAGAGGATTGGAATTTGGGTACTAACAAGACGAACGAGGTGGACAACAAGCTCTCCTCGACTGAACACGATCAAGATTGGATTGGCTCTTATCCGAAAGCTCAGATTAATTTCATACCCATCTACTTTGTTCTACTAGAAGAACGGAGTGCTACAACTCGGAGATCTTTTCCTGTGGTGCTGTCTCCCTATCTAGTAGGTACGATGGTACGATCGACCATATATGAGATCATACGCGGTGATTGAAGCATCGCATGCCTAAGAACCTAGGCTTGACCGCTTGGCGTGCGTAGTACAAGGGTACTTACTTTAAAAAATTGTTCGATGGGGATAGATGTAATTGATTCAATTTTGTTGAAACTACAGCGGTCGGGACGTACTAGAAGATGGAGGTTGTAATCAATAGTAGATAATTTGACTTTGATAGAATCATTCTGGGAGGGATGAATTCAACATTCTTCCGAATAATTGCATGCGCCTCCTTCATTAACCGTTTTACATTATATGATTTGGATGTTCTGCACCCAGTCGTGAGCTCGCAGCGAATCTTTACAGCGTCATGGTGGGTGCTGTCCGAAACGGACAGCAGCTGCCAGTCTGTCTGAGTGGCAGCGCAGAGTGTGCTGCCTGGGACGATGAGTTTTTTGAGGGTGCTGAGAAGACTTTGCATTTACTTTTTGAGGAAACAAGGGTCTCTCGTCTGCGAGAACGGTTGAGCCTTACTCGATGGTGCGACCTTCTGAAGGCTGCTGGCGTGGAGGTCTTGTCCTTCTTCCGTGCGAAAGGGTTCGATGCTTACATGCTCTCGGAGTCCAGCCTTTTCGTGTACGACAGTGCAATCATGCTGAAAACGTGCGGGCAGACGACGCCCTTGCTGGTGCTGGACGGGGTACTGAAAGCTGTAGAACAGGCTGTAGCTGTAGCTACAAACACTACAACAACTACAACAGTCGGATCCTCTACTCCCACTTGTGTTTCGGGAAATAAAGATTCTACGGTTCCGCTAGGTCCTGGAGAGGGTACGACAACAAGCAGCTGCCGTACGTCTACTCCTGCAAGCACTCCAAGACGGCGGGCCAATGTGCTTGCTTCATCTACACCCACTTCGACGACGACCGCGACACCTAATATGTTGACTGCAACGACACCTTCGACGACATACGATTTCGCGCCTCACCAACAAGCTACTTCCACCCCTGCCGGAGAACGCACCTCGCTACTCCACCGATTGATCTACAGGCGCACGGAACCGAAACGCCCAGAGCAGCAGCACTATCCTCATAGAAGCTTCGAAGAGGAGATTGAATTCGTCACGAAAGCCCTAGGAGCAACTCCGCATCGAATCACCGTCCATGAAGATAGGGCTGCTGGTGTCGTGCCATCTAGCAGTAGTGGAGGTGGAGGGCAATCTGTGCTCTCTGTTGAGTTCGAGGCTAGTACTAGGGGGCCGCGAGCAGAAGCTCAAGAAGGGGAGGAGCTGTCTAGAAGAAGTTCTGCTTTACTTGAACTTGTCTGTGCACCGCTTTGCAGCCAAAAAGCTTTGCTTTTCTCACAGGAATTCAAGGAGCTAGGGAAATTGGAAATGCAGAAGCTGTTCGACCTGTTGAAAAACGAACTTCCGAATCCGAGTACGACTCAACTCGTCGTGGACGAGTTTTGGTTCGATCCCTTTGGTTACAGTGTGAATATTTGCATTGCCGAGCGCTATTATCTGACAATCCACGTAACGCCGCAGGCGCCATGTTCCTATGCCAGTGTGGAGACTGATTTTCCTCCGTTTTTACGCGATTCCTCTGCGTTGGAGGCTGTTGTGGCGGAGATTTTCGGCTGCAAAGAATTACGCCGCTTGAAGCTGCAGGATGACATCAAGAATGCTGATGTAGTTCAGACAACGAGTACTACAGCGAGTGAAGAATTACAGGTTGATGCTGATGTTGTGGTGGTGTGCTATGATGAAGATCTGCTTCATAGGGACCTCTCGACGACGCCCACGTCTTCACTAGAGATGACACCTAGCGGCTGCAACGCGGGTGACCTCACTTCGCGCACTAGTGCGTCTGACGGAGATGCCCGCAGCTCTCTAGAGTCGTCCTTTCTGGAAGACACCGAGGATACTGCGGCAGAAAGCATCACTGCCTTCAGCGTCATCCCGAATGCTAGCACTACCACATCAATCATGTCCAGTACCATCAAATCTAGTTGCGCTGCAATTTTTTTTCATCAAGATCAGGAACATGGAGTAGTAAAGGAGGACGGGGAACAAAACGAGAAGGTGAATACTATTAGTCCTAAAGTAGATGGCCAGCGCCGGGAACACAATGATTACCATAGTGGACAATCTTCCACCGGCACAGCTCTAGTAGTCGTGAAGGCAAGCGAATTCCAGCGAGCGCGTCACACAATTGTCGTTCCCGAAGGTGTTGACGAGCTACAAAGTATCGCCGCACAAGCACTAAACTCCGTAGAGCGCGAGCTCGACTCGCCATTGTGTCTGGTCGACTTGGACAAGATCGACGAACAATTCCGTATTTGGAATCAGGCTTTTGACGGCCGTGTGGAACCCTTTTACGCCATAAAGTGCAACCCCGACCCAGTGATCATCGAAAGACTGGCGCAACTCGGCGCAAACTTTGATTGCGCGAGTGAGCAGGAGTTGCGCATTGTCCTGGAAGTGCTAGAAAACCTGAATCCAAATTCACCTTCAGCTCGCCGTTATCTTCAACCTGGTGAACTTGAGGAGCAGGCGACGGCCACGACCAGCTGCACTATGACTATTCGATCTCAAGAACTACATGATTGTGAAGATTCTCCAACAGACCACACAGAGTCATCAAAAACAAGAGGTCGTGACCTTGGTTCACGTGTGATTTTTGCGAATCCGTGCAAATTTCGTTCGCACTTTCAGTTCGCCCGTGACCATGGTGTCCGAAAGTTGACGTTTGACAATTTGAATGAACTAGAGAAGACGAAAGAGATCTTCCCCTCTGCAGAGTTAGTCTTGCGGATTCGAGTGGATGATAGTCAAGCACAGTGCCCTATGTCGATGAAATTTGGTGCGGCCGAACCTAGTTGGCGGTCCTTGCTCGAGAAAGCGAAGGAGTTGGAACTCAACCTCAAAGGCATATCTTTTCACGTAGGCAGTGGATGCACGACACCAGGCTCTTTCAAAAAAGCACTCACAGACGCAGCGAACCTGTTTCAGCTAGTCGAGGAGGAATACAGGTATTTTCTTAAGAACTACTCATAATTAACTTTTTGTTGACTTCTATCGTGATGCTGACGCAGATGCCATGAAGACTTCATCGTCACGCTTTTTTTGCATAATAGATTCCCATCGATGAAGATTGCGTAGATTGTTGAAAAACATTTTTTATTCTTGCTACTCTTTATTCAGCTCGGCATTCCCTTGCATGGATTTGCTGGATATCGGTGGTGGCTTTCCCGGTGATGCGGGGACGCAGCATTTTGCATCAATGGTCCGCGAAATCTTGCAGGAGTTGGACGCCCAGGTCGTTTTTCGCGGTAAGCGCGTGATTGCTGAACCCGGCAGATTCTTTGCGCATCAGTGCACTTCTCTCTTGACGAAAATCTATTCGGTCACGGAGTTGCCCCAACAACAAATGCGTACTAGCATTAGTACATCATCGCCATCGCCTAAAGAAGGAGAACAAGCAGGAGATCATGAGGTAAGAGAACAAATTACAACAACGAGGACATCTTCATCAAAAACCGAAGACAGCACCACATCAAGCACAACTTCGAACAACATGTCGCTGCAAGTGCAAAGTAACAAGAAGATGTTTCGTTATTTCCTTTCAGACGGTGTGTATGGAAGTTTCAACAACCTCGTGTACGACCATGCGAAGCCAGAAATTCCGATACCACTCCGAGCACAGTCTATGATTGATAACCAAGAGGATCAGGAACTGGACAACCACCTAGAAGTCCCAGAAGATCATGGATCACAGCAGTTACAACCTTCTTTGCTTTTTGGCCCAACTTGTGACGGATTTGACTTGATCACGCAATTGGATTTGCCGGAGCTACGAGAGAACGACTGGTTATTGTGGAAGTGCATGGGCGCATACACGCAAGCTGCTGCGAGTCGATTCAATGGGATGCCGCTTCCTCGAAAATATTACTTCAGGCGAATGCCGCGAAGCACAAGCACCACAAAGGAAGGATGAGTCTCAAGTTTGGAGTCCCCTATGTCGAGCCTTAAAACGAGAACAAGTTTCAAAATAATTTGATGAATTGTACGAGCACGAGCTCTCTATCTCGTCTAAAAATCCCCTTCCACAATTTCCCCCCTTATTTCCTTCTTAATTTGCTTCTCCCCGTCCCCAACAGCAACGAAACCCTTCGGGGCATCAAGAGAAGTACTTAGTCTTAGACCAATAAATAGAATCTTGATTTAGACGTCGGTGTAGAACATGATGTTGTACCAGGACGACACCGCAGATGAACAGGAGACTTGAGCCCGTTTTCCTTACACCTCTACTGCGATACCATGAAAAATGACGACAAGAACCCGCACATCTTCTTCAACCACTTCTACTCTGGGAACTCGCCGTGTGCAACTACATCTGGAAAATGCTCGACACATAGAAAGATGCTTGTCTTCATAAAACCTGATCGAAATAGAATTCCGTGATAAAGATAAAAGTTGAAAAGGTGGACAAGAAGACAACAAGAGCTCAGTGATTTTGCGCGGCGCCACCGCAAGCATACCATTTTTAGATTACATATTTATTTAGAGACATTTAGGTTGTCAGTCCCGCAATCGCAATGAGTGTAGTAGAAAAACTTTGAGTTTCCTCAAGAACTCTTTTTACGTCTCTTTCTTTGTTTCTTCTATTCCTATTTAATCGGTTCTTTCTCCTAGACAGTGCCCGCATTGACATCGCAAGGGCAAGATGAACATGATGAGTATCTGCTTACATTACCTTTGCACTGTCAGCGTGATTCATTTCGAAGCTTTCTGATCAGTCATTGTCATTCAGACAAGGAGTAAAACACATATAAAAAAGTAAAAAAGGTTGAGACTTAGATGGTACTTCTATCTACTTGCATAGGCTCAGGTTGTGCATTATGAGATGACCACCCAGGCGACCGCGACCCTGATTAGACGAATCATGATTCTTCACATGATGTAGTCGATCATGATATACTCATGAACTTCAACGAAATGTGAGTGGTTCCCGCACGATGGTTGCAGCATTTTGGTTGCTGTAGTGAGATGACAAAAATTAAGAACACGACTGTCGTGGTCCATCGTCGTATGATTTTCTTCTTTGGTTTCGAATTCGTCCTTGATGACTATTAGGTACAAAAACTAGAACATTTATCGACTGCTGCTGGCCTCGCTGTCGGTTGGAGGGGCAGAAGATGCAAAACTACTTATAACAAAGTAGAGCATAATTGATTTTTCTTGTTCTCGTCATGTGTTCTGCTTCTACCCTAGTCCAAGTGCTGCATTAGGGTGCACTGAATCTCTAATGAGGAAATCGTGTCCGCGATTTTTTCATCGGTTTGGAAACAATGTAAAAAGGGAGCAAAGGGACGCAGCACTCTTTCCGAACAGGACTACGTGCTAATATCTAGTGCTATGTATGGACGAAGAGTCCTGTTCCGCCACGTCTCTTCACGCTCCTCGCTTGTTGCCACGCAAAGTAGACACCGCTACAACGATAACGAACATCAAGACCTTGCTTCTAGTTCTACTAGTCATTTTGCACTACATTGGCATTGGCTCTAAGTCTTCTAAATTGAGAAATTGTTAACCATTTTGTATCCATCTTCCACTTGTTCCTCTTCGTGCAACAACATCTTCTGCGATTAAGTTCATCAAGCTATAACCCTAATCGAAAAATCATGGCTATCGGAACTGGCCCTTCAACCGCTGCAACTAGTGGCACTAAAGAGCCGTCGAAGGGTGGTCTTTTTGCGCGATTTCGGAATCCCTTTGGCCGTTCTCGCAGAAAAATACGGTCAACATCAAGGCCCGATGCTGCACCTAAACCAGGAGGTGACAATCCAGCAGGCGCAAACACTTCTGGAGGACATAATTCTGGCGATTCCTCTAATTCAGGTGGAAGTGGAGGTGCTTTCAAAGGAGATCAACAGAGGAACAAAGTACCTACTGCGTGTTCGACGTCAAGTAATATCATAGTGATCGATGACCCGGCTCTCAGAGCACGTTTGGATCGAGTCCTTGCTCTGTTGGAGAAACAATAGTAAAAAGAAAGTACGCCGTATCCGTAATAGAAAGTACTAGACCACTACGCCATCCACAGTCGTCTCCTTTGCGAATCTAGTGGTTTTCCATGGATAGCACTACGATAACTGATTTTTTCCGTGATTTTTATAGCTTGAGGTATGTGCATAATGCATAGTGCATTGCAACGTGTCGAATAGTTGTTGTTCGTAAAAATTCCGTGGCTTCATCTTGTGAGGGTGAGGGTAAGGGTGTCAAGAGGATTGAGAAGTGCTCGCAAAAAAACGAATACTTTTGCTGGATGACCCACAGATGACGAGTCGACTCATAATCTGTCTGGCACCCCATAATATCGGACAGCTGTCGTTTTTTTGTCGCATTCCCCACTCCTTGGTCTCGCAAAGCCATTCCCAACTCGTCCCTTTCCCAGTCGGAGCCCGAGCAAATATCTTCAAATTCGAAGAATATTTATGGCTTGCGTTTTGTTTCTTTCTCTCTGCAACTGTGTCAGCGGGACCGTGATGAATTTGAAAGGGAACTTCAATTTTGCTAGCCTAGTGTAGATAGTCGTCTAAAATCATATGAGCATCATGTCGACTTCGACATACAACGAAGTGCAAGTGCATGCGCATGGGTATGAATTAGCAAATTCGTATTCTCTACTTTGTTAATAATGTAGTTGTCCAATGAGTATGCAGATGTAGAAGTTGAAGTTTAGTTAGTGCAACAAAGTAGAAGTGGATCCGATGAAGGAGCAGGAATGATTGAAGATCTTCTGGCATCATGATGACTGAATCATTGAGATTGATTTCATTGAGATTGATTTTAGAGCACATCACTAAGTAGAACTAGAAATTATCCATGGTGGAGGAGGGTTGAAAGTGTGTAGTATAAGTTGTGGTCGTGGGTTGTTTCCATGTTATAGAATGTGTCGACTCGGTAGCCTCCTTTCAGCTTTCCTTGTCCTTAGGATTCTTTACTCCGACGGCGTGCTGGTTGTCAATGCGCAAATCACGAAGCCTCCGACGACATCGACCCTCGCTTTGTCAAACGGGTTCACGATCTACCACCCGATCGTGGTAACGAATAAAACTCGGTGTTGGCCGCTGAAGCCGGAGCTCTGTCCAGCCTACAAGAAGGCGAATCCGTGGAATTATGCCGAGTGGTTGAACCAGACCGAGTGGGGACCACGACGGCCTCCAGTGAACACCTCTGTAGTGCATCGGCGGCTCAGTCAAGGTTGCATCCCGGGTCTCACGGGATTGCAGGTGCAGTTTCCGTTGCAGCAAAAGAACGGGAACTACGAACTGTATTGGGGAGATGGACGCCTTTTTTTGCCGTTTCCGCAAGACACGGCACCGGTGCCGGGGCTAGGTTTGAACTCGCACCCACTGACAGCGTGCAAACCAGAATTGCCGATGGCAATACGCGAAATCGATCCGAATCCGCAAGAAATCATCGCACAAAACCTTCCCTCCTTCGACATCGGACCTATGCACTTCTGCACACATGAGAAAGTGCTTACTTCTTAAGTTAGTTGTACCTGATTTCTACGTATCTGTCAATACTACTCGTCTATAATTGTGATGGTAATGACAGAGGGCGGCGTCTCGTCCTCCTGACTTTCATAGCTCTCTTTCTTTAGCAATAATCTATAGATACTACATATACATTCACTAGAATAACTGTTCATCTACATCGAGATAGATGCTCCCAGCACGACACGTTTGATCTTCCTTCTTATCACTCCTCCAAGAACCAACCCCGTCTACCACAATTAGGCAAAGCAGCAATGTTGTTGGATGGAGTGTGGATATTACATCATGGATGCGCGCATCGTGGATCGAGATGGGATGACGCAACCCAACGGACCCATTTGCTGGTTTGCGTTGGAGCATGGGGAGCTCCCCATTCTGACGGATCCAGACCAACGCATTGACCCCGATTACAGTGTGTGGAGGGTACAACGGCAATCCGAAAAAGAGCGAGAAGACCAAATCAACGAAGAAGCACTAAATCCGAGCGGTATCTATAAAAATGATACAACATACATCTTTGAGTTGTTTAACATCATCTCCATTATAACGCAACCGACAACGAGGACTGGAGTAATTTTTTCAACAACATCAATCAATTTCAAGAGCAATGATCATTATGATGCAGGAGTAATTGATGAACGTAGTTTTTTGCAGTCATGACCTTGTACAACTAACTTCAGCAATTCCGCAAGCCTATTCTAAGCTTGTAACATGTGTAATGCTTTCATTCGGCGTCCCAGGTATGCTTTCATTCGGCGGTATTACGCAGGACACAATGCAGTTCATTGATTTGGAGAGGGATTACCCAAAACAGCGGATGTTCGCAGGAATTTCCAAGACCGTGAATCCATGCGCGTTTTGCCATACACGTGGCGACTACGATGCCGAAAATAAACTCATGAGCGTGCAGGTATGTATCATAGCTACAAAAATCTTAGAACAACAGTTCCAGGAGCACCAGTAGTTCCTGATTGTTGTCGATCAGTCTATGTGAAAGTGAAGAGTGTTGTGATCATATGCATCTTTAGCTTATCTATGCGGCGCTTCCGATGCAAGGGCAGCGCGTGATTTTGACTTGCTTTTAGGTGATATACGAGCCACATGTGATTCAACCGCTATTGCAACTTGGAGGATTTCCTACATTCGATCACTGGGTGGCCTCGGGAAACAGAAGCGGGGGATGGCTTTACGACTTTTTCGAATTGCCGATTTTGACAGACGACGAAATCAAAAATCTCACAAATCGGGATGCTGTTCTCGCGACGCAGATCCAGTACAACAACATGCAGAGAAGCGGTACAATTACTACTCTTGACTGTTATTTTAGTTTTTTCTCTTGTTTGCTAGGTAGATACTTACTGGAAATAGCAAAATGCGAGATCCTCACCCTTTTTTTTTGTCAAGAAGACTAACGTCGTCATTCACATTCTATAATTATTGCTTTCCTCGATAAAATCTCAGGTCTACGCCTCTACGTGAAAGCCGATAATTACTTTGTAGAGTCCCGGTTTCATGAGGATGAAAGTTACTGGCCTGAGTATCCTTTCTTCCAGCCAGGTGGTAAGAACTGGAACTGCTACCCTGGTCGGTCGGTACCCGTCCCAGACCTAATTCCGTGGGCCCGTCCAAGTGCTGCCTCACGAGGTTCCAGTCCGGGTCTGTTTCGCCTTATCGTGGCGCTGTGTCTGTATGTTGTGCTTCAGTGGAGGTTTTGGGGTACGTCGCATGCAGCTGCTGGAACCACTAGAAGTAGGGCCGCGAATCTGGCGTCAACGCTTACCCTTCCTTCGTGGAATAAGATAAGCAGTGAGCAGTCCACGTATGGTGATGCTGTGCCAGCACCACAAAAGCAGCAACTACAGACTGCAGATGCACCAAAAATAAGTTCGTCGCGACGATCTGTCAGCCTCAGCTTATCGTCTAGCTCTCCTAGTTGTGATGTAGAAGATCTGCTTCCGCCTGTAGTTGAGAAGACTACACGTCAAAAGCACTCCTGCACCATCGTAGACCCAGGCCTTCCACTGGATGCCCACCAAAGGCAGAACCAGGACCACACGGAGCAAAAAAGGAATGAAGGTGGTCCTCGTGTTGAACATGAAATACGACAAGGGGACGTAAAAACAACAACGAGCCTCACTGCGTCCTCGTCATCGTGTCCACCTTCACGATCACGTCTTTCCGATTCCATATCAAGGAACAGTTTTCCAACGACAGTCACGAGCGTCGACGACGTCGAGCATGTAGTTCGGAGACGACGGCGGAAAAGGACTGGAATCGAGGAGGACATAAGACGAACCATAACCAAGACATGGGATGATAAGACTCGGAGACGGTCCGCAAAGTCGAGATATGGGCGCCATCATGAGCAGCAACAAAGTAGATGGCAACCTTGGCAGCACACTGACCGAGACGTGACCTAAATCGATGCAGATGCACTGCGAGTTTCTCCTCCACTGACAACCAACAGATCAACCCTAGTGCTAGCACACACAGTACACATATAACGGCGCCCTGGACAACATCTTCTTTCCTCTTATCTGACGAACTTGCGTATCCCGCGGACATCCAATGAATAGGAAACAAATCCTTGAAAGGAGTCCTTTCAATATTCGGGGGCTTCTCCACTATCATCATGTAGCAGGCCACGTATCAGAGGTGCTGTTCGTCTTGTTTTGTTTTTCGAACGCTTTAACTTTGACGAGTTGAAAGCCACAAGACATGCGCTTCCCTTTCTGGTGGCGTTTCAAATTTATCGATTTGAGAAAGTCTATCAAACATAAACGAAATGTTGATGGAAGTTTCCAAGTCTCAGTTGTAGTACAAGCCTTGGGCTGAAAACTGAAACGAAAATACGATGGAGAAGGTAGGAAGAAAATAAAGGAGGACGAGAGACTCAGCATACTTACAATGCTTCGTTCTTATTTCGCCTAGTACTAGTTCCACTAGTCTAGCGGCCTCCTCATAGTTTTTGTGATTGTGGAATTCTCATTCTCAACAGAGTGATAGATGATACTAGGTAGATGTGCATGGTAGAAGATAAATGACTGATCTTTTTAGTTGATTGAGTAGATGCTTTATCGAAGATGGCGAAGCTGTTGGACTTGTGTGCTGAGGACAGACATCGAGTGGGCAATCTGATTCGAGCAGTTTCCGTCGAGCGCAACAAGCGGACAGAGCTTTCAGAACAAGTCGGAGATCTCAAATCTAAGTGTGCGAAGAGTCTGCAGCTCTTGCGTCGATACCAGAAAGCATTCATCCAAAGGGAATGGGAGGAGAAATCGAAAAGTGCACATGGTCCTCGTGGAGACGAAGATGCCCTCGATGGCTCGCAGTGGCAGTCGCAAGACGATACTAAAACAGAGAAGCCGAGAGGCACAGTCACGTTTGTCGAGGGAGATCAGGAAAATCCGAACGAAAAGATCGCTGCACGATCGAGCAGTAGAAGAAAACGAGAAGTAGACAAGGCCGCCTCTTCTCCTGCGCCGGACACGCGGGAGCATGGCAGCAGCATACAAAGGGAGGGTAGAAGCAGTCCTTGGCGGAACGTCTTCACAACTTCTCAGAATGATGATGTCGTTGTAGATGTAGAAAAGAACTCACTCGAAAAACGTGGCTCAAGATCTTCCACTTGTACTAGCGCTGAATCTACTTCGTCTTCGTCATCTTCCACGCGAGGTGCGTCCAATGGTCGAAAGCCAAGTGCTAGCGGCGGCAGGCCCGCAATCGTGCGAAAGGTACGACATGAGGCAATCGCATTAGCGGAGAAACGACGTGGAGCCCATAGAAGGCATGGCACTAGGAGTGCCGAAAATGCTTTTCAAGTAGATCATGAACGAGAACGACAAGTCGAAGGGGGTGGCCGCGGAAACAGCAATCAGGATGAGCGACGAGGCCGACGGCGAAGCACGACTGGAGATTCCCAACTAGACAAGTCTGTTGGAGGTCGTTTTTTTCAGGATACGCTAGTAGCACGATCAACGCTACGACCAGCCCAATTGGCTCTACTACGTCGGTTCATGAATCGTGGTTCACCGGATGCGGACGCGGTTGAGACCACGAGTGATAGAAGCAGAAAGAATGCCGAACAAGAATCATGTCGAGCGCGAAGAAGATCAAGGTCATGTGCAAGTCGTGAATCCCTGACGCGTTCCGTTTTCCATTCATCTTCAGGAAGTGAGTCTTCCCGTTCACGCAGTTCGTGTTCGTCCGAGGATGTCGGTGGAGGTCATTCTAATGCAGCAAATACGAATGCTGCATCGTCTTTGTCGAAGCGTTTTCTAACGGCTGCGAAGATTAGCAGCATCTCGATCGCACCATCCGGTAAATGCAGATCGTTGAGCAAAAAACAGAACGGGCGAAAAAAATCTTCATCAAGAGGACGTCCTCAAGGGCCACCTAATGAGAATAAAGGCGCCGTAGCGCAAAATTCCGTGAAAGCCTTGACATCTGGTGGTATCTCGCATAATAATGACAGTCCGGTCGTTGTTTCCTTACCGGAACCAGATCTACCGACTTACTTTGACGACCCTCCGACTTGCAAAAACAAACTTCAGGCTCTTCAGAGTCCTTCAACTACATCTTCATCATCGAGAAAAATTGTGCCTGCAGCTGCATCTGCATCAAGCTCAATGACTTCGACGCTTACAGGCACAGGCGACAAGAGGGATGTCAGAGTAGGCCAACCCGACCATTTTACATCCCTCGGAAACGGTTTCTACGACTACTCGATGTTTGATGTCATAGATGCGCTTGAGAAGGAGGAGCACGTCGTGCAGGCACCGCCACCTGCAAGAAATCGTAATCGTCCCGCAGGACCTGCTATTAACAACCTCGTAACATCAGATTCAGGACAAGATCAACTTTATTCTTCAAAAGCTGCCAGATCTCCAATTCTTGGTACAACAGGAACAGGCGGAAGCAGTGCTAGTAATACTACGACTCTAGTACCACCAGCACCAAGTAGAAGAGAAGAACAAAGAAGCGCTTTAAGTGGTGCTTTCCAGAAGCATGGTGAAGACCCGACTACACCAGAGAAACAACACCATGATCATACGGAAGAGTCGATGCCGATCATTAATGCCGAGATGTTAAGGGCGTGCTTGGATAGTCGCGAGTTTTTGGCCACCAAACTTGGGAGCACAGGAGTCTTGTCGAACTATGCACCGACTTGGGTAACTGCAGCAGACGAACACGAAGCTCTAGAGGTCGTAGAGGAGGAGCAGAAAATGGCGCAAAAAATGGAAAGACGTCAAAACCAACAACAAGGAGTAGTGAAAAGCAAAGCAGGACCGAGCGCTTCCTCTTCATCTCAACATGTGAATAGAAACACGAACACCTCAGCATTGACTTCGGCTTCGACAAAGCATATTAGACGAGGGCCTTCGAGAGTTACGACAGGATCTGCAAGAGCGAGCAAAAAGAATACTGCTGGACGACACGGCGCACCAGCTCCTCCAGTTTATACGAATCCAACTTCAACGACGAAACGAACGCAAAACGAATCTTCTGAAAAGTCGTCGAACCCTGGCCCCAGCTTACGGAAAGCGTATGGCACTCAGGTTTCGCGAGGAAGGCATGCTGTTCCTGTCCCTACGCGCGTAGTACCCGAAACTGCAACAGTGGTGCCTGCTGTGGCTCCGGCGCATACCTTTAATTCCGCATCTCGTTACAACGATGGAGGCCCTGGCAAGGCGTCACTCACGAGAAAGGTACCGGCCGGCTTATCTTCTGCTCATCGAGAGGAAATAGCCAAAAAATGCGACCTTGCAGGTTCGTTCTCAAAAACATCAGCAGTTCATCGACCTAGGACTGTTACTGATCATCATTTTCATATTAACTACCCGCATACACCAACAACAACAAGTGGCCGTTATCAAGGTCGGGAGAGTCTCCTGAGGAGCAGCCTCTCAAATAATAACAATCGTTGGCCGTCATCCTCATCTCATGATAGAAATATCGAGCAAGAAGAAGATTTCGAGTTTCACATCGACAAGAACTGTGAGGATTTGGAGGGTGAAGATTACGGTGACTGCGGCGACCGCTTTGAGTCTTCACCATACCCTTTCGGTCTCGGCTACTCGAACTCGACTTCTGCCATGTGTGCCGATCCTTTCATGAAAGGTCCTACGGGGGTCTACAACAAATGTAGTGGAGGCATGATGAACAACCGGCAGAGCAAGCATCATGACCACATGAATGAACAACATGCTTCTTCCGCTGCATTTCCTGGTTCTAGTGTTTTTCATGGAGCTGATCAGACAGGAGTACCGCAGAAATACGATTTGTACACTACTTCAATTCGCAACGGCATCCACAGATACAGACGCACCACGACTGCAGTAGGGCCAACTACCGCGGGAGGGGGTGTGACAGCGATGGATATCGAGGATGACGTCGGAGAACTTATCGATTTGATCAATTAAACAAAATAAGACTACATTCTTAATCCTGATCTTGCCGCCAACATAACATTACACTCTGTTCTTGTTGATGATATTTCTTCAACACCACCGCGTAGTTGTACAAAAATTCAGGCCTTCGCCTTTGATGACGGCTACTGCATCAGCTACTGCGTGATGGTGTGTTTGACGTCATGTCTGCAAAGCCTGAGGACAATTAGATGGAGAGTAGTAAGTTCGTATGCAAACTGTTGCAGCCCCCCCGCCCAAGGTCGACAGACGAGATCAGACATGTATGGAAGAGTCAAGAGAGGAGCACCACAATATTCATCGAATTGTTAATAGTGAGAGATACTAATACCACCACTCTATCTTCAGCCAACAACTACAACGTTTTCAAGTGCTTGATAGCGCTCCTCGTCGCTTCTCCCGGCAGGAAAGAACAAGATGAGGATACCAGACTCATCAAGGAGCCTGCTCGTTCGTTGCGTCCTTTTTTGTCCGTCAATATTGAGCTGCCTCTTTGCCTCGATAAGACAGACTTCGCCAATCTCTTCCTGTCCGTCATCTCTTGGCCCCGGTGCTGGGCCTATAGTGTTGGCACTTGCAGATGACACTCCCGCGACCGGACGAGTCCAGCTTCCTGAGCATTTCGAGTATTCCACCGGGGACCTAAGCCCGGATCTCATAGGTGGGAAGCCTTTGAGACCGCGAAACATCATGAACATGATTCCAAAGAAGATGGGTGTTCCTCTTGCGTTCGGATGGCAGGCAGGTTTCGATGTGGATTTTCCGAATCGACGTACTACACTAGTGACTCTGTTCATTCTTCTCGCCGAATTCGAAGTTTAGCTTGCCCTTATCTTTTTGCCGTTACTGATTGCAGGTTATTTGTTCACCATCTCCCTCCTCTTCTTCTGCATCTTCACGTAGTAACATTTGTTATGTCCTCACTCAGCCTCCGCCACCTCTCTCACTACAGCACAAGTGGTTTATCATCCGTGCGTTCACCTAGGAACATGCTTAGAGAAGGAGCCATGGTCAGCAGAGCTGAAACCCTTCAAACGATCCGCATACTCACGTCCTGTTCGGTAGCATGCTATGTATAGAAGATGGCAGATCATAACCATGCTTATTCTGGGCACGAAATTCTTCAATGGAGCATGATATTGAATGAAGATAGCTGAGAAAATCAATGGAACATGCTGCAACATTCTTCAAGATACATTGATATCTTCAATTGGAACATGAAGACGCATATCTTTCGCAATAATCGCTATCGCCGCTACGAAATATTAGATACTTTTCTTCGGCGATCAGATTTTGTTGATCACTAAACGATCACTTGCGCTTCGACGCCCGAGCTCTCCGAGAATATAAGCATTTTATCGTGTTTTCCTTGTCCACTGGTGTCGCGGATGAATAGGTTTTAAACAGTACAACGATGTTGTTCTTCATTTTTTTTGGTGGATCTTTTGTTACCTTTCTTCTGGAGCAGTAGTTGGTCCCCGGTCATCTTATTTCACTTTCCCCGCATATTTTTTCAATGTAATGACTCCGTTCGCAGGACGTATGAAAATGAAGACTCCCACCCCCTATCCCCCACTAGAATTATAGTTCTTCCGCCGTATCTTCTAGGCCTCAAGTGTGAGTAGTTGCGCAACATCAAATAAAATGACGAAAAAGCAAGAAAGGAAACACGCGTTACTAATAAGTGAGATCATGACTAAAAAAGACCAACAAGGTTGTAGGACTGTTTCATCAGGAACAAGTTCGGAAAGTGTCAAGAATGGTGGTGCCACTGCTACAACCTGGGGCTCGACCTCTAGGAACTCCGATAACGCTGGAGGGCCGAAGCCGAACGGTACAAGCAATAGCTCGAGCACCACAACGAAAGAGATCGCGATCAAGGACGATGGGAGAAGGAGCAACAATGAAGACACGAATGACTCGCCTAAGCGATTTCCCGTTAACTCTGAACCTGGAGCTAGGGCCTCGAACAAAAATGCAGGTTCTTTTATCACGTGGTCGCAACCGTTCGTATTATTGGAGAAACCCCAGTTCTTGGTTATCCATAAGCCAGCATACTGGACCTGCGAACTGGTTTTCGATAACAAGCATAAGACAGAGACCAAGAGCACCTCCTCTGGTGATGTCCTCGTCAACAGCAAAAACAAGAGTGCAGCAGGAGGAGCTTCTGCTGGAGTCGTACGGTCGCTTGCAAACTGGTTACAAGACCGGAAAGATTCGCTTAGCATCGAAGAAGCGCTCTTCCGCATTGAGAACAATCCAGCACTTAGTGGTGACACAGGATTCGGGCCGCTGTGCCACCGACTAGACAGGGAAACGTCAGGGCCTATGCTCGTTGGCAAAACTGTTCGGGCAAGAAAGCTGATCCGAGAAGAATTTCATAGGCAGCGCGTGTCGAAATGCTACATATGCCTAGTACACGGCAAACTGGGTGATCTCGGTGGGATGTTCTCAACACATGACGAACCTTCGTCTTCCAATGCGCGGTCGAGGGTGCTCCACGATGGAGACGAACATCACATCGCTGAAGACAGAGCTGCAGCCACGAATATTAAAGAAAGTCCTTCGGACCACGATGATATCTTCGACACGACACGAGCGTCGCATTTTCAAGTGGTTAATGATCAAAAAAATAAGAAGAAGGGCGTGACTAAATTTGTGCTCGGCTCAGCCGCTTCAACTTCGACTTCCTCGACGTCAATATCAAAAAAATCGTCCGTTGTCGCAAAGCACTCGCCTCAGCAACATGGTAGTGCTTCTACCACGGCAGCACCTGTTGCGGAGAACACACGTCATGGTCAGGGCTCACGACACCTGCTGCAAGGTTCCCTCACGTTTCCGATTCGCACCGTAAGAAGTGCCACAACAACGCGGAGCGAAGTCTCTAATGCAAAAGGTGCAGAACCTGCTAGAACAGACTATCAAGTTCTTGCGTGGTACAGGAGAAAGAAAGCTCGTTTTGCAGGGTTCAGAAACGATAAAGAGCAAAATCGTCGAGATGGAACGATAGGCGCTCTATCTAGTATAGCTGAAGTTGAGCAAGGCAATGGGCAAGAACAAGATGATACAACCGTGGTTGTGGGCCATCAGGATGGCCCGTCGTCTTCATCAGATCTTAGGCACGACAGTGATGAATACTTTTCTCTCGTTGCGTGCCGGATTCACAGTGGCCGCACGCATCAGATCCGTGTGCACATGCAGCATATTGGGCATCCGCTAGTTCAAGACGACAAGTACAAACTACTGGCGTCTTCGTCTTCAGAAGGTAACAGGGATAATGATGATGATGATGATGATGATGCAGCAATATTTGCCAAGCAGCTAGCCACTGGAGGGTCTGGCACCAGTGTGGCCTTTAATACTGCTGCTGCTGCTCCTGCTGCTACTTCAAGATCAAATCCATCTGGTGCTGCGCGGTCGCTCTGTCCTCGCTTGTTCTTGCATTCGTACATGTTGGGCTTCAAATTTGCTGGTGCGAATAACAACGTGGGTAGAGGACTTCAACAGGACCGATCCAATTACTACGAAGTTCTTGCTGTCTTGCCTGGGGACCTTAAAAAATGCCTGTCTCAGTTGCAATTAGTGAATGTTGCTGCGAGTTCTATAGCACAGTTTGACGGGGTGCGCCGTGTGGACTGGCAGCCCGAACTGATTGACGACATACCATACTATCAATTGCAACTCGCGGTCAGCGAGCTAGTGCGAGAAAAAGGGCGAACGTCAGCAAGCGAAGTTCTGCGTCTCGCTGAGCTGAATGGCGTGCTTCATGGTGAGATCGCTAGGGCGTTCAATTATCCCGACCTGAAACAGGGAGAACAGGAACCTAAAATCGACCTGGCTTTGCTAAATCAATGGACAGCCTTCGATGCTGTGCGCTTACCAAGAAAGAACGGACAGAACCGAAGCAGCGGTGTTCTTGACGGGACACGTACTACTAGCAACACAAATATTATCATGGGCGGCCACGACGAGACTACGACGAGTCGAGATGCTGATCTAGAACTTGGTATTGTGTTTGCCGCTTCACGAAGCGAGTTGGCTGATGTACGTCGACGCAAACAGGAGGCCGTAGAAAGGGAAGACTATGCTCTTGCGGCTACTCTAAAGGCTTTGGAGCAGAGTTTGATGGGCACGGCTGCAGAGAGAACTATTCTGGCAGGAATGAACTCTTTAGAACAAGAACAAGAGGACAGCAACAAAAGACCAGTTTCGAGTACGGTAGTCGCTAGCGCGCCGGCGCCTTTTCAAGTAAATAAAACGAATGAGACCTCCTCGTCCACCTCCTCCACCCAGCCTAGTACAAGTGGAAGCTCCTTTAGGACAGTCGTAGATGTTATTAAGGAAAGCGCAGACAGTGACAGCCATGACGTGGTCATAGCATCCATGACCAAAACCGTTGTAGGGGATGCGAAAAAGGGTCCGCCTCGCGGTAACGACGCTCCTAATGCGAAAGACTTAGAGGCGTTCCCGACACTTGGCTCGACTCTGAGTGCTAAGCCTCCGGCCAAAGCGAATACTAAAAGGGCTCCACCTAAACGTGATGGAATCAAGGACCAAGGAAATCCATCTGCGTCTTCCTCCTCAGCCTCACGACCTGATACTATTGCTAAACAAGGATGGTGGGGTCCAGCTCCAGAGCAACAACCTTCCAGTTTCTCTCTAGCCAACTCTCATCAAGGAAATTTCAAGGCTTTAACTCTAGAACCGACGCCCGCCGAGACAGTCCTGGGTAAGCAAAGTGGTCAAAGTAAGAGAGCAGGAAGTGGCCTGGCTGCAGTGTCAAGCAAAACCGCAGGCAAGCCCAATAAGAAATCGAACTCGTTGAATATGACTGCAGGGACGACGAGTGCGAAGCGAGATGATCAAGGAGAGAAACCTGTTCGTTACACTAGTTCTGGTCCGCTGTCGTCAGGAGCAGCAGACGACTTGGACTTGCGCGCCGACCCCAGCATCAAAACAACAGATGATGATAAGAAAGCCAGCGAAATAACCCAAGGATCCACGCTGAAACCCATGTTGAACTATATTAGTACAAGCTATAGCACTGGTGCGGAGGCTGGTATTGTTCCACTTCGACCTTCATCTTCGATCGGCGTTCGCCCTCCGAACTCTAGTAGCGCGACTACTACAAGTGCAACGGGAGATCCTGAAAGTATATTTCCGAAGCGAGTCCTTGTTTCACAAATGCCACGGGGCGGACGTCGTGCATTCATGAATTACGAAAGACAGGCCACAACCTTTTCACCGACCGAACGAAAAAACAAACCTGCTGCTGTGGAGCTGGTTCCGGGGAGTGCCAGCAGTGGCATCAAGAAAAATAATGAGCAATTGGAGGGGTTTCCTGTTCCTCCTCGTCCTGATATTAATGTAGACGCTAATGTACCAGAACAAAATCATGAAGACGGCGGGAAGAATGCATGCGCTTCAACCAGTCAGCAGCAAAGTAGGCAAGTGAAACCTGCTTCCAAAAATAGCGGCGGGCGTTATCTACCAGCGAAAAGAAGATCTGTGGCAGAATGGTGCGACCTTTTTTCGGAACGGATTCATCAAGAGCATCTCGATAGCGCTGAAGTACCCGGCGAGAAAGTAGAACATGCAGAACTGGAACACCAGCATGGCAGAAATGGAAAATCGTCTACCTCTACCTCTAGATCAAGTAATAACGTAAGCCTAGAGAAGCTATGTGAATTGGTTCCAGAGTTTGGAAAGCAGATGCAGAGTCCAGGACCACTGGAGTTGCAGGCGCTTATACGCACATTTTTGAACTCGCAGAAGTCTCGATTTAGAGTCGTGACAGTGAATAATACCACGAGTACAACTCAGGTACAGGTGGCTGGAGCAGGTCCGGCAGGGCTAGGTCAAGCTTCAAGCGGTGCTGCTCGGGAAGCATCAAAACAATACTTTGTTTCTCTCATCTTACCCAAAAGTGCGAGCACAGCGATGGAAGGTGCTGGAGACAGTAAGAATAAAAATGCAAGGTGAGACTGAGAGTGAGACTTGCTTTACTGGAGGCCGTGACGCTACCGGCACCGTTCTTTCAACTTGATATATTATAAGATTGATAATATTTTCTACAGAAATCGAATCCCATCAACCAATTTTTTGTCTAATCTCCACATGGTGCGTGCACGCCTACACGCGTACCAGCCTCACTCTTTCCCACGAGACCACACCAGATTCTTATCAATCTGACTTCGCAACTGCAGCCATGGACAGGATCATGTGGTTCGGTGAACGTGTTCGTGCACTTACTTGTAGAACCGCCGTTCGGGTTTGGTCCTTGCTCTCCGCCGTATTTTTTATCTTTCGACTTCAATTTTGTTGCTTTCTTCTAAAAGTAAAACGCGAAACTTAGTATTTATTCTTGAAAGATGAAGATACTATTGACAGTTAAAAACGAGTGGATACCGATACGGAAGATCAGGGAGACTGACCATGACCAACCCCAAAACAGCGAGCATCTGAAAACGCAGCTGAGACCTAGTCCACTAGAAGCTTTTACCGCGGTAATTGCCACCTATGGAATTTAGGCTACACCACAAGCTCAAGCTCCAAGATACATTGTGATGAAGATTGTAATGACCGTGGTTAAACAATACTAGTAGACGAACAAGCATCAATAAGAACACCATCTATAGAAGATACTACAGAGTCTTCTCCTTTGCGGGAAGATGTTGCTGTTGACCAAGATAAGCTGCTGAGTATACGACCGAGAGTGAGAGAATGTGAATGAGATGAACATGATTCAGACAACGTATCAGTAATAATTAAAGAACAGCATCGCCTTCCATATTAATGAGAATCATGAATCTCTCTGTTGTCCTGTCAATCTGTTTGCTGTTGCTATGGGGCTACGCGCTGGTCGCCGAACAGTTTCAGGGTGTGAACCCGGTTCTGGACTATTGTGTCTCGACGATTCAGCAACAATTACGGGTGGAGTAGTTCTAGTTGTACTCGTAGTATTTCATGATCAACGACAACAGAGCAGGCCAGCCCTACCATATAGCGCTAGGCAACAAACTAAGTCCTCCCCGAAAGTTGTAGACTTGCCGACCGAATGTGCGGTCTTATGCTCCCCAAGCATGTACTTGCTTACTTGTTTAAGAGAAGTGTTTACTTAATTGATTCAAAGGGAGGCAGCATCCAGCATATAGTCCTAAGCCTAACGAAAAAGGAAAAATATAGTCCGAGGCCCGGGGCGACATACAGTGAGACGCGGCGTCCTTATCATTATCTCAACTATCCAACCTTTTAGTTTATTTACTGATGTTGTTAATGTTACGAGGGTTAGGGGGCTCTACTTCTTGACGAGGCATCTCGAAGTCGAACTTATGAGTGGAGGTGGCGGGGACTTCTGGAAAAATGGTCCTGTTACTCCTGGTACTTGCATCTACTTATTTTTAACGTCCTTTAGATACGACGATCATTTTTCCTTTCGGACTTCAACAACTTCAACATCAATTATGTACTTAAGAAACCACTCCTGCCACTCCTCGAATCTTCAGCGTAGTTAGCGTTAGCGTTAGGACGAGGATAATGAAATAAGTACAGAGTTGTACACCTCTAAAGCAGCCCGATCCTTTCCTTGTTTTACGACTCCCCGCTGACCGTGGTGACCTTTTACGTAAGATCGGCGATAACAGATGGCGCCAATTGTTGTTAAGATGCTACCTCAGAACACTTTGTAATATATGAATACTTACACTATAATCTTAATCTTCTTCTTCAACGTTAGATGCAGAAGCACGCTTGTTTAAGATGAAGCCTAAATGATAGTAGATCTGGAACAAGAATATCAATCAAGTAAATAATTACATGACACGAATGGCGTAGTGCGCGCACTTCCCTTGTTCTGGTCACTTTTTTACTGAAAAACCAAAAAATTTTTAAGCTCCGGGTCCGCCATGTGCATGATATTCTGATCGCATCCGACTCTAGAGCTGCAGCAAACACCTTCGTCTCTAATTTGAGAGGTTACGAGCGAGGGTCTGATGGACCGGCATCCAGAGCAAGCGTCTCGGATTCAGGACGCTTTTCTCATCTTATCCAACCCAGAAGTGCGAAAAACTTTTCTGGATTTGCGAACCAGAGTCGAAACTGCGGTGCGCGTTGCCTTTTGGCTTGCTTCTGCTGCTGCTCTGGCGTTGTTGTGTGTCTTTTTCCGACTCGTATTTCTACTACGGGTGCTCGGCGCCCCCATCCGTCCTTCCTCGAGTCATGGAGTATCGCACAGAACGCGCAGCAAGTCGAAAGACCGAGAGCAAAGTGCGCATCCAGCTCAGGTCCAGATGGGCAGAAGTAGTGCAGTTGGAAGAACAGGAGCATTTTCATACGGGGACTCTTCATATGGAAATGGGCTCACGGCGGTTCTCGGTGCTGCTGGTGGAGCTGCTCCGGAAGTTAGTGAGGAATGGTTCCGGTTCTTCAACCTTGACAGGATGGCCGACGGTTCTTCATCCTCGGGCCTCATACAGGATGGCGGTAGCAACGGCAATGGGATGAATGGAGTGGATTCCCGAAGAGTTCTTGCAAATTCTGCCTCCTCGGCGGGGCGTCCCGCTTCAAACGCAGACGAAGATGCAGCTATCGATTCAATTTTGCAACCGCTATGGTTTCTGCTGACAAGCCTGTTAATCCTGCTTCTGCGCGTCTCGAAATTCCTTTTGTTCACCTTGCCTTGTATCATTTGTGGCAGCATCGTGTTGATACTGCTCACGTTGCCAGGAGGACAAGAAAATGTTCCAGGAGCTGCTGATGTTCTTGAAAAAATCAAGTCGGCGTCTAGTACTTCATCTTTACTTACTCTGGCGGAGTATTTCTTAGGGAGGGGAATCTTGTTGGAGTTCGAATACTTCCGTCGATGTCCATCGCAGCAAGCGGAAGCGAGCTCCTCCTCTTCGTGGTCGACGTCTTGGTCTTGGAATGTTTTGCTATTGGTGTTTCATCACACCCTGGACGAATTTGAGCGGGATTTTGTGCCCAGTGTGCGTCTCAGAACGTCCTTCGCGCGAAGCCTTGCCGCAGCAACGATGGCAAATAGAAATGCATCAATATTAGGAGCAGCAGAAGCAGGACCAGCAGCAGGAGGACAACCAATGCAAGTTGTAGCTACAAGTACAGGTGGGGGAACGGTAAGTACTTGTTCTAGCTCCTTTTCGCCATCTTCAATGAGTTCCACCCCCTCAACTTCAATGTTACATGCTGAAGAAGCGTTAGCCTTGTCCCTAGGTGCGACGCCACCGCCGGCACAGTTTTCTCGAATATACGAAATGTTGACAACGGGACCTCTGAGAGAGATGGAGCATCGTTTCGCCGTATTTCTTTATCTCTCTGAGGCTGAAACACCTAAAGTTGGCCTCAAAATTGTGGCGCGCCGCGATTTCCGAAGCAGTGAACGAAGGTTTTTCATCACAGAGGTAAGCAGCCAGCGCATCCCACGGCCAGACACCGAATTGTTACAGGCTGCTCTCGTTTCATCTTCTTCGACAGGGGCACAGGGAGGTTCTTGTTCATCCGGTGGACGTCATGCTGGTGGTGTCGTCTCAGGTGCTGGCACGGGTTCATCATCTTCGTCTCTCGGAGCTGTGGACGGATACGGAGTAAAAAATGGTGTCCTACTTCTGGACCAAGCAGGAGATGCAGACTCACACGAAGTCGATGGTTCAGCTTACGAGGGGGATGATGCATATACGAGCGGATCTGAATATGGAGGTTCTGACTCCGAAGGTCAGCTCGGATCAGAAAGTGACGGAAGCTCAGCATCATCAAGTAGCGCCTCGAGGCGGCGCCGACTACTTCCTGGGGCAGCGAATTTTCGGAAACGACGAAGACGACAGCAACAACAGAGTGCTGCTCTCTCAACATCTGGGTATAGTCAGATGCAGCAGCTGCATCATGGACTCACAGGCGGCAATGGATACCAACACAATGGAGGTGGATCATATCAGCTTGATCCTGCAGCAAGTGCTGATAGCCCAGCGAGCAGCCGTGGTGCGTTCTCGCCGATGGATTCCTCTAGTATGGCTTCTGGCCGCCTCGACCCCGCACCAGCCGCAACATTCTTTCCAGCACCCACTACATCAGCCGCTTCGTCGAATAGTGTGCGCCAATCCTCTAGTATGACGACGAAGGCCGTGTCTGTATACCATCGCACGCTGGATCGAGCGGGCGAAAGAAATGTGGACTGGGTGTCGAAATATGTGTGGCCATACGATGAAATCGTGGAAGTAAACGGACGGCTTTGCGATACACCAGAGGTCCTTGAGCAGGCATTCACCGTGCCCACGAGCTCATCTTCTACTAGTAGTATCATTACTCATCAAGAAATGGAAATGAACAATGATTTTAACACCACGACAAGAAGAACAACCTCTACTCCTGGTGGATCTTCTTCGACACCACCACCAGCGATTAGTCCAGTATCTCCCTCAGAACCACCAACAGTGTCAACCACGTCCTCAAAGAAGTTGGTGGTTTTACATCTGCGAAGGAGAGTTGTCGACAACCCGTCGGTCGTTCCTTTCCTTTTCACGGTTCGCGCAATACGCATCGGCACACCTGAGGGTGGAAGCAGTTGGGGTCTGCACCTCTCTCCAGGCACGGGAGACCGATCCGACACACTGCGTCTGGTGAAAATCGATCGAGACAACACGTGTGTGCGAGGGTTCGTGCTGTACCACGACGGTGAAAACGGTAATGCCAACAATAACTTCCAGAACACCACCAGAAGCTTTTCTAGTACTAGTATGGCACCAAGTATTAGTTCGAGACACGGCGTCGGCGGCCCTGCAAGTAGTAGTAAAAGCAGCCTCGGCGCGGACGACGAGGAGGATGAAATTTTAGATTACAGCGACGAAGACGACTATAGTGGGAAGCAAGGAAGTGATGTTGTCGCTGATTCCGCTGTCTCATCGGGCGACGACAACGTTGATCGCGAGGGAAGGCCTAGATCGCGGTCACGACGCCGCCAAAACAACTCCTCGCTCCATCAGCTTCCTGCTAGACCTCAAAGGCCTCGCTTCCGCACAGGCACAGCGCCAATTGTCCGTAGAAACCCTTTTGCAGTCTGCCGTCCAGGAGACCGCCTCGTCATGCTTGATAACGGTGTGTGCGGGGCATCGGCAATGTTGAAATATCTGGAAAGCGGCCGACGCTCGTCTTCGGCGATCACGACCCCTTCAAATTCGTCAACCGCTACTCCTGTTGGAGGCGGTGGGAGCAGAGTGGTACAGGAGCAAATGAGCTTCACATTTTGTCGCGGTGTGCCGTTGATACCCACGGAAAAACAGCGACGCATTGTGTTGGAAGTAAACCCTGAGATCAATAGTGGGTACTTGAACAAACAGCCCCAGGCCGCGCAGGCAATAAGTGGAGAGCAGACGATGTACCAAGATACAAGTGGAGTACAACAATTAGCTGCAGAAACGACTGGAGCGGCCGCAGCAGGAGCGAGAAAGAGAAAGGTCTTCCTGGGCTTGAAATTGGGTCGATGCTGGGGATGCAGTGTGGACATGGACGGGCTTTATATCGAATCACGCTTTCTCGGTTCGGCAGCTGGTCGTCTTCTCTCCACAAAAGTTTCTACATACGCAACGAGCCAGAAGAACATCACCCCGACTCCTCAGGCATCAACACCATCACCACGTGAAGGAGAATCACAACCGACGAGCAAAACGACGACCAACGCCGACGAGCAGCAAGCATTGCTGGCTCAGCTGAGCGGCAACAGCTTCGATGCACTTGTTTACCGCTCCCGCTCTATTGTTCGAACGATAGTATGGACTCAAATGCGAAACTTCGTGCGACGGCTGCTGTTCGGTCAACGCTACGCAGATATTTACTACCTGGACCACAGCGACTGTCCGTGGCTTCGAGGGCCCGACGCCATCCCCGCCTCGGATCGAACCGTGGTGACACAAGTTCTACGGAGCGGTTACTTGAGCCAGATCTATCCAGGTGTCATAGTTCCTAACATGATTCTCGACAAGGTCAATGGCAATGCGGATGCAGCACAGTTCCCAGAGCTACTGAAGCACTGCCGCAGCCTAGAATTTCGTGTGCCTTGGCAGCCGGCCGTACAAGAAAAAATCTATCGTGGGGGTACTTCATCTGCGGGAACCAGAAAGAAACGAAGGAGACGAGGTGGGTCAGTTACCACGACTGATGGCGCCGGGAACAACGATGAAATAGAGGGAGGTGAGGGTGAAACCGAAGGTCAGGAACAAGCAGTGCCCAAGAAACCGCGAAAAATGTCAAGTGCTTTCATGCTAGCTCGAGCCCAAATGTTTGAAAAACACGCCACGGTGCCGAATATTGAAGCAATCAAGAGCAAAGCCGGTGCATTAGAAAGACGGGAAGGTCCTTCTACAAAATCTACCTCCAAAACCACGGATGGTGCTGAATCACCTGCTGCTTCGAGGCCTGCCGTTGAAGAAGAGGACACCTACCCGAAGAAAAGCACATCTAAGAAAGTTGAGGCTGAAGCTAAAGGGACAAGGGACGAAGGCAGGAGCAGAACATCTACAGTGGACGACTATGCCTATGGTAACCACGATCAGAATAAGAAGGCAAGTCCAACAAGAAGGGTTGGAGGAACAAAAAACGACCAAAAGACTGCAGAACAGGATGATCATGATGGTTTTCTGTCAGTCGATGAGGAGGAAGAAGAGACACAGCTGCCACGAAGCGAAGATCATGCTCCACATGTCGATCCTCGATACCAAGGCTTGTTCGCCGAAACGTCTACCGGCGCAGAAGTTGTTGTATCTCCTGTAGCGCCACAGAAGACGAATAAGAAGATGAACAATGCACGCTCTGAGGGTGAAGCTGCATTCTTGGCTGATCAAGCTGATGATGCGGCCAGGCATCACCTGATGGACGCAATTGCAATGTATGGAGGTCAAGCTGAGTTTGAACGACCAACGCTAACTACGCATGAAATCTCTCCTAAAACAAGAGATTCGAAACTCGAGCCACATCGTTCTAATAAGAACAACAAGAACAACACGGACCTTGTTCATTCGAATGCTTACGCTGTTGCAGCTGCAAGTGAAAAACAAGTCATGAACATGAAGATGAAAAATAATGTGAGGACTCCTTCTCCCACTCCCACAGCCGAAGACTCTATATCCGTGCCTAAGCATGAATACGACAAGTTACTTGCCAGCCATCAGAGGCTGCAGGCAGAACACAAGCAACTGCGAAGAGAGCGAGCTACGCAGACTAGAGTCCTAGCGCAAATGACGCAAATGTTGCGCGAAATGGAGTACAATTATGAACAAGCCGCGGCCCTTTTGCGGGAGCTCCAGCAGATGGAGCCTTCATCCGCGGCGGTATCACCAGACGCTTCGCCAGCGCTCCAGCATTTGATCACCCATGCTTCTCGCTGCTCTAGTGGCGGTCGTGGTGCGCCGAAGACGACATTTCAGAATGCGAACCAGAAGCAGAACTTCTCACCTTCACCACGTATAAAGGATGTAACGACCCGGTCTACTGAAGTAGGCTTGTCTCCGGCTGAAGACGAAAGCCCACATCAATCTGTTATGACAGTCGTCCAACCAGGTGGTGGTCCGACCTCACAGAACAACTCCACCTTCGTGTCTGAAAACATACCAACAACCTCTCCACCTCCTGTTTACAACAGCGTGCGATCTAGAACTCCGATCGACATTCTCATCGAATCACGGGCTAGAGATCTGCGGGAACTAGCAGACTGTTTGTCATTCGCAGTTGGTGGAACAAGTGGACGAGAAGAATTCGGCGAAGGCGGAGTAGGATAGCATGGTATACAAGAGTAACGATCCGTTTCCGTCATCCCCAGTGAGTTTCACGCCGACCGTTTTTGTCTATTCTATGTTATGAAAATGTATCTTCACTAGAAGTAGCTTGTTGATTACTAGCAAAAAGTCACCTCGTCCTACTTTGAATTTATTGATGAATTTCCGTAATGCTTGCGTTGAGATCGTTATTGCTAAATCTACTATCAGTGACTACAAGATTCTTGTCAAAATTTCACTCGTGTGCTAAAGTCTTCTCTTGTGCTTTTTCTGGTTTGAACAGGATTGCAGAGCTAATATGGTTTCCGGCCTAGAAATAAAAAGTGTAAACTTTGCTACCAAATAAGTTACCTTAGTTGAACAGGAACAGGATGGCGGTCCGCCTGAGTAAGTACTTAGTATGGTCTAATATTCAGGTATTTCTTCTTTTGCTCGTGAGAATGCAGACGAAGATTTCTGATTGAGCCAGTGCCAGTATGACGAACGTGAAACCACCCCGCACCCTCGGGTGTGATGTGCATATGTAAAGAGCTCGATATCGATAACAATGTTTTCCCTTTTGCGAGAATCCTGCTCAGATCATCAACGAGGATCCAGACAGTTCCATTTTCAGAAAAAATCAAGATCGTCGGATGAAAATAGATACGACTACAGCGACAGTCAGGCGATGAGGATCTTATCGATCTACACGAAGGTGGAGTTGAATTTCAAGGAACAAGAAGTTCTATTCCTAGGTAGCAGAAACAAAAATAGAAACAGACTGCAACTAATGCATATTATAGTTTGTACCTCCACTTCTGCTTTCGACGGACTTGCCCTCTCACTTACTCTGGTCATATTCTGTTGACACAGGACTCGCATTTTAGCCCGTGGTTTTCCTATTAATCGTGATAAGTTCTTGTATACATAAGATCATTGGGCAGCGCGCATCACGGACATCAGGAGAAGTAATGTGTTGTATCTCTTACCCGTGTTACAACTACAAGAACGAACTGATTTTCTACTAGAGCCTTGTACTGTAGTTGTACTGATTCTAAGCAGAGCGACAGAGAAAGAGAAATCATGTTTCGTTACAATTTCAGCGGCGAGGGACCGCGTTCCTCGTCCGTGTCCGTGCAATCACAGTACGGTCAGGGGGAAACTGCAGATTCCGCTGAAAAAATCTTCGCAAAGCGCTGCGACCAGCTTCGTCAGCAGGTCATCACCGGAACGATCAAGACGCCGTATCACAAAGAAGGAGGTTTACCGATTACCTATACCGATTTTACCGCTTCGGGACAAGCAATTCAATCGATCGAAGCGCACATTTCAGAGAAGGTACACCTACAGCTTGTGATCTCTTATACTTTTTTCTTTAACTGCACGACAACGCTCACATGATTGGCCTGCGTAGGCCTTGATGGTGGTTTCGGAGTCCTATGTTCTTGATGATGATGTTCATAACCATCCTATGGGATTATCAGGTTCTTCCATACTATGGGAACACCCATACGTTAACGACGGCAACGTCGCGACAGACGACTTATTTCCGCAGTGAAGCGCGAAGCATCATTAGACATGCGCTGAACTGTTGTCCTGTCGAAGATGCTCTCATTTTCTGTGGCAATGGCTCTACTGGCGCAGTCGCCAAATTTAGTCGCATCATCGAAAACCGCATTGCCGAACGCGTACTGAAGAACAAGTCGGAATCTCATCGATCTGGAGAAGGAGCAAACATCGAGGACAAGGAAGACTGTATGAAGTACTTCAAGGAGGATCGATGGGGCAGTTGCGAGTGCACCCTATGCGGTGTGCGACTGAAGAATGAGAGTTGCTTTCGCGCGCACTGCGAAACGTCTTTGCACGTGGAAAATCTCGGAAAACAGAAGGCAGCGGAACTGGCTGATGTTGAAGGCTCGAGTGATGATCCTAGTGCTCTTGCGTCATCTTCAAACAACACTAGAGGAGGTACGAGGACGAAGACCGTCTTTCTGCTAGACCCCTTTGCACATCACAGTAGCTCGTTACCTTTCCGTGAGATGGCTGCTAAATTTGGTTCGGAATATTGCGAATGCGTCGAATTGACGACCGAATCTGCGGTTTTCGACACGCACGCCTTTGAGACGGAACTTCTGGAAAAGGTAGTGCCATCGCTTCTTTCATACAGCAGACATGTAGTTGAGGAAGGGGATATCAAGGATTTAGAAGAGCAAAATATCGAGCACGTCCGTTTAGAGTTCTACGCAGTCCTTTGTGCTGGCAGCAACGTCACTGGTGTTTTACGCAATGTGCCGTATTTGACGCAGCAATTGCACAAAAAGCTCAACGTGAATGGACACAGCTGTTTTGTGGCTTGGGATTTTGCAGCGTCCATGGCGCACCAAAAGATCGATTTGAACCCGCGAAACTTCGCAGACGCCGAGGTGGACGCGGCGTTCTTCTCACCACACAAGCTTTTAGGCGGTCCTGGCAGCAGTGGCGTGCTCGTCATGAAGAAGAGACTTCTCAGATCCAACACGGTTCCGACTACACCTGGTGGCGGAACGGTTTTCTACGTCAGCGACGCGGGCCAGAGCTACATCCAGAACCACGAGGAGCGAGAGGAAGCTGGCACGCCCAATATCTTAGCCGACATTAGAGCCGGCATGGCTTTCAAAATCCACCACGCAATGGCGGGAGACGGCGCTTCCAGTTCATCCAGTGCTCTCCAACTTGACGAACCCGTCTGCGGTATGGAAGCTCGCGAAGAGAGATTGCGCCAACGCTTGCTCGCACGTTTGGAAAAGATGCAAAACCTGGAGCTTTTGGCTTCTGGCGAAGGAGCGGATGTGGGTGGAAAGGCAGCTATTTTCTCATTCTTGATCCGACATGGAGAGCGGTATCTGCATTACAATTTCGTTTGTGCCATCCTTAACGATTTGTTCGGCATTCAGGCTCGTGGCGGTTGCGCTTGCGCCGGTCCGTATGCTCAGAAGTTACTCGGTATGTCTACCGCAGTCAGCAACCACTTCGACTCGGCTCTAAAACGCTACGGAACGGAGGTGATTCGACCTGGCTTTGTCCGGCTGTCGCTCCACTATCTGATGCGTGATGAGGAGGTCGATTGGTTGGCGGATTGCTTGGCCTGGGTCGCTTCAGACGGATGGCGCCTGCTCCCCGCTTACACTTTTGATGTAGAGACAGGCGAATGGGAACACGAGGATGACGACCATCAGGGATGCAGAAAGTGGTTGGGCGATATGGACTTGTTCACAAACTCAACGACTTCTGCATCAGAAACGCCCATTCTCGACCTTGCTGTTGCAAGCAAGCTTAAAGATAGCAAGAAGAAATTCCTGAACGAGGTGACTACCCGCGCTCTGCGTATTCCGGCCAAAAACCGCAGTTGGCCCATCTTGGACGAACGAGTAGCTCCATTGCTATGGTTTTCTTTGCCACAAGATGTGGCCTCAGGAACCCACGCAAAGAGGAACGCAGCGGTTAGTGGCGGTCTGATCTTCGGCAATGCTGACGTTTCACGACCGGAAAGGAGTTGTTTTCGCATTGGACGACCGCCTGGTGCTGGGGCATTGTTGGATGTCCAAGCAGAAGGGCTCGTTGGAACGGGAACCGGAACGGAGGGTCAGGAAATAACTTCGAGTGAAACATGCGTGCTGTCATCTCAGGTCCACCAGCTTGGAAAAGAGTGCGACGTGAAAAGGAAAGATGGCAGTAGTACACCGACGACAACAGGGTCAGCCGATGAGGATGCGTTAACGGATGACCTCCTTGCGGATATGATGCAGCATGACGTTGAGGACGACGAGGTGGAAGTATTAGAGGGGAGAACTGTTCCTGAGGAGAATTCGTCCACTACACCACGAGCAGTCTTGAAAGATGACAAAGAACAGTTGGACAACAAGCAGGAATTCTTGGATGATGAACGCAGAAGGGCGGCACCAGATGGTGGCGCCAGCAGCAGCACAAGCCTGGCACCAACATCCACTTCACTAGTTCGTGAGGTCAATGGGCGTTTGATCCAGCGCTATGCGACGACGGCCCTCTACCCGAAGGTACCGAAGACCTTGCGCGCCTCGGTCGGGCAAGCAATCAAGGATTTCGGCATGATCCAGCCCGGCGACCGTCTGTTGATTGGTCTTTCAGGTGGCAAAGATTCGCTGACGCTGTTGCACACGCTCATGTGTATTCAAAAATGTTCCCCAGTCTCGTTTTCGATCGCTTGCGCCACTGTGAACCCGATGACTCCCGAGTACGACCCGAGCCCGCTGAAGGAGTACTTGAAAGCCTTGAACGTCGAGTACCATTTCCTGAGCAAACCCCTGATTGAGATGGCAAAAGAATTGATGAACCCGAAGAAGCCGTCAATATGCTCCTTCTGTGCTCGCATGAAACGTGGAATGCTCTACAGCTGCATGCGGGACAACGGCTACAACGTCTTGGTCTTAGGCCAGCATCTCGACGATATGGCGGAATCGTTCCTCATGTCAGCCTTCTACAACGGCGCTCTGCGGACGATGAAGGCCAACTATGCCATCCAAGCGGACGAAGAGATACCGATGACCAATGAAGGTGGAGAAGCTGGTGCGAAAAATGATCAACTTGATCCTCAGGTGGACAGGGACACTACCACTAGCAGGAGTAGCGCTACGACAACCACAGGAGCAACACCAGTCGTGGAAGCTGGATGTGCATCTTCTTCGGTCGTTGTCCCAGCAAGACGAAAGATTCGAGTGATTCGACCTCTGGTGTACGTGAGGGAGAAAATTATGGCACAGTTTGCTGCTGAAAATCGATTGCCAGTGATCTCGGACAATTGTCCTGCATGCTTCGCAGTTCCGAAAGAGCGACATAGGATCAAGCTCTTGTTGGCGAAAGAAGAGTTTCAACTTCACGATCTCTTCTCCAACCTGCTGAAATGCATGCGGCCGTTGATCGCAATAGATCACGCGAAGATCGAAGACGATAAATGGGTAGTCAGGAATGTCGTCCCAACGAAAGACGGTGGTAGAGCAGGACAGCAACAGGCCAATACTCATAACGTTCGGACAACACCATCAACAATTGGCATCTCAGGATCTTCTTCGTCACAGGTGGAAATAAGTGGGAAAACAGCTAGAGGAGAAGACGAGGAAGCCGAGCTAGCATTGACAAGCTGTGGTATCAGAGGAGGGAAGTGTAGTTGAACGTGGTTTCCTACATGTTGATTACCTCCCGACTTGTCTCGTTTTTGACTAGGAAACACGACTAATATAGCTCGTCAGCACTACGTCATCGCTGTTGCAAATTGTTGCAGTGCTTGATCTATTTCGCATCTCACAGCATTACACTTTTTTATTTACCACAACTTCAATACCAGATTGCAACATGACCCACACGTATATTTTTCACAATCGTTTCGCCGCGCCATAGAAGAAGATCAAGATTGTCTAATTTTCCCTAGCTGTGTTAGAGGGTACACACCAGAATTATTTTAAGCAGTAGATACAAAGTCCACCAGGAATACACCTGTCGCGACGACTAGGCTGCAATGCCACATTGGTCATTCACGTTTGAGTGACATTGTGTTCGATCACGCTTGTGCAGGAGGACGAAGCGATGAGGTCGTGGCCTGTCATGATTATAACAGGTGGTGCAATGTTCTTGCATGGTCTTCCGCGAATAGTGTTGTTCATCTCGTTCAGTTTTCTGATCTAAATGCCGGTCTTCTTGTAAACGACCCGACTCGGACTCTAGTGATTCATTTTGATATCAGCCAATCGCAACGACAGCCAAAAAAATGATACGGCACACTTCTCCACGTGCATTTTCACATCGTATTGATGACGCATTTTCCTGTCATCCGAAGATTCTCCATCATTTTCTCTATCCTGCATGGAATTACACTCAGTGCTGCTAGTGCTAGTAGAAGTTCGTCTCTAAAAAAGAGCTCATGATGTTGTAATACGCAGATCTCACTGTTGACCCGGAGATCCATCTCACGCGCGGTTCAGTTTTAGATCGAGCTCATTGTCATTTTGCTTTCGAATGCAGGATTAATAATATCAAGCATGCACCATGATTAGTCCTTTTTTTTTAGCTTGTAGTTCAACATCTTCTGACGCAAGAGACGCACGACCGCATTTTGCAACCACTTTTCCTCCCACTAAAAAATTCAGCAGCGACAAACGGCAGCAGAAACACTAGATGAGAACGACAAAACTCAGAAAGCACTAATCGGTCATCTGGTTTGTCTTGTCTGACTCTACTGAATTAGAGGCGATTTCGTTTCATCAACGACTGTTGATCTACTTCTAGAATTTTGCTGCATAGAGCAAGGGCACCTAACAGTTCTGTTCTCGCAACAGCTCTAGGTGTGTGATTGTGTAGTAATCTCCAGCAGCGTTGAAGAAAAGCTAGACGTAAACTCGCAACATACTAGTCATAGTCACGCATACTTATTTTGCACTATTTTTACTGAGTGCTACTTAATGATTATTACATAAATTACAACCTCGTTTTCTTTTTTCACATGTAACTAAATGTAACTACATGATCGTCCATCCAATGTTATGAAAAATCTATCCATGATTGTTCACCATTTCAGCGGCCAACCATAGTTTTGAGTACTACTAGAAGAATAGAACATACAAAGAGATCGAAGAAAGTTTAACGTAGCTAGTGTTGCTGCGCGAAAGTTGACTATCATAATCCGATCCTTCGTTTCGAAAGAACCTGACTATTTGCTGTGTACGTTGTGTGTAAGGTTGCGATAGCTGTAGCACCAGACGAGGGAAACTAAGTATTTAGTATCTGTTACGACTGAGGCGGGAACCCCTCTAAAAAATCTAAATCTACTCGAAGTACTTTGTAGTACAAGGAAGAACGACCACCAGCGACCTCCGCAGTGACTACTTCGACGATTTCACTTCTTGTTCAATAACTAGAATCCCGCGACAAGAGAGATTTTCATCAGCGACGCGAACTTCACCATAGACGCAGCTTTGCGACCAGCGACAAATTCGACATCATGTTCTTTGCAGGAGGAATGAGTGCTCCCAGCGTCACTGACCTGGACGTTGTAATGGGGGAGCATCGAGGCAGCCCATCAACTTCCCGCGCGGACGGTGACTCCGCGAGCCGCGAGACGACCAGCCCGGCTAGTGCGATCGCGGCGCCGGCTGCTAGCAGTGGCACTGCTTTATCAACAGGAGCTGGCATCGCAGGACATCAAGAAACGCACAGAAGCGTCGGCGAAGGTGTTTTAGGGGGTGAAGCAACGATCAGCAGTAAGATGGAGTTGACTACGGCTGACGATGTTGATACGAGCTTTTCCTCGACAACTAGCCGAACAACGCCAGAGAATGCGCCGTCCTCGGGTGCGGGTCGATCAAGCAGCGACCACAAGAACGATGTAGGCAACAGTCGCGACAGGTGCTCTACGAACAATCCATTCGATTCTTCTAGCGACGTTTGTGTGAAAGAGGCGCTACAACAGCTCGGCGAATATGAGGTCTCCTCAACATCTCCGTCTCCTACACCGTCAACGACTTCTAGTTCTACCAACAATCAGACCACGTTGTTCAACATGTTTCCTGGAGCTCCGAGTATTTGCAAGGAAGACGTGCAGCGATTTTGCAACACCTACGGTTTCAACGCCGCCGCAGTTGCGGAGCTGCTCCGCTTACCCGACGGCGCGATCGAGGTGATCTCTGCGCACGAGTCCTTTCACCGTCTCATTCTGTCGCGTGAACACAACAACTCTACAGCCTTCGTAACCAAGATCATTCACCGTACATTGCTAGGCTTGCCGCTTGCGGCTTCTGGTGATACTGCGACCGCAGGAGCTAAAAATGTTAGCTTGGAGCAGCATAGTAAGTCCTTGTCCTCGAACATCGCGACCTGCGGCTCTGACAAGAATGATAATGTTGTGATTCTCGATTGCAGAAGTCCAACTACTTCTACTACGAGAACCGGAGCTGCAGACCTCGATGAAGCAGGGAAGACAAAACCGATCGACTACGAAAGCTTGCAGGGCGTTTGGGACGAATTTGCGCGTAACTGTGCTGCGGCTCGTTTCGCTCGCGACCACCTTAACAATATCCCAGAGCCGTTGCGTGTTCGCTTCTATCAGGCGGAGCCGATCAAGCGCACCTACATCATGCGGCAGTGGATTCGTGAGAACCGCAGGAACCCGCGAGACGTGTTAGGTACTCGAAAATCCTCAAACGAAACTCTTCTTCACTACCTTGTTCTGTCATTACCTAGACAACTTGTTCTTGTAGATCAGTTTATTTTGCACTTCATCTACTAAACTAAACTTATCAACTTACCAGCTGCACCAGACTTGATCTAGGCAAGACAGGCTCTTTCATGATCTTGCTTCTACAAGCTTGCAGTTGCATACAGGCACCATCTCTGAGCGTAACCGGTGAGACGGCCTTAGGTCTCTCTGGTACCAGATACGTGCAACATCAGTTGACGCTTTCACATCGTCAATGATTCTCGGGGGTTAATGCACCTTCTACTTAGTAAACATTCACCTTTTTATTAGATTGAGTTACTGGTGCTAAATTGTACCCGGAGTTTGTTGATCTTGATAATGCTGCTCACCAGCGACGTCAACATTCAGCTTCAACGATAGTCATAATCTTGATCAAGACTTACATCATTAAAAAAATTCAACATCGCTACAGAAATGCTTGAGTTGACGGACTGCGTCTCCTTGTTTGTGTCGGTTCACGACTTGTCCGTGGAGGCAGCGAGGGCTCTGCGAGCGACGTCCGAGAGCCAACAGTGGAGCATCTTGCGCGATTGCGTTATCGACCGTTGTGCCCAAAGTTCTCACGACATTCAGCAGAGCAATGGTGCTCCTTTCTCTTCCATTCAGGGACACCTGATGTCACCAAAAAGTCAGGAAGAAGTGGCTGCCAAAAAGAGCGCGCACGTTTTGCGTCTGGCCGCAAAAATGGCCCAACACCCGTTGCAGCGAGAAGAAGAGCTGCTGCGCCGAACCGAACAATTCTTCGAGGAGCACAACATCGATGAGTCCGCACGCCGTATCTTTTACAGCGCGCCGTCGGAGGTGCAGTGGGCAGTTTTGGAAGAAGGTCCGCTGATCGATGCTCGCAACAACAACGCTGTGCTGGTCAAGCGTGTGAACTCCCTATCGTCGAAATTTAACAGGGGACATCAAGGATCGTCCTCACACAATGGAGGAAGTGGATTTGGTGGTAACCACCAGGAAATAAAGGACACTTCCTCGCATCAAGTTCTTCATCCGCCTGCGCACAGCAAGGCCGGTCCTCCTGGTCCCCGAAATAGTGGATACACCTCCAGCGACAGTAGAAACGCGTTTGTCAACGGCCCACCAGGACGAAGCAGCCAACATTATCCTGCTCATGCAGAGCAGCAGCAGCACTTGCCGGGAATGGGTAATGCTGGCCCATACAATCAGCATTGGTCAGGACCTCCGCAGAGTGGTGCTATTAACCGAGGTGGAGGTCCGAACGCACGATCGTCTTGGGCCTATCATGGCCAGCACGCTCCACAACATCATGGCTCTAACATGATGAAAGATCAGTTCCACCCAAATAATCTCCCATCATCCGGAAATGGTTTCAGCATTTTCGACAACCTCCCTAACTCGAAGAGTCCAGCTTGCACCAGTCCGGTAACTGGCTCCATGAACAGACGAAGCTCGATTCGCCAGTGTGGCTCCGGATTTCTCGGTGGCAATCACAATACCTTCGGAGGACCTGGAAACGGTGGGGGCTTCGCTGGAGCCTTGAGTCAGTTGAACCAACAAGGTTCTTCGTCTGCTCCTTGGGACCGACCTGTGCATCAGCAACGTCGTGGAAGTCGGGACTCGGTTTCTACCTTCGTTCCACCAGGTCGCTTCAGCTGGAATGACACCAGACACAGCGGAACCTCGACATCAGCGAATACACATCTGCCCAATCAACATGCAGGAGTAGGAGACGGTAATCAACGTGGAAATGGAGGTGGTCGTAGCATGTCCGTCAGCCCGCCATCGAATCGATCAAGTTTCTTTGCAGGTATGCAATCAAGCGACGACATTATAGGCGGAAACAATGGAGGACCATCTTCTTTTCAAATGAACATCAGCCACCAACACCATCAGTCTTCGAACAACAACAACAACAAAAACAGCATGAACACGAACGCCGCAAATTTGTTGAACTGTCTATTGAACCAAAGCCAATCGTCGTCGAAGATGCCAGCACCGCTCCTTCCATCATTTGGCAATAACGGGACTGGCTCCAACTCATCTTTTTTTGGTGGAAATCACGGAATGAACCAACTACAATCTTCTCAACCACATCAAGTCCCAAGTACCACATCAACCAGCACTAGCAATTTTCTCGATGAGCTACTGGGCGAGATTAAAAGTCCACCATCTTCTTCATTAGATACCAATATGGGCATCATGGAGACTTCGAGCCAATCTATGAAGGGCGCTGCAGGGAACAGTGATGACGATGGCGGACTCAACTATTTGATGAATTGGTTGACCACGGGAAAGCCATGAACGAGGATGGTGGGTTGATGGTTGTCCGTCGATGCCGATGCGTTATTATGAGATGACAAGAAGAAGGAGGACGAACATCAACAACAAGAACAATACAAAACATCCTGTTTTTACTGGATCTTCATCGAGCCTTTTGCTTCATTCGTTGGGAAGATCTCGTTTTGGATCACGTACGCGAGATACTACACATCATACGCAATAGCGACTTCAACAGACAAAAAAGTTCAAGATTCGGCAGATTATAAACGACGAACGTAACAAACTAGCTAAGAAATACTCTCAACAACAGTTTAACACCTTCTTCACGTATCAACTTTCTTCTCGTTTTAGTTAACTTCAAAACAACTACTTATTTTCACATTATGGTTATAATTGTACAAATACATGACTGATTTTTCGATGAATACTTTCTAGTGAACACGAACAAGTAGCGAAACCAGTGTGAATTGAAGTGGCTCGTAATTGTAAAACAATGAACATGAAATGAGTGATGATTTTTGAGTGGTACCAACAGCAAAACATCGTAATCTGCGACTATGATCTTTGGAAATGTTGAGAAGTGTTTCTTCATGCTTTTCATCATTGAAGATTTTCGTTTCTAAATGAATGATTCAGACTGTAGAACAAGGATCACAAACTCGAACAGAACAAGAAAGGTAGTAGTAAGATTACTAGTTCTTTCTTGATTTCTTTTGTATAAATATTGTTAGTTTGTTTCAGCGTTGGTATACAATAGCATAGTATTCTGTGTCTACAAAAACTTGTGTGATTAGTTTTCGTGTCTTTTCTCGATGACCCACATGTGAAAATTAGATCCCCAAAATGATCCGATTCTTTTTAGAAGAAAAAGTTGATGATAGAACAAGTCAAGTATTGTCGATAAGTGGCTCTAGTTCATTTGAGGCCCCCTCTCACATGATGAGCATATTAGAAATGTAATTTTGTACTATGAACACGACTTCTGCAGGGATTGGGAACAATAATAGGTACAACTGAATGAAATAGTGGTCTGAGAATGAAACAATGAATGACGAGCACTACAGCAGGAGAGAAATGGAAACCAATACGGATATGGTCGTATCGATTCCTTCGGATCGAACATGAAATTTCCTTGTCTCGGCACGCTATTAGTCGTTATTCATCCGATTATAGCAAAATTTATGGAAGTGTCAAGAACAAGGAGAACTAGTCATCGACACCGGGGTATGGTAGTTGGGCAAGGCTTAGGCTATGTCGGTTTTCTTCACTGTGTCGAAGGGTGCACAAGGCTACTGGATCTCGACCTCGATGGACACTGATATGACCGGACGTTTGGTTTGATGCTTCTTGGACGTCACCTACAAACAAGGATCTCCATCTCTGTTGGTGGAGATGTTGGCTTGGACGAACGAAACGACGTAGTAGGGGACACCGATGTTTAAATGAAACATGAAAAAACCAAAACGATTTTTGTCGTGGCAACATCTCAAACATTAAAAAAGTGACCCTTTATTTGTTTGAAACGTACTGGTACTTACCTTTATTTGTTTGAAACGTACTTGTTCCAAAAGGAGGTCGACGTGGTCTACTGCGAGGACGCGTCCTCGTTGCAGAAGTAGACTGCGTATGATCTGCCTGAAGATGTTGTTCTGTTCTTGTCGACCACGAGCGGGCGGAGCAATTTTCGGTCAGAACGACAGCGCACTCGGAGATGAATACAATTACTATTACAAACAAGTAGAAAATAACAGAGAAGTAGAAACAAATCAACATCAGTTCTAACAAATGCTCCGAGGTAAAGTGTGGGCGGAAAAAGAGTGACGGAGCTTTCTGACATGAAAGGAGCTACTGATTCTCAACGGCTTGCGTTTCCCTTGGCTATTTTGACAGCCATAATTGTGAAACTCAGCTTTCCAACAAATCCAAGCCAAAAACTGTTTCGACGCCTCGCCAACATTTACTACAGTGACGTGATTCACAAATATCCCATTTTTAAACGAGATTAAGCTCCCTCAAAAAAATGGGTCCGCACTCTCCTTCTGCCAGCAAGTAGGGAAAAACACTTTTCCAAACTTCAGGGTAACATCATTCTTCACATCGACGTAATATGCTTGTAGTTTCATGTCGATCGAGCGTGGAGAATCCGCATGATCACGCCTGCTTCTGGTACAGCACGTCTAGATGCTGATAGTCCTTCAATAAGACGATTGCATTTCCTCTCCTCTTTAAAACAAGAAAATGGAATCCGCCATGTTGTCTCCGCGAGGTGCCTTATTTCGATCTCGGGTGCGAACAGGAGAAAGGCCGCAGCGCGACGCACGAAAAAATTCCAATCTTCCAGCTGGATCCGGAACTCGTTTGCATAAAAATCAAGCCAGAGCAACGACGTCAAGCCAACACCATGCACGGTCTCAGAATGCTGTTGGTGCAGCACGAGGATGCTCCAGATCAGCTCCGACAAGTAACTTGGCCACCGCGCTCACAGATCCAGCAACGAGCTTCTTCAAGGAAGTGGAGAAGGACAAAAAGTGGTCTTCGTTCCTATCTGGAATCCGTACCGAGGTACGACGAGAACGTGCGGAAGAAAAAAAGAAAGAAGACGAAGGCAGGATAGCAGGAACAGCGGCGAACAACCAATTTCTGGAAGATGATGGCCCACCTACAAAGAGGTTGAGAAAAGAAGGAGCAGGAGGCGTCGATCTGTATCAGCACAGAGCAATGAGCGGACATGATGAAAACAGGGACAACATAAGCACTTGCAATGACCTGTTCGGGACGACAACCTCCGGGTTGACAAATATGAATGCACCTCCGTTGCCGACGAAAGCTGATCTACAACCGCGAGGTGGTGCTTCCCATGCAGTTTCAGCTTTAGGTCCGACCACAGCATCGTCCTCATCTTCGAGTCTGCGTCCGATGCGGCCGCCTGCTATGCCTCCTGCTCGACACCAGCAACCGGCCGATTCCGAAACGGCTCGCCAGCACGCGCACTTATATGTTTTCACGAATGAGAAGAACCAAGGCGTGTGGGATAAGGAACTGCAATTGCAAGTGATTGAGGAGCTGTCGAAGAATAGTCGACATCAAAAACATGCCTTGGAACAGGACGCCAAGCTTGAGGAACGGTTAACCAAAATATTGGACAGTGCGAAAGAGTACACCAGGAGCGGGATCAACATGGAGGATAAGATCATGATGAGCCTATCTGACGCAACTGCTGCATCTTCACCTGCCGGAAACGATGCTATAGAAAGCGCGAACGAGAAGTTGAAGCCGTTTCGGGCTGAGGCAGATCGTTTCGTGGAAACGTATAGAGCAGAGCACAGAATAGCCACATTTGGTTTTGTTCAGAATTCTCTGTCGTCAGGGACGAAGGGACCAGAAACACGCACCATCGACGTTATGTCACTGATGCAGCAGGGTGGAAGCTCCTCTAGCTCAAGGAGTCCAGCGAAAATGACTGGTGCTAAAGCAGACGATGAGGATGAAAAGCGTGCTTTTCGTTTTTGCGCCGTGTTAGATATGGACATGTTTTATGCTGCTGTTGAGCTCCGCGATGCAGATCCCAGTCTAAGAGACAAGCCAGTCGCCGTAGGTGGCATCGGGATGATTTCGACTTCGAACTACGTCGCCAGAAGGTACGGAGTGCGCTCGGCAATGCCGGGTTTCATCGGACAGGAGCTGTGCCGCCGCCAAGGCGCCGAGCTTGCTTTCATCAAACCCGACATGGCGAAATACGCGAGAGAGAGCGAAAAAATTGTTCAAGTTGTGGCAAGTTTGGTTCCTGGAGGCCGAGACTGCATGAAAGTTCCGAGCATGGACGAAATGTTCCTGGATTTGACAACTGCGTCCCCTTCGTCAAACATAACAGGAGAGGACGAACAAGGGACTTGTGAAAAACCGGAGGTGCAAAATGGCGGGACGAAAAGCGCGGCTAACGCTTCTCCTACAACTTCGAGCGGGTCTCGTAAATTATCATTGGTAAACAAAGACAACATACAGGAGGCCGAACAACGACCGCCGCCACCACGAACGTGGAATGAGGCTGCCGATCTTGTTAATCGAATAAGGAGGGCGATTTTCGATCAAGTTGGACTGACCGCTTCAGCAGGCTTGGGTCCGAATTTTATGCTTGCAAAGATGGCAGCAGATGTGAATAAGCCAAACGGCCAGTGCTGCCTCCCTTTGCAAGTTTTAGCAGAAGATCCTGAAATTGGCAAACAAGTAACGGAACATGCAATAAAAAGCGACAGGAGTGTCAACATTGCATTGATGCACGAGAAGATCGTGCAGTGGCTGCGCGCTCAGGCTGTGCGCAAGCTGAGTGGAGTCGGGAAGGTGACGCAGCGTGTGCTGAACCGCCTGGGCATTGAGAAGGTCGGGCATTTGCATGCGCAGCGAGGCTTGCTGTTTGCAGTGTTGACACCGGCGATTGCGCAGTTTCTCGTACTTGCTTCGGTTGGATTGCCTGTGTTTCGAGAAGAGAAGCCCCAACAAAGCATCTCGCAAGAACGAACGTTCGCCCTCACCTCAGCAGAACAAGCGAAACTTCGATCTGCTGGCGGGGACGAAGCAAACGAGATGCTTTACCGTCTCTTGCTAGCACGTGTAGCTGAAACAGCGCGTGAAACGGCCGCCGAGATGGTCACAAAGAAAATGGAAGGAAAGTGCATCACCTTGAAGATGAAAGGTGCCGATTTTCGCGTGTCGCAACGCAGTAAAACACTACCGCACTACATAGGAGGACGAACGACCTTCGGATCTAATCCGGATTTTGGTACAGAGCCTCGAGTAGTCTCAGTATCTGCTGCAGCTGTACGGAATAAACAGCCTGAGAAAAAAATATGTACAGAAACCGTTCAGCAAGGTGAAGAACAGAAACCTGCTGCAACTACGCCTACTGTAGCGGCGTGCGGAGTGCCTGTGATAGAAGAACAGGCGTGCGAGCTCTTTCGGCTGCATTGGGAACGAGGTCATCACCTTCGCTTGATAGGTGTGCGCATGAGCATGCTGCGACCTGAAGGCCCCGAAGGATAATGGAGTACAACGTGGATTTCGCATTTTTCATCAAGGATGTTTTTATAACTACATGTCGTGCTCCTGCTCGTGGACGTGGTCGCAAGTAGAAGACTTATATATAATTATGAAAAAGTAAAAGATTGATAATGTAAGTATGCCTCTCGCTCCCGAATGTCGTTTTCTAGATAAGCCTTTCAGGCGGCCGCCGCACTCTTACGATTAAGTGAAGCTGAAGGTCCCACCTAAAATAAGTCCTAAAAGTATGGGCCTGCATCCACGAATAGTGAAAATAGGGCGACGTGATCGTGATGAAACTGAAATTCATCTTCTACGAAAAACCGTTTGTGAGGCTGAGGAAGCTGATGTCAGGCAGGAACTACGAGAGAATTTCAATTTCCCCGAGAGATTAGATGCAGCATCACCGAGTGAAATATTTGTTGAGGGCGTTGCAGTGTTGTCAGCTCAACGAGTATCTGCTTGTTCCGACGTTATTTCACTTTAAGAGGAGAGATTTATAAACGAGGAACATGAAAACGAAAAGTCAGAGTGAGTCTGGCAGTGGCTTTGGAGTTGGACCCACTAAAGGATTAGAGTTACATCTGGCGACACTAAAGAACGAAGCAGCCTTTTCGGTTTTTCGAGATGCGCAACTCGGGGGTTTTAATAGCTCTGTGGGTATTTACTCTGTCCCTCAAAGAATAACAAGAAGGCAGGTTACATTACTTAAATAAAAGGAGAACGACAAGTTATTTTTTGAAGAACAGTCGACGACGCCTAATCATGTTTATTTGTCGCATAACGCTAAGCCTAATCATGCAATATGAAAGATGTCTATATCATCAATAATTAACAGCTAGATCTACATGTCCAAGTTCCTAATACCACGTAACTACCCAAAAGTGGAACAAGCAATTGCGGCACCAAACGAAAAGGAGCAGCACGATGCATCGAGAGTGACGGGCATCAGGCTACAAGAACAGGATCGATAAGCGATACGGACGAGATTCGAATCGGCCACGTCCACGACCACTTCCTTTGAGTTTGATACTGCAAAGATGTGGGATGGCCCTATTCGCCTTCTGGTTGCTTCCGAAGACGGGCTCTTACCGAATCCGGAGGCCTTCCGAACTCTCGAAGCCATAGGCCGGCCAGTGTCCGTTGTGAGTCTTCTGACGGGCAACAGTGACGCATCTTCGTCTTCAACTTCTAGTACTACTTCGGAAGGAGCGGCGGGTGCGGGTACGGACGCTATTACGGTGCAAGGCGCAGATCTTGGTGGAAGTGACACAAAACGTTTGCAAGTGTTGTCAAGGTTGCTCAAGCGCGGCGCTTCTCGGTCATCGCGTGGCACGTCGATAGCGCAACAGGCCAGCGGATTGGCGCCAGGGTTATGGGCGTGGGCACGTCCGCATCCTCGAAATGCGAATCTAGTCGTCGTTTTCTTCGATTGTCGAGGTTTGCAGGAAGTGACGGCGCCATGCGCCAGACTCCTGTCCGCAGTGGCGCTGCTCCTGTCGGACGTTCTGCTTCTCGTCTCAACCTCCGCGTCCTGTCACGCACAAGCAGGGCAGTTGGTGAGGATACAAACGCAGCTGCAGCGGGTACAACTATCTACTAGGGTGACTTTGTGCGACGTCCATGCTCATTATGACTATTCAGATGAAAAGTCAATCTCAATTGCTCGGTATAAAAATCAGCATTGCCATAATTACAACTAGGCTATCAAAAACATCCACATGTTTAGGGCTCTTCTCCGTCGCATGAACGCCTCTCGAGCGGGAATAGTGAGCAGCTAGACGGCCGCTCAGCTGGAAATGCTGCGTTTTTGTGGGCTCTGTGCGAAGATAACCTGGCTTCTACTGCTCACGACCAGACGTCCCAACCAGGAGAGGGTGAGAGCAAAGCGCTGCTGCAAACACTGTTTGGACCCGCGTCGTCTAAAGGACACACTGCAATAGAGCACAATTTTCGCGACCACGCTTGTTTTAGACTTGGCGCGGTTGATGTGGAAGTAGAGCAACAGGAAGAAACCTCTTCCGCAGCTGGAGGCTCGCCGAAGAAAAGTGTGGCTTTTGCTGGTTTGGAGAGGCGGATGTACTCTTTGTTGAAGGAGAAGCGATTTGAAGTCGGTGTGCCAAGCGGAGGGGCGTCGGGAGCGATTGCCGCAACACCGTCGTCGACAAGCCTCAACAGGCCACCTCAACTTGTATGGAAAGTACCTAATTGACATGCGCTTGTCTGATGCCGTTGTGGTGCTACTTGATGTAGATGTTGATGCACACTGCAGACAAGGACAGCTTACTAGAAGAACATCAAGTCGCGACCGCTTGATCCAATCCACTGTTTTTACGCTAGAACATGATCCCCTTGGGCCCTGTCCTGCTTTCATGGCGCCCTCCGAGTACGAATTCGGTAAAGATGATGACCGGCACAGATGTTGCGGCACTGTTGAAACGATACGTCAACGCAGTCTCGACAAGGAAATCGTCGGCGCCGCAATCAGACTGTCTTTCGGACTTGCCGACGCATCGAGAGCTGCTAACGCAACTGGCTGGAGAACGGTGTATCAAGGTAAGTAGGTCATTAGAATCCTATTTCTATTACCTGCGTGACTGTCTCCTGAGTCTGAGTCTGTCGTGGTGTGTAACATTGTATGTGATTTTCTCTTTCTAGGTGTCTTTCTTTTTTGTACTTGGGACTGTAGATTTCAATCCCCATTTGATGTGTGACATTAACGAGTATCTTTTCCGTTTTCCAGGGCGCTTTAGAGTATTTCGGTGGCTGCATAAGCCGGGACATCGTTCTTCCGTCCGAGCATTTCGAAGAGGAAGTTTTTGGAATGCTTGAGAACGCCAGAGAGTTTCTCATCTCTTCTCTTGAAGCTAATGGCATCACTGCTGAGCCAACACATGGAGCTCTTGCGACGTTCGGCGGAGGTGGCGGGATACGGACACCCACCGCTGTAGGAAGTGCTGGATCGCATCAAATCATGTCTTCAGCTGCTAGGGTGGGATCGGCGGGATGTGGTGCGGGAGTCTTTCTAAGCGATATGGAGAAATACTTGTCGATTTTCGACAAAAAAGTTGGCAATAAATTCGAAACAAAGTTTCTGCCAATATCGAGTAGCAAAGCGTCTGCGACCTCCGCTGGCGGCGGCGGTGGAGGAGGCAGCGCGCCACAAAGTGCATCAATGGGAGGTGGTCGTCGAAAAGGGAGTGGCTTCGGAAGTGTGCCACAGTCACCGGCATTGAGCAACGTCAGTAGCAAAGTAACGACTTTCAATCCATCCGCACCAGGATCTGCGTCAGCGGTCGCGATAGACTCAAGATCCGGGTCCCTTGCAGCAACCCCAGTGCTTCTTAACGGCAGCACTGACGGCCAGGATCCAAGGGTTGCTAGTGCTGGCGCAGTTGTCGTAGCGGCACCGAAAACGCCAACCATGACCGGAACACGTCGAGCGGCAGCGTTTGCCACTATAGGGGGACCTCATGCCGCGACACCCAGTTTTGATCAGAGAGGGACGCCAGGTGGTGCTGGCGGCTCCTCCAAGTATACGTCTGCTACAGCAAGTGACGGCAGTCTAGTACTAGCAAAAGTTCCAGTTCTAGACGCATCCGACAACTCCTTTCTTTACCGAAAATGGGTCGAGAACCGAAATTCTCTTTTAGAGCGTAATCGCACCTCGTGGATCCGGAATTTCTGGCAACCTTTGGAAGACAAATGTCGCAGAACGCTTGCGAAAACGGCGAACGAAAAGTTTGTCTTGGAACCTGAGCCGTTCGAATCGGCGGCTCCTAAGAATCCGGATGCTGACGAAGATCCGACGCAACAGCCATATCGAGATTTGGAAGAGTACTACCAAGAACTCAACGAACAGCGAGTAGGACTAGCGGGACAAGCTTTGCAAGCAGGAGGAGGGCAACATTATGGGAAAGGGAAAGGGGTTTCTGTAATTCTGTTTGATGTCGAAGAGGGTGCTGCAGCTTTAGTACGACTCATGTCGCTCGAAGTAACAAGTGATCTAGAACTATCAGCACGGTATGGGCAACAGGAGAATCTCCCTTTTAACTTATACTTTGTTTCTAACAAAGACAATTTCCAGCTTCGTCTTCTTCTCAAGGAGTCCTCGCCCAGCAGCAAGACCAGCAGCTGTTTTCCGATCCTCAGACCCTCTCCTTTCAGCAGCAGTGGGGCGTGCGAGTCTCTTCCGCGCTATTGCGGCAGCACGCAGATGCACGGGCAAAAGCGGTTTATAGACAGGTGAGACAGGAGAGCGACGAACTGCGAATGCAGTTGTCCGCAGACTTGGACAAACAGTTTGAAGCGTGTGAGAAAAAGATTCTCGAAGAGAAACTGCCAGTCGCGCTAGCGGAGCCGTTGGCAACGGCAGCAATTGAGGCTTCGACCGTAGCTCAACGCGAAGCAGCTACGGTAGAGTCACGCATCGGAGAGGCGCTGACACGCACTAACAAACGAGTAGATGAAACTGCAAGAGACTTCATAGGACGCTTGACATCAACAGAAACGAAAATGCTTGAGCGAATGCTGAATACGGAGGTCGAATTGAAAAAAGCGATCCAAAGCGCAGAGGAGCATGCGAACCAAGTGCGAGCCAGTGCAGAATCGAGCACGAAGGCGATGGTCGTTATGTAGTTTCATCTCCCAGTTACTAGTGGATGTTCTTCGTGGTTTCGCTGTCCCTCGCTAATGATGAATAAATATCTCCCTTCGGTGGTGCTCGTCCTTCTCGCGCGCTTTTGTCTTTTTCCAAACACACTTGTAGTTGTTCGTTGTAAGTTCTCCATCTCTAATACCAATGAACAGTGCAGGGAATTGCAGCAAGCTCTCAGTGACGTGGACGCGCGCCTCGGGGAGCAGTTTGAGAGTGTAGCCGAGAAATTCTCCACAGTGAATCTGGCGATAACCACGCACGCAGAGCAAGTAGGCACACAGCTGACGTGCCTCCGTGAACACATGGATGAGCAGCTAGCCGCACGCGAAGAGGCAGAAGCACGGCTCTTAGATGAAGCCTTGAAAGCGAGCAAGAAACTGAAGGACGAGCACGAAGAAGCTTCACCTACTAGCCAGAAAAAGGAAAAAGACAAGGAACAACAAGCTGCTACGTTGGACACGGCGCAGGTGGATGCACGAGTAAAGAAGGGATGCGATGAGCTGAGTCTGAAAGTAAAAACGGTGCTACAGGCGGTGAAAGAAGACCTCGCACAGCAGATGGAAGATGGGGATGCAACGGTGCTAGAAAAATTCACTAAGGAAAGCGAAAAAAGATCGCAGCGCGAGCGGCAAGAGCAGGAAGAGCGAATACAGAAAATCGGACAAGCCCTGAAAAACTTCAAAGAGTCGCAGGAGGCGGTGCAGCAGGGATTGGAAACGAAAGTATCGAATGAGGACCTCGACACCAAGCTAGCGGCGGCAGAGGAACGCTGGAGTGAGAAAGTGGATGCTTTGAAGGCAGAAACTGTCACCACTGCAGCTGTGCCAGCAGAGAATCCAGAGAGTAGAGATAGAGAGGTATATTACTTCTTCTCCTTGTTCGTTCATCTTCATGATGTTGGTAGTTGCTTCATTTCGTGGCTGTGGCGGTGCTTTTCGAACTACCTTTCCGACTACTCTTTGAATGATGTAAAGTTGTGTTTGTGAGCAATGCTGGCGCATAACCAACGACATGCTTGAGTCAAATAATGTGCTTCGAACTGCTGCTTTCAGACCGTCGACGAGAGCAAATCTTACACGGACTCGCGCTTTGGAGAGAGCCAATTCCATACAGAAGAGCAAATCACTGCAGCTAAGGCTTATGCGGACGAGAAACTGGCTGACGCAAAGCAGTATGCGGATGATAGGGTCTCCGAGGAAATATCAAAGATGAGCCTCGCTGCAGACGCCGAGGAGCGCATCAGGATCGGTGCAAAGACCTACACCGACGAAAAGCTTGCTGAGTGCCGCGCATACACAGACGACAAAGCGAACTGGATCACGCAGGAGGTACTGGTGAAAACGCGTGAAGCCCAGGATTCCTTCGGAGCAAAAGTGAAGGATTTCCTGAAGTCAACAGCAGAGGAGTTGCGTAAAAAGATCACTGCTCAAGATGCCGACTCCAAACAGGGTCTCAAGGACTTGGAGACATCGATTAAAAGTGACTTGGACAAGAACTGTGCGTCTTTAGCGGACAAAATTGCAGCCCTGGATGCCGCAATGGAGGCTGCTGCGGTTGAGAAAGCAGAGGAAAAGGACGCTGTCGCTGCATCTGTAGCAGCTGCGCCTGCTGTTCCAGAAGTTGTAGTGGATCCGGAGGAAGAGGAAGCAAGAAAGCAAGCCGCAGCAGCGCAAATTGCGGCCCTAGAGTCGCGGACCGAAAAAATCAACTGTGACGTCTTCGCGTTTGCAGAGCGAGCAGAAAAAATAGAGAGAAGTCTGCAGGATCACGTGGAGCAAACTCGCGAAACGACCTCCGAGGCAGCTGGGCTACTGCGAGGCGTGCAAGAACGAAGCGAATCCATTGAAGCGCGCGCAGAGGGCTTGGACACCCGCACGGAGACGCTGGAGAGTAAGATCTTCACGCTCAGCAGTGAGGTAGACGAGATGCGCGTGCACGACGTCTCGCATCTGGCGACCCGTGTTGAGACTACGAGCAGCCGATTGCAAAGTCTCGAAGAGCAGGTTGCCACTGCAACTGCTGACCTGGAAGCGGCGCAGCTTTCATTGGCTGCAAGTGTTGCGGCCAAGATGGAGGAGCACAAGCCTGCTGCTCCAGGGTTATCGGATTTGGACCTAGAGAGCTTGCGTGCGCAGGTACAGTCACACTCCGATCTCCTTGCAAAGAACAATGAGGCGGTGATTGCCGAGCGACTTTCGCAAGTCGAAGAAAAGCAATCTGCCCAGGCGCAGACGTTGGAGGAAAATCTGAAGGCACAAATGCAAAACGACATAGACGCTGCCTCCAGCAGTCTCCAGCAAAAAGTGAAAACGAACCTAGCAGAAGGCCTTGCGGACCTTGAAGCCAAAGCGGAGGTTAGCATTGCAGCCAAGGCGCAAGAACAGACGGAAGTCCTCGCAGACAAGCAGCAGGCGGACCTGAGCCAGCTTCGAGACACACTGCGCGAAGCTGTGGAGAGGAAGCTGGCTGCGGTGCAGTCCACTAGCGAGGAGACCTTCGCTACGAAAGAGGAGCTTGCACGCGCAATCGGAGAGAAGTTGCAAGAAATAGAAACGCAACTCAAGAATCAGCAAAATGCGCAAGCCCAAGCAGAAGATGCAACTAGCCGTGTGTCTGCAGCAGCGTTCGAGGATGTCCAGACCCGTCTGTCTGCGTTGCGTGACGAGCTAGAGTCGCGGCTTGAGGTCGAGAGCACAAATTTGCGAGGAGCTTGCGACGCGCTTGTTGCGGAGAAGACCGCTCTTGCGTCCGCGGAAACGGAAGCACGGTTGGCGGAACGCGAGCAAACGCTGCGAGCGGACCTGCTTTTTGCGTGCGAAGAGCAGCAGCGAACAGCATCAGCGGAAGGCGCAGCGACGCTCCGTGAAGAGTTGGCCTCCTCATGGCGTGGGGCGCTTGATGCACGGTCTGAAGAGCTGCGAGAGGCTGTGCGCCAGGGAAACGAGCAGCATGATATGCGGCTACGAGCGCAGGGCGAAACACTTCGGCAATCGCTAGAAGACCAAGTTGCGCCAACGAAGCAGGAAATGGCATTACTGCAATCACGCGTAGAAGCGCAAGAAGCGCAGCTTGGGTCACAGCAGCAGCTTCTGAGCGACGTAAAGGATGAAGCAAACGCTTTGCGTGATAAGATGGAGACAGAACTTTCCGCTCACGCTTCGGCCTTATCCGGCAAGGCGAAGGATGAAGAACAAGATGAAGCAACATCAACGAAGCTAGATACACTCCGGAGCGAATTACAGAGCGAGTTTGATGGTAAATTAGAAGCACAAGTTACGAGATTAGCAGGCGGATGGAAAGGCAAGTTTACCGAGACTATGTCGAAGTTTGAATCGGAGCACGAACAGATTCGATCGGCGATCGCAGAAACAAGCACGAACGCGCTGAGCGCTTCTGACGACGTCAGCTCTCGCTTGTCCGCTTTCGAGGCGACAATGCAAGTAAAGATCCAGGAGCTTCAGGACAAAACATCGTCGTTACTGAGACCCGACGAGCTGCCAGATTCGGTTGTGACTTCCGACAAGCTCAGTGCCGCAATGAGCGAGCAAGAGGCAAAACTTTCTGACCTTGTTTCGACCCAGGTTAGCGCTGCGAGCGCGCGGTTGGAAGAAGAGCAAAAGTCCGAGTCTGAGAGGCTTACGGAACAACTGAGGACGGTCGCGACGCGGCTGCAAGAAAGGATGGAGGAGAAGATGGCGACGGAGTGTACGACTGCATCAGCGGCATTCGACCAAAAACTGTCTGTTGAGAGCAGCAGGCTCGAGGCGCAGATGTCTGATGGCGAAAACCGGCTTGCCGAGCAACTCATCAGTGAAACCACCAGACTGGAGGACAAGCTTGTCGCTGACGCAGCAAGACTAGAAGAGAAAATAGATTCTGCTTTGAATGAGCAAGCTGCTCGACAAGAAGCTCAAGAGCAGGGTCTTAGCCCCGAACAGCAAGAGACGATGACGGCCAACATCATGAGCAAATTAGACGACAGACTCTCTGCTGAGTCTCAGAGGTTAGAGGAAAAGATAAGTACAGCTGCTACAACAGACTCAGAGGACGCGGCATCAAAGCTTGAAGCTGTTGAGGAAAAGATCACTGCCGAAAGCACCCGTTTAGACGAAAAGATAGCCGCTGAGAGCAGTAAGCTAGAGGCAGTGATGCGCAAGTTTCCGGAGTGGACCAGTGGCAAGATTGAGGCAGCGAAGGACACTGTGCGTGAGGAGCTTTCGGGTGAAATTGCGAAACACAAAGACCTCTGTACCGAGATCGTGGACGAGCAAACCCTGTTCGTGAACAAGAAAACACAAGAGGTCGCGGAGTCTGCGCGACAGTACATCGAACGCACGAAAGGCGAGCTGGAGGCGTCTTTGGAGCTGCTGCGAGGAGAGGTCTCGTCCTGCACGGTGAAATGCGAGGGAATTGAAGCACAAGTGTCGACCATTGGCTCCAAGCAAGATAGCCAAGACGAAAATCGTAGATCTCCGACTGCGGACGCTGAGCTCATTGAGCAGGCGACCGCGGCAGCCGCGGCGCAAGCGAACGCGCAAGCCTCAGAAGCCATTGCTCAGGCTAGAGAGGCCCTAGAGCAACAGCTGTCGCAGAAGGTGGACGAATCAGACCTGCGCCAAGTAGCGGATCGGCTAAACGAGAGGATATCCGTGGCGCGTGAAGAGGCCGACAGCCTGAAACTCTCTGTTGCGGATGCCAAGATCGAAATGGAAGCCAAGCAGAAGACGGACTTGGAGTCCTCTATCAACGAGCTGAAAGAGCGTCTTGGTACCAGGCTGAAGGAGCATCTGGCAACCAGTCGCGAGGCTATCGACTCAATGCGAGCTGATGTTGATGCGCTGCGCACGACGGCTGCAGACCTCAAGACTGAAATAGGAACGAATAGCAGCAATTCTATGGATGCGGACGCAACAGCAGAAGTCGAGGAACGATTGAAGCGACATCTAGATCAACACTTCGGGTCGCGCGAAACGGGTCTTATCGATGCAGTTGCTGAGAAGCTGAAGCAGGATGTCACTGCCACCGTGGAGGCGCAGGCAACAACACTGCGGTCAGAGGTCGAGAGAGGCACGAAAGCTGCAGTAGCGCAAAATCGCGACGAGCTCGTCGCTGAGTTGGGGCAGGAACAGCGGAATGGCCTAGCGGCAACTCGACAGGAAATCACAGAGGTGCGAGAAGAAATCGTAGAGATGAAGCAGAAGATTTCTGCACGATTGAAGGACTTCGTAACCAGCAATGACGACGCGCAAAATGTGCATCGGGAAAAGGTCGAAGAGTTGCATCTGCAACTCGGTACTGTCCAGACGCAGCTGCGTGAGTTCGTCGATGCGAAAGCACAGGCGACTTTCGCTGCGGCATCAAAAGCCGCAGCCGAAATCAACGACCGAGTATCGAGATTAGAGGCGGAGCAGCACGAACTTTTGTCGAAAGCTAAGCAAGAAATCGTCGAACAAAGTACTAAGCGAAATGCCGACTCGGATAGTGAGCAAAATGTGGATAACAAGATGATGACGATCGCTCGCAGGCTGCGTGAGGAAGTGACGCATCTTGTCCAGCAGAACATTGCTACCGAGGCAGAGGCGAGACAAACTGGCTTGGCCGATTTCAAGTCGAAACTTGGCGTGTATGTGAAAGAAAACAACAAAAACCTCGAAAAAGCCATCGCCGCAGCGAAGGACGAAGCGATGGCGGCGAGCAAGACCGCGGCTGAACGAGTGGCCAAGGCTGTGATAGCAAGCCCAAGCAGTGTTGACGCAGGAATCACAGCAAAGACGGACCCGCAACACGCACAGGAGATCTCGCCGCCTGGTATCGATGCTAGTGCTGAAGCGCGCATCATTGATGCAGCCGAGCGCCGAACCAAGGAGCTACTCGTGAAGTCGCGCGAGTTGCTTCATGAGGAGTTGCAGGACGAGATACAAGAAGAGCTCGAGGCTTTTGCAGGTACGGTGAAGAGCCAGGTCACTGAGGCTTTGCGCGAAATGGAAAATCGACATCAGCAGAGAGCCCCTTCTGCTGCTAGCACTTCCGATCGAGGAGAGGCTACAACTCCCTCTAGAGGTGCTGCCCCCCCCGTCGCTGATCGGGAGATAATCGAAACTACGTTGCGAGAATTGTTGCCGGAGCAGCTAAAGAGCATGAACCTCGTATTATCCTCATCATCGTCTGGTGCGGTGGACCACGACCAGCAAGAGGGCAGCTTCGTTCCGTCTCACCTCTTGAACACTTCGAAGACGCTCTTCCCTGGAGCTGCAACAAGAGCGAATGGGGAAAACCAAAACACCTCTTCATCTTGGCACGCTTTCAAGGCGTCTCCCTCAGCCTCCTCAGAACAAGGTCGCTCGTCGGCTGGTAGTACCACGACAACTGGGAGTGGACCATCATCGAACAATAGTGGCAGTACAGCTGAAGAAGGTGCTGGCGGAGGACTACTTAGTGCTTCGGGGTCTAGCTCAGCCACAACCTTCCTTCCCGGGGGTGGCGTCATGATATCCACCGGAGATACCGGCACGCCATTGACGTGCGTCTCATCCAGCGGCACACTAGTGGAGTGCCCTGCTACCTCTTCGGCTTGTTCCTCAGCATCTGCAGATCATAATGACAATCATCAAGACCTGATTCCAGAAGATTCCTTGGCGACTGGCGGAGCAACGAGTGGCACTGCATCTGGTGCCTTCTCGTCTGGTGCAGGTCACGCCTCCATCACCTCGAATAATATGCGTCAACATTATTTACATGAGCAGCTGATGCGCAGCGACGTGATCGGTCGCCTCAAGGAGAGTTTGAAATCTGAACTAACACGAGAATTCGAGCAACGGGTGAAGGGCCTGGATATCGACGGGCAGTTCCGGCATCTCGAGCACGAATATGCGGACAAATTGGAGACTCTCGCGACGCGGCTAGAGAACGCGCGCTCTGGACTAGAAGAAAGAAGCCGACTGCAGGAAGGCGAATGCGATGAGGACACACGCATAGGAGGTCGTGCTGGCACCTCTGCAGATTCGGATTCGGACGAGGGAAGCTGGTCGAGTTTGTCTGAGGACGAAGGAGGTGGTCCTCTTCAGGTGAAGAACAGTGAACAAGAAAAGACATCGACGTCGTCGAAGCCAAAAAAATGTCGATCCAATCGCAATCGACCTGGTAAGCTGTTGAAAATCGATATTCATTCCCAAGTGGATGGGACCGGTTTGAACAGCCACGACTCGTCCACCACTGTTGACGTATCGCGCACGACGTCGTCTTCGCGCGGCGGCCGTAGCAAGAGAACAAAGTACGCCTCTGCACCAGACGAAAAAATGGCTCGTCGAATTGTCAGCGACAGTGGCTGCTCCGGCTCCGCCATGGGCGACACCCGCACATACACGACAGAGGAACAAATGAAGTCCGAGCTAGAGCAGACACGTGTCGAGATCCTGCGGGAAATTCGTGCAGAAATGAAAGCAGGTCTTGCAAGTCCGGCAGAAGGATTTGAGACGAAGATTGAGGAGGCGGTACGCTTTTTGCATGATTCGATCATAAGAAGTTTCGATAATGTTCTACTGGAGTAGTTTAGCAAGAAGTAGACGTATTCCTGATTCTATCAGCGCCACGAATACAACTTCAACTTTCAATTTGTTCATGAAGTTCAAAAATGTCTGTCTTCACATCGTTTACAACTTCCCGTTCCCTTCTCACGACCCCAGGTCCTCGAGCGGCTCGAAAGTTCTTTGACTAGCCGCATTGAAGGCCATCTGTTCGCCAAGATAAGCGAAAATGTGAACGAAGCAGTGGCAAACCGTCTGGAAAGTTGGAACTTCTGTACGAAGGGCGACTTGGCTCTATCCGAGAGCAAGAATCGCGAGGCCGTCGACGCGTCTGTCGAGGCCGCACGCTTGGATTCCGAGGCCTTCCGTGAGAAGATGCACGAACTCGTGCTAGAGAGCAGACAGACGCTGTTCGAAAAGCTTCAACAAGAACTGAAAAAAGTGCAGGCAGAAGCAGATCAGAAGCTTAAGGCTGGAAAGAGGAACTACCTGATTGAAGTCTTATTTTGATCTCATCATCATCATTTAGGTACAATCATCATCATCATCTTGTACTCCTAGTCCTACTTGCTTGTTGCATGATCATGATGAAGCATTACTACTAGTCTCAACTTCTAGCAATTGTTGATCTTGATGTAGCATAGACAAAAATCAATATGAAGAGCATTATCTTTCCCTTTCGCCTTCGCGACTCTACCGCCATTAGCCTTTTAGCTCTAACCCCTGCACCCCTGCGTACGTCAACGATCTGTGGGAGAGTATCGGGACACTTGCGTCGCGTTTGACTGACATGCAGCAATTGTTGGATACACACTTGGGTTCCCGCAAAGTCGCCCAACTACGACACATCCATTCACCCAGTGAGGCAGTAATGGAATCACCAGTCTTACGCACAGAAGGAGCGCAAGACAAAAGAACAGCGCCAAAAGCGGACAGAGACCGAAGAAGTTCATCAATTATGGAGTGCGAGTAGACGTAGAAATGTCATCATGAATGTGACCCACGCGCAGGCCTCGACGCCCGTGTGAAGATATTTGGATCTGAAATATCATGACTGAGGCTTCTGTGGTTTGCACTGAAAAATCAATCCACTAGAAGAAGAAGAAGAAAATCTTCCACTCGGATCATCTCTAATACGCACACCAGTCGATCAGCATCACGCAGCAGAAGACCAGACCATGAGACTTCTTCCTCTTCCTCTCGGGGCCAAGGCCGCATTGTGCCCGGTGGTAGTCGTATCCTCGTAGCAGCAGCAAGCCGTCGTGGCGACGAGACAGACGGTCTCCTAAACGAAGATCGTTCGGCGCGTGGAAAAAAGCATAGAAGGGCAGATAGATGAAAACGTTTGCTATTGTGACGAGACGACGACGAGGACCACCACGACGAAAAGGGGTAGTAGAAGAGTAATTGACGATTTTTAACGATGCAATTTATCTGCTCTGTGAAATCACAACATTCGTATTGATTGGAACTACTTTTCTGTGTTTTTTTTCAAGTGGAAAGAATGTCTAGCTTCTCTCATGATTCGAAGAATCGTACTTGATGGGAGGCAAAATATCTGAATAATTTGTAATGAATCCTTCGTCTTGTGATGTATTTTTTCATGACAAATAGAAATACTAGACCACTTCATCAACACGCAAAAATAGTATCTTCATAGTCTAGATGAAGTCTTCGTGGTTTATATTGCCTCCTCGACGAGTCCTCGTCTGATCTTCTTACGTACAGAGTACTGGCCGAAACAGGCCCAGATGAGCTGTGGAGCAGGAGCTCCTGCTACGCCTACCTTATATATAACAATAACTGAAATGAAACAACGATAAAACCTATGCTGCATCGCAATAAGGAAGTGACTGACCCTGACCGATCGGTTGGGTATGAATGTTGGTACTTAAGATCATCGACGACGTATCATGATATGAATGCACTAGAGTACTAATAGAGGGCGGACGAGGAGGAGAGGTCCGCTCGTGCTGGGATAGTAAGCAATAAGAAGGTTTTTTTTTGTTGAAGTTATTGAATGAATAATCATCATACAACATGATTTCTCTTGGGGGACCCGGGAGATCGTACTACAGCCTGCGGTCAGCTTAGAGCAATCTTTTTTGTTTTCTGTATCCTTAGAAATAAAAGAACCATCGATTTTTTTTTGCTTCAACTGTAATAGTAATCCAAGCAACACTAAATGGCTCATAATTATCATTGAACACCTGAGTCATAAATTGCGAGCTGGATGGACCGACGCTAGGGGCCTCGTATGTACTAGAAAAGTCTTTTTGCGAAACAAATTATAAGGGAGAGCTGCAAGCGCTCCCGTTTGCGCTGACATTCACGCGATGAGCCAGACTACCACTGCCAGATTAACAGCAGACGCTGACCTCTATTGACAGCATCAACATAGTTGTCGGGCGACGTGGCGCACCAGATGAAATTACAAGCAGCGGACTTCTAGCAGACGAGGTCGGATTTCGTTGCGGAACCCTCTCGGTGTCGCTTTGAGATGAGGAAGGTGGAGACTTGCGAGTCTATGGAGAGCGAGTGACACACAAGTGCTTTTTGAATGTGATGCTCCGTTGGCTTTGTTTTCTACGTGACTACTTGATGAGTAGTTAGATGATGAGGGAGAGGCTTCAACTTTGTTAAGCTACTACTTTTTAAAACTACCGCTCGTCCTCCGCCAGAACATCAAATTATGTTTATGAGTAACATTGATTATAGAATATGTAGTGCATTAGATTGAATTAATACTACAACAAGTCGATATCGTCTGAACAAGGGTCTGCTCAGCTGCTTTTGATCCGATTATTGTCGCAATAAGAAAAAATGCAGACGGGTCTTCGTTCGTCTTGCAAAGTGCAAAGTTGCAAGATGAAGGTCGTTTTTCATAGGCGCCAGAATTCGGTCGTGTGGCAACGATCATCCCCGCCAACACCGTCATGCCTTGTCGCTGCTGCAAGAGCTTTTACAACGGATTCCACGCGAAGTACGAGCAGTTGTTCTTTTTATCCACCTCTCGCCGCACGAGGTAGCTGTTGTACAGGTGCTCCCTCCCGCAACAACTCTACAACATCCACAACACGGAGTCTCCTTTCGCAAAATTGGACCAGCACGAGGGCTTTCACCGCAACACCGCTCGGCGGCGCAAGAGGCGAAGCGGAGTCTCCCAGTAGTTCAGCACCATCACCTGAAGCGGGCGGTCGCCTGCCTTTGGCAAATACTCCAAATCCATCATCCACGACGAGCAGCGCAACAAACGCTACATCAGCCTCACCAACAGCCGACAACAAGAACGGTGCTGTAGTGGGTATGAGTCAAACGAAGGCGCTCAACATCAGCAAGGATGGCGGTTCCTTTCCCGCGGCCTCATCTACGGCTCTCGCCGAAAGCTCTACCGCAGATCTTCCCGCAGAGCCAGATCCTAGAACACTTACATTGTCAGCAACACGATGGGATCGCATGCAAGAGGCGTGGGAGGTGATGCAAAAGGAGGACCGGGACACTCTCTTTCTGCGCAACAAAGTCCTCCGGCAAGAAGAACTCACAGTCGAGGAGATGGCGGAATACAAGTACTTACAACTACAACTGATAGGATTATACATAGGATACATCTTCAACAGGAAACTTGTAGATCACCTACATCAGCGGAATCTACTTCTGCTGGTACTTAAAGCGACTAGATGTAAGAAGATGATTGAAGAAGAAAATTTAGCTTCGTTGGAAGAGGGAAATGTTCTTCGTTGTAACCTAGGTTGTTGCTCTTTCTCGCCGAAGTTTCTTAGGACATCAACATGCGACTCATGTGATTCTGAGCGGTGGTTCTCCTTCTCCATTGTCTTTCTGTTTGTTCGATCTTCAGGGAAGTACGCGCATGGGCTTCTTACGAGTATAGCCGACTATTAGGCCACGAAATACGATTTGTCAAAAGGGTTTTCTATGGTCTCATAATTGGTCTTTTCATCTTCTGGCCCCGAGAAGATAATGTGGAAGAGGTAGGTGACGAACTCATTCGTAGGAATGGGCCGTCGGCAGTCACTTGGGATGGCATACAGTACATGCTCAGGAGAATGAGGGAAGATAAGAAATTTTCCTTCTTCACATCTTAGAAGACCGCACATGATTCTCGTCAAGAGCACGAATCAACAAGAAAAATTCTTGGTGTTGATACATAATATTCATATTGAAGAACGAGGAGCTGCTCTGCATTACTACTAACTTCGAGATCAGTATCTCGATGTATCTGTCGTCCGGTGGAGGACGAGTTGTTGCGATACGATTGCCTCCTGTTTTAGCATTCGTCGTTAGTTTGACATCAAGAAAGGGTACAACACATGAACAAGAGACGGCGAGTAGAACCTCGTTCCAGTGACTTCCCAACCTGCACTACTTTTTTGTAGCAGCGTTTCTCGACCAAGTAAGCTTAAAAATAGGAGGTATGAGAGAAGATGTTGCAGTAGAGTCAGACGCGAGGCGAGAACAAAAACTGAGCGAGAGGGAGAGCGCGAGACCGAGACCAACCAAATAATAAATGAGATGGACTGGTGACATGAGAGACTTCTTGAGAAAAAAGCGTAAGCCGTATGAATTGTAGTACTATATTAGTATTTATAGTATTAGCAATTCCCAGAAATCTCTTAAGGAGCTCCCTTAAGGAGCTTCCTTAAGGCGCTTCCTTAAGGAAATCAGTTTCCTTAAGGAATTTTTATTATAAAAAGTTACTATAACTTTCCTTAAGAGGAAAAAAATTCCCTTAAGGAGGTCCCTTAAGGGCAAGTTGTTATAAACTTGGGCTAATAACAGCGGCTCCTTAAGGACCTTGCTAGTGCTACGAGTCCAAAAGTGTCAAGAACGTGCTAACGTGTTCGCGGCTGTTAGTTTGTAGGCTACTCACGTACACCAGCCACATCTGCAGCAAGACACCACGCGCCCACCCCTAGCGAATCGCCCCAACGAACTTCCAACCGCTACCCTTGTCATATATCGCCCGACGCCTTTACTTTTTTTCAAAAACTTCAGGGAGGTCATTCAAATACAGAGAAAACTGAACGACCTCCCTGAAGTTTTTGGAAAAAAGTTAGCTCGCTCCCCTTCCGCGACTACCTTCCGCGCACAGCAATCGACCACGGCACACCACAGGAGCGCGCGGCAGCCCTTGGAGATGGTTGACCAGTCTACTTCTAACCCGCACAAAAGCGGGAGAATTGTAAGGGAGAGGGTGAGCACTTGAAAAGGCAGAGGCTGACGAGCGTGATCATATTGATTCGCGAGAAGGCCAAAGACATACATCTCGGCGCTTCAAAGTCGCAGCCGTTGAGGATGTCGATGGCTGTGAGAATGATAGCCGTGCGCACTTGCGTGTCTGAAGGGTGGACCCTGGTGAGCGTCATCATATCCATGAGAAGGCCAAAGGTGTGCAAGTTTGCGCGTGAAGGTCGAAGCCGTTGAGGATGTTGATGTCTTTGAGAATGATAGCCGTGAGGACTTGCATGTCTGAAGGGTGGACCCTGGTGAGCATCATCATATCCATGAGAAGGCCAAAGATGTACATCTCTGTGTATGAAAGTCGAAGCCGTTGAGGATGTCGATGTCTGTGAGAATGATAGCCGTGAGGGCTTGCATGTCTGAAGGGTGGACCTTGGTGAGCATCATTACATCAACGAGAGGGCCAAAGGCATACGTCTCTGTGTGTGAAAGTCGAAGCCGTTGAGGATGTCGATGCCTGTGAGAATGATAGCCCTAGCCGTGAGGGCTTGCATGTCTGAAGGGTGGACCCTGGTGGGCATCATCATAGCCATGAGAAGGCCAAAGGTATACATCTCTGCGCTTGAAAGTCGAAGCCGTTGAGGATGTCGATGCCTGTGAGAATGATAGCCGTGAGGACTTGCATGTCTGAAGGGTGGACCCTGGTGAGCGTCATCATATCCATGAGAAGGCCAAAGATGTACATCTCTGTGTTTGAAAGTCGAAGCCGTTGAGGATGTCGATGTCTGTGAGAGCGATAGCCTTGAGCACTTGCGTGTCTGAAGGGTGGACCTTGGTGAGCGTCATCAGATCATATCCATGAGAGGGCCAAAGGTATACAGATTTGCCTGCGAAAGTCGAAGCCGTTGAGGATGTCGATGTCTGTGAGAAAGTGGATAAGGGTGGACCCTGGCGGGCGTCATCATGTCCATGAGATGGCCAGGCGCATGCATCTCCGTCGATGCTTGTGCGTGAGGATGATAACTGTGGGCCATTGCATGTCTGAGGCGCGGACCGTGGTGGGCGTCTTGTGTCATGTCCATGAAACGGCCAACCTTATAGACACATCCCCGCGCCTGAAGGTTGGGGCCCAGCTCCTGGCTCTGCGCATAGATATGCCCAAGCGTGGCTTTCTCATGGGCCTCGTCCATGACGCTCGCCAGTGTCAGCCTTTTGCCATCCCATGGGTATGCTATGCTTTAGGATTCTCCTGGACATGATCACACTCAAAAGGGCCCAACCTCTGTGCCTACATATGTCCAGGCGTGGCCTTCTCATGGACTCCATGACGCTCAGCGGGCCAGCCTTGGCGCCCATTGGCTTGCCCTTAGCAAGCAAGTTGGCCAAGGCAGTAGCCTGCCATAGCGGTAGCTTCCTCACTAGCCTCGCCACAGTGGGAGTCAGCTTCCCAGCCTTGGCGAGCAGACTTGGCGGCTTTTTTCGTTTGTCTTTCTGTCTCTTAGTAGTCAACCTGTCTAGTTGTTAACCTATGCCCAGCGCAGCGGGCCCTTGATGGGCCCGCTTTCTGGGCATGTAATAATAAAATATGACATACTAGTAACTATATTGGACTTTGAGGATCAACAATAAAAACATGATCTTCACATCACCCCGCTGCACAACAAAGTCTCCAAATTTACAGGCAGTCGTCAGGAACAAAAAGAAACTCAGGAAATACAGACATAAAAGAAGGAGGGTCTTGTGATGGAAACAAGTAATATTTATTGAAAACTGCTTACAACTAGTATGCTAGATGAAGTATAGCCTTGTGTTTCAATTCCACCTAGGTACAGGCACTAGTTGTATAGTTCTTCGTGATAAGAAAGAAGAAGAACAGTTTTTTAGACTTGGAGGTCGTGGTATAGTAAGCACTCTATTTTTGAGATAGCACAGGAGCAGAAAGATGGGCGTTTGTATTAGCAAAGGTGGCACCGCAGTGGCAGGCCAGCCTGGCGGGTCATCGTGCACAGTTGAGAATACAGACAAAGCAGCATTAGAAAAGGAGAATGTTGTTGACGACCTACAACAGATAAAGCCAGCAGGCATTGGACAAAATAACAAGGCCCTTGATGAAGATGACGGGTCAGGTGGAGGGGACTCTAGAGTAGTTTCAGGAGACACGACCACTCAAATACTTTTCGGCACAAAAGCAGGAGGACCGGGAAAAGTTGAGGATAAAACAACACCCGTAGCTCAACACGAACAAGCAGCACAGTCCTCCACTTCATCTCATACTCATACATCGTCCAGCAGGACTTCCGGTGTTGTTCAGAAGGGAGCTGGCGGGTCAACATCACGAGTTGGAAGCATAGGGAACGAATTTCCTGGTGTAAGGAAAGACTTTGGCGATACCGCAGATCTGCAGCGTGGGAAGAACGAAATTGGATCAGCACCAGGTAGAAACGATAAAGACACTGATGGAGCGACAACATCGACTAACGCCTCACCCGATGATGCGCCTAAGGTTGAGGTTGACCTGATAGCGAAATACAAAAAGGACAAAGCAGATCGGGAAGCCGCAGAGGCACGGAGGCTCGAGCAAGAAGCTTTCGATAAGAGTATCGCTGAGTTGTGCGGCTCGTACGGAAATTTGTGGTATTTTGCGCATCTAGAGGGCATTATTCCGCCAGAGAACATCCTTGCCGTCGTCGAGAAACTTGATCAGGCGCTTAACGCGACCACGAAAGACGCGAACGGGCAGCCACTTCCTGAAGCAGAATTTAGCGAGTTCCCGCTTCCTTCTACTCCTTCCAGTACCACGACCACGGGAGTAGCGCCGTCACCAAGTGTGTACACAGCGGAGCAGCTCGCAGGGACTGCGAAAAAGGACGAGACCCGCGGAAACAACAGTGCAGGCTTCTTCATCGCGTGCAACGGAAAAGTAATCTATCTAACGTCTTTTCTACCGGCGATACTTTCCGTTGTATGTTCGTTGATGAGTTGTAGTTGATATGTAGAAGAACAAGAAATATATAACAAATTCAAATCATTGATCTTGATGTCCTCTCCTCGTCTCATACAACTACCTCAAATGATGAAAGTGATTGCTTAATTTTTGAATGCCCCCGTCCCGACAAATCCAACAGGTTTTGCAATACACTCCGAAAACGGAGAAGCTTGCTCCTTCACTGTTGGCTTTGTTGAAAGATAACATAGCGGGCAAAGATATCACAGTGCAAGCTGGCCGCAACAGGTGTCATCCACATTATCCTGTACCGCACACAGTGGATGATATGAACCCGAAGTTTCGAGCATATATTGAAGACGCTGTGTTTCGTGGACCACTCGGCCGTTGCTTTACCTGTGTGGGTCAGTTGGTTCACGAAAGCGTCGTTTGAATTTGACAAAAATGCCTAATTTTCGATTAATATTTTCCACAAGAAGAAGAATTATGAGCAAAGAAAACGAATTCGATATTCGCACATGACGAGGATGTAAGCCTTGTAGTCAGCATGTTGACTTTCATAAAAAATGCCCAATCTCTTCTAGTACCGATGCAACGACACTGACTTCCTTGTTGTGCTTGGTGAGGGGTGGACGACAACGCATAGCTTTCCGTCGAAACGTGGCATGCAGCCATGCAATTCTTGCACAGATTTTTGGCTATTGCTAAGTGACGATGAAGAGAATTCTTAGCTTTGATTTTATCGCACGAGCGTCCTAGCTCTGCAGGCTCCTGCTCAAAAACTTCGTCAAGTACAACAGGTACGAGACTCTCTGATAGCACGACCCTCTGGTTGTAAACATTCAGAGCTTGGCAAAACGTTGTGTTAGAATACTAGAAGTTGCTTGATCTTTCAGTGGCCCGCCTACCACTGAGAAAAGCGCCGATGCTGGTCAAGTTGAGTCGCCAGATGGCTGCCTCGTGTCTCTACAACTCCAAGATCTCTGATAACCTTATCTATGATGAAGATAGTGGTGATGATGTAGCGCACACTACTAGTATTAGGATTTCACATCATCATCAACCGTTGTAGTTAAAGTTATCATAGAGGAGGGCGTCCGCGTCGGCTTTTGTAACTAGACACAGCAGATGACCATCGCAAACAAAAATGAACTCTTCACTCGCACATCGGTCCTCCTTGTGCGGGCTTTTCTTCCATTTTGTCATCTTCCTGCTCTGCGTTCCAAAAGCCGCGGCCAGTACGTCGTCTCAAGAAACAACCATATCACGCCCTAGAGCTGCAAGAGGTGGTCTGGGAAATGAAAGGAGCGCCGCGCTCCCACCATTTGTAGATGAAAAGTTCACCAATGGCAAAAAAACGATAATCACAAATTCAAATAACAGAACGCGCGCTGCTTACACTTCCCTCTCACGGCCCGACGTACTCGATGAAGATACACTCGTCCAGGAAATAGGCGACCGTAACCGACGACTATCCGTTCCTGCGCGATTTCCACTAGCATCTGAGCGATTACGCCCAGATTCTCCCGTTCAAATTGAGCTCAACCCTGGAACTGGTGTGCAAGTCCAATTTCAATGTCTTGGCGCTCCAGCGGATGCGATCGTATCACTGCATACGTACCTCTCCGCTGCAGATCCCTTGCTCATCCTAGTCGACCGCAACGCTCCACCGCATGCCCTATCCAAGGCGCTAGACAGCTCTTTTGAGCATTGGCAAAACAATGCTCACAATTCGGCGTACTTGGACGTTGGCGAGAATGGAGTAGGAAACGAACCAAGAAACTACGCTCAAAAGAGTACTGGCATTTTCGTGCGTGCCGAATCAGTTCCGACAGCTGGCGGGCGTGTAGCAGTCCTGAATGTGCCTACCTTTGCGAAAGAAACTCTGTCAGCACAACTGACAGTCCGTTGTAGCTACGTTCTGGTCTATGATTTCCTGTTTTGGAACCATCTAAGAAGTGCTAAGCTATGTCCTGTGGGTCTGGCTTTTACTTCTAGTACTGCGAACGGTGGGTTTCCAACGAATGGAAATGCTCTCCCTCCGACGAAACCTATTGGTGCCACAGCTTCAACGCCTGCTGCAACAGGAGTTGGAGAAGTCGATGGGGAAAAAGACATTTTTTCTCGACGAGGATTGCAACTGCGCAAAAATTCTGATGAGCAAACTGGCGGTTCTGGTTCGTTCTATGAGGATCTGCAGCCGCAAGAAGACGGTGGAAGTGGCGGTGGAACTGCTTTGCCACCTCCTGGCGCTTTGCCACCGGCGACCAAGAAAGAAATTGGTGCACCAGTGCAAGAAGAGAGTCAGACGAGTTCATCTTTTGGAGGACCAGAACAAGAGTCGTTCTGTTCTGGTCGTGGTACCTGCGATGCCACAGGCGAATGCCTCTGTTCTCAAGGGTACACGGGTGAGGCTTGCGAGCACGAGAGACATGACCTCCTGTTAACAGAAGGCCGATACAGTTTTAATCTAGCGCCAGGGGCCTACCGCTATTTCAGGATTCGAGTGCCTGGCATTTTTCGTGGTGGTTTCCTTGACGTCAATCTGTCTGCGAGTTGCAGCAGTGCTAATACACATGACGAAGCCGCAGCTGCAGACGGACATGGAGAGCAACTGAAACAAGAGCGTTGGGCTGGCTCTGGCAGCAAGAAAGGCTTCAAGGATTCGAATTCGCCTCAACACCCATTGGTCGTCTTGTTCGATACGAAAAAGTTTCCGACTCGTGGTGATTTTGAGGATTCCAATTTTGCAGAGTGGCTTCGAGCGCAGACACACCGTAGCACTGAGCCACAACGACTCCAATTTGCCATTCCGGAACGCGACACAGGTCGCAACGACGAACTGTCGGACGCAGTGACCTGTCCGTCAAATTCAGACTTTTTTAACGGAGCATCTTTGCAGAACAAAATAGGGAACCCATTTGCCCACAGAAAAAATACAGATGGAGTAGATGTCTGTTCTAGCGAAACATACCGCAAGTGCGAAAGTCAGTGCATGGCTTGCGTCCTTTGCACTACCGGGACCAACGACCTAGCCCATCTCCAGAAATGCGATCAGGAATGCATGAACTGCGCTGAGTCTTGCCTTCCCATTCTACAATCGTGTGCTGCTGATATCGATTGTGAGAACAGCGTGACCGCAAAAAGCTGCTCAAGAAATTGCGCCACTTGTATGGAGTGCGGACTGAGCAACGATGACAAATGTGCGCAATGTGGCTGTTGCACCAAATGTCTCCCTTGGAGTGTCAAGTGCGCCAATATGGCGGATAAACTTCTCAGTCACGGGAAAAATGTGCCAGAGGATGAATTTGTACGTCTGCATTATAATTTTAACTTTTTTTCTACTTTGTGTAGTTCCTGCTATCATGCTGTATGATCTGCATTTGGATGTTGTTGTTTCGTCCTGCTGCCTAAGAAAGAAGGAGAAACATTTTGACACTGACATCAAACACGACGACACTATCTTCATAGTTGGTGCAGCTGCCCGTCTAGTATGCTGCCCGCACTTTCAATTTCCTTCACGCGCCTTCCGCCTTCAGGCTTTTCTCGCGGTGTACAATCACCAGGAGTATTTTGGTGGTCGGGGACGGTCTGCTTCCGCCGACATTGATATCCGGGTTGTCGAGGACGCTAGCACAGTTATGGGCCGCAGTTGGGAGCCTCAGTCTTCTCGTACGGCGAATTCTAGGGGTACCAGAGGAAGGAAGAACGGACCCGACTGGCTTGGCCAACTGTATAACCCGTTCCAGAACTTGCATCAACTTGAAGCTCACATGCAGAGCGCACCAACAGCAGGGCGCGGCGCGTCGTCAGGGGATGAGTATCCAGTACCCGCAACGTATTCGAACAAATTTGTTTACGAAGCGACTGCGCATCTTGACAAACGCGCCACATCATTTCCGTCATCAACTTCTACAACTTCGGAGGTGAGAGTCTACACAGAAAGAGTGACACTGATTCGGGTCGATATGGACACGGAGTCGCAACGACACTATTTTGACACGACGTCCCGAGGACGATTGGAGCTTCTAGACGAGACCAAGAAACCAGGAATCGAGGTGGGCTTCGATGATGACGCGGCAAAGCAGCTTGTCCTCCTGTTTTCGTCAGCACCGGCTCCAAAGACGCTGTTCGATTTCACTTTTGGTAAATGTGAATTTAGGGTTGCTTGTTACATGATTTCCATCTGCATTATTTCTATGTATTTCTACTTATTTGTTGTAACTCGTCCAACTCCAAAAATCATGACAGATGATTACTGCATGTCCTAGTAGAGCTGCCGGTATTTAGTGGGAGGGAGCTGGCAAAACAAGCTTCAAACATCTTCATGTTGATCCCAGTCTTGTTGTGTTTCCATGCGACCCATCAGCTACCTACAATTTCAGCTACCGGATCGCCCGCTACGTTCTTTCGGAAACGCGACATGGTAAACGCCGCTGACGAGTCGAGATTTTTCGATGGTGCTGCAGGAGAAAAGCCAACATCCCCGCATATGCACACGACTGAAGACTTACTTCAGCGTCAGCCCATTGCTATCCCGGTCAATACCGCGCTGTTTTCTTCAGCTACAACTACACTGGGAAACAAGGAAAGGTCAAGTTCGGATACTAGAAACGAGATGCAGCCTCCAGCAACTCCGCATATCTGGTGCGCCATTTTTTCTCAGCGCACTGGCGTCGTGCGACTTCGGTATCGGGTAATAGACTACGTTCCGCCAGCAGGACTTTTTGCGCCTTCAATTAAGGCCAGTAATATTAATAACTGCATTCCTTCTACTTCATCTAAGTAATTGATTCTAATCTTGATTCTTCATTCCTGTTAAATGATGTAAGTAATGTGTATGAACCTGTCGTGGTAGATCCAGATGTTGTACTTCCGTCGGCTCTCTTGCAAGAATGGAAAGGAGACAGAAAGGATAAACAAGATACGCTAACGCTATACTAACTAGGTAAGGAACAGTACTATTAACTGCATTTCTTCTAATTCACGTCTGGGCCCTACAATGCAAACTAGTACCCACCTTTCTTCACAGAAGATGAGACAGAAAGGATAAAGAAGATATGCCAACGCCATACTAGTATTACCAGGGATCATAACTAGTTCAGTCAGAAGTATAATGCCAACGCCATACTAACTAGGGATAAAATGTTCGGAAGTCCAGCTTTAAGTCGGTAGTGGGTCTTTTCGGTCGGATGAGTTGGTGGACGTTTTTTCGGGATCTTGTGGTCGCTACGTTTTTCTTGCTTGGCACCATCGCGATTTTCTTCCTGCTGCAGATGAGTGAGACCAGCATAAACGTCGGACAGCTTTCAGCAACTGGCGTTATGGTCAGCTTTTTTCCATCATTCTCGGCATCTTGGTCCCCTAATCCCTTGTATTCTCGTGAAATACAAGGTAAAAGGGGTCAAGATGAGGGGGCCGAGATGCAATCTAGCAGACTCTAATGGCGCAGTTGGCAACCGTGCGGTAGCGGAGTTTTCTGCATACGGCTCTGCAGCATTGTCGATTTACAGGGACGTCAGAGATTATCGTGGTGGATCATCTTCATCTTCAGGTCGTGGACCAAGACGAGAAGACGCTAAGAACGGAGATCGCAGTCTTGAAGAAGTAGAATTACAAACTACGCCTACGGACGTCCGAACAAGAAGATCACATGTTGATGATGACCACGGTGGAACCGGTAATGGAGGAAGCGGCCTCGAAAACAACGAAGAGCACCATTTCGCTGCGCCTCTAGAGGGTGTTTCGCCGTCCACGTATGCGCCACGAACAGCTTCATTTACGAATGACCCGATTGCTGCGACGCGCGCTTTGCTCTCCGTCGGACCCGATGCCGGGTTTTCGAACTACGAGTACTATGCTGCCGAAGAGCAAGTGAATTCTGCCTTTATTCGCGGCACGGCTGCTGAGCGGCTACTAGACAGTCTCTCAGGACTATGGACACAATTCGCTGAGAAAACAACCACAGCTTTCACAGGAGGAGAAGAGCAAGACGATGAAGTGTTGAACAGTTTCCAAGAACAAGAACATATCAACGTCGAAGGACAGCATGACATTCATTTTAGAGGTGGCCCTACGAGCAGAAGTCGACTTCGTGATCCTAGAGATAACAGCAGAAGCACTATAGATGTTCTTGGCGTGGATGATGAACATGAAGATGACTTCATTCTAGCACGTACTGAAAGCGTAGTAACGCGAGAGCGAGTTGAGAGCGCGCTTCATGCTGGTGCGGTCGAAGAAGACGAGGACGGCGAAATTGTCGAGATAGCTTTGGACGACAGCTCGACATCACCGGGAACTACAAGGTCAGCTAGAGACTTAAAGGCGACTACAATTACATCAGTAGACCTCTTAGATGAAGATGATGCTGAAACGACCAAAGTAGAGCAGGCACCAGAAGTTCCTCCTGTAACAAGTGCAGACCTGCTCGGCAATAAAAACGTGCAGCACGCAGACGAAAAGGGCGCCGATAAGGGCGATCTACTCGGGTCAAGTTCCACGACAGGGAATTACAACTTGCTTGATTGTGCAGATAGTGAAACAACGGTCTCACATTCCTATGTCGTCATTCCTGGCCAGCAAGACACGAGTGCGGCATCGACCACATCTTCTTTGAGTGCGTTGCCGTTAGAACAAGCAAACTCTCAAGAAAAGACAGACCGCGGATTGTCTGCCTCATCATCTGAAGACCTGCTCAAAATAGACGATGATGTAGATGTGAAGGTGCTCACGTCATCCTCGTCGGCGGGAGGCTCATCCTCTGAAACCCTCGGCGGTTTGGATCTCGATGATGGTGGTATATAGTCCTTCCAACACTATGACCATGATACTTCTGATACAGATACATAGTGTGAAGGTTTTTGATGCCTTTGATACGACTACATTTCACATTGTGATTTTTGAGAACCCTACACCAGATTTGATTTCGATCATGATCAACACGCGCATTTATTTGTAATTGTATCTGTATGTAGATTGCACTTTCAATCTTCTGAATAATAAATCTCTCTGATGCCAACATTAGTAGTTACATTTTTCCATCAAGTAGCATTAGCAATAGCAAGTGCACCGCATCAAATAAAAGAAGAACTACAACTACCTTCGCGGTTGCTTCCACACAAAGCAGCTGAAATTGTAGTGATCCAAATAGACACCCGCTGGATGAACAGCCTAGAAGTCAAATCTGTCTTTATCTTCATCGGTGCACGACACACGCTCTAGAATGAATAATTTTTCCAGGTTGGGACAATGTCGAGCGAAGTCTGAACTCAGGAGATTTGCCAGACTAGACGTGCATCGCTTCTAACGTATTCCTCTTTTCGGTCTTCAAATGCAACTACTTGTACGCGCCTGTGTGCAAATAACCAATGTCGTGCCCCAAACAGACCGCCTCTCCCGTCCGGTATTTTCAACCATCAATATTGTCCCTCCATACTTAACTTTATGATCAGGCAGTTCAATTATGTTTCTCTTTCTCCAACGAAGTTTACTAGTTGTCGTTTCTCGTCCAGCGAAGAAGTTTAGTAGCGTCTCGGAAGTCTATAGATAAAGATATAGAAGGAACATCAGAATTAGAGGATGGGCCCGAGGCCGGAAATTGTAATTGCAGATGATGTCTTAATACAGTAAGATGCGTAAGCAAAAAATCAGCCTCATCCAAATACGTAACACTAAGAACGTTATCCACCTCATCCTACATAAATATAGGTTGTTTGTTCCCCTGATGAAGTGAAAGTTGTACCCCAACCCGCCCACAACCCACTCCACACCCGTTCGATAGTTCACCAAAATTAAATACAAGCTTGTGTTTATAATTAGCAATTTTTCAACATCATCTTCACCATGTACTTGTACGTGATGTAACTACCGTAAACGACCTTCAACTTCATGATCTCTAACTAGAACAACCAGAGACCAGCACTCCGAGACAGTCAAGATGGAGTTTCTCGCTGCTGCCGCCATCGGCGGTGCCGGCATGGCCTCCGTTTGGGGCTACAACAGGGACCTGTTTGAGTTTGACGCGAATATGGCCCAGGCGACGCAGTCGCAGCGGCTTTTCTTGCGAAAAGAATGGGTCTGGTTGTACCGCGAGGACATCAAGAATTTGGTGGGCCTCACTACCCAAAAGATGAACCTGTACACGCTCTTCATCGTCATTCAGCTGGCGTTCTGCGGTGCCATGTTCAGCGACAGCTCGCTAATAGACCGCTACGATGGCAGGAACGGCTTTCCGATTTCCAGTCACGCCATTGTTTACCATTTCGCAATCAGTCTCAGTGCAGCGATCATGTTCTCGGTCATTTTATGGCTCAGATGAAATAAGAGGTATGTAACAGTAAACAGTATTTGCAAGACCTAAAAGAACTTTCGATGCACGGCCGCGACGGGCTACGCCGGCTGGCAAGTCTCTCTATCAAGTAGTATAAATATGTTTTCCTTATTTAACTGGAACTGGATGAAAGATAATCCGTAACTGTGATATCCTGAGTTTTGAGTCAACCGCGACTAGACTGACTTCTTAGTTTGTTTTTCTCCTTCAGAATTCCTTTAGAAACGAGTTATCCTCTTGTTTTTTTTCATACCTCGCACTGTACCTAGCGATCCACGCAACGGTGATCGCGAATAGCTGTGCGACGACTTTGTCTCTGCAGAGCAAGATTCTTCGAGATATGCCCACCGGTACTGAGATCGATGCAGCGCGCAAACGCATGTTCGACTTCGAACAGGCAGCCGTTTGCCAAAAACAGATTAGACTTCCGTTTTCAGACCGATTAGCGCGTGCGGTCAGAGGGATGTTTGGTACTGCTGGCGGGGGACCTCAACAGGTGGCGGGTGAAGACGATGCTACAACAGGTGCAGGAGGTACAGGTAGCACCACCACGACTGGAAGCGGAACATCCGAAGAACGAAAGCAGCAGCTTATGGATGCTGCAGGTCGCTTCGTAGGGACGCAAAGGACGCCATTTCATCTGACGCCCGATCCTTTAGAGCACTACTACATCAACGAGCAGCTCGAAGACCAAGCCCGCAAAGAGGCAATAGCACAAGAGCTGAGAGAAGACGGTGGCGATCCTGTTGCAGCTGCTTCTTCATCTAAAAATGCCGCAGGGGGCACGGCGAAGATGACCAGAGTAGAGGGTGAGGAGGCGCCGCGTGACCTTGATTCTCTAGAAGTAGATGAAACGGAGAGACGCGGCGTTGAAGAAACTCATCTAGTTGATGAAGAAGGGGACGACGACGATAAAGAACACGATACTAGATCAATATCTAGAAAGCGTCTTGTTGTTGTAGGAGAGGGAGAGGCGCTCGCGAGCTTTCCTGCTCGAAGAGACCAAGACGATGAGGCTTCACAACTACCTAGTAATGCAGGTAGAAACAAGTCGCGTCGAACAAGCTCTCACGCATTTTCTGTGCCTCCGCTGCCCTCTGATCCTAGCGCCGATGTTTTCCAATTGCACGATGGTACACCGCGCAAGCCTGCAGCATCTTATAGTGATGGCGTCGACAGCCCGAAGTTTGGGGGGAACACCGTCAACGCTCCAGCGCGAGGAACATCCGCATCTACGCCCACAGCCACACGCACTACCACAACGTCAACGAACATAACTTCTATAGGAGCAGGCACATTAACGGAAAAAGCTGCACAAGAAATCATAACCAGGCATCATCAAGGGGACCAACAACAGTCTTCTGATCAAGATGAGGAGGCTGCTGACGATGATAATGAGGAGGACCCCGACGAGTTTGGACGTGAGCCAAGGTTAGAGCAACATGATCACGAAACCTATTCAGTTCGCGCCACTCGGTCTCGAAAGCAACCACTACGCATTTTGGACCCGTCGCACGCTATGACAGGACCAGAAATCGTACGAAAGGCGCGATCTAATGCCGCGACAAGTAGTAGGCGTTCTCCTCCTGGAAGGTCAGGCTCAGGACCAGGAGGTGTAGCAGCACAAGTGGGTGGGGCAGTAAATGAATCCTTAACAAGAACTACAACATCATATTCACATCGAAGAAGAGATGATGAGCTGCAAGAGGTTGAGGAGAATGTTGATGATGTCGATGTGCAGGTGTCGCCAATCGTGAATCAGGGCAACGTGGACGAAACGACACCATTCGTGGTGCGCGCCAGTCATCTAGATCAGTATAGAGGTTTGCAGCGGCATTGGCAGGTCTACGACGCGTACACCCGCGTCACCATGCTTCTCGCCACTGTTTCGACCATCTACGCGCTCACATTCTGGTCTTTGAACTTAGTTTTGCACCTCTCGCCGTGGGTGTGCCTGACGATGACTGCGCTGCTGATCGTTGCAGCCAGCGTGGTGACAAAGCTCGACCTTTCGGCGCCGCGTGGGTGGCACCTGCTCCTGGACGCAGCGGTGTTCCTGCAGATCGCCACCATAGCTGGTGGAGCTTTCTGGGAGAGTTGGAGAGTGATAGAGTGGGACCACTCCCGTGGCACAACTGCCTCCTCAGCCTGGATGGTAGAGTTGAATTCGCTCAGCCCAGGTGACCGCGCCCAACTGTTTTACCCACTAGCATTTGACCGTCGCAATTGGTTGCTATTTGCAACGTCGCTGTCTCAGGGCTTTTTTTTCGTGGTATTCTTCAAGCTGACGCAACCACCTGAACAGCGCGATGTCGAACGCTATATCGGGTCAGCAATCGGCAGTCGCGAAAAAAGTCTAGACAGCGCCTTTCTCCTTCCGACGAGGTGTCGGAGCGTCGCATTCCTCGATGTGCTGGCATGGAAACGGTCTAGGCAGATTCTGGATCATGCTGAAACTGAAGAAACGCCAAACACAGCTGAAAAAATCAAGCTCGCAAGGAAGCGCCGACGAGCCGTGTCAAAAGAGTTGGTGGGACCTAAATGGGAGCCGCCTGCAGTAGCTGGTACTAGCGCAGATGTTGTACTAGAAAATTTTGATGGTAGACGCGTTTCTTCTGGTGGAAGCAATCCTCCTCGAAGGAGCTCTGCACTTGATCGCGTGGTGGCCCAACAACTACAAGGCAGCAATGACGGCCCCACCAGAACAAGTGCCCTTTTTGACGAGGACCTGAACATGAACAGCATCCTTAGCACCGGCGAGGGAGCCAGAACGCCAGGAAGGTCCGCCCCTGCAGTGTACGACACCGTACAGCAAGTTCGTGAAGAGACAGCCATGTACGCGCAAGAGCTCTACCCTGGTCACGAATATTCTCTAGCCCACGATGCGATTATGCAGTCGTTGCATCGCGGTAATTGTGCTATCGACCGAACAGACGCTGGGGAGGCCATTCAGCAGGCAGTGTACAGCGGTGCAGCGGGTGGTGGTGGTGCTAGAGCAGGAGGTGCACCTTTTTCTGCAGGTAGGATGTTGAATTCAGGCAGGCCAGGGAGTGGATTAGGATCTGGAACGCAAAGAACATCCTTGACCAAGCAATACGAGCAAGAGGAACAAGAAGGTGCTAGCTACTCTGCAGCAGCGCTACTGTTGGAAGATAATCAAATCAGCGTCGGCTTTGGAGCTGTAACATCAACGTCAATTAGGTCTGACAGAACAAGGGCCGGGGCAACTCGGACTTCTCTTGGAGCCCCGAGTCGGCCAAGATCAACGTCAGACGTCGCGCGAGGCAGTCGTGCTCCACTAGATGCGATCTTTGAAAATGAAGCCGCCTCGCACGACGTCGACGGCAGGCTAGAACGAGAAAGTCAGAGTGCTAGTGCGCCTGACGCTGCAGTTGTTGAGAGTGTGGGTGAAAGACAAAGAGCTCGCCCACCTGTTGTACAAACTGGCGTTGATCCTGCCAAAATTGCAGAAGGAGTTGCGGCAAGATCGGGTGCACAACGAATCGATGTTGGTCGAGGAAACAAGATAGACGTAATGTATCCCCTAGGTGAGCACTCCGCAGAGAATGGTGACCTCAGCAGTGGCCGCATAGTTTCAGGACTAGCATCGAGTTTTGGAGATTTCTCCTCTTCCAACAATCTCGGCCCCTCTTCCTTTCGCGGCTCAAAGCTAAGGTCTGGAAGTCAACGTGGCAATATACCTGAACGACTGTTACGCCCGCAGCTGGCGCAACTGCAACCAGACGAGTTGGATGCGCGTGCGAGAAGACAAGCGGAGTTTCTCACATACATCGAGAACGAGCTTTTTGCTACCGACAATTTGATCCACAACACAGCGACCACAATGACAGCAAACGCTCCTGCTGCTGGTTCTGTGTTGATGTCTCCAGCGCAGCGGTTAGAGGCATTGGAGACCTTCGCCGGACTCTTGCGCAGTGCGTTGCTTCGTGGGGAAGATGAGATCATTTACTGGCTCCAGCTTTACGAACGGTTGGCGCCAGACCACGAGGCTCTTCCTCGTTGGCGACGAGAGCTCCACCAGAAGATCAAAAAGTCAGCCTACTACCGCGTACTGCACCCGACGCACGTCGACGTCGGCAAGCTCTGGGATTACGAAATTCCAAGGAAGCGCTTTCTAGAGCGCGGATACTTCGACTCCGAAGTCGGTCTATACACAACCTACTTCGTCGGTGTGAACGGACAAGTCTATTGGGGGGCGCCCCCTGTGACCACTACAACAACTTCTAGGACAGATGAACTGCAGGACGAACTTGTTGGAGCCCCTCGAGCGTGTGCTTCCAGTGCTCCCGACAGTGCAGCATTTTCAGGTCGCGGCGGAGCAGCACGGCGATCATCGTCTTCGCCTTTGGTTGCAAGTACATCAGGATCAGGGGAAACTGAGGTTCTCACAGAAGCGATGGTGCGCAGAGCTCTGAAGGCCTTCAAGAAAGACGTGATCGAAGCAAGCGAGAAAATGGAGGTTTTGCTAGAACTGTATGAAGACCTAGCTGCTGAGACTTCTTATGCAGAGGAAAGTGCGCGCGCAGACGCAGGAATAGCCTCGTCAGTCAACAATGCGAAACAGCTCCGCTTTGCGCCAACGCGCAGTCTCGAGGAGCTGATCAGTGTGAGGTCGTCCCTGCATCTCGATAGCTTTTTCGAAGAAGGGGACAACGAGTGGGAGGACGTCGAGGAAGAAGTAGATGAAAAGGGAGATGTGGTCGTGAAGAACTACACAAGAAGTGCACGAGGCGAAACCAATCCTGGCACAGATAAGGACCCGTCTTTGCAGAATGCTTCCGCGACATCATCGGGGCGCAAGCGCAGCATGACAAAAGCAGGGACCGAGGTCGATAAAGATGTCGAGGAACAGACGAACAAAATTGGCACATCTCTTCGGTCTCCTTTGAGAAGACAAATTGCAGGAACTACAGCTACTGGCGCGACAGGAGCATCTGAACAGTGTCCAGAATGCGACTTCACACGCGAAATTGCGGAACAGGCGAGTTCTCGCGCAGGTGCGCAACTAAACACGTACACTTATCAAATGCTATTGCCGCACAAACTCTACAATGGGGCTGCTCTACTGGTCATAGGTACCTATCTCTGCACGGCACTGCTGTGCTTCATCAACCACTTCACCCGGGATTTCGATCAGAGAGTGCAGGCTATCCGGAATCCGGTGACCTCAAAGAGTCCGCAGGGAAGACCATTCGCAACAGGAGCTAGCTCATCCTTCCTGTCTACTGCGTCATCATCTGCCAGTGCAATTTTATCTTCAGGTGCTCCATCTGATTCTGAGAACGAGGATCAGGACCAGGTCTTTAGCGCTGAAATACTGACCTCCACCATCTCCTCGTTGTCGTCGTTTTCCAACATCTTCAACGTCGCTGAGAACGAAATCGTGGGACCAACGCCGACAGAACCAACGTCGTCGTTTCTTCTTGCAGCACACGATGACGCGGAAGATGCGACCGCGACGCTTGGCCTGGGAGGTTATATTCCATGGAGTTCCTACCTCGGTGAGAGCAAAGACAAACTGCCGCAGCGACGATCGATTTCTGACAGAGGTGACGACCTAACCAGCACGACCAGTATTGAAGCTGAAGCAATCATGCAAATGCGCGACCAACAAGGCGAGGCAGATGGAAGCCATGACCCACATTCCGGAGCAACTTCATCAGCAATCCAATTGCCCACTGCAATGAGTCGCTTCCTGTCAGCGATCGAGATTGACGAAGCTGGAGAGCAACACATACAGTATTTAGCAGCGTCCTCGTCAGGAGTTCCGTTTTTATCTTCGTTTTTAGATGTTTCTACTGGAACAAGAGCTTTGGACGAACAAGGCTACAACAATTTGGAAGGTAAGGCCGAGCACGTTGAAACTAAAAAACAACCAGAGCCCTCCACTCCTGTAGGTCATTCTGATGAACAAGAACCTACCGTGGCCGTGAGCGATAGTAGACAAGAACAACAATTACAATTCACGGACGAACAAGACTTGCGTCATGACGAGGGAGATCAAGATCAAGTACCGACTTCCCAGAAGCATGATACTAAGGTTCAGCACCAGGTGGAAGCATCATCATTTCTAGACACGGGGATGAGCATCGACATCAGCAGACCCTCTTCAGGTGGTTCTTCCAGTCCGAGTCAAGAGCTTCATCATGTGGCATGTCGTCCTGAGTGTGGAAGTCGGGTGGCTCTCGGGACACAATGGCATGTGACTTTCGGAGGTTTCCGATGCACTTTTGCGAACTCAATAACAGGCGTCGCTTTGGCCGCCGATTGTCGCTCTGTCTTGGTTCTTTTCGCTGACGGTGCTATCTATCGCTGTCCAGGTGCAGCACGAGCAGAACTCGTATGGGCCGGTAGCGTTCGACGACCTGGGGCGTTACAGAGAAGAAGTAGTACTGCAACTAACGAAGGTGCATCAAATACTGCGACCTCCTCATTCTTAGCTGACGCGAACGACGCTGTTCCGCTGGCGACCAATCTGCCTGTCTACTACACAGGTTTATATCCGCACCCAAAGGCACAGGGCGATTTTCTTGCGGGAATGCTTGCGCCCATACCCCTTTCGGGATCGGACATGGAGCAAGGTGGCGCATCACTGCTGCAATTCACATCATTTCCAGCACCAGCAACATCGGCTGCCCCATCTTCTGGTACTGGAACCACTCCTACCGCTAGTTCTAGTACGAATCGATTACGCCCTGTCGCAAATATCTTGAGGCGCACACTGGAGTATGATGCTAAAAAAATGCCTGTGGAGGGTGTAAGACTTTTTGCTAGCAATTTCCAAGAAGGCAAGCACAGGAGGATTCTCATAGCAGACAGGCTCCGAACTTACTTGCTCTCAGGTGGTTCAACCTCCTCCACTTCTGCCGGAACCAAAGAGAAGCTGGAATTGCGAAGCACGCGTCTGAGTCTGGGACGGTGGCGCAGTGTATGTAGCTTGTCTCAGAGTGCGTTTCTTGTCCTCAACAGCAAAGACGAATCAAACAGAGGGGGCGGGACTCTGCGCCAAATATCTTGGTCCGAAGTTAGTACATGATGATGATGACTCAGTAGAGTGGCAGGGGCAGCTTTATTGATGTTGCCCGTCTGAAGACCACCTGACAAACTCAAATCAAACAAGGCACCGTAGAACAAGACCTTGTTCTTTTTGTGCCCAGTCTTTTTGTCCACAGGAGCCGCACACACTCGCTCCCCTTCCTTGTCTGGTCTTCGTAAAACAAGATCATTGTCCATTTGTTTTTGGAATTGGAGTTCTGTGCAAATTGAAAAATAAATGTTCGTACATGTTAGACCCGTGCGAGAGCTCCTGCTCCATAAGATCATTTCATAGACCCGAAAACAAACAGCTGGAAAAGTAGAAAGATCCAAGAACTAAGTGGTAGTGGGTAATTACTCATTTTTTTCCATATTAGTCGAAAATCCGATCAAAAAGATTGCATCTGCAAGTTCCTAATCCTAGAGGCTGGTTGTTCTAAAACAAGATCTTGCTTGAGATCAACGTGGATCATACTACACCACGCTCTGAAGCGAACGCTAAAACAACTAGAGCAGTTGTTCCAAACGATCTTCAATTTGAGTCACGACACCTGGTGTAGTGACCGAAGCAACCTGCTCCAGTTCAACATTCCGACGAAAGCAAGATGAGATCAACCGATCGGAGATCCTTGGCCAACTACTTTCGTAGTGCTCAACACTCATCCTGCCATTTACCTTGCTATCGCTTACAGGTGGTCGTGCAGCAGAAGTAGAAGCAAGTAGCCTGAGTGAAGAACATGGCTCTTGATAGAGTGCTATTTGATGTCTAAGTAAATAACGTCGTGATCTATGAAAGAAAGTCAACAAAGCTCCTTCGACGAATACAGCTATTGTACTTTCATAGAAGATTTTACTGCCCCTTGCCCTTCCACGACCAGCAGTAAAAAAACTACGCTCCTACTTCGAAATGGCGGTGCAAAAGAAAGGGAAAGGAGGTGGCAAGGCTGCTCCCTCTTGGAAACAGAAGCCTGGAAAGAAGCCTAATCATAGCAAGCCTTCGGGTAACAAAGGAGGAGGAAAAAACACGAGGTCATCCTGGAACAACGGTGCCGGGTCCAGCACCATGTGGTCAGAGGAGGGCATCGAGACCGACCACTTCGAGAAGAAAACTGGTAAAGCATCATTTCTGCCAGAAATTCAGATCACGGATGAACTGCTTGCGGATTTCGGCGAATGGACGCGAGTGCCATGGCACGAACTGAAGGCGGAGATGACGCAAAAACAGCAAGGGCTGTTCGACGCCGTGGCGGGTGCGAAGAAAAAGAAGCAAGGACGCAGCTTGCACGAACATTTGGACGACTTGGAAACCGGTGTCTTTTCAGAAGAGCGCTGCAAAGCGGCCTATGAACATGCCCAAGCAGTCTTTGAACAGCTCATAAACAACGACGAAGAACAAAAATGGCTCGCGAAAACCGCGAGAACAGGAACAATGGGCGATCGAATCGAAGCATTGCAGGCGAAGGTAAATAAAATACATGTTCTTGTTAGTCTAATAACTATGGCAATCTTTTTTGAGAAATGTAATAAACCAAAAACAAAATGACTGGTAAAAGGCAGAGGGTATAAGTATCCGATTATGATGACCAAATGTACTGAAACTACAACAGCAGCATGCTGAATCTGAAATTTTCGAAATTGATCTGCGAGTGTATCAATCTTTTTTCAACTTACTACACGACCTACTTCAGATCCGATTAGCGCCGATTTTCGCGTTGCCACAGTTGAAGCAACTTGTTGGTATGTGTCAGAAGAACAATCGACACGAAGCTGGCCTTGCTATTGATGCTTTAACAGCGATCTTTGGCTCAGACGACATGCTGCCGGATCGAGGACTAGCTCTTTTCCGTGCACAAGTACGCGAAGAGACTGGCAAGCTGTTTTTGCTGCGTGAGTCAGTCAATTGCAGCAAAACTGGTAATGGCGATGCCTCTTCATCTGGAGGTGCAGGAGAAGCCCCGACTACGTCTACAGCAGCAAAGAGTAAGAATAAGAAGAAAATAAATACAGCATGGAACAAAGGTTCAGCCTCCACCACTGTGGGTGTTGAGCATACTCCCAAAGAGGCGGAAGCGCGGTTCCACACGACCGCCAAGATCGTGGAACGATTGCAAGTTGTCCTGTACCTGGAAGATGCGCTGAAAATCCTGTATTCGGCGTTTTTGCAAACCGTAGTGGCAGGAACGAGCGACAACGTCGCGTTTCACAAGCGCAAATGCGTCACTGTTTTAGCGGATATGCTCACGCTGAAACCGGAACAAGAGCACCTGCTCTTGGAGCGCATAGTCAACAAGTTTGCGGACACCGACGCAAAAATCTCGTCCCTAGTGCAGCGCCTCCTTGGTGCAGTAACGCAAAAACAGCCGGAGATGAAGACCGTCGTGGCTAGAGAGGTACTTTCTCACAAGACTTGATGTTGTTGTAAATCACGGCATGGAACTCCTACACTATTTCTCTAATCATGCACGATTTTCTAACGTGGTCGTTAGATGATAATTAGTGCCAGAAAGTAAGGACTAAGGAGTTCGTTGTTAACGCAGAAACACTGAGCCCTTTCCTGTTATGTCATCAACTCTATCTATCATGATAGTAATGTCCTCTTCCTCAGTCATTCTCCGTCACAATCTTCTAGGTCGAACGCTTTGTGCGCAGTCCGGGATCACTCTCAACGCGAGCAAAATACTGCGCGACGTTGTTTCTGACGGAAATGCCGCTGGATCGCAGATTTGATTTGGCCCTTTCTCTCCAGTTGGTCCTGTTCTACGCGCATGTTCTAGGACAGGTTTTTGGCGACAGTAAACTCGCTACCAAAGTACTAGCTACAACTACTTCCACCTCCAGTACGTCGTCAAGCACGTCGTCAAGCAAGAAAGGTTCATCGAAAGGAAGCAACAAGGGTAAAGGGAAGGGAAGCGGCAAAGCTAGTAGCCAAGCTAATAGTTCGTCCGGAGCGACCACACTATTGGACGATTCAGATAACCGGCTCGTTAGATGTGTACTGGTGGGGATTAAGCGTGCTATTCCGTACCTCTCTCCGGAAGCCGATATTGGCATCTTTAACGAGATGGTCGAAAGTCTTTTCCGCGTTTGCCACACGGTGTCTGCGTTCTCGACGCGTGTGTCGCTGCTTGGTCTGCTGCGCAAGATCCTGCTAAAGCAACAGCAGTCTCGGATCATGGCACAGAAAAACAAATCGAGTATGCCAAATGGGAAAAATTCCTCTACACGAGAAGGTGACAAGAAGGATGAATCTTCAGAAACTACAAACAAGGATCAAGAACAATCATGTACAGCCACAAGCCAGGAAGATCGCTACTACCGTCTTGTGTACGAGCAGCTCCGACATTTCGAGCTTCTCCACACTGGAAACCAGCTAGAATTGATGAATTTACTGCGTGAAATCGTAAAAGAGGACTCGGACCGGCAACGCAGTGTCGCGATGTTGAGACGGCTTTTCCAGCTCTCAGCGCATGTCTACTCGCAGGCACCGGGAGTATCTGGTCTCCTAATTGCGCGGGACGCGAGCAACCTCTCGAGAGGAGGCAACTTTGACGAACTTTCGAAGCCTGTTGGTGCCAGTACATCCACTGATACTGCTTCTCCTGGTTCACCTGAAAAAAAATCCGCTACAACATCGATAAAAAGCTCGACGTCATCATCAAGCACCCCTGGTGGTGCAAAAGAGGACGTTGACATCAAAAATGAATCGTCAATCGCCGCCCAGAACCAGAAGAAGGGTGAAGATAGTACTAGTTCTAAAAAATCGTCAGAACAAGCAGATTCAACGAGTTCTGCCCTTTCAACGGATTATGACTCCAATAAGAGAGATCCTCGATTCGCCAACGCTCTTGGCGCTCTCGTATGGGAGTTGCACGCAATGGGCCACCACGTGGATCCAACTCTCCGTTCCCTCGCGTCCTCTTCGGCGACTTGTCCATTCGCTAACGGCCTCCAGATTGGCACAGTCGTCCGTGGAGATCACAAGCATTTCCTAGATACGTACGCTTTGGAGCTAGATTTGAGAGCAGGATGGGACACGACTACCTCAACAGGAGGCGGCGCAGGAGGTGCGTCAAATGTGGACGAGGACGGGAAGAATGAAGATGAAATGGATCAAGATGCTCGTGAAAAAGCAGACTCCTCGTCTGATCAGAAAAATAAGAAGAATAAAAGCAAGTCGACCTGCACTGGAGAAGAGCAAGGAGGCGGGAGTTCTTCATCGCGTTCTTTTGTCGACATCGCGCGAGCCGAAGTGAATGGAACGACGCGCAGAGGCGAACAGCTTCTGCCACATGAGCGGTTCCTGCTCAAAGCAGCGAAGCTTGCTGTTTTAGGTGTCGGTGGCGTCCAAAAGGCTATGTCGACGGCCTCCAAGAAAAAGACCGCAGAGAGCGCAGACTTCGGTGGTGAGGATGAAGAGGAGATAGATGCCTTCTTCGATGACTACCTCGAAAAACAGATGCCACCGGATGAAGACCCGGATGCCGATCCTGAGTGGTCACTGAGTGGCGGACCAGACGACGACGATGAGGACGAGGACGATGACATGAAAGACGACGATGAGGAAGAAGTACTCGATGAGAAGGCCGCTGAAGCTTTGATGTCCGGAACGCAAGAAGATGACGACGAGGATGATGAAGATGTTGACTCTGAGAAAGCATCACAGGAGATGATGATGGACGATGAAGACGCCGATGACGTAAGCGACCTCGACGAGAACGATGAGGATGAGTCTTCATTTGACCTACCAGAGGACGGCGACGACAGTGAGATGGAAGAAATGAATGCAAAAGCACCTATGTCAAAGACGCAGCAGAGGAAGGTCGATCGCAAGAGAAAACGCGACGAAGCAGCCGAAGCAAGACTCGACCCAGAGACCAGAGATAGGGTGAAAAGAGCGCGCAAACTGATTAGCAAGTACTCAGGTAGCGCCTTTGCTGATGCTTCAGAATTCGAGGAATTCCTTGACCTCTAGCTCTAGATATCAAGGAGATGAATCCTTCATCTTACTGATCCTTTCCAAGAACCTCTGGAACCTCTATTGCAATTGCAAGCGAAATCAAAATGTACTAAGTGTAGGTGCTTAGATGAGTACTAGCTCCTTATTTAGGATGAATGATAAAGGCGCCAACATGCTCATGACCATGACGAGAGAACAACTATAGAAAAAAGAAACGACTTTCGGCATTTATGAGAGTCAAAGTTGCCTAGTTGCCTCCACTTGATCTTGAAAAGCATCGTGATGTGTTCGCAGAATTCCAAACAACGAGGGTTTGTCAGTTTCTGTGCTGAGGAGATTGATAATAAATCTGATGTTTTTATTTCTGCTGAGAGGGCGAAAGCAAACGCGAAGTGAGACGATAAGTGTTGCGCGATGTTGCTAATGTTGATTTTGGTATCAGTCGATATTTAGTGATCCTAGTTTTGGCTACTACAAAATCATGCTCCTCGCGATGATCATGTAGGTCAGCAGCGTCGAGGTGGTGATGAACGATACGTTCGCATTAGATGAGAGTAGAGATTGATGTGAGAAGTAACTCGCCATCAAGATCAGTCTACTATTATACTGTTATTCTTTCATGAAATCTACAGCGGTCTCCTTCTTCTACCCTGTCCACCACCTCTAGAAAGTTTCATTCGCATACCCCGCGACCCCTTGTAGGTAGAACTACAGTTGTAATTATCGTGTTATCATACATTTATCTTTGTGCAATATACTCGTCAAAATCATGCTACTTAAGCCGAAGCAAGGTAAATACTACGGAATTTTTATTTTTTGATAGCTCCTCGTGTTCGTTGTATCGGGCCTGTCGCGCCTCTTCCAACAACGAGCAACGCTGTTATTTCCAACATTTGGATAATGTCTTCTTAGAACCACGAGCTAGTTGGAGGTGCATATGAGACAACAGTATGTAAGCTTCTCTATCTCTAGGTTGTGAAGATCATTCATCTTTGTCATTGACTCCGTGTCCTCAGCATTCACAGATTAGGAGTTGTACGCTAACGATGATCTAGGACCACTTCAACATCGATCTTTGTCAAAGAGCACAAAAAGATGGTTGTGAACGTAGCTGCAATACCTGGCGACGATCGGGATGCCGATGGACGGAGCGACGTCTCAGACGCCTCCAGCACCACGGCCGGTTCCGAGACTAACGTGGCGTCAACAGCGAACAATAAGAGCAAGGCACAGGCAGGAGGGTCCTCATCGTCCTCAGGTTCAGCCAGTCCTGTGGAGAAGAAAAGGAGAACCAGCACTGTATCGACATCAGCATCCTCCACGGCCTCTAGTACGTCGAGTTCGAGACCAGGAGCGATCAAAGCCAATGTCAGTGCCGCGGCCGAAAAGCAAAAGGTTACTTGCTTGTCCGACATAGAATTGACCGATGAAACTGCACAGCGAAGCGAGTACCACTTCGGCTATTTCGGACTGCTCGACAAGTTCATCTTGCCACTGCTACGAGACAAGCGGGACCTGCCCATGGTCTATCTGCAACTCAATATCATCAATTTTCTGTGGCCGTTGGCGCTTGCAGTATTGTACACCGGTAACGTGTATCTGGGAATCGCTTACCTCCCAATCGCGCTTCTGGGCTTCATGGAACGCTTTATCCTCATGCTGCACTTCGCGTCGCACAGGAAAGTGTTCAAAAACGAATTTCTCAGCGGCTTTGCACTCTACTTCATCGCGCCATTCTTCGGAATCCCGCCAGGTACGCCTTTTTTAGGTGCGTCGTTCTGCACCACAAATCGTATCACGACAATGCTGACAACCATCTCGAATATGAGCAAGAATTATGATCTGTATCAGTACGTGTATCGTTGCTAATATACTAGAAGGACGAGATGATGAGATGAAATGTGTCGCGCTGAAGACCGATCTTCTCTCGACCAAGTCATCACGGACAAAAACATCATCGGATTGATACTTCTAGACTTTTCATTCTTCATACCAAATATTTATCACAACCACCACCCAGGCGCGTACTATCTGCATCATATCATCATGCATCATGGGGAGAACAACCATGGCTTGGACACTTCCGAAACTGAGAGCTACCATCGGGAGGGCGTTTTTGGCTTCTTGAAATACTGGTTGCGTTTCCTCGTTGGTCTGTCAATAGAACTACCAGTTTACGCACTGCGAACCGGCCGAGTCGGCTGGTTCTTCTTCTTCTGGGTGTGCATGGGATCGTGGGCGTCCGTCATCGCAGCGTGCTGGAAATTTTTCACACCAACGGGAACCATCTTCGTGTGGATTGCACCACACTTTCTGGCGCTCTCCGCGATGGCATTAGGAAATTACGCGCAACACGTACTGCTACTGTTCTGTTCAATAAAATGTAAATGTTGACTTTTTGTCCTAAGTAATTGATGGCAGACCAGTGGCTTTTTTACTGGAAGTAGAACGCTTTGTTCTCTGGTTGTTCAAAAAAAAAGATTGCTCCTCGTCAATGACTTGTACAATTGTTCTCCAATATCTGAATACAACGAGCAATGTTCTCCACTAGGTCTTCGTTGATCCGGATTCACCGTCAAATAACTACACACTGTCGTACAACTGCCTAAATGTGGGGACGAATCAGACGACGTTCAATGATGGATACCACATCCTGCATCACATCTTTCCGCGTCTCCACTGGTCCGAGCTGCCGCGAAAGTTTGCGACGTCATTGCGGGAACATAAGAGCAACCGAGCCCTGACGTTCCGAAATATCCACTTTTTCGATGTCGGAGTACTCGTTTTAACTGGCCAAATAGAAAAACTAGCAAGGGAGCACTACGTCTTTCTGGACGAGAAGGGGGTAATTATAATATCATTATCACTTACAACTTGTTATACTTATTTTACCCTCTTTCTATTAATATGATAACTTGTTCTTGCTCAAAGCACTAAGTAAAACAACCGGTTAGTTTTCACCTCGATCACAGTCGTAGACTTATCCCGTGCAACAATATGATAACTTGTTCCTGTTAGACGAACAAGCGGTCCTCGATCTTGAGTTATTACCCCTACTTGTACTACGTCGTAAGGAATGACATTAACAATGACCACGATCATTACCTGAATTCAAATTTATCTGTTACTGTTTCCCCGCATTTCTTTCTCTCCGTCTCCTCATCGCGACTTCACTCGTTCTTTCCAGATTCGGCGCGAGCAAGACAAGAGTGGCGTTGATTCCAAAGATAAACGCAGCTTGGAAGAGGAGGTGCCAACAGTGGCTGATGTTACCCGTGACCTTTACAGGAGACTCACATTTATTCCGCCATACAGTCGAAAAATCGACTGAGCGACAGGTGTCAGAGGAGGGATGATGTGCGCAGCCTCTACTGGGTCGGTCATCGGCGACGATAGATGCTGGAGGAAGGAGGTGGTTGTCGAGATCTCGCTAGTCTCTTCAACATTGAAGATAAGGCTGAACGACATGGACACGGACCTGATGTCAATTGTCAGGTTGTGCTCTTTCTTGTCCAGAAGTCAAAAACAGAACACCACAGCTAGTTGTATAACTTTCAGATGTTTCCATTAATATTGAGTTGATGTCGACGAGAAGAGTTTGGAGCATGTTGTTGCCAATGCTTGCATCGAAATCATTGCTCCTAAATTCCTAGTATGCTCGTCTGAGCCAGAAGTCCGAGTCGTGTGCAGTTCAAGTATAATTATGGATTTTTTTGACGTCCCTATACATAGGGTACATATTGTGATTAGGGTGTCTCTCTACTGTTGTAAAACGTATTCTTCGAGATTTTTTACTCATGCTGCTGTGGAAATTCTGCTCTTCGCGATGGGGGTTGAAACAAAAAGTAGCCACGTCTCACTCTCCTCATCGTTACAACGATTTTTAGGATTCTTTAAAACGCAACAGCCGGAGCAATTTAAGGAGACTGCGCCTCAACCAGCTGCAACCACGTGCTGTCCGTAGTTCTGCAGCTGCTATTTTCTATCTTTACAAGACGACGAGAGCACTATGTTCATCTCGATGTCGGACTAAGATGCATATCTTGATGACGTGGCTGCCGCTAGATGAAGAGTTAGACAAGATCAAGATACATCTAAATCTTCAGGCTCGTCTGTCTAGGACGAGTTGTTGTACCTCCAAAGAAATGAGGTCAATCCTCGTCGCTTATGAAAGTCAATCTTCTGATTCGTCGTATTTGTAATTGGTTGTATCAACATCATTAAGCTTATATTTATCACCTGCATGCTCCTACGAATTCAACAGGCTTCTCCACGTCGAACCAGAAGTTTCTATCTACTTACGCAAAGACGCTAACATCGACCACAACATGTTGTTTGCTTTCTGAGATACATTACAGTTGCTGCATGATGAAAATGATTACGGAACAGGGACGAGCTGGCCTTGGCTTTGGGACGACCTGCTCGGGGCGTTGCTGCAACGCTAAGACTACACAGGCACAGCAAATATGTGTGTTCTTGCGGAACAAGAAAGAGTGATGATTGACATTGATTGCTTCATCAATAATACCATACATAGTAAGACGAGCGGAGGTATTATACAACAGCGACCACGACTCCCGAGCAGCGCCGGCGATGATATTTAACTGAGCAAAGCAAGGTTAAAAATGATACGTATGACGAGATGAAGAGTTACAGGACGAAAAAGCGAGTATATTGTTCACATCAAAAGTTCTCAAAGTCACTGTCAAAACGTTAAGCTTTTCACTCAACCTTTCTTAACTCTTATGTTGTCGATGAACTTCTACTGCGTACTAGCATTTATTCAATACCGGTTTGAGGATGAGGATCAACGAACTACAACTTCAAAAGGGTGGCTTGTGGATGTTGCTTTGAAGGCTTTTGTTTCGTTCACCTTTCACCTAGGTTTTTCTTTTTGTTTTTTGGCGCGCATGTCGTGTTGATGAACTCGAAGATATTTTTTTTTTGATTGAGTTTGTCCTTCTTATTAGCCTGCAAATACTACATCTTCTACCGGTTTTATTTAAGTAATCATCGTTGTCAGCGTGGACCCAGCACGTCCAGCTCCAGCATCGTTTCGATTGACATTGACACTGACTTTGTTTACAGTTTACAGAATAGTTTTAGTTTTTTGTTCGCTACAATATCTTGTTAGGGAAATCGACTTACTACTCATTCTTTTCTAACGTGGGATGGATCGAGGGTATTAAAGACTGCCCTATCAATACGCCAACTTTAGGGTAGAATTACCGACGCCCTCGACCACAGATTTCATTTGATACACTTCGTTATCGTTTATTTATCCATTAGAAGCTAACGATCATCACATCATATCAACACTAGCAACTAAAAATTACACAACAAGATGTTCACGAACACGTGGGTGTTTCTCGCCCACAGCATTGGGTGTGTTGCCTTGACGTGGATTGCTTATCAGGTCTTCACCTTCATCAACATCTGCTTCCTCCGACCGGCGAAGGACCTCAAGAAAGAGTTTGGGGAATGGGCGGTGATTACCGGTGCCACGGACGGTCTCGGGAAAGCGATGGCCCTCGAGCTGTCGAAGAAGTACAAGATGAAGATTGTCCTCATCTCGCGCACCCAGGCACGGCTGGACGAGACCGCCAAAGAGCTTCCCACGGAATCTGCTACGGTCTCCATCGATTTTTCCAACTTCGACCAAGCAGCTCGTGACAAGATCAAGAGCGCACTGAAGGACAAAGATGTTGGCATCCTCATCAACAACGTCGGCATCAGCTACGAGCACCCGATGTTCTTCAACTTATGGCGGCCACAGTAAAAAGGCAAGGGATAGAAATAAATGAAATAGACGGTCATGTTCGTCGTACTCGTTTTACAATAAAAGAATCTTACATGACTTTTGTTCCTCGTATACTATCGCAGCGGAAAACCTTGAGTGGGTGACACTGGGCGAGTCGTGTCTATAGAGCGAGCGCCGTGCAGGTAGATTCTGCACCTGGTGGCCGGTTGTTTTGCCTCTCTACTCTTCCTTGTTATTGCGCGGGGTTGTGCGACATGGTATTTGGGCGACGTGTGCATGCCACGCACGAACTAGACCTATGCGCCTGCTTCTGGTCCTGATGCGATATATAACGGTAGCGGCCCCGCCCTAGATGCCGTGTCGCAGGCCCATTCTGGTCGCTCGTGTCCCTCGCGTTCGCGTGTGTCCTCCGCAGGTCCGTAGCTGCATGCCGTGCAGGGAGCCGCGTTCTTGCTCCACCTAAGAAAGACGACCTTCTGTCGATGGTCGTGTTTCTGGGTCTGGCGCTCCCATCGCGAGTGGTGTTGCGTCCTTCCTTTTTGTGGAGCAGGAGGCTTCTGGGCTTGTTGGGGTGGGGGAGCTGGTCTTTCAGTGTGTCTTCTGGCTGAGGACTCAAAAAGTCTGGCGTCTGCGTCAGACGCCAGGACTCTCGGATGTCTCTCTCTGAATTTCTGAGACCATCCAAATTTCTGGCGTCTGACGCAGACGCCAGCGGTTTTTCCGGTTCGCGTACCGACCCAGTAGTGTGCACTGGGTCGGTAGGTGAACCGGGAAAGCCCCTGGCGTCTGCGTCAGACGCCAGAAATCTGTGTGGTCCCAGAAATCTGGATGGTCTCGGAGACAAGCCAGAATCCTGGCGTCTGACGCAGACGCCAGCCTTTTTGGAGTTGTCGGTCTGGTTTCTCGTTCTCGAAGCAAGGTGAGCCCGAGCTATGGGGAAGCAGCCTCCTGTGGTCGCTGCTGTTGTTGCATGAATGGCTCTCGTTGTTGTTGGATGGTTCGCGGTGTCTTGCGTGTGCGCTTTGAGTTATTCTTCGGCGCCACTGGTGGGCTCGCATAGGAACGCCGGTGTGTTGGCGCGATGGATAGGTGTGTGAGTGTGTGGTCGTGCTCTCTCCCTCGGATTCTCAGGTGGGGGGCTGTCGTCGTTGTGTGGTGTTCTTTTTCGGCATTGGGTGGCCTGCAGAGAAGTGCGTGGTCGTGTGTCTTGTCTCGTGGGTGCCCTTAGTTATGACGGGATCAAAGTTTTGGGCTTGATTGTCGGGCATGTTCTTCAAGTGTAACATCCGCGGCCGTCCGCTTGCGGCATTCTATCTTAGGGGAATAAGTGCCCAGTCTGCTGCACTGAAGGTTTTCCGCTGAAAATCCATGGGTTTCCCCAAGTCATGGAATCTTATCTATAGCTGCTATAACCTTTATTAAGCTAAGTTTATTTTCGTTTTTTATCAACAATAATGAAATGTTCTTCACCTGCTAAGGTACCTGATAATTCACTTCCTTTGTCCTTCATCTAGTTCTGCATCTTTTTCTGACACAATGCCCTGGTGTCTCGCCATGACTTAGTGTGCAACGTCCTTTCTTCTCCATTTCTGATCCTTTCTTCATATTCCGAATTGCCTCCAGAGCGCTTGGAATCCTTGGTACGGTTGAACATCGACAGTACCAATCGCATGATCCAGGATTGCTTGCCAGCTATGATCGAAAAGAAGAAAGGCGCGATTGTGAACATGGCGAGTGGCGCCGCGATTTGCTCGCATCCTCTGTATGCGGGTTACAGTGCTTGCAAGGAATACATCATTTTATGAAGATACTGCTGGTGGAAGTGCCAAGTAGATCATCCATCAACATCATGTGAGTTATACTTGACTCCTAGAACAAGTTATTTAACTTCTGTCCATCTTTGCTTGAGCTTTGTTCAGGCGTTTTTTGAAAATGGTCCTTTATTCAAGGGGCCGCCTACTTTTCGTCCCATCTTCTTGTTGATGATGTGCTATCATGCATTCCTCTTGTCACCTATACGGTTCTTCAATACCGCGACTAGAAACTTCTTTCATGATATAATAGGAGTACTCGCCTTACAATTTTTCTAACAAGTGGTATCAAGCTTGCTTGAGGTTGCCTGAAATCAACAATCATCCCAGCACTCTTTCTCTAACCTCTCGTTTGACGCAATGCCTCGCGGCCGAGTACGAGAAGAAGGGCGTCCACTTCCAGGTGCAGTATCCGCACCTCGTCACCTCCAAGTTATCCAAGGTGAAGCGCCCGTCCTTGATGATCCCAAGCGCAGAAGCGTTCGCCAAACATGCTGTGAAATGCATTGGCTACGAAACCGAGCTCTCTCCATATCCCGCACACTACCTTCTCTGCGGACTTTTGCGACAGCTGCCGATCCATTATGTACAATTCATAGACATAGGTTCTTGGACGAGTCGTTTGAGTTGTTGTGCATCTTAGACATACTTAAGTAGTTTGATGATGAACGAAACAATTTGATGATGAACGAAACAAAGAAAATCGCTTCTCCTGAAAATTTGACTACGTACAACAAGGTCAGGTCATGTTTAGTACTAGTAGTCCGTTGTACTTGTAGTACCTCCTCCTTCATCTTCATCTGTAACTGGTATAATAGATTCAACGGTTCTTGACTACATAATGAAAGGAAGTAGCGCCATTCATCAGCAGATGCTCCTACTTCTAATCTTGGCTGCAGAACATGATCGTCATGGCGAACAACCTGCCACTCCGCGCAAAGGCCCTCAAGAAGGCGGCCACCAGTAAGACGGACTAAGCGAAGGATAATACTGCCTGAACGATTTATTACACCATCAATCTTCATCTTGTGAAGTCGTCAAAGTGGTTTATACCTAATTGTTGAACGATGATGACTTTTTACGATCATTTTTGTTTTTTCTAGTTAGGCCTGCTCCACCAACATCATTCGTTTTCAGTCCCATGCATGGTCTTCTTGGATGCCCACTTGAAAATATGTTGCACCATTTTTTTCCCATGAGTGAGCTTGACAGTGTAGGTACTTTCTATCTTTCTGTTGTACCTTTGCTATTTGAACATAAACGTTGATATTGAGCTATTGATAGATATTATAATAGACTAACTCTCGAAAAATGAAGTCCTAGCCAAGCTCAGCCAGTTTGACAAGCATCATGCTGCGTCTTGTTTGAGGTTGACATTGCTGAATGGCTGAACACGAGTTTTTTTTTCGCAAGCATGTTTGTCGTGGCCATCACAGCTTGGACAAGGAATCGTTTTCATTATAGAACGACTACCGCAACCACATCGCACCACAGGAGAGGCTAGTACAGCTAATGCTAAACGATAGATGAAGACGAAGGCGTGGCCCAACATATTAATTTCCATATGGAGTTCAACCATCTAAAATTTTTCCACGAATGATGTTTAAAAACTCAAACATTTTTCCACCCTCCATAATGATGTTTTACTACTTACAATTTAATGGGAAAGCATTATATGTTGTAATGTTCCATTGTTCAGCATCATGCGATTCATCTGATTATGCTGCGCCCCTGAATATTTTTCATATTCAACCACGGTCCACGACCCCTACCCTGCCTGATGAACATCCCTAAGAATGAGGGAAGAAAGGACTAGTACACACCACGCAAAATTTTTATGATGGCTCAACACCTTTTGCTGTGATATAATCTTGCTTTCGTCATCGTTCGCTCACGACCTCCCGACTGGTGAGCCTGAAGAGTGTTTTAATATCCTCTACTTGGAGGTAAACTACCACTTTTCCAGTTGTGTGGAAGCACATGCCGGCGCCCTGTTGTGGAAGTAGAAATTGAGCAGGTGGTAGGGCTTTCCTCACGAACAGAAGATTCCTGCAGGAGTAGAGATGACATTGACATAGAGAGGTGTGAGGAGAAGGAGTGAGTGTCATGGTCGATCTTACGCACCGAGAGGCAAGTCGTGTTCGAGAGTGTTCTTCATCATCGACGTAGATGAGTCGAATAACAAGAATATTGTTTTTTTTTACTGTTTCATGAAAACATGGTTGATATGTTTATGTTGGATATTGCATTCTTTAAATTCATCCTCTCGATGTCGCTTTCTTTTACTTGGCCTCGCATCCATTTTAGTTTTACCAATACAAGAAAAATCTAAGTGTTTCACCTTGTTCGTCTTCGTGGTCAGGCTTCGTGGTTGAGAATGATCGTGAAAATTAATCGTAGGACTACAGGTCATTTCGTAGAAGGTCTATGATGTCATTGTCCTCGTCGTTTTTGAGGTAGGCATGAATTTGAATATTTATTGGTTATCGGCGGCTTTTCTGATAAAGTAGAACTAAGACGCGTTGTCTCAACATGGTGTAAAAGCCAGGAAAAAATGTTGCCTCAGCGATCTTGTGCTTGTCGTGTTGAAGCAGCAACCGGGCGAGTGAATGTTGATGAGGACGCGTAGAAGCTGGTTATTTTGAGCCGTAAGATCATTGGTCCGGGAACGACAAGTAGGAGTCGAGAGCACTTTTTTACCATCACCTTTCCTCGAAACACCATGTCACCAGCACATGTGGAATGAATGGCCGGAGGACCCTGACGATTGCATAGCTGCCGCGTATTAATACGAGGGGCAGGGCCTGCAATAGAATGTCGTCCATGTTGGCGTCATTGAGCATGAGAATGCTCTTGGTCTTCCTCGGGTTGCACTGCCACAGGACGGTCATATTAGTGGGTGCTGCGTTTCCATCCTCACCAATCCTGGCGAAAGAATTTCGAGCACCAGCCAGAATACTTGCAGAAACTACATCGGCATCGAGCCACGAAGATCGTGAACATGATGTTGTACAGGACGACCACGACAATACAAATAGAGGTAAAAGAAGTGAGCAAGAATTGTTGGGAACTCCTTCTACTGGTCTTCAAGCAAAAGAAAATATGGTACCTAGAAGTAGGAGTAGAACTCCATCAAACGAGGAAATACACAATGCAAACAAGGACAAGGCACGCGATGCCGATAACAGGAAGCCACGGCTTCTCCTGTCAGCAAATAGACAAGGCACACCGAGGAGGAAAACGTCTGAATCTGAATCAGACGACCATCAAGTCGCGAACGGAAAGGTAGAACAAACTTCTGTAGATTTGTCAACAACTTCTGCAAGAACAACTTCAAGGCATGAAGAAAGAACGAGCAGGAGAACGACTGGAACAAGTTTTCAACCTATTGACCGCCCCCACCCGCACCCCATGCCCCTGCCCATGAAAGCACATAGTATTAAAGATGAAAAACAAGTAGAACTAGAACTAGCAGACCAACTACTACCTGAACGCGAACGACCACTGCACGAAAGGCTTTTTTCAGAAAGCAGATCGTTGATGGCAGTTACATGCAGACAGCTTTGCATGTCCGGTTTCGGTAGTCGTGGCGACGCGTTCAATGGCAAGTATCAGTGGCGATCGCGGCGTTGGCAGCATGATTCAGGGCAAGTGGAAATAAGTCCGCTCTCAGGAACCATCGAAGGCTGGGTCGCACATGCTATCGACAACATCGCAAGTCCTGTACTGAACAGATTTTTACAGCGATACATAGAAGTAGATCTTGTTCTAGAAGAAGGCTCATTTCTTTTTAAGTCGTAGTAGGCGCGAAGATTTTCATTGTGATGTTGATTTTGAAGAAAGGGCGTTGGTTGCACTTGCATCATCTGCTGCAAGACCTCCACTGGTTTGTCCAGATTGGAGAGATGCCTCCAGCATTTTAGAACACCAGCTCGACCACCTGCTTTCCCACGAGGATTATACTTAGCTCCCTACGTGGTAATACACGATCTATCAGGTCTTCAAAGAGAGCGGCGGTTCTTCGGTCTCGCTTGATGGCAACATGCCAGAAACAAAGAGCTGGACGCATCTCGCGTCTGGTGATAGATACCGTAAGGCTTTCCCCAATTCATCTTAAGAAGCATTTTGCAGGCTTTCCCTCAGGGGAAAGCACGGTAAAGATTAAGCTGCTCTTGCTGCTCTACGAGATGAATACAAAGTTGACAAGCTCTAAATACCACGTTAAAGCGGAATGCTGCGATGTTTCGGGATCCGTGGTTGGCCAAATGTTTTCTTCTGCAACCCTCACCGGACGCTCAGACGATGTGGGCCTCACTGTGCTAGTTTACTTATGACACAGCACTCAGCAGGATAAGATGAAGTCGAAAGATCAAGATGTAGTTCTTGGACCAATAGGAAGGAATACCTCTTTTGAAGGTGACTGAAACATCAACGAACACTAAAAAAGAACAAGTAGATTGATAGGCAGGTGACCACTGTTATTTGGGTAGCTAGGCCTGACGAAGACGAAGTGAGTCCGATTTATGCGCGAATAAATACTCGCACTCGCCGACTCTAATGCGAAGCATGTTTATATTGGGAATGATGTCGATTGTTGCTTGTTTCTGCTGTATTCGACGGTCAAAAGTGCATCCCGGAGACGTTTGGTTCGCGCTGATGCCATGGCTTGGAAGGTTTTCGGTTTCGAAACAAGGAGTTACTAGGTACTAGCAATAGTATGGTTTTGATGATTTAAATAGTTTTCTTGTACTTCATGAACGATCATCATGGTAAGAGGGACAACAGCATCCATGCATACTTACGTGGTACGTGTGGTCTTGCAGTATGATTAGGGTACTTCCACTGAGATGCAATCCAGCGTCGAAAATGGTTTCTACTCTATCTCTCGTACTTTCTGTTCTTCGTCAATCATCTCCTGCTTATGAAAAACATTGTTAAAGAACAGGCACCGCATCGTTTCCCCTAGGGAAAAGGATGAACTGGAGACGATTGAACGGGCAATCCGTGGAGCCGAATTACCAAAACCAAAATTACCCCTGGAAGAAATTAGCCCTGCTGCTGCAAGCTACCGAAGCAAGCGCTCTCTCACAGATACCTGTACAACATGTTATTTTTTATCATGATCACACTACATTTGCATCTGGAGCGTCTATTTAGAAGCAGAAGTTGTTGCTGATGTACTTGTAGCAGGTTCATTCATTGTTTAAGTGAGGCGGATGATTGTGAAAAATCAAAAATCCTGATGTACTTCTAGTTCTAGTTCTAGTACTACTGCCACTAGCTATTCCAATTTATAGCGTCGAAGAAGAAGCAGTAGATGAACTGCAATCTTTTTAATATTCTTAGAGGTAGATTCAAGTAGTACGAGTAAATTTCTGTTTCACTCAACTTCTTCCTTACAGGCACCCACACCCATCGCTCCTCGATCCACTCCCCTGATCCGCCACGACAACCTTTTCCTTTACCCGACACCTTGGATGAAACCGGCGTGATGCACCAGTCGTTCATGATAGAAAATGGAAAGTGTGGCTACGACTACATAGACGACGACTTCTCCCCAGGCCCCTGGGAGTGTGAACTCTGTGCCTTCGGAAACCCATCGCATGTCCAGAAATGTGTCGCTTGTCATCGAGTTAGAGGGTATTGAAACTGAATCTGAAGACGATGACGACTGAAAACGATGTCGATGACGACTCAGCCTTCTTTTTATTTACAACTCCTATGAAGTTTTTGATTCAACTTCAACAATTGAATCCTTTTTTTGATGAACGAGATACTTCCTACAACAAGTACTCAGTCACAGCCACGACTACCTCCTAGTTCTAGCAGTTGCACAACCTTCATTCAAGATACTACATAAATCTACATCTAGGTACAGCTTCTTCTTCTTGTGCAAATACCTCTTTTGGACATACATCAACATGATCTCTACTTCTCAGGTACATGCCTCGTCGCGCTCACAAAAAGAAAAACTACGACACAGTGGACACCATGGTTAAGAAAGCACAAAGAGCAATGAAAAAAGCACAACCCGAAATCTTCGGAGATGATGGAAATACCACCGATGACACGCGGTCTGTCGTTAGCTTCCGCAGTGTTCAGTCCCACATGTCACCCGAGACGCGGATTGCCATTGCAGACGAAAAACACAGCAAAATTCGCCCAGCTGAAGCAGAAGATGGTAGACAAAGACTGTACTAGATTGTCATTGTAGAAAAAATTTAACATTCATCTATTCTACTTCCACAGGATCACGATCATGTTGAACATGAACGAAGGTAAGCTGAAGATAAAAATATATCAACAATTGGAAATCGAAATATTAAGCTGATTTTCTTGGTCACGTATGAGTATGATATCATGACGTTCACGTGGTCTACTACTACCTCACAGGTACTTGGGACGGCACAATCGGCAACCGACCTACTGCTACGAGTAAGTTCAAGTCCTCGTTAGCTAGCAAAAAGCCATTTGACGGAAAGTACAAGGACAGGGACGACGAAGAGAAGAAAAAAGAGATTGCGAAGCAAATGAAAGCCGGACAATCAGCAAGCCCAGCTCCCAACCCTAAGGCAATATCATACTGGGATCAGTTAATGCAGGGAACCTATCCTCCACCGGTATATATTTATAATTCTCGTGTGTATTTCTATTTTCCCATCCTCTGGTGTGACTTTTCGTTTTCCTTGCACTTTCAACATGGCACACGCAGCAACATAGTTTCTTCTTTTTAACACCCCCCACGTCCACCCGCATCAATTGCTAGAAGTACTTCTAAGCAATAAATGCAATTGATGCAGCAAACTTTGAAAAATGCAGGATCTTTATAAGATTTAAGGATATAATTAATTTTGATAGCTCATGATTTAGCTTCTTGTTCACCAACACAATTTGTTTCTTTTTTAGCTTCGTCCTACAAATAGTACCACGCTGATCACATCTCAGGAAATGCCTCCAGTTGATGAAAGGCACGCAAATAAGGTGCTGGAACGCGCAAAGGAGGATCCAGATTTCAGTCCCGGGAACGCTAACGGCACTTCGAAAAATGTACCGAAAAAGCCGCCACAACTCTCGTCCAATATGAAGTACCGAGAAGGCATGCTGAATCGCTTCAACTTCGAGGGAAGCAACTTGAGCAAGGATCAGCGGGCAGAACTGAAGTTCCTAGAGCGAGGCGAGGTTGAGGAGCCAGGAACTCCGGATAGTCGCGCGCCGATGCGGGTGCGGAACAAGAATGGCAGAGGTTCCGGCCACGCATCGTCCCAGGACGACGAGAAAGACGACATCGGGCGACTTTCGGACCTGCCAGAAGACGACGAAGAGACGGCGCGAGCAATTGCAGCTTTGCGGCAAGCCGGTTTCTCCGAGGATGCCGTCGTTCAGTTTCAGGAGAGGGAAGAGAAAAAGGACTGGCAACGGAATGTGCGAGAAAACATGCAGGCTGTCAATGTCACCAAGAACGCCGACCACAAACGACGGAAACCGCTAAAGCAAAACCCGGAGGTAGTGGAGCAGTATCACAATGCAGAATTGAAAAGCGGACGTCGAGTGATGGACCGGCTGACATCTTCGGATGTGATGCGTGAAGTTGGACCGGCCAGTGCAGAGCGGGACTCATACAAAGCCTGGAACCGATCGGCGTTGCAGCACGAGGGTATAGGGGATCGGGAAGACGACGAACGTTCGTATCATAGCAGCACAAGCGAAGAGGAGCTCAATGCCACAGCTGGTGAAGATGGTCAAGATGCCGAGAGAGGAGGTAAGGTATGCGGTGGATCATATTTCGGCGGTGGCGCAACCGCCGCCAAAGGAGCGTCTGTCATGTCGAGGTGGCTGCCTTGGAACAGAGGGCAAAAAAAGGCAGAATCCTCTCCAGCAAATAAAGCGCGTCAATCAGAGAAGAAAAAATCATCTTCCAAACGTCGCTCTGCAAGTAAAGATGAAAATAATGGCGCCGAAAAATCAGAATCTCGACAGCCTCCGGTAGAGGGAAGCAGTACGACGACTTTAGGCAATAAAGTAAACGGAAGTCGAAAACGAAGTCGCAGCAAGGACAGCGAAAATGTATCCGACAGAGAAATAGATCAGTCCACCTCCACGAAGAGCAAAAAAAGTGGTCTCCTGATGAATGCGGCGCGGTCTCGATCGTTCTCGAAACAACAGGATGCTGTGGTGCCTTTCCACCCGTCTCAGTCATCGGACGACCAACGAGAACCTCCTTCGGCCGGTCGAAATCTGTCACAGCCGAGGCGAAGCCGGCTCCGAAGCAAGGAGCAATTTCAAGATCATGATCATGATCTAGCGGACGGGCTGTCTTCTCCGGATAAGCCGCCACCCCAGCCGTTCTATGCGTCACCGGATAAGCAGCGAACGAACGCGTCCTCGTGGATGCGATCAACCAAAAGCAGTGCTTCCAGGGGCTCGAAGAAGATGCTCCCGCCAGGCATGGGCGAGAGCAACAGATGGACCGCCAAGCAAATGAGCGCGCACAAGGGAGCAGTGCCATTGCACAAACTAGGGGAGCTACTTGGAGGAAACGGCAAGGCCTTGGACGATGCGGACGAGAGAGACGACTTGTTGAATTTCAGTCGCCCAGATCCTGTTAGCAAACTACAGCATAACAACAACAAGAACAACAACTACTACAAGCCTCCGCCTTCTACTTCTCATCAACAACCTCCAGCACCAGGTGGACCAGTCAGAACGACTAGTACAGGCGCACGAAGAGGAAGCCCAGGAGACGAAGACGAGGAATCTGTCTCGCCTAGGCGCCTCCAGGACCTGATGAATCAGCGCATTATCGAAAATGACATTCGAAAAGGCAAAGACCGCAGTCCGCCTCCTCTGCCACCACTGACGGGACCCAAGGCGAGGGCCGGAAGTAAAAGCAGCGCGGCACAAGATGGAGACGCGGGGGCTGATGGAGACGTAGAGGGAGATGGCGTGCTCAATTTCGACAAAGCAGGGGCTTCTAGAGGACGAAACAGGAGCCGTAAGAAAGAGGATTTGAGCAAGCGTGTGCCACCCAGTGCGCCGACTGCCGATGGGCTCATACCGAACGACGGGACGCCCCCAGGAAGCGAGTCGCCAGGTAAGCGAGTGCGCGCAACAAACGCGCGCGTGCCTAAGCCAAGCCAGCTCTTAGGAGCTCTGAAGGGCCTTGTCGGGTCAGGCGGCGCAAGCTCCTCAACTTCCGATGCGTTTGCTGCAACAAGTAAGAAGTCATCATCTAAACAAGCAAATAAAAACGCTGGAGGACGCAATGCTTCCACCAGTAAAACAAGAGGTCAAGGACATCAGTCTGATCTTGACGTGTTGTCGGACTTCACTAATGATCATCCCGACAATGCGGACTATCGTGGCGGAGTTTCTCCAGACAAACACCGTCGTGGCTCTAGCTCTGGAGGGAGCGAGGACGACGATGGCGGCAACATTACTAGAACAACTGGCGGAGGAGCTGCTGATGGTAACAAAAGGAGTGCATCCAGCGGATCCGTTCGAGGACGAGGGCTCTTTCCTTCGTCAATAATAGGACGTCTGCTGCCGGGCAGTGCGCGCGAACCCCCGAGAAGTGCTGGCTCTGTGCTTAGCGGCGTCTTTGGTGGTCGCTCGCGCAGCGTGAGCAATAACGCAACTACTAGCAAGACGGGTGCGGGAACTAAACAAGGCGACCAACGTGGTTTTCAAATGAAATCGTCCCTCAAATCTTCAATCACAGGAGGAGATAAACAAGGCAACAGCAAGGAAGATAGCAACAAAAAGCGGGTGTCCATCAATGCTGAGGAGAAACCAAAGCGCCTACGAAGTGCCAACCGCTATGCTATAGGACCGACAGGGGACCGTGGCTTCGAACTAGCAAAAACTAACTTAAACTCAAATATGAGCGAACTCCAAGCCTTTCTGCGATCTCAAAAAGGTGCTTAAACAGGATATTGAAGTTGAAGTTCATGAAAGAATCATTTTTAGATGTGAAGGTACTGCTCTCATCGAAAAATACCATCTTCAGACCACGAAACTACAAGAATAGGCTATTCTTTGATTTGATAAAAAAGAAAGACAGGAGGTAGACAACGAGAACTTTCTTTGGCAAAGGTTGTGACTCCTTACGTCAAAACCATCGATTTCTTTCTCTGTATAGGCAATTTGTAAAGGAGCTATGTTTGAAACCGTTTTTTTCTGTACAAGGCCAAGACTATATATTATAAAGATCATCCACATCTGGGGAACAACTTTATTTCTATATCACTATTCCTTTTCGTTTTCAATTCCATAGTCATTGAAAGGTAAGAATCAACTCTTTTTTGACTTTGTCAGTCAGCCTTCCAGGATTAAAAGATAGTAGCAACATTTTTCGCCGGTGGACGTGGAGTTGTAAGTCTTTTTCTTCTACTACTAGTTCTTTGCTCTGTTGTATCATGTGATGTCGCCATCGATATGTTAAGGTGAAATATGATTTCTGATTCTCCTAGTAATATTCATCGTGCTGCAGAACAAGAATAGCCTGTAATTGGCGGATCAAAGTTAGCTGCAGTTATTCTGTTGTTGTAATAGAATCGTAAATATAAGATAAAGAGGATGATGGTGGACGATTATTATGAAATGTAGAGCTCAACAGGCAACAGCAGTTGTAAGCTACAAATACAAATAGATGAAAAAGAAAAACTACTTATTCAACCCCCAGCTAAGCGCAATTATGGTAATGCACAAAACAAAACTAACGATTCTCTACAGATGATATCTGGATTTTGACTGCACGCCTACTAGTACAAGAAGGACGAGCGACCCCATTAACGACGCAACCCGTCGCACTTGATAACTCGCTTATGCAAATATGGTGTAGAGGAAGAAACCCAGCCTAGAAAAATTGAAGAAAGGAACGCAGAACCGAAGATACAAATGAGAACGACAAGAAGAAGGGAAGTGGACACCAGTCTCCTCGGAACCGGACAAAACGAGCTCTGTGTATGTGCATGTTGTCCCTACTCACGATTCGCACGTAGGAGTCTTGTGATCTTCTACCTCCTGGAACATGACCAAGTAGAAACACGAAGACCATACATTACAAATAGCTTACGAAAAAACCGTGTCCATTTCTGTTCAGCATCAACAATATCTTGTTCATTATCATCAAGCGAGGACGACGAGAGTTATACAACAACGAGGAGAATCTGAACTATTGCTTTCATTATACATAGTTCTGGCTCTGATTCATGGAACTAGCGCCACATTTTTGTGTCGCTTATCATGCCGTGTGAAGTTGAAAGGACCGAAACCTAGTATGAGGGCGAGGGCAGAAGTACAAATTAACTTCAGTGCTGCCACAGTCACAGACGAGAGAAGAAAAATTAATACTGAAGATACTCTTGTTTCCTTTACCGTCATCAAGCTACTACAACATTCGGTCGCGAAACAAGAAGAAGTACTAATAGTCACGCGCGCCACGCTTGTTGTACGTCGAAGGACGAGCACCCTGATGTATTCATGAAAAAGATGAAGGAAGTACAAGTAGTACAACGTCAACGTGGTCCTTCGTTCTTTGAAAAGTTGTAAGTACTTAGGTTGTCTAGGGCGACCGATTTCTTCAACTTTAACCTATGGTTGGCGCAAAAGGCGAGCAAGAAAATTTTGGGTCACATAAATAGAACCGCAGTCGTGTTGTTGTAGTATGTGTGTACTGCAAGTGTCTATTATCTAGTAGTGAGACATAGTAACCAATTCGTATTTACCAAAAAAAAAGATGAAGAAGTTTTTCCAACGAAAGGGGAGCTTTGCGGATGGTCTATCCTACCTAGTCGAGGAGGGTTTCACGCGGGAACAAGCCTTACTCGGTCTCGTTCTCAACAACCAGAATTCTACGGTACGCACCTTAGTTACATCATGAGACAACTTCAGCATATTTTCATCAATTGATATGAGTACTTCGCTTCAACAACAACATATTATCAGAACGAAGGTACACGAGCAACTGTAGGGTCGTGCACGACATGTACTTGTACAAGATCGACGCCGACATATGCAGTTATGATCACAAATAAGAAAGGACCAAGATCAGGGCAAAAAATAAAATCCACACTGAGTTGGTAGGACCATGATAAATCTTGCAGGCGTGTTGGGCTAGTTTAGTTCACCTCAAATCGAAGGAAGATAATAGTCGTCGTGTCTTCTCATTCTTTTGAAGTATGCTAAAAAACCTAAGGCCTCGCCTCCAGAAGGCACAAGCATAGCAAATAGATAATTTCGAACGCCCTCTACCTTCTAGGCTGCGCTGAAGTGGCTAACTGCCGATGAGAACGAGCACTTGGTTGTCGCGGCGACTTATGCTTCTTTAAATGCGGAGGTTGTGTTGGCGCGCATGGGTCACGCGAGTTTCCTGAATGGTCTCCGCGGCGTCATCGTCGGCTACGAGGCGGAAAGTCGGCGTTTCGTGGTCGACGTATCGCAGGACTCTGTGGAGCATCAGAGTGACTTGATTCGAAGCGTTAAACCGGAAAACTTGGATTTAGTACTGGACCACGACAGCAAAACGCCTAGGGTTAAGGCAAGGAGATGATTACTATGTATCGTATCCGGTGGTGTTGTGAGGTATTATACTCGTCCTCCTGAGTGAACAAGTCTCCCATGATTCAAAGTAGGAAAACTGAACATCACAGGAAGAAGAGCAAATAACACAAACACTACGATGAATACAGAGACAGATAGTCGTGACTGAAAATAAACTACACCACACGATACAACACATATTACACTACAGCCTTTAATAATATCGGCAGTGGTGGATCCTCATCGACTGTATTGGCCGGGAGCGCATCATTGTCAACAAGCAAAACCAGTGCAGTGTCGTCAGTCAAGTCGTTATCCTCAGCCTTGTCCGACAAAGTGAAAACCATGGGAGGAAAAGTAAGCGAAAGCGTAAAACGATTGCAGGAACAGCGAGCAGCGGCACGTACTCGTCCTCTACGTCTCTAGTGATGCTCAACATACATGATCGAGAGCAGATACGACCAGGTCGTACTCCAGTTAGATGGGGAAACACAAGATGAATCGTCATTTTGTTTTGAGGCAAGCTTCTTGCTTTGTGTTCTTTGTTCTATGGAACAGCGTAGACCACAGTATAAGTACGTGGAGTGGAGCAGCAAATAGATATCTTCGACTTTCTTGCCTACTAAGTTTTCAACAAAACATGCTGAATATAAAAAGATCATGAGGTTGTAGGTTCCATGCATTTCTTTGTCATAATTTGTAGGTGCTTCCGCGTCCTCCAACGCGTCTCTGCAGCAAGAGGAGCAGAACGAAGAGGAGGACATTTCTCCGCTCGCAGCAGAGAGTGGATCCCCAAATAAGGAGAAGGGGAAAACCGGGAACCTCTTTGCGAAACTGAAAGCCGCTTCGGTAAGTCTGCAGCAAAATCTAAAGGCCACGGCGAGAGGATCTACGGAACATCATGGACGAACACCGACAAACGCAGAGTCCTTGGAGGATGAAGCGGCTTCTACAGCTGGAGCGTCCTCGATTGGCGGAGCCGAAGCTGGTGGGAAAAGCGACAAGACCGACTCCATATCCTCTTCGACTCGAAGCGAGACTCATCCTGCTGGAGGAGGGACCGGTGATAACGAGACAATTATAAAGGGAAAGTCGGAAGAACAAGAGGCTCCTGAAGCCGCCGGTGTTGAAGGTCAACTACAACCGCGGAAAAAGAGCCTTTTCTCATCGTCGAGATTTTTATCATCTTCCTCTTCTAGTAGTAGCTCGTCTTCTTCGGCTGGAGGAGGTGCACCAGGGAACAAAAGCTCGTCTGCTGTCACGTCAATGCGGTTTGCTGCGCCACCGCGGACCACGACGCTGACAACAGAGGGTGGAGTCGACCTGCTCCAGCATCAAAGTGGGCAACAACAGTCGTCAACCAAGACGAACAGCGCGACGGGCTCGGCGCGCACACTTGCCGCATCCTCCTCTGCGTTCTTGAAGCGCACTTTGCTGAAGAAGAAAGCGCCGAGCGCTGGTGCTGCGGCATTAAGAAGTGATCATACGCTGACGCCCACAGCAGAAGCACAAGGACGTCGAGAGAAGCGACACTCAGCATACTCGGCAGATGATGGCGATTCGATCATCCTAGCGACGGCAGCGGCTTCAGACACGACCCTGCTGTCAGCCCGATCAAGCGCAACGTACCAGGATGACGTGGCAACCTCAGACACGATAACGAACTCGACAAGCAGTATGTCGGACCCCACACAACCAGCAGGAGCACCAGCAGGAGGGTCGAAGCAAGAAGCGGACGAACAAGCTGCATTAAAACGCTTCCTCGCTCGTGAAATCGAACGCATCGATAAAATGAAGGAAGAATTGGAAACACGCGAAAAATTGGTATCATTCCGTGAGAGTCGTGACATTTAATTTTGATTGTTCAGAGTTCACAATGTAGGAAAAATGAATTTAATTTGAATTAAATGAAATATAATCAAAAATTTAAGTAATTTAAAATTTCAAGTTCCTGAATGCCTTCAGGTTTCCATGAAGGAAACTGACCTCGAAATTCGTGAGCAAGAACTGAAGGAGAAAGCCAATATGCTGCAGATGGAAACGGTCGAAGCACAACAACGAATCGCGGCGCAGCGTGCCGAAGCCTTGAAACTGCTACACTCAGCAGAGCAAAAGCAAGCTGCAAAATCTGAAAGCATCATTGGGGATGTAGAGTGTGCCTCTGAAGAAGTGGAAACATTTCAGATGGGGAGTCGAAAAAACAGTCCCAGCAGTGCTGGAGCCACAGCAATCAACACAGCTTCAATCGAGAGCTGTGTTGACAAAACGTAAAATTGATAGGTTTATTTTTCAAATTCTAGAATTTCATGAAAATTTTAATTTCATGAAATTTTGAATTTCTAAATTCAAAATATCTCATTATATCTGAATTTGCTTTGAATTTGAGATAAACACTTAGGATTTCTAAGCATGAGGCATAGTTGGGACATCGTATCGATTTGGCGACATTTCAAAATTTATCTTATTGCATCAATCCACTTTAGCGAATTCCAGTTCAATTTCGAAATATTTTGGACATGAAATGAAAAATTTTGATTTTATTCAGTTTTAAGTGAAATTCATTTCTGTATCAGCACTTTTCAAGGAATATTCACGTTGTGTTGATTTTCACTAAATTTTGGATCAAAGGTACAGTGCTGATTGGGAGAAGATTGGTAAGCAGGAAGAAACAGGATCACAAGCAGAAACTAGTGCTTCTTCACCAGGAGAGTCCACTGTACACATCGACCAAGAAGAAGCTGCAGTAGTAGCAGCATGATCTTCGTACAGCGGCAAATACCAGCATGGTACTAGTTCAGCGGAGCATAGCAGCATGATATTACTACAGCAGCGCATAGCAGCGTGATATTAGTACTGCGGAGCCTCCAAAATGTGCGGAGCCTCCAAAAAAATATCAGCTAGTCAAGAACTTCGGTCGTCGCTGATTATGCAGATAGACGACCAGGCAAGCAGAAGTAGTTCTCCTTCTGAATATATTTATTAGAACTTCCGGTTATATAGATGAAGATGAAATACTATAATATCACTGTTCTTCTGGTTCCGCCACACCAGTCCGAGAAAGATTCCAATGAGGAGTTCCAAAGAGGATCCTTGTCTATCATGTAGGCGTCGAACGTCGTAGAGAATGATCGTTGCAGTCGCGCAAGAAAGACCGGCTAGGAGTCCTTGGATCTTTCGATGATATGACGTCTTCATATTAACTGATGACATTTTGTACGTAGGAAAAGAGAACCTACTACAACACTGGCTTGCCACATTCGCAAACTACTATCATGCAGTGATTGTAACTACACAAAGCTCCGCCTATTATTGGGTGACTATACGAACCTGCTGATGTTGTCGAAGATCCTTGAAATTTCCTTCGACATTTATGTAAGGACCTACGACTGCTTACTTATTGTTAGCTGAGAGCATGAACGTATGGAAATCCTAATCCGTAGGACGATTACCTGCGGAACATCACGGGTTGTAGGACGAGTGGGTCAGTCTGGCTGCATTCTTTGTTCTACAGAAGTTACTTTTCTCAAAGAGAAAGATATGACATTTTTTATAACTTCTTTAACCAAGGAGATGGAACACAACGTTGTTGTACCTAACCGCAAGTGCCGGTGTTCTTATTTTTTCGGAGGGACACATTCTCGTCAATAACAACTGCATGGTCTCTAGCCTTCTTGTTGAGAAATTTCAATGATTCATCTTTCGGACGAAATGAATGGTACCTCCTACTATGGCTCTAGTAGGATTCTCCCGTAAAAAGACGATCCGCAGGCGTAATATGGATCCAAGATGTGCGATCTACACCAGAAGAACTCGGAGGATGCTAGCTTCATCCATGTTGTTATGAGTACAAGGAAAGGTCGCACCAGTGCCACTGGTGTAGTGTGTACACGTTGTGGACGCCACTCTGATGAAGCTGCGTCCTAATAAATTTGTTCATTATCATTGTTGAACAAGGCAGGCTTCGTATGACATAGAAAAATTTCCCTTTCCCCTAGGGTCCACCATGTTATGTATTAACTTCATCAACATGCAGATATAAGTAGTGTCTTCCTTTTGCTGCTACTGATCCCCCGCTTTAAGTTGATGTAGGTGCACACGATTCAAGATGATGGCGTGTGTAACTAGGCCTAGTCCTTGTCCTAGCAGAGCCTGCGCGTCCTACCTAGACCTGTTTTTCGATGGAACACATTCGATTAATCTAGAAGTAAGTAGTTTTGTTTCCGCCCGCCCTTCCCCTTTGGTATCTTCATCATGCGTAGCACCAACATGACACCCAACATATCTCCATCGCTAGTCGCGCACATTAACGGTTGTAGAGGTGTATTAGCACCAAGTTGTAGTGCACTAGGCCCTTCTTGTGTGTCCTCTATCGTCTACTCCCTTTCAAGGGTGGAACCGGGCCGATTTTTCGGCTTAGCAACGAAAATTGCAGCCTCGTCCTCCATAGGTAGTTTAGCCATACAAAAAATGAAGAGTGCAAGCCATTCTGTGCTTCGGCATCGGTCTCTAGGGCCATCACGTGTTGCAGCATCAACGCGATGGCTACACACGACCGGAGGGGGGGAACGAACAGGTAAACATGCTCTATCGCAGCTACACGGATCTTCAGGGCTTCTACATCGAGGTCGGGCAGGTGCTGCTGGTGATGCTTTCGTGGCGGGGGGCTCGGTATCGAGCACGTCCAGCGGTGGGTTCTCATCGACATGCACGACAGGAGCGCCTGTTGTTGGGTCCTCCGTGTTGAGCAACTCTTCCCCTGCATGGAAAGAACCAGTTGGTACTACCAGGAGGCCGTTCTCGTCGACGACACAAGTAACAACAGCAGACTCTACAACTCCTGCAAGAAACGATGTGAAGGTGCAAGCCCGCCGTTCCTCAACAACATCGGACGCAATATATAACAATGGAACGACATCTACTTCACGGGAGCCTGTTGATGAAGCTGCAAGGGGATTTCGTCCGTCTCTGCACGCAAGGATTCGCGCGCCTGCAATGCAATACAGTTCCTTTGCACGACCTCCCCACCCACGACCTTTTACAACTGCTTCCATGTCCCGAGGCGGGCAGCAAGAAAGCGCTGACGCAGCGAACCCGACTCAGCGGCGGGCTTTTAGTAGCAGCTTCATGAAACGCGTGATGGAGCAAGTGCAGAAGGACCTAGAGCAAAGTGAGGAATACCAGAAGGCGAAGCGAGACTTTAAAGAGCAGGGTGGTGAGGAGTCTGCAGAAAAACTTAGGGTATTGCAAGAACCTAAACCTGCCATTTTTCTTTTCCATTTCCCTTTAGGATCACTTCATCATCATTGAGGTATGATTAAGTATACTGTCGGCAGAGGCACAATATGTTGGCCTTGAGTAAGGATAGATGAAACAGAAACCAGTTGTAGAATGAGAATACTCCTCCTGCTGAAAGTACTTACCTAATCAAATTGACGTCAATTATGAAAATATTTATCTCAGAAAACCTCCTCCCATAAAAGGCTTCTGGTCCCCCATTATTTTCTCTTAGAGGTGTGCTGCAAATCTTCATTGGCTTTCACCTTTGCTGAAGGTTTAGGTCCAGCGGCGCTCAAAGCACTAAGTAAAGCAACCGGCTAGTTTTCACCTCTACACTTCTAGGCTTACCCCGTGCAACAAAATCCTTATCTCAGAAAAAAGCAGCGGAGCAGGAGGAGCGACTACGTCAAATGAAGGATAGCCTTGGCAAGACCGCGGACAAAACAGCAGGCTACTTTCAAAGCATGAAGCAAAGTGTAGCGGAACAACAGGAGAAAATACGGCAACAGGTACTTGTTCAATTTCTCTTTGACAAAAATTATGTCCTCCTGTATTATAAGAACAATGACTCGAAGATGCATTTAGTTCACTCAGCGTGAGAGGTGAAACCAACTTTGTAATAGTAATAGAAATAGTTTACAAGATCCTCGAGCTTGCAAATACCGAAAATGACCAGTTTCTTATTTCTCTCTGTAACATCTGTGTGCTCGCGCCTGCTCTGCTTCTTCAGGCTGCGGAGCTGAACGAAAAGGCCGATGACAACGAGTTTGTGAAGAGCACCAAGGACGCAACAGGCAAAGCGGCTGGATTCGTCGGCGAGTACGCTAGCAAGGCCTTTGGCAGCGCGATCGACAACATTTCCGGTATACTGTCGAAAATGGACGACCGCAAGGCGCAGACACACGCCCAGTGGAAGAGCAGCCAGGAAGCTATGCGTGCATACAAGGAGAAACAGAAGCAAGCTGAAAAGGAACGCGAGGAAGTCGATGCTAGCTCATCTGGTGGTAAGTCCGCAGGTTCGGAAGGTGTGGACGCAGCAGCACAATCTGCTGGGGAGCAGGCACCAGGCGCCCAAGAGGGTGCAGCGCGTAGCACCACTTCCTCGACCCATGCCGGAGAGGGGCAAGCTAATGCGCTTGTTGTCCGTGCGCCGTCGGCATGGGACCGTTTCGGTGCGAAGATCAGCGACATGCCATTACTAAATTCCTTTTACGACAACCCACTAGTCGACAGAATGTTCGGCGAGACCGAGATCGCGCAGTCGCTGAGGGAAATGAAAGAAATTCTCCCGGCCTTTCGTCTCGCAGAATTCACTTATGAATGTCACATATAGAAGGTCGAAGACTGTTCAAAGAATAAAGGAACTGTGGAACTTGAAAGAGTAACTATGTTCAGTCTCACCATTAAAAAGATTTTATCCTTATGAGAGCTCGCTCGTAGACCTCGGGGAGAGAAGTGTTGCATATTTCTTAAATATCAGAAATTCACTTGACGTAAACACTTTCTCGACTTATATAAATCATGCCATATTACGAGAAGTTGATCTTGATACTCGCTCGACGCATGATAAGTAAGTAATTAGTTACTGTCACCAGAAGGTGTGTCTTTGTCATTCTTCATCTAGATCTACATGATCTACGTTTCTATTTCCTCGTCCTCGCTCCCGTAAATTTCTAATCCAGAGAAGAGATCGAGCAGGTGGTTGCTCCCGCGATCGTGCGCGCATACCTTGAGGGCGACTCCGAATTTTTGAAGATGCACTGCGGGGAAGCGGCTTTCATGGCGGTCAACGCAAGTATAAAGGAACGCAGGAAATTGAAACTTGTCCTCGATATGGACGTCCGCCAGGGTCCAGAGGAAGTTGAATTGAAGGGCGCCCGTGGCTTAGAAGGCGGCGCATACTCTGCGCCAACGTTCGTTTTCACCTTTCACACACAGCAGATCAACTGCCTGCGGAAAGAGGGTTCTGGAGAGGTACGATTTCTTTTGCATTTCATTTTTATGCTCTTTCGAAAATGAATATGAAAAGCATCTTCTATCCCGTCCTGTGCTGCACTAACAACCATCTACCTACCTACTTGCCTACCTATGAGTACTACTAGTAAGATTTGTCATCATGAAGATCAAGATGATAAATTCACAAATCTCGTTGACCTACCACACTCTATTTCCTCATCCTCAACATCATGATCTGAAAAAGTATGATCATTTCAGGTCGCTGAGGGCGCGGTTGACGACATCCGCAGTGTGTCTTACGCCATTGCGATCACACGGCATCCTTTTTGTGACGAGGAAAACGAAGGGGACGAGACGCTACTCGAATTTCCATGGCTGGTTTCGGAGCTTGCCATAGTAGGCAATCAACCAGTTTGGTAAGAGCTCCTCCGAGGACTACCTTCTCCTGTAGCTGCTATCCACATGCCTTCGTGCTGCAAGTTGAAGAACTCAGCGTGAGCGGCTTCCCTCATCGAAGTTGGTTATAATTCTCTCAATTTTTTCAACAATACTAGCCGACTGTTGGGGTTTTCAAAAAGCGAACGCTAACTTTGCCCGAGTGGAGGTCGTGCCTGTCCCAGTTGAGGCCATATCATGATGGCCCCAAGTTGAATGGCAACGGCTGTTTCCCTACCAAATTGCAACTTTATACTAGTAGAAGACGCACGTTGGCATTGAGGCTTTCTCCTACACTTTCTCGTGAACCTGCTGTATGATTTTGCATCAGTGCACCTCCCGACGCTCGTCCTTGAATCAAGGAATTAATTGTTACGGACTTGAACCTCATGCTCATTTGACGTTGACCACCTCCGTCGGAAACCCCAGTTGAATAAAAGGTCAGGCTCCCACGCCTGACGCAACAAGTCTTATATATATATATCGATAGTATATTCCGTGCTTCAGTTTCATCTTCTAAGAACTCGTATGTGCCTCCCATTGCGTATGAGTGGAAAATATAACGGCATCAACACCCTCTCCACGAGTCTAATCATTTGTTTCCGAGTCTAATCTTTTTCTTTTGTTATAATACTAGTTCTAATTATAACACGGCCAGCACCACGGCCATGGGGTCTTCGTAGAAAAATAGGGTGTCTTCACTGGAATGAACACAAAATAGCAGAAGTATGCATAAGTTCTTCTTCTGATTGACTATCAGATACCGAACAAGCAGCGATACAACTTTGTTGTAGAAAGCAACATCTAATGATAATGAAACTGAAAGTGAAAGAGGCTCAGTAATTAATACTGCTTGTGGTGTAGAACGAAAAGAGGCTACTGCTGCTCGTCTATTTTGGCCCTTCTTTTTCGATGCTCCACCATCCAGGTGGAAAACGTGGATCAGACCATGATGTGGGACAAAAAAACTGTGTGCGACTATTGTTTCCCTCTGACGCAAAGCTGTATATCTTCTCAAAGCTATCGTATTTTTTTATTGTAAGAACTAAGAGAGGAGCGAAGACCACGGAGGGACAGACAGCCATTCACACCAGTGGTACAACGAGGATCAATTACCATTTACATCAGATCTTACTCGGCACATCAACGGTAAAAATGTGTTTTCGTCGTGGGGGCGGTTTTCGTGAGCGCGTTGATGATTGGTTGCTCGAGTTAGAGGTAAAAATGATGGTACGCACAAGTAGTCGTTCATGATATGCATATGCCAAAAAAATCGACGTGCTACAACTGCTTAGTCTATCGTCTGGAGTGGCAGAGCAGAGAAGGAGAAAAACGCAAGACCACGCGCCGTGACCACTAAGCGTAGACACATGTTACATTTTGTACCTACTAAAAATCAAAGGTGAAGTTCTTGCACTTGCTTCTAACTCTTAGGTATAGTGTGACCTTTCCTATTTAGGTTCGTCTCTCTCGTTGATTACGAAAGTGTTGACGTCTCAAATTTTTGAATAAGAGTTTCACATGATGCAGAAATGATTTCTCGATGATTCATATTTTTACGTCGCAACAAGAACAAGTTACTACTCTCTTTTTCAGTCCCGTCCTCTGATAAATAATTACAAATGATGTTAGTATAACGAACGGAGTTAATTGTCTTCTGACAGGCAGGCAGTCTGTCTCCACGTGGAGTCGACGGGTGGAGCAACATTTCATGAATCAACGATAGAAGTGCATCAGTCGCCAAATCCAAATTGTATGTATCTAGCGCACTCGACACCGAGAGAAGAACAAGCAAGAGAAGTCATCTCCTATCTAGTACATCTTCCTCGAGAAGAACAATATCAGCGAGAAACCGCGTCTACTGGAAGTTGTGGGAACGCATCAATACCGATCACGTAGAGCATGATCAGCTTCAGCATCAGTCGGCCGGGTCGTTAGTCTCATCGTACTCACTGAAAGAAGACACATCAACATAACTGGCACGGGAAGGATTCCGGCGTTAGAAATGCCGCATATGTTGGAGATGGCAGCGGCGCGGCCGCCGGTCCCGGGAAAGACGCGGGTTTCGCCTTCACCACCGCATCATGCGCCAACGATGCTCCAAGCACCGCGGGCTGGCAAACTTTCAACAAACACGGCCCTGGTCAGGGAAGCAAACGGCAAATTAATGCGCATTGGTATATTCTCCACCTGATTGGCCTGAATATCGACAGCGTTCGCTGGCTTCGATTATCACTCGCCGCAAGCAAATGAATAATGTTGGTGAATACTTATGTAGCACTAGCAGGCTGAGGGCAATGATACTTATATTGATTTGATAAAAGTACAACTACAACAACTAGTACTAGATGATTACGAGGATGAGGAATAGCAATAGAAATAGAATCTTGTTCACAATCGAGGACGTGAGGATCTGTCTCGGCTAGAGCTAGTATTGTCATGAGGAATTATAACAATACCAATAGATGCTTGTCGTTGTGGTTATCTTCATCTCCAAACTAGGAATGCATGGACTTCGAGTTCCAATTTGATGGATGTTGTAAATTGCACAATTCTTATAAGTTGATAGATAAAAAACATAACAAAAAAAAAATCTATATTATTAATCTATATTACTAATCTATATTATTAATCTATATTATTAACCTATATTATTAATCTATATTATTAATCTATATTATTAATCTATATGATTAATCTATATGATTAATCTATATGATTAATCTCCGCCGCCATAAAATTCCCCGCCTAACCCACCGGAGATTAGTCGCCTCCTGCCGCGAAGCTATTGCCCATAGCCTCCCGCCCTTTCCCCTCACTCCTAAGCCCGATAGCCTCCGGCCGTTTTCTTGTTGGAGTTCACGTTGTCGCCCCATGGCAGACTACCAGAAAAGAAGCCAGAAAAATGCCCGACGGGGGTAGGGGCGCAAGCTGGCGAGAGAAGTCCAAAGAGAAACAGCCGAAGAAAGACCTTCGACCAAAGACACCTGGACCCCAGACCTATGGACCAATGGCGATCTTTGGACCGAAGGCGACCTTCAGACTGAAGGCGATCCTTGGTCCGATCTTTGAACCAAAGGCGATCGTTGGACCTACCAGAGACGATCTTGGGACCAAAGGCGATCTTGGGACCAAAGACGATCGCTGGACCAGCGGCGATCTCTGGACCAAAGCAAGGCGACCTTTGGACCAGAGACGACCCCTGGACCCAAGACGACCTTGGCTATTGCTGGACCCAAGACGACCCCCGGACCGAGGGCGACCTTTGGAGTTGGACCACCGGCGACCTTTGGACCACAGGCGACCTTAACCCTTGGACCACATCCACCGGCGACCTTTGGACCACAGGCGACCTTTGGACCACACCAGACGACACGACCGCTGGACCAAAGTCAGGCGACCTCTGGACCAAAGTGCGACGACCTTTGGACCAAAGTAAGGCGACCTTTGGACCAAAGTCAGGCGACCTCTGGACCAAAGTTAGGCGACCTCTGGACCAAAGTAAGGCGACCTCTGGACCAAAGTGAGGCGACCTTTGGACCAAAATAAGGCGACCTTTGGAGTTTGGACCAAAGTAAGACGATCTTTGGACCGAAGACGATCTTTGGACCGAAGACGATCCTTGGACCAAAGACGATCTTTGGACCAGAGACGACCTGTGGACCAAAGACGATCTTTGGACCAGAGGCGTTTTCTGGACCAGACGCGACCTGTGGACCAAGGGCGACCTTTGGACCAACGGCGACCTTTGGACCACCGGCGACCTTTGGACCACGGCAGACCTCTGGACCAAAGCCGACCTTTGGACCAAAGACGACCCTCAGACCAGAGGCAACCTCTGGACCACGGACGACCTGCAGACCACAGGCGACCTTTTAAGGCGACCTCTGGACCAAAGTAAGCCGACCGCTGGACCAAAGTAAGGCGACCGCTGGACCAAAGTAAGGCGACCTTTGGACCAAAGTAAGGCGACCTTTGGACCAAAGTAAGGCGACCTTTGGACCAAAGTGCGGCGACCTTTGGACCAAAGGCGACCCTTGGACCAAAGGCGACCGTTGGACCACAGGCGACCTTTGGACGACCAGAGGCGACCGCTGGACCAAAGACCTCCGACAAGACAAGAGACCCGCGACGGCAGACATCTGACGAACGACCTCTGCCAGAAAAACTGCCGCCCGACCTGTGGCGAGAAGCCCTACCTCGACGAGGATAGCGAAGACCTTTGACGAAGGACGTCAGTCCGACGAACGCGGTCAGTCTGGCGAAAAACGTCAGTCCGACGAACACGAAGGGGCAGAATCAACCTCACGAAGGAAAGACATCCGCAGCCCGAAGAAAGGTCCCGCGCAGCCTGTTCCGCTTCCGACGCAAGGCAGACGCCTGGCGAAGCAGTGCGCCGGTCTGGCGAGAGGCGTCACCTGGCTGGTCAGTGCATCAGCCTGACGAACCAACGGCGCCATGCTGAAGCAAGCCATCAACCTGACCAAAGGCGTGAGTCTTGGCCCGGCGAGGAATGTCGGCCAGGCGAAGCGCTTCAGTCTCACGAAAGGCGTCAGCCTGACGAGAGACGTCGCCCGACCTTGACGAAGAGCCTCAGCCTGGCCCACGGCGTCCGCTGAAGGGCGCCGGCTGGCCTGTCGTCTGACGAAGGCCGCCAGCCTGGCGCAGCGCGTGGGTCTGACGAACGGCATCAGTCTGATGGAAGGCCGCAGTCTCCATCCTGGCGAAAGACGTCAGCCAGTCAAGAGGCATCAGCCACAACCCGAAGCGCGACGCCCCACGCCCCCGCGAAGTGCGCCCGTCTGTTTCTGACGAGAGACATCTGACGAAACAAAGTAAGAAGCCCCGCCAGGTGTAAGCGCGTAGAGAGACCCGAGCAGCGCGGCCCTGCGTTGCTTATGCTTTGTCATCTGGATGGCTTGAAGCCGGGGGCAGGTCTATCCTGCCTCTGTTTTTCGGCTATTTGCAGGGCTATTTTGCATGGGGAGGGATTTTGGGGGGTCGTTTGTTCGCCGTGTCGGCGCAGAGTCTCTGCTTTATTCCTGCGAGGTTACCGGCGCCCTCTAGTTTGTTGGTGGGTTTGTCTTTTGGGGCGCGCCTCGAGGAGCCCGCCCCCGTCTGCCCTCAGTCTTGGCGGCGTGTGTGGGGACGTATTCGTGGGGCTTTGCTGCTTAGGGAAAGGGTAGGCTGTGGCTGCTTGTTGAGGCTTCGGGCGGGGCGTTCAGTCTCTCGTCGTTCGTCGGATGGTTCTATTTGGGTTGGGGGTTGTGGTCTATTTGGGAATGGGGGGCTGCTTTTTCGGGGTCTATTTTGGTTCTATTTGGGAGATTTTTTGTTTTTTTTTTTTCGGTTTTCCAGTCCCGTTTTGGACTTGGAAAAAAGTCTATTTAAAAGTCTATTTAAAAGTCTATTTAAAAGTCTATTTAAAAGTCTATTTGGGGTCTATTTGGTTTCTTAAGCTATATTAAACAAAATCGACCGAATTGTAAAATTCGGCCAGGCCGAATTGTAAAATTCGGCCGTGGTCGCTGACCAAATAGACTACCAAATAGCGACTTAAAAATAAGAAATTTCGAAAGTTTTTCGAAATGAAATAGACCATTTGCAGGTCTCGAGGATGGTGGTCGGGCGGTCGCTCGTCTGACGGTTTGATCTGGCAAATAGCCGGACGTCTCACACCTGGGCATCCGGTGGCGCAGTTGTGTTGGGTCTCGGCTTTTGTGAGGTTCGGCGCTCAGCGTGGGTGGCTTGCTGAGCAGTCTCGGCTCGAGGACCTCCAAACGCTCTCGCGGGTCTCGCGGGCGTTGTGATGGTTGTTCCAGGCATGCCTGTCGCCCCTTCGGGTCTATTCGTAAAGGGTTGTGGCATGAGAGCCCCTCGCGTGTTCATCAGGGGGCGACGGTGGTTGCCGTGTGTCTGCCCTCAGTGTTGTCTCTGGTTAGAGCAGGTGGAGCGAAGCGCCCACCAAATAGCCCCGCTATTAGCCGAAAAATAGTTGGCAAATAGTCAGCTCGGGCGCTTCGGTGGATCCGGATGAGCTTTGTCTTGTTTGGCCTGCTAAAGCCGCCGCCCGTTCTTGCCTGGCGCCACCGCGAGGCGTTTGCGTGCGTTGGGGCTTGCGGATTCTTGTGCGTGTCTGGTGGCCCTCTTCTGGTTTTTTCGTTGGACTGCCGTGGGGGTCTTGCAAATTCTTAAGAATTTGCATGACCTCCCCGGCAATCTCATAAAAAACCCGAAGGCAGCGCAATGCCCTGCACATGAGTCGACGCATCGATCTGAGTCGGCCACCGTCGGCGCTCGGCTCTTGTCGTAGTTAATTCGTAGGGCGCAACAGCTCACCCGCGGGCTGTCTCTACTCTAGCGGCTGTAGCCCGTGGGAGGCTGCAGAAAAGTGCTTAACTAACTTGAAGCTGGGCGAAGCTTGTGGAGGCTAGTACATATACACCGCAAACCATTCCTCACCGCACGAATTTGATACAGTCCTGCATTGCACAATGCACAACTTCCAGGAAAAGATCTTGCTGGCTTGGAAGTTGCGGGGGTCGTGAATGAGCATGGGCACATTCAGACAGCTATAGCTCTTCTCCTGGGTTGCGGCGAAGGCGTGATCGCCCCGTGGCCTCCTGCAGGTTACGCATATCAACCCATGATTTCTGTTATGGGCCGACATTTCTACACTTTTACTTTGAACATCGTACTTAACTTAAAAATGATCAAAGACACGCGTGAGGCGTATTAATCAAAAGATCTTTGGACCATCGAAAATCCGACTTTTTTTTACGAAACGACATTTGTTTTCTTAAAGTGGAATAGAGCTCGGACTGTCTGATGCCGCTCTTGCAGACGGTATGAAAATAAACTTCAGTTCTTTTCTTCGTTTTTGATTGGTTGCAGAGACAAAGTTGAGTCGTCCTTGGTAACCGCATGTAACAGCATACTAAGCATCCGTCTTCTATATACTCAGCTAATGTCTTGGAGGAAAGAGTATATCTGGAGATCGTGAGGGTTTTGGCAAACGAGCAAGAAACGCAATATCGCGGATTTCTGTCAGAAGGCGACTTCGTTCCTATTCTCTCCGATTTATCCGAGCACGCCTCTCTCCTCTATCCTGATATAAGCAAGTGGGTCAAAAATCACCACTTATCTTCTTATCTGCTGGAGTACTTAATATACTTTCACACTCTGATTAGCTTAGAACTACTCGACGCCATTTTTCTCGTCTAATCACATATTTTTTCATAGCGTCACTGCTTTCCCATACTAGCTGTACACTTCATTCTGCAGCTATTGTTTCAAGATGAACAAGAACATAGCACAAAAGCAGGACGTCGACAGAATCGTGCAGATTTGATGACTCCTTCGCCAGTAGCTTGAGCTTCATTACTGAGATTTTTTGCATAACGACCCGACAACTTCGAGCGCAGTCCAGTGCGACAGACCCAATTTACCACACCATCTTCCTCAGGAAGTTCCCAGTGCATTTTTTATGCTACCTTACACCATGGAATGACGGCATTGAGAAAGCGAGTAGTACAGCCGCAAGAGTTTTTATGGCGAGCGGGGACTCTAAAACAGCTTGCTACCCACCGAAAACGATTCACATTCCAGACGCCGCATCAAGGACTGGTCTGCGTGAGGGCTCGCCCTATATCTCCTTACTCAACCACGTTGTACATATTGGTACGCTACTTTCTAAACTTCTTTATTTGATGCGGTCGCATATCATTTTTTTTTGTGACTACGAACGAGAAAGAGCATCCTTGGCGCATGATCTATTCCACCTCTTTGTAATTGCGTGATATGTTTACTCCTAGCCCACGATGTAGCCATGTTAGCGAAGGTGTTGCGAGTGTTGTTTGCCATTTCCCAAATATTACAACTTTTATCAGCAATTGCGAAAGTGCCTATGAATGGACTAACTGCAAAGCGAGACAATACAAAAGTTGGAAAAGGCGGAGGCTTTCCGCCTGAATTGCCGCCGTCCGAGATCCGAGTGCTGCCTCACTAGAAACCCCCTCACTCCCCTCTCGCAGACTCTTTCACTCGCTCAGCCGAGCACACCAGCCGCAAGGCCTGAATAGTTGTGGTTACATAGAGAGCCACAGCTTTTGGGCTTTTTGTCAGTTCTTCCAATGTTTTTTTCTTACCTCTCTGCACCTGCTCCCCCAATCGCCGACCCACTCCTCCGCTGCTTTTCTCGTGTCTTTCTTGTCTGTGTATCAGTGACACCGATCAACTGACTACAGAGAGAAAGAAGGAGCACTCGTCGCCGATTGCTGCATCGTCTCCGCACGGTTCGGGAACGCATCAACACCCTCGCAAGAATTCCGGCCCAGCAAATGCATCCCCGAAAGCTTCCGGGGGTTACCATAAAAGCAAGCCAGTAACACCTTGAAGACTCTGCGCATCTTGATTCTTAGGCCTCCACTTTGGCGCATATTTCTCCCACGTTTCAGCCTTGAAAAAGTCAGCCCTTCGCCCTTTTTTCGCGCAGGTCTCTCTCTCAGGTTTTTGCTTTTTCTGTCTTTTTTTCTATGATTTTCGTCCCAGCTTTTCTCTCTTTTCCCCACGCAGGCTTCTCATCTCTCAGGCTTTTGCTTTTTCTTTCTTTTTCTTCGATGCTCTTTCCTGTGGGCTTTTTACTTTTTTTCCAAGCAGGCCTCGCTCTCGCTCAGGTTTTTGCTTTTTCTATCTGTTCGCCCCTGTTCTTGTCTGGCTTATTACTTAGGAAGACAAGAACAGAAGAAGCAGAAGAAGCAGCAGCAACTGCCAGCACACCCTGCCGAACGAAAAGAAATAACGAGAAGGAGCAAAAGAGCAGAAGTTTGGCGGCAGTGCACTACTCTAGCTATATACTTACGCAGGGCAAAGCGAGCAGACAGAAAAAGCAAAAACTTGGGGAGGGGCCTGCTTGAGGGAAAAGGGAAAAGCTGACAGAAAAGATCACCGAAGCGCATAGATATAGAAAAAGCAAAAACTTGAGAGAGCGGCCCGCATGGGGAACGAAACGGAAAGGGTGAAAAGCCCACAGAAAAGAGCATCGAAGAAAACGAAAGAAAAAGCAAAAACCTGGGAGAGGCACCTGCGCGGGAAAAAGGCGAAAAGCTGACAAAAAAGAGCACAGGAAAAAGAGACAGAAAAACAAAAGCAAAAACTTGAGAGAGCGGCCGGCGCTGTGTGAAAAAAGGGCGAAGAGCTGACTCTTTCAACGCTGAAACGCGGGAGAAATATGCGCCAAGGCTAAGGCCTCAAAGCCAAGGCGTGCACTGCGAAGGGCTTTCGAAGAACTTGACGCCCATGCTTGCAGAACCTCAGGCGGCGCCTTGTCTCTAGGGGTCCGCGTCTGTTCTTTATTCTATTCGTTGGCGTCTCGCCCCTGGGGTGGTTTCTTTGTGTCTCTGACTGTGTCGCTTGCTCTGCTCTGTTGTTTCCCCAGCTCATGGCCGCCGGCCTCTCGGTTCTTCAGGCTATGCCAATAAGGTGCGCGCGCGCCTTGGTGGGCTTGTGTGTGGGTCGTCTTCGTGTTTGTGATCTGGTTCGCACTCGCAGGGCCCCGTCGCTACTGGTTCTCCCAGCTGGCGACCGTGGCTGGGTGCGCTTGTGTGAGTGTGTGGTCTGTTATCGGCAGGCGGCGCCTTGGGTTCGTGGGCTTCTCTGTTCGCCCGCTGGTGCTTAGGTGGCTGCTGCTCTCTGTCTCATCGGCATCGGTCGGCGTTGGCTGTGCTGCTATCGTTTGCTTGGTTGTGCCTTTGGCCGTAGGTTGCGCCGTTGGGTTGTTTATGGGTATGGACGCTCTTCGGGCGCATGCGTGTGGCTGGGTAGCTCAAGACAGACACTGACATGGGAGGCAGCGTAATCACTGGGCGCGGTGGTTCTCGCGTCGGTCTCCGCCTCATTTGGCGCTGGCAGCTCCTTACCCAAGCAGGCTCAGCGAGCGTGTTGCAATCGGACTGATTTCACTACTCGCGGGCGCTGGGCTGGATGCTGTGGGCCTCCCGCTCACTGGGGTGACTGATCGAGGGAAAGGCGTGACTGAGGTGCTTCTTTGGCACACTGCCTAGCCAGCGATGGCAGGCCTGTCGCCGAGCGGTCAACGAGTACGAGAGAGGGGCAGGCGGGTGCCGTGCTGTCTGTAGTTCTATCAATCTGCCTGGAAGTGCGTGGCTGTGTGTGTACCTGTCTAACTTGCTAGGCAGCTACCTTTCCCCTATCCAAGTCGAGCGGAGGCGGTCGCGGCGTTCTTTCTTTCGTTCGGTCTCATCAGGCGGACGCGGCTCCGGCCAGGAAGGGGGTTGCAATTAGGCGAAAAAAGTCGGCCTTTTAGAATCGCGGGCAGCTTGTCTTGGGTCATTGCGTCCTTGCTTAGCTTCGGGGAGCTTTGCTGCTTTTCTCGTGTCGTTTCATTCGTTGGGGGATGCGCTTGCGAGTGACTGACTTGGCGAAGCTAATCCCGTGTGGCTCTTTTATTGTGTTTTCCTTTGCAGGGAGTTCCTGGCCGCGCACGGCTTTCAGATCAAAAGAGACGACCGAAAAAGTCGCCGGGTTTTTTCGGTCGTTTTTTTCGATTGGGCTCGCTCGGCTTGGCGGTGCAGGTCTTAGGGGTCTCTATTTAGAGGGGGGGCGCGTTGCCGATGGCGGTCAGGGTGGCGGAGGGCCCTCTGCCTTGGGGTGTGGTGCTTCTGGTCTTCTGGGTGCTTTCGTGCTGCTTTTCAATGTTTGATGCCAAATCTCAACTCTGTAACGAAATTGCGCCGATTTGGTACTCGGGTAACTTCAGTGATGTGCAGCAATTATTACGTGGCGGCACAATTGGGCTTAGGTTAATGGGGAGACTGCCGCCGGGTAATAGTTATTGCGTGGCTTCATGCCATTAGGCTTGTGGTCGACGTGGTTATATAAAGTCTCCGCACTTGGCCTCGCTTTCCTCGCTTTTTTTTTAGAGCTTGCCTGGGTCCCCGGTGTTCGAAGTCATTGCTCTAGAATTATGCCGATTTGCCCCAAATGAATCGGGCCAATCGACATAATTCCAAAAGGCTTCCGCAGTCTTCGTCTTGGCGCTTGTTTTATAACGATGTCGATTCTCTCCCTTCTTCAAATTCGAACGACATTAGGAAGCTTGGCGCCATTTATTCACTGGGAGGGCTGGGCTTGGTTGCTTGTGCTCGTCTTCTATGGCTTGGCCATAACCGCCTTGCCTTGATCATCCAAGTGGAGGAGCTGAGCTGGGGGCATTTGGTGGAGCGTTTTCGCTGTGGGGTGGCCCGCACACTGGGCCAAGACAGCGCGGCGCGACGATTGTCGCAGCAGCTGGCGTGGGGCTGCCTGACTTCGAATTCGAAGGAGCGGGGAGTCGGGTAGGAGGGGCGCGCGGGTTGTGGGGGGGGGGGTAGGGTTTGGGCTGGCTACCTCTCTAAAATAACGGAAGAAAACGCGTCTAAAATTTTTTTGGTTTTTTTCCTGGTTCAGAAATAACAGCTCGAACAAAGCGCCCAAAAAAACGGCCAAAAACGGCGAGGCTTTAGGGCTTTTCTCGTGTGGTTTCACCTAAAGGCCGCTCGTTTTCGTTTCGAGGCCGCCGACTTTTTTCGCCGTGCCTAAAATTGGTGGCTTTTTAGCCGTCAAGGTCAACCTTAGCGTGATTCTCAGATAGTCGCCAACCTTAGACAGGAGCAGGATTTTTAGCCCTCATTTTTAGGCTGGTTTCTTGCCGGCTCTTGCGGGGTCTTGGAAGCCTTCGGGCCGTGCAGCCGCGTCGCAGGCTTGATCGCATTCAGGAGCAGAGCGTCCATTCGTACTCCGTGGGCAGGCCTCGAAGTGCGGCTGGGTGCTCCAAGCTCCGGCGGGTTGGTCGGGTGTGGCGCATGTGGACGCTAAGGCCCCACATCGAGCAACACTTGCTTGGAGTTGGGCTGCAATGTCCACGCCAGTGAGGCCGCGCGGGCCGGGCCGCGTGGTTCTGGAGTGGACGTTAGGGCTGCAGGCTGAGGATTGGTTACTCGAAGTGTGGCCTTAGCGTCCACTCCGGGCCCGGCGCAGCCTCGCGGGCTGGCATGCTGGTGTCGGCTCTTAGCGTCTGGCGCTTCTCCGAGGCGTGTCCTCGAAGTATGGCTGTTTGCCTGAGGTCGTCCCCGGTGCGTGCATGCGCTTCGATCTAGACTCACTTACGGGAGCCTGCTCTTGTAGGTTGCTGGCGGCTGCGGCTTGGTGTGGTCTTTCGCGGGTCTACTTTTGCGTGGGTTCGGCTGCTCGATCCCTTGCATCCAGATGAGCCGGCGCATGCGTGTGGCGGTGTGTTGGGGTCGGGGATTTCTCAAAACCCGAAAACTTTAACGAAATCGCGACCGGGCTTGTTGGTTGGGTGTGTGTCTGCCTGAGAGCGAGCAGCGCGCCGGCCTATGTGTGTAGTCTAGCGCTGTTCTGTATTCTCTTGCATCCATTTGCGTGCATCGAAGTCGCCGGGCTGGCCGCCGCGTGGCGGCGGCCGTCTTTCCATGCTTGAAGTTGAACACCGCCGGCAGTTTCTTGTCTTTTCTGTCTCTTTAGAAGAGGGAAAACCTTGGCAAAAAGTTCGCGAAATCTTTGCAAGTAAAACCGTCGCGGAATCTTTTCGAAAAGGGAAAGAGCGCATGAAGTTCCAACATGGTCAAGACTTGGAAACTTTCCGCAAACATTTCGCGAAGGTTTGGGGGCTTCTGCTTTCTAAGTTTTTTGATGAGGACACGAAAATGGGCCGCGGCCGGGGACAAACTCGCGACAATTTGCAGCGGGAGCGCATAGGGCTCCGCGTCTTCTGTCTCTGCTTTTTGTGGTCTTTCTGTTTCTCTCTCTAAAGCTGTGGAGTCTTTTGGGTGATGCATTTGCTTGGGAAGTTGTCGGGTGGTTGCGTCGAAAGCTGGCTCGTTGGCTTGTGGTGCTCTCAGTGTGTGCGGTGGCTGGGCTGGTCGTGTGTTGGTTCTGTCGGCTCTGCTTTCAGAGGCTTAGCAGAAGCCTCGTGAAGTGGACAGTTGTGAAGCAAGGCGGCGCGCGTCCGTGGGCCCCGGCAGCTTTTCGCTCAGATTCCTCGCCGTCGACAATCTTCGAGCGCGGCGGTCTCCAAGGTTAGGGACGCGCATGGCGTGAAAATCTAAAGAGCTTAAACTTAAAGGCCATCGAACAAGTAGCGCAGTCGCCTTAGTTTGTTAGCGCAATCAAACCATAACCAACTAGCAGAAGTGTAGCCCTCTCTCTGACATTCTAAAAAAAGAAGCATGCCCTGTGTCATCATCGCAGAACCTGGCACCAGGTCAGGGAACAACTCCCAAAACCCAACGGACAAAGAGCCCAAAAGAAACGCCGCGGCCTTCTATCTAACCGCACTCGCAGCGAACTACTCAGACGGACCCTCTTGCGGTGCGTGGTCTTTCTCGTCTCTCTCTCGCTCTCGCAAAGCCCTTCGCGCCTTTGTTCTGCGCCCTCCCTACCTTTGCCTCCACGTGTCCGCCGCGAGGCGAGCGTTTGAGCTGACGTCTCCGGGCTTCCGCTGCAGATCTTCTGTCTTTTTTATCGTCTCGCTTTGCAGTTAGTCCATTCTTTCATACTTGTGCCGCTCCGTCAGGCGACAAATGGAGCTATGGACTTCGTGGATATTCAGGCAGCTGCGTGCCTTCTCGAGCACAATGGGGAAACTCAACCTTGTAGTAACGTCGACGTCTTCCGCGCTCATGCTGGAGGAGTTTTGTCTTTGACTAAGGAGGCTTTGCGAACCCTCAATGCTTTTCCTGGTCGTATGAAATGGCACAGTGGATACCTGGAAATGGCGCAGAATGTGGCACGTGAGGAAATGTCTCTGAATTTGCCTGGTGCTTTTCATTTTCTTGGTTTTTCTGACACGGGTCGCAAAGACGGTGACTACATCCAGAAAAAGACAACAGAGGCCTGGCTGGCAAACAGAGGAGTCGTGTGCAACACCCGGCCAGTGGGCGAATGGTTTAATATAGTACCTTTACCAGACTGAGACTTTTCTAACTTGTGCTGAGCTGGGCTTCGGTTATTCGTCTGTTTTTTTCTCTATTGCAATTCGAATTCCTTTATTAACGCTAAGCCTTCACACCATCCACCAGGAACAACCCAAAATGGTACGCCGGCGACTTCCTCTTAGAAGGTGAGATTTATGAAAGAACGAAACTGATTTGGTCGGGCCGTGTAGAGACTATACGGAATTCTTGTGCGAAATATTAGGAAGAGCGCACGGATGTCGTGGAGAAACAGTAGAAATAGCAATAGATATATTTTTATTTATTATTACTTCGCCTAAGATGATTCTGGCCTTCTAGTTGTATGCTTCCCGTATTTGGTAACCTGAATTTGATCATAAATAAGGGAAAACAAGAAGAGAACCCTTGTGATCAAATTCAGGGTACCAAATACCGGAGCCATGATTCACTAGTTTGAGTCAGTTCTGTCTAAGAGATGGAGGCACTGAGTACCTCCATTGTAGGGCTCGCGTTTGAGTTGCGGGACAGGTTAGAAGGCAGAGGCGGAGCTTGTGGTCTACCACAGGGGAGCAGCGCGGTCAGTGTTGGAGTTTTTACGGTAGCAGCGGCTTCGCTTGTACCCAGCAACGGCCGTAGAAGATTTCAGCTCTTACCTGAGTCGGGGCCGTGGGCTGATGTTCTTCGGTGTCTTAGTGAAGAACTGGTGGGGGAGGAAGGCTGCTGCCGCTCCACCGATCTTCTTGAACGATACCAGACCGTCCGCTACGACGTCATCAATGTCAAAGAAGCCGAGGGCTATAATGCTGACCAGATAAGGAAGATTAATCGATGGAAAATAACCAAAGACAACCCTTCCAAGTACTATCAAAATGCTTAGCCTTTGTCTTGGATCTTGTTTTTTTCCTTCGCTAGAAGCACAACTCCGATCCTTGTCCTCACAGCCTTTTCAATGTCACCATTAGCATTAGCACCAGAAAGATGGCGATTTAGATGTACCAACGCCAACGAGTATGTCGCCAGGTACATCGCTTATTTGGCAAATGCGGTAGCTTTTTTCAAGGAACGAACACCCATCGGCCAAGGCGGGGATGCGCAGGCATTGAAGCCCGGCGTGATAATAGCAGACGGGTTGTTCGATATCTCTGGCGGAAATGGCAGCCGAGAACTTACGGATAAGGTGCACACATCATTCATGCGCCGCTTCACTGCGACACGAAACGAGATATTCTTCCGATGGAGTCAGGAAGAGCTACCAGAACCAGAGCTAGGCGAAACCTCGAGCACCCGCCCGTATAAAATAATACTAGCCTGGGGAAGGGTACCTTCCCCAGAAAAACGCTATCGCGCGTACACTGAAGACCAGCCAGGAAGTTGAAAATTTAAACCGAACCAAGATCCTTTTTTTGGCAGTACTGCCGCAGTTCTTCTTTTAGAATGGTGGCAGTACTGCCAAAGAGATCAAAAAAAAGCACGTCGCTCAAAAAAAAAGCTCAACCTTTAGAGCGAAGACCCGCCGCGCGAAGTCTTACGACGGGCGGCCTTCTTGTGTGGTAGCCTTGGACTGTGGTGGATCATTAGCCGGACCGGCCTCCCTTTCTCATACCAAAACTGGAAACAGTGGGCGAGGCGCGCGGGGCGGCTTTGGTGTGTGGTGGGATCGTTGGCCGGGCTGACCTCTCTTATTTATACCAAAATCGAAAACAGCGGCTGAGGCGCGTGGGGTGGCCTTGTTTTTGTGTGGTGGTTGGGCCACTGGCTGGACCAGCCTCCCCCCTCTATACCAAAATCGAGAACAGCGGCCGACGCGCGCGGCGTGTCCGTGTTTGTGTGTGGTAGGTGGATCATAGGCCGGACCGACCTCCTCCCTTTCTATCAAAATCGAGAACAGCGGGGCGCGCGGGGTGACCTTGGTGCGTGGTGGATCATTGGCCGGACCGGCTCCCCCTTTCTATACGAAAATCGGAAGCAGCGGCCGAGGCGCGCGGTGTGGCCTTGGTTTGTGTGTGGTAGGTGGATCATTGGCTGGACAGACCTCCCCTCTCTATACCAAAATCGGAAACAGCGGCAAAACAGCGGGGCGCGCGGGGTGGCCTTGGTGTGTGGTGGATCATTGGCCGGACCGACCTCCCCTCTCTATACCAAAACCGATAACAGCGGCCGAAGCGCGCGGCGGGGCCGTGTTTGTGTGTGGTAGGTGAATATGGCTGGATCGTCATTGGCTGGACTGGCCTCCCCTTCTTATACCAAAATCGAAAGCAGCGGGGTGATCTTGGTGCGTGGTGGATCATTGGCCGGACAGGCCTCCCCTCTCTATACCAAAATCGGAAACAGCGGCTGAGGCGCGTGGTGTGGCCTTGTTTGTGTGTGGTAGCGGTAGGTGGATCATTGGCCGGGCCGGCCTCTCCTCTCTATACCAAAAGGAACCGGAAACAGCGGGAAAACAGCCGGGCGCGCGGGGCGGCTTTGGTGCGTGGTGGATCATCGGCCGGACCGACCTCCCCTTTCTATATGAAAATCGAGGACAGCGGCTGAGGCGTGCGGCGTGGCCGTGTTTTGGTGTGGTAGGTGGATCATTGGCCGGACTGGCCTCCCCTCTCTATGCCAAAACTGAAAACAGCGGGGTGCGCGGGGTCGGTGACTTTGGTGCGTGGTGGATCATTGGCCGGACCGGCCTCCTCTCTCATTCTATACCAAGCAAAATCGGAAACAGCGGCCGAGGCCGGCGCGCGGCGTGAGCTTGTTTTTGTGTGGTGGGTGGATCATTTGCCGGACCGACCTCCCCTTTTCATACCAAAATCGAGAACCAACAGCGGGGCGCGCGGGGCGGCCTTGGTGTGTGGTGGATCATCGGCCGGACCGCTGTCCCCTTTCTATACCAAAATCGGAAACGGCGGCTGTGGTCTTGTTTCCGCATCATCGGCCGGACCGCGATCCCCGTGCTAGTCTGGGCATGGGTTTAGTTGGTTAGGGTTGGTAGCCTGGGCGGCATGGGTTTAATGGGACAGGGTTTGTGGTCTGGGCGTCAGGCCATGGGCTTAGTAGCTTGCGGCGGGTAGTCTGGGCATGGCTTTATTGGGTTGGGGGGTGGTAGTCTAGGCGCGGGCTTACTGGGTTGGGGCTGGTGGTCTGGGCATGGGTTTAGTGGCTTGTGGCTGGTAGTCTGGGCAGGGGTTTACTGGCTTGCTGCTGGTAGTCTGGGCATGGGTTTAGTGGGTTGGTGGTCGGGGCATGGGTTTAGTTGGGTGGGGCTGGTAGTCTGGGCATAGGTTTCGTTGTTTGTGGCTGGTAGTCTGGGCATGGATTTAGTGGCTTGCGGCGGGTAGTCTGTGTATGGTTTTAGTGGGTTGGGGCTGGTAGTCGGGGCATGGGTTTAGTAGGTTGCTTGGGGTTGGTAGTCTGGACATGGGTTTAGTGGCTTGCAGCTGGTAGGCCGGGCATGCGTTTCGTGGTTTGTGGCTGGTAGTATGGGCATGGGCTTAGTAGCTTGCGGCTGGTAGTCTGGGCATGGATTTAGTGTGTTGGGGCTGGTAGTCTGGCCATGGATTTAGTGGCCTGCGGCTGGTAGTCTGGGCACGGATTTCTTGCGGCTGGTGGTCGGGGCGTGGGTTTAGTGGCTTGCGGCTGGTAGTCTGGGACCTGGGTATCGGTCTATTGGGTTGGGACTGGTAGTGTGGGCACCGGTTTAGTGGGCTGGGGCTGGTAGTCTGGGCATTGGTTTAATAGCTTGCGGCTGGTAGTCGGGGCATGGGTCTAGTGGTTTGCGGCTGGTAGTCGGGGCATGGGTTTAGTGGATTCGGGCGGGTAGTCTGGGTGTCGGTTTAGTGGGTTGGGGCTGGTAGTCGGGGCATGGGTTTAGGGGGTTGGGGTTGGTAGTCGGGGCATGGATCTATTGGCTTGTGGCTTGTAGCTGGTAGTCGGGGCACGGATGTAGTGGTTTGTGGCTGGTGGTCTGGCTGGGGGTGATTTTAGTTAGTGGCTTGCGGCTGGTGGTCTGGCTGGGGGTGATTTTAGTTAGTGGCTTCGGCTTGCGGCTGGTAGTCTAGGCATGGATTTAGTGGCTTACGGCTGGTAGTCTGGGCAGGGGTTTACCGGGTTTGGGCTGGTAGTCGGGGTATGGATTTAGATTTAGTGGCTGAGGCCTGGTGGTCTGGGCGTGAGTTTAGTGGGTTGGGGCTGGTAGTCTGGGCATCGGTTTAATGGGTTGGGGCTGGTAGTCTGGGCATGGGTTTAGCGGGTCGGGGCTGGTCGTCTGGGCTTGGGTTTAGTGGGTTGGGGCTGGTAGTCTGGGCATGGATTTTTGTAGTGGGTCGGGGCTGGTAGTCTGGGCTTGGGTTTAGTGGGTTGGGGCTGGTAGTCTGGGTTTGGGTTTAGTGGGTTGGGGCTGGTAGTTTGGAAGCAAAAAAGTGCCCTGCTTTTGTTTTTTAATTTTCTTTATGATATATTTAATGTGAAATAAATGAAATACCAGAATTAATGAACTGTCTCTCTCTAACTCTATGACTATGCATTAGGTTGAAGAGCATTAGGATTCCGATCCCATCTGGAGCTGCAGGCAGCGGCACTGTATTAAACTGCGTCAGCAGATAGAAAATACAATATGACATGGCAACTCCAACTCGTATGGTCCAACTTGTCCGCCAGTCCCCGATCCTTCAGGTGGAACGATCCAACGTGGTACAGAGCGATCGGGGATGGCGCTTCGGAGGCACGCGAGACAAATCGAGACTTGGTCGCCGCTATTTCAGATGCAGTAGAACTGATCCGAATGACGCAAAAGTCGGAAGAAGAAAAGTATCAACGGATAAAGGATTTCCTCGCAACGAACGGGAACAACGCGTATCGGTTAGCTGCAGACTGGCTTTGGAAGGCGCAAGCTACACCGCAAAAGTACCTTAGGTGGTTCCCAAAACGGCTCGAGTTCGGCACAGAGTATCTAAAGAACTTAGACGATTTCATAACGGAGCACGCCAATCGTCTCCTGGATCCCACCGTGAGCGTGCTCAACACGGAGGCACTCAACGCGCGCTTTTCTGTTATGAAATTGCGGAAACTTCTGAGGTATATAGACATTGTTAGAATTTGACGCTCCAGCTTCAATCTTTTTTTTTAGCTCGTCATCTGTTTGGCCTGTTTGATGAAGAAGATCAATTATTCATGAAGATACTGCGCTTTCAATAAACATCAACAAGCGCTCCACCTCAACAAGCCCTCCCATTTCTCTGAAACTCAATCTTCCTCCCACCTTCACCAGGAACCAAAGCGGCGCTCAGCAGCTGGAGGTGCCGAGTAGCCTGAGTGAGCTAGCGACTACCGCGTACGAAGAAGCTGCGCGCTTTGCGGTGGATGCTGCCGCCGAGGTATCTGTGGTCGCAACGATTCCCTTCAAAAAGCTTGGCACTGTGTTGACCATTCCGCCCTCGCAGTTCGAGACATTCACGCTTGCCATCTTGCTTCTAGTTGCGACATATCCACTACTGATGTGGTGCTGGAGTAGATGGCGCTGCCGTTCTTGCCACCGCCGCGAGCCGCGTAATGTTGAGGGAAATGCTGAGACACCATTGCATGAAGGCTCGACTTTGCCGAGGTACTCCGCTGTTGCAAACGAAGGCTAGACGCAGACTTTTCGCACTTTTTCATCTACGAAAGCGGTCGAGATGCAATTATCGGCCTTCAAGAAATGCCGATGAAGAGAACAATAGTATTATAGAAGTGATGCAGCAGATCATGCTCATATTACAATTACTACTTTGATTTTACCAGATCACTCTGAAAGAGGAAGTAGATCATGTAGATCTTGACGCATGATGAACTCGCCTCCTCACGAGAAGTAAGCATGTTGACGATCGAGACTGATCATGTCTGATTCTGAATACTCGACAAACATCGTCGAGATGAAAGTCAAGATGTAATTTTGCTTTGCCTGGAGTGTGATTTTTCTTAACACGCATCCAGAGTCGGTTTTGGCTGAAATAGTTACGACGTTTGAAGTCGGTAGAAATTCTGGTATGCCATGCTTGCACTAAGAGGAACCACAACTCTGACCCCCCTCTTTTTATGACCCAGAGCACATTACCCAGAAGCAGAATTATTCACTTGTTAGATGTACTACGACTACATCCTGTGCATCTTCATGATATAAGTAGACACATCGTCTCAACTCGTAATTATCTCCACAAAGAATTGCCATTGATCGCCTTGCGTCTCATTCGCGTTGCGAAGAGTGCGTCCGCCCTTCGTGACCGAATGCAGCTGGATTTAGAGTTAGTTTGAACGAATGGCCATGCCGCGTGTGTCTGATACTTATCGATGCAGAGGTAGAGGAATGTTGTGGTGACTTTCAGAGTGTAGTGTCAGCGAGTGGAGGAAGTTCGTGTGCTAGAAGATAAAGGTTATTAATATTTGCCTCATCGTGTAGTATGAAATGCAAACTCAAAGTCACAAAACAACATGACGATCAGGATGAGGATCATGGTGACAGTGACAGTCACTAAGAAATTATTATATATAACAAGACTACACCAGCTACAGCAACAGCAACACAGCTAGTTGTACAACAACAGGAACTGTTCATCCTTAGATAGAAGTCCAAGTGAAGAAAAAATGCCACCTCCGTCGCCTCCAGTGCCGCGTGATGGGGATGCAACTACAGGCCTCACAGACCTCCAGCGTCTTGTTCGGACAGATCCGAGTGTTGTCGACGACATCCTGCAGTATTCCATCCACACTATTAAGGGTTGTTATAGTCAATTGACTTCAGAAGTATCGAACTAGCGGCAACTCTATCATGACTACCCTCTATAGAAGAAAGATCCAGAAAACCAGCATCCTCTCTGATGTATCTATATTTATAATGTATGTTAAGGCTATGGCTAACAGTAGCACGAAGTAGATAGTGTCCTTTTCTGTGGTTGTGGGTTTATTTGGTGAACCGGTACCCCATTGCGAATAAACCTGCGCGCACAACCATAGAGCTGAGCACTCACTGGAGGCGTTGCGCAGGGCTCCGGCCTGCCTTCGAAGGTGAGACCTCTGGGGCTGACCTGACAGGACCACGACGGCGCCGGCGCTTAGTTAGTAGTAGATAAGTTCTTGCCTGACTTTTCTTTTTTCGGTTTTTGTTTTTTCTAGTTAGATATGCTCCACCAACATTATTACTGATGGGGCTGGTAGTATGTACGCACCTGGGGACCTTAGGCGTTCCCTGGCGGTACTTCCCATCCATCGGAGGTTTCGCCTCCCAACGTCCGCTTTCCCTAAATCACTGCGTAGACCTCACGCATCCTATATTTTGCAAATCGTCCGGTTCTTTTTTAACATAAAACACGAGCGCGGCAACATCCATCATTGGGATGCTGTAGGTGATGACGCTCACAGCGGCATGCGTTTGGGCTCTGGAGGAAGGGGCGCGGAGTTGGTGTTAAGCGTATATCCATGGTCGTAGTTTTGTAGCATGTGACGGGTCGCGGATTCTGTGATAGATTTTATGTATCAACTACGGCGCAAAGGATCCGCGGCAGACCTATGGGCTTGCAACTTTGACGCTAGTGAGTGTCTTGGGTATTCTGCTGCGGATTTCGTGCGTGGATATTAAGGCTAACAGTAGCACGAAGTAGATAGTGTCTTTTTCTGTGGTTGTGGGTTTATTTGGTGAACCGGTACTCCATTGCGAATAAACCTGTGCACACAACCATAGAGCTGAGCACTCACCGGAGGCGTTGCACAGGGCTCCGGCCTGCCTTCGAAGGTGAGACCTCTGGGGCTGACAGGACCACGACAGCGCCGGCGCTTAGTTAGTAGAAGATAAGTTCTTGCCCGACTTTTCTTTTTTCGGTTTTTGTTTTTTCTAGTTAGATATGCTCCACCAACATATATTTATATTAATGTTGTATGTTTTTAATAGCCTATTATATCCATACTACTTATTTTTGGAAGTGCCACTCAGGACGCCCACGGATTTCAAATTCAGCCTGCTCATTACAATCGTCACCATGATGCATCAGCGCTCTTACTTCAATAAAAGTTCCTTGATTTTTTTTTTCATGCAACACGAACTTCCTCTGAAGTTTTTCTTATCAGTGGTCACTATCAGTAAAATAAGTGAGACTTTTCGTAATATGTTTTAATATCCTACTTAATCGAAAAGCGCTAACACACAAGGCGGTGGGGACAACGATTTAGACCGCACAGTCCTCTCCGGGGAACAGATGGCGCAGATGAAGACAGGTAACCAGGGCTCCAAAATCCAGCCAGTTGACGGCGACGTCACACAACTCCCATCACCAGCTGACGTGAGGGTCAGCACAGAAGAGTCTGAACGCAATAAACGAAGTCGTAGTAATTAAGGCTCCTGAGGCATAATATTGAATAATTTATTTTCGTTTTTTTAATAGTTAATACTGTATGGCTCTGGGATTTGGTTCCCTGAATTTGAGCACAAGAATTCTCTTCTTGTTTTTCTTATGATCAAAATCAGGCTACCACTACCTAGCACTAGAGCCATTTAAATACTCCATAACAAACTATATAATCTAAATCTTCTTCTACACATGAGGGTGGAGTCGTCTTTTTGTTTCTTTTATTTGGCTACTTTTTCTTCATCATCATCGTCATCCATCAATCATTCAATAACAATACGCTGTAGCAGCTGTACAACAATCAACATTGAAACACTTAATATACTTGATGCCAGAGGCGAAATTCATTGGGATGGACGTGGACGAGCCAGTTTGTGCAGATGATTGAAGAAAATTAAGATTGTCAATGTCAAATTATTATGTTGGTTTTGTAAGCGCTTGCGCTAAAAGAATAAAGAGGAGAAGAAGCAAAGCGCAACAAGATCACCTCCACAGCCCTCGCATGTCGACGCTTCCTTGGAGGAAAGTCGCATCCCGCTCTCTAGCTCCGAAAATGCTGGTGTGACAGAAGAGAAAATCCCTATTTTGGCGGCCACCAATGACACTTTGATGTCAATTGACCACGACAAGCAGGTACTACTAGTGCTTGCGGCACATGATTATACATATACCTGTTCTTATTTTCATGTCCTGCTCATATGAAAATGAACTTCACTTGATGCCTTTTGATGTCGATGAGTATTTTTTACATCATTTAAAAAAGTCAACACCGCCTTCTCGGTGCAACTGCATACAGTAAAAAAATTTCGTTTCCCTGCTTCGGAGGCCGCGCGATGAGCTCGTCTCTTCGTGACTTATTTTATCGCGTTTTTGTTTTTCATCTTACTCAAGTCGGTCCCCCCTCGCTACCCTTGGAGTCGAGTCAGGGTTCTAGGAGGGTTCGATCATGTGGTGTGCAGTATGATCCATAACGATAACCTAGAATCGTAACCGAATTCCTCAGACTCGTCCGATGCTCTCCGTATCGGATGTTACTTCGTCCTCGCGTCCCGTGGGAGTCTCTCTGAGCAAAAATATCGACCGGGGTTTGATAGAGGCCACGTTAGCAGCGAATTTAGGAGGAGGTGTTGCGACTCCTGCTGGAGGAACACTGGGCACGATGGGGCCTCCAGTGAGCTCTCGGTCCAACGCCACGATCGGTGGCGCGTCCGCAGGCAGCAGTCGCACTCTGCTCCATGGTGTACTACCAGGTGGAGCCTCGGGAACCACCGGAGGAGGAACAAGTCCCGCGCTGGACCCGAATGCCGGGGATGTGGACAACGTGGGCATGGACATGATGGACGAGAGAGACGCGCAACTACTAGCTGGCTTCACAGGAGCGGACGGCACGCTGGCGAGACCCTCTCGTCGTCGCGGGCCATCCGCATTGGCTGATAAACCGACATTAAGGCTGTGGTTTCAAGAAAGTGCTCAGCGTCAACGCAAGTAGCTATATGAAGATGAAAACGGAAGCAGGTACAAGATGAAGATAATAAAGGACGCAGGTCCAAGATGGAGATGATAACGTAAGTTTGTCTTGTCGGACGAAGATAATAACGCAAGCAGGGACAACGACAGATAAATAACGGAAGCAGCTAGAACACAATTACTAGGTGGAATATGAATGACCCATCCGAAGATAAATGACCCTAGGATTGCATCGTAAAAGCTTTTTTTTTGTAGTCGTAATAGAAAATGAAGAACCCGTCCATCGTCCTCATTGATTATACTCGTCCGTGATTTATGGATAACCCATCCTGCCAGCATCGTTATCGTAGAAGAGGCTGAAAAGGCTCTAAAGCTATTAATGATTATTACTTAGATAACCCCCCGAGCTGTAGAGCTCATCTTCGAATTTTGGAGTCGACGCGAGCACGTGTGAGCAGTCGCAGTGTGGACGTAGATAAGCGAAGATCATTTCGTGGAGATCGACAACTGCAGGATGCTGCATGGTCAAGAGACCATCCCCAGCACATGGTCGATTTTCACCAGCAACTGCGTCAATCCACTCAATCCTTATGCTGGCTTAATCATGTCCTAGATGTTCATCCAGAAGACTCGAATTCGTGAACTTCTACTTCAATATCGTATAATCGTGTTAGGATAGACTATGGGAGCTCTCCTAAGCAAGTAGGGAAGAAGTGGTAGTGGAGTAACTACACAATCACTGAAATTTACAATCAATTAAGTAACACGATCATACAGAAGATTGATGCACGACATGCATCGAAGGAACGAAGCGGATAGGTCTAACATCGGGGGCGCTGTCGGGTGGCTCGTCCCTACCACGCAGCCCCAACCGCGGCGTCGAGCCGGTTACCGCTGGCATTGCATTGTATTCAGGCACTGGCGGAAAGCCCGCCAGTGTGGATAGATTGGTGGTTGAGCCCCTAGAAGGTGGTGACGCTGAAGTAAAGCAGAATCGCGTTGCGAGACTACGCGCAGAACATGGGAAAAAGAAAAGAAGAGAAAGTGGTACCAGTTCTTGCAAGCAGTCACTCTTCTTTAAAATATAACAGAGCGCTTTATAGCACGCATGGCGCATGGAGTAGCATACTATGAATAACTCTGATATAGGTATGTTGCATTGGAGCAGGACGATACAGATACTAGTGGAGGTACATCTTCAAGGTGGAAGAAGTAAAGGAGGACTAGGTAGTATGTAGCAGACATCACATCACTAGACTAGTGCTGTTTGATTTTCTGTTCCTTACCGCAACAAGTAGTTGAAGCATTACCCACTCATGACGAGAGACCTGTACTACTAGAGCAATACTTACTTTGTGGGTCCCGGCCAAGGATTCTGGTGACAATGCGGACCATGCATGTCTACTTAACCTTGATGACGTCTGAATCCCCATCTTTTAAAACTAATAGAAGGAGGTGAAAGTAATATAATGTGTCTTTAAGAACTAAAGATTACACTTGATTATTCTTTGTAGTGGCTCTCTACAATACAGAGGACGCTTCAACGAAGTCTCAAAAGGCCACGAATAACGGTGGGCGAACAGTGCGTACTCGAGGGGCAGCGGCGCAGCAGTCAGGAAGAGGTGTTCCAGTTTTCGCACCGACAGCGGACGAAGTGCGTAGTCCGGTGCTGAGGCTTCCCGCCTCCGGACCGATCGACCCTTCCAGAGGCCACTTTGGAACGTCGTCAGCAGGTAAGGAATTTCGGCAGAAAAGTAATTGGGTCTACGCAGGGAGGGGATCGGCAGTGCTGGAGGAGGAGGAAGAGGCGATATTTGCTGCGACAGCCTCCGGCTCCGCCTCATTCTCACCCGCGGGGAACCAGTCTCGTTACCGAGCAGGTCCAAAAGCGCGCTATGGCCACGTGGCCTCGACCTCTTCGAACACTCGACGTCCTTCGAAGAACTACAACAACGCACAGAGACCAGACCGCTCTGGATCGCCCCCAGCCTCGCGTGGACAGCGAGGAGCAAATAGTCGAGAAGGGTCGACGCAGGAACGCACTGGAGCGAAGAGTAACCTCGTGCCGTCAAGTAACGACCTAGCTAGCTGGCTAGAAAATCTACCGACAATGTCTGATAACGAACGAGCCAAGCTTGTTCTAGATTTGGTATCTTTAAATTGTCACTTCTTTGTTTAACTGATTTTTAACGAGATACTACATGATTCTGATATAGCTGCACTAGGTTGTCACCATTATTGTAGCTTACTTTTCATGCCGAAACAGGGACTAGAAATATATACATTTGTCGGATTCAGCAGGCATACTTTTAACATATTCGAACTATATCAGGAGAAAACTGAAAAGGTCGGAAAACTTTTCTACTCCTAGTATTCAAATTAATTGCTCTTTCTAGGTCGCGAAGCTGCATTTTTTATCGAAGTGCACCATGGGTGCGGACATTATCTGGCAAGCATGTGCAGATTTGCGGCTACTGGGGTACTTGTCGGAGCGTACAAAGCAACGAATTTTAGCCCTTGAAACGAGCAATGACTTGGCTTTTGCCTCTGCACTGGAGAAAAGCCTCTCCCCTGAAGCTGGCTCTGGTATCGGAAAAAGTACAGGAGCTAGTGCATCGGAGCTTGCGACAGAATGCGAAAACTTGAAAATCGAACTAGCAATCACGAGGATGGAACTAGAGCAACTGCGTAGCGGCGGTGCCCAGGCAGCTGGTGGAGATGCTGCAGGTCTAGTGCCGCAAGAGGATCAGTTCGGCGTCCTCGTTGGAGCATCTTCGGCCTCTGGAGGGGGTACCTCTAAGAACAACATTACAACTCTAGTATCTTCTACTGGTGCAGCTGCAGCTCTGGACGGTACTTCTCCTGCTTCTGCGGGGTCCTCGATGAGAACGGCGGGGGAGAGGTCCAATTTACTGTTGCGCTCGCAGATGCTGAATCCGCCTCCGAGAGGACCGCGCGCTATCTTCGGTCCCGAGCTCGCGAACTACGCTGCAGGTGAGACGCTTTCGGGAATTAACGCGGACCTCGAGAAGCATTTGCGCTACTTGAAGTTTCGAGAGCACACGTTGGAGATCGACACGTCGCCAAGGGAGCGCGGCAACCTCTCGCCAGACGACGTGTGGTCACCACTCTCAGAAGAGGGCAATTACGACGAACTGAGCGGTGCCATGTCCGTGTCGTCCCCTAGTACAAGCAAACGGACGTACTATTCCCATGTTGTGGAGCGCACGGATCAAGTGTCGCCGGCGCTTGCACTATTGGATGGCGTGCAGGTACTACTCTTCTTTGACAATCATTTTCGCGTCCATCACTATCTATAAGTCTGTAAATGTAAATGTTGTGTCCATCACTAAGTCTGTAAATGTAAATGTTGTATCATCTACTATCAGTTTATGCCTACTTCTCACCTCTCGCAATATATAACTGGTAAGTTATAATAGTTTTCAATCTTTCTTCTAGACATCGCATTTAACGTTTATGGTGGAGCGGTTTCCGACGGTGCGGACGAAAGCCCAGCTAGCAAAAATCATGAACGAAGTCGACGCTTTTGACCTCCACGCACTGCGAACGTTGCCGAAGCCGGATGCAATGAGCAAATTGAGTCTGCAGCGTGTTCTCAAAGCTCTGCCAGCTGTTGCGCACACACTTTTGCGCAAAGTCGTCCTCGGCGCACCGCCGTGTACTAATTCGAACAGTCGCAGCGCGGGACATAAAAATTCTGCCTCTTTGACAAGTTCGCTAGTGTCAATCGAAGGAATCGACTCAGCAGTGGATCGAGGAGAAGGTACTATCACTTCCTGCAGATGATGATGAATCATCACTCGTTTACTTATAGAATTTGGATAAAACCTAAGCATACAATATCATGTTGGACTTCCTTGGAGAAACTCATCAATTTTTCTGGAAGCATACTTGTTTTTACCGTGGATCAATCCCACTCGATTGAGATTCGAAGGTTCGTTGTTTTGTCATGTTATTTGAAATTCTTGTAGCATTTCTAATTCGAGTCGAGTAACACCACAGTTGACCATGTTGAGTAACTGTTGTAACCTTTTTTAGGTCTGATCCAAGTTTTGTATCCGGATCGTGCTTCGCTGCTAGCGAGACTGAGGGAAGAGCCGCCTTCGGAGCAACTAGAACTGTTGATGTCTGTGGTGCGTGACAAGATGGAGGACGTACAAGTGGGGTTCTTGCGCCACCTGCTGCAGCCGGACCCCGATAGCAAGTTGCATATGCGCAAAGTGCTGAATCAGCTGGACAATAGCGTAGTCCCACGGCTCTACACGGTGCTTGTGCGAGGCATGCACGAGGAAGAGCATTGCAGTGTGACCGATGGAAGTGCGATCGACGGCGGCGACCGCAGCGCGAATGACGGCGCCGAGGAACGCCGCAGGTCGAAGAGAAGCAACGCTTCCAAGAATAGTAACAGAAAACGGAGCTCTTCTCCTGGCGCGTCCTGCATAGATCAGCAGGACGATGCTCCAGGAGGTGATGAATTTGAGGAGGCGGGAGAAACCCAGACTGTCGCTGACGGTTTATCTGTATCAATCGCATCACCGGGACTGGGTGGAAGTGCTGGACGGAGTGACGGTCCTCGAAAGAACTTCGCAACATCAACAAGTGCCGTATCTTCATATCCAGCTGCAGGAGCAGACTCCACGGGTAATTTTCCGGCGTCAGGCGCTTCCTCATCGTCCTCGTCGGGTTCATCGTCCTCCTCATCATCATCTGACGAGCAGCAAGAAGCACTTCCGATTAAGAAGACCAAGGCAGCCGCGCGACCTCGAGGAGAAGGTGAGGCGACCTTCGAGATGACCATGGAACCAAGCTCAACAGCTCTTATGATCAGCAACAGCAGCCAAAGGCAATAAGGATAAGACGCACTTCTATGTTTGATTTTGATAATGTTGTCCCTGATGGATGATGACTCTTACATGATCAAGGAGTAATTCAATTTTTTCGGGCCTGATGTAGATTTAGACAGTAGAACACCAAGAAAAAAAAAATCATGAGCATGACACCAGAGACACACATATCGCATGTCAATGGCATGCAGCTTAACAACAGAACAACCCTGCCCTCTTTCCTTGAATTTAGTTTTCTGCCTCATCAACATGCGGGTTGTACAGGGTCGTGAGCAAGATACAGGTACATCTTGACGGACGTTAATTTATTTGTCGTAAACAAGTAGAACATACATCAGAAACCAAAAGCGTAAGCATATATTAGTTTATTACATTACCACGACCTATCAATCTATTTTTATTCTTTACAGTTCCACTCTATCTAGAGACTTAAGTAGACTTTCAAGAGGCCTGGGTATACCTTATTCTTACACCTCCTATAATCATTCATATACATATTTCTTCGATGTTCTTGTTTCTTAGCGTAGCGCTACCAGCTAGCCCTAGGACGTAGTTTTGTTTTTGGCTCTTCAGCAGCCATTCATGTCTGCCAGTTTTCCTGGTGGGCCCAGACCTAACCTAACCTCTAATAGCTGCCACCACGACGACCTCCTCCTCCCAGTGGTGGAACAGGACCGCAGCAGTGGTAAACATCGCGGGATCCCGGCTCCAGGCGCGTCGCCGACCCGATTGTCCGGCTCTCGCGTTCGGCGGACCGTCGATCTAGACTCGTTCTTAGTTAAGGGCTTCCACATTACATTCATTACCTTCTTCACTGCCATTCTGGGCTTGCGTTGCAGTGAGTAGGATTCATAGGAAAGAAGTCAGAAAAGTTTCGAAGAATGCAATACTGCAACCTCTAACTTGGACACTCTCGTGGATGACGAAGTCGCGACGCAGATTTCCTCGCCGACCGGGAAGAGCCTCGATGACATCTCCCCGAATGACGAGTTGAAACGCAAGATCGCGGCTCTAAGAGGAAGTCGGCGGCCGCCTTCGGCAAAGTCCACTGGCTAGGGTTGCTAAGGCTCGAGTCGTACGACAGATTCGTGCTTCAGCTATTCCAGCTTAAGGCTTGCACAAAAAATTTCTGATAATATATCAGGTATAGTAGAACAAACACACTTATTGTAGTTTTCGTTTTAGCATCAAAACAAGATCCGGAAGAAGAAGAAGAAGATGAGTTAGATTTTTTGATGTATGGATATGGACGCTGACTCAAACATAGAGACCCAGCAGTTGACGAGCAACTGACTCGTTCAAATTACACAAAGTAGAAATAACAATAAGTGAAAATAGAAATACACCAAAGAAACGATCAGGATATTGAGATTGAACTAAGCCATATATTAGGTAAAAAATCCTTTCTCGACTGGTCAACAGAGTGGAATAGCACAATGAAAGTAATATCTGAATATTAGGTATTTGTAGTTTAAGTTGATGTTATCTAAACATTTATCATGCGCAGTTGTGAATCTGACTTCTAATCAAAGTAACAAAAGTTGACACCGAACTGAGATACAAAATGTACATGGCGTTCGCTGGGCGCAACAAGAACAACTGAATCTATGGTCACAGGCAGGACTGATCACTCTATTCTCTCTCTCACAACTTGTTAGCAACTCAATCTCTCAGATACATACATAGCTCGTGGAAGACGATTTCAAACGGAAAGACATACGTCTTTGCATAAGAATTTTCAAAAAAAATAGGAACATGTTATCATTGCACAGTAAGTCCAGTCTAGTACTATCAAAATAGGAGCATGTTGTTGTACCCATTGCACAGTAAGACTACTAGTCTAACACAACTATGAAGTCGAGTATTCAATACAGTTATAGATTTTTATCGAGTAGATAACAAACATGAACATCACAATCTCAAAAATCACTGAAGTAGCTCACAACATTGTACATTATATCTTTGAATCTTTCTCGTCGAGGTGTTCTTGTAAACAAGAACGTGAGAAAGCCGTCTGGAGTAAGCTTTCTATTGATGTGGTGTTTGTCCTTCCGAGTAGATTCGAGCGCGTACATGCCGCATCGTGGCAGGCTTGGAAGCAGCGCGTTTACTAACTGCTCACGAAAAATCTATTTAGGAAGGAAAGGACGTATGCAACAAAAGCTTGTACAGATCATTACCTTGTATGACTAATATCATAAGTAGTGTACGTGCACTTAGAGATCATATGGGTAGCAGTACGAAAAAAGTAGTAGATGGATGTACTATATTGTTGGGTCGTCGTGAAATTGGAATAGTCATTGGTTATTGTTACAGATGAAAAATCAAAATGCGATAATAAGGTTAAGGATTTGATGGTTAATCTTCTTATAAGCATGAGTTATCTACTTGACAAGCATTATTTTAGACACACACACACACTTCGATTTTCACTTGTACTCGTCCATAATTCTCATTTTTGCAAGACGTTAATGTAGCAGAAGTAGAGAGTTTAGGCGTACGGCAAGAACACAGACATGGAGAAAAGACGTCGACTCATTTTGCTTCAGCCAGGAGCACCAGGTAGACTCATTTATAGTTTGCAAGACAAAACGAAAAGGAAAACAATCCCAGGCGATGGCCATTAGAGGCTGGTCGTGTCTAGAGAAAAACTGCTCAGAGCGGCAAAGAGACCTCAAATATCGACTACGCTTCATCCGGAGGTGCCTCTTACAGGGCGTAGCATTTTGTTCGATGTTCTACATTGTACAACGCTTTCCACAGGGCGGCACTTCTTGGGTGGAGAGAAAGGCCGTACTCAGGGCTGGCTCACTAACATCACAGAGTCGTGATTGTATATCTTTGCTTGGCCAGGATGTTGTGCTCGGATCCTTACGCTCGCTCTACATTCGATTCGAGGACGTTCATCCGTGCTCTGCATCGTCTGGCGAATCGGTACCTAGAGTCGGTCTCCTACTAAACAAGATCGTCTTGTCTTCGTAGTCCTTCTTGTTCGCTTTTGGTGATTGCAATCCACCGGATGTAAAAGTTGTAGCGTTCATTCTCTCCATGAAGATCTACTATGACTACTGTGTGTTGTCGACTAGTAATTGGAAGATCTCCTTCGTATCTTCATCATACAACCTTAATTTGGTAGAAGAAAGCGCTACGGTGCAGCAACTATTGCTGTTTCGGACTGCAACATCCTGATGCCCGACAAAACTCGTATTGAGAAAATTGATCAGTCGTTTTCGGATTCTCCGCATGCCTTAAATTGTCTAAGCTTGTTGGTTCTGGTGAATTATTTCAGATAGATTTTCGAATTAGACCCAGTGTTAGTAAGGCACTAGCGACCTCTTCTTCAATGATGCACGACTACACTAAGACTCACTCTTAGTTTGCTCTAGTAACTACAAGAACTGTTATCAGGAGGATGTCGTTTACTTCCGGTATGTCTCGGGAGAAACTGCAATCTATGCAAGCAGGCGAGCTGCGCATCATGTGTCGTGCGGTGGGTGTGCCGCTTGCTGGTAGAGAGTCGCGAGACGAGCTTGCTGCGAAGTATTTCGATTTTCAGCATCGACGCAGACAAGCACAACTCGAATACACGTCACCAGTTTTGGGAAGCAGAGCTGTAATTTCGTCCGCCAACACGGCCATCGGTGGTGCGGGAAACTTGATGGCGTCTGCTTCCAATTCATCAGCGACAAATTCTAGCAGTAGCAGTGGCACCGTGTCATCGACTACATCGTCGACGGGGCTTGTGGTAGGGACAACTACGGCAGCATCTAATTACACTAATAGGGCACGCGGCGTTGAGCACGAAGACGATCATCGATCTCGGACACCGAAACGATCCTTTGTACCACAACAAAGAACAGCAGGTTTAGGGACGTCGATTACCAATCTCGCGTCAGATAATGGTACCGGTGTTTTAGTTGCTGCGCCTGGTGCATCAGGCAGTGAAGATCTCAACAGTGTCACTTGTTCGTTGACGCAAAGTGTATCGTATCCTAGGTTACCAGGTTTAGACTTTGTGGACGTAGCAAGAACATCGACTGATTTGTACGGAAATGCTGGGCTCGAGCCTCCTGCTGGAGGTGAAGATCCCATTGGGCAACAGATGAATGGCACCACGGTGGCGTCAAACAGTGCTGCCATGGGAGACGGGGGCGGGTCCTCTCACTCATTTGGGCAGCCTGGAGGTACTAGTGATCGACCACCCCCCTACGATCTTCACGACGGGAGATCCGTGTCAGCAAGCACGACAACGGATCTCGTACTCAACAACGTCCAATATGGTACCGCAGCCGAGGAGCACCCGGCGGCACCCGTGGGAATGCGGTCTAGTGTAGGTGGAAGCTTTATCAAGAAGCGGACTGATCCCCCGGCAAGCAGCATCCGCTACGCACCTGGTGGCGGGCACCAGCAGGCCGCAAGTAGTAGAAGATTGTCTGGCGCGGCAGGTGGGCAGCAACAGCTGCTGCAGCCCCAAGGCTCAGCGCGCCGTGATAGCAGTCGTGGTCGTAGCCGGAATAGCTCCGCGAGTGCCAGCCGATTACCTCCATGGAACTCGTCTTCGCATCTCGGTTCATCTACGTCGGTCAACCTGCAAGGCGGTGCTGCGAATAATGGAATCCCGCGTCGAAGGAGCAGTGCTGGTCCGATGCAGGGTATTTCTCAGGTTGCTGGCGGTACGCTCCTTAGCGCTCCGGCATCGATGTACCAAGGGAGACGTGGCTCCTCAGCGGGCATGAACAACGGCGCGCCGCCAATAGTGAGTGCACGGAGCTCCTCTCTGACCGCCATGGAGCACCACCTTAGCGCTGGACAGCAACATGGCTCTTTCGTTCGAAGTGCCTCATCCCCGGACGTTGAAATGGACGGCGGCGGCGGGATCCATCATCACACGAGCAACATTGGTTCTCTACCTGGCGTTGGTGGGGGACCGCTCACGCGCGCGTCAGCATTGCGACGACCTTCCGTGGTAAACCGAGGACATCTGCTAGGAGGAGGAACAACGTCAGCAGCCCTAATCCCTGGAGGACACCAAGCGCAGTCCCTTGCTGCTGAAGGAGGGCACCACGCACAGTCCGTGAATCTCCCGGCAGGCGTTTCATCGAACAATCAACAGCAGTTTCTTTCTACCTCGACTCTATCTTCGCAGCCGTCGCCCATGGGAGGATCACGAACGGCTTCTGTCGCGCAGCACTGGTCGTCGACTGAGGAAAAAGAGCAACTTGCAAGAGAGGTACTTCTTTTTCTCTATAAGTCTTTGACCTCTGGCTGGATTGCTGGATTTTGTTTTTGAAATTAAGCAGAATCAATAGTGGTTAGAAAGGCCGCACCCGCTCCCGCACCACTTGCACTTTCAAGCAGCATGTCCTCCGTGGCAATAAAGTAACAGTGAGACTTTACCATGACCCCAACTTCTGATTTTTTCTGTGACCTCCAAGTCCATACATTCTAACAGAGTATGCACATGTAACCCCGACACTCGTCCTCGACTTGTTTCGTAATTATGAATCTCCTTTATGTTTACCAGAACGAAGCTCTGAGGGCTCGTCTAGTCGCCGTCGAAAGCGAGAAGAATAGTATGCAGCGCGAATTGGACCTGAGACGGGCAGAGATTGAAGCCGAGTACACGCGCTTCGTCGCAGAGAATCAGCAACTGCTTTCGGAAAAACAACGGATGGAGGCTGAGGCCCGTCGGCTATCCGCAGAACTCGTGACTCTTCGAGACGCGCAAACGCGAGCGGCGACATCCGAGAATCTCGCACAACAGGCGGCGCAGGCAGACTTCCAGCGAGAGCGTCAAAAACTGCTCGAAGAATTCCAAGAAGAACGAGGCCGGCTACAAGCAGAGGCTAAAGCGTTTGAGCGAGACGTATTTCCTTTTTTTCAACCATCCACTTCAAGAGCTATACATAGGGTTAGTAGTTCTAGTTTTCCTTCATTGACATTGTATTTTCAACAATTCAGTTCTAGTTCGACATCTTCGCTGCGTATATCAGAGCACCACGGAGATGGAACTGGAATTTCCTCTCTGCCCTATGCCCTCAATTGAATCTTTTCATCTCACTGAAAATCCCAATTAAGTCCTGGATTCTTTCAACCTAGATACAACACTACCAACCGCACAAACCAACTACAACCACGACCCAGTTGCATCAGAAATTTGAGACGGCCGTTCAGTTCCGAGTAGACCAGCAAGTCGCTGTCTTGCGTGAGGAGAAAAAGAAAGTTTCGACCTGTACTCCGATCCAGTCGAAGATGGATGTCGATAGTACGCCACAAGGCGAGAGAAAGAGTGTCACTTTTCGTGAGCCGCTTGTTGATGCATCCCAATCACAGGCTGACGCGGGAGCTGCACCATCGCAAGGTGGAGTTACGTTCGCATCTTCGGCAGAGCTTGAGACTGCAGAGAGGCCACTAGACATTAAGAAATTGACAAGCGACGCGAAAATGAGCGATAGGACGCCAAGTCGGATGCCGCAAGCCAGAACGCCGGGACCGGGCGCGAAACAAGCTGGGGGTGTCGCTGAGTTGATGGAGAAGAAGACGATTAGTACATCATCAGAGACGCAACAAGAAAAACAAGACGCGCAAGCGCAAAATCAATCAGCAGGTCTTGTGCAATCGGATAGCGACAAGCGCCTTCAGCAAATCATGAATGATCCTGTTTTGATCGCGCTAACTGGCGGAAATTTGCAGCAGCAGAGCGGAGGCTCGTCTTCGTCTACAGCGAGGATGCGGGGCAATAGCGGACCTGCAGACGGCGAGGATGACACGAACAAGACAGGTTCGGCAAACACCAGCTTGCAGATTGACCTAGGAGCGGACCTGAACATCGATCCGATGCTAGACCTGGACGTTGGCGATGACTCCTGTGTTTCGAAACGCGGAGGGAACGACGAGGAGTGGGCGCGGCGGTCGCTCGCGAAAATCATGAATAATGCGGCGCCGGCAGAGCTCCGAAAAGCAGCGGCAGCATCTGCCGCAAAAAGGAAAATCAACGCAGCTGCCGGCGGGACTGGTTCAAGCCTCCCTTCTCCTACTGCTGCCGGAACTGGTGGTCAAAACAGCAAGTCTCCAGCTGCCGGCAACATCACCACTGGTGGAGGTGGCGCTACTATAACGGGGATAACTGCAGGTGTAGACAACCAGCAACCACCTCCAAGTGCAGCTGCGTCCTCATCGTCCTCTTGTCCGAGTCCCGATATTGATCCGTGTTTGCTGCAGGAGATGGGCCTGCAGCCACCTGGCGGAGACGGTGACTCAGCGATGGTAGACGTGCCTGGTAGTAAAGACAACGTTGATCGTTCTTCAGGAGCAGATGGAGCGACAAATGCAGATGAAATGAAAGATCCAGATAGTATGGAGGACGTAGCGCCTTCGCCTCAAAGGAGGAAAATTGCCGAAACGGATCCCACGGCCCCTTCATCTGGTTCTTCTAAAACTAGTGGGAAAAAAGGAAGCGGTAAGAGCAAGGGCAAGGGCGCAGGACCAGCGCCGCCTCCATCCGGCAAGAAAGGCACCGGTGGAAAAGGCGCGCCTATCCCAATCGGGACTAAAGGAAGCGCGAAAGGAGCCCCCGGAAAGAAAGGCGCGAAAAACAAGATCGAGCCATTTAACGGCGTAAAACTTCGTCCCGTGTTTTGGAACCAGGTGCCATTCGCTGACGACGACACCTCGTCAAATAATTGTCTCTGGGGTCATTTGCCATCGGTCCGTTTCGACGAAAAAGTGCTGGAGACGCAATTTCCTGTAGTGAGTGCGAAAGTGAACATACGAACGAACCCAGCTACTGGAGGCCCCTTTGGCGGCGGAGGAAGGGCTGGAGGAATGTCTGCATCAGACCGGATTCTGACGATCCTCGACAGCAACAGGAGTCAGCACCTGAACATTATCTTCAAGCAGCTACCACAACCGCAGCTCGTCATCGATGCATTAAACGGAATCGGGAATGTACTACTTCTTTAAATTTTGTAGAATAGTACTTAACTGCTTCTCTTCAATGAGATCTTAGTTATAGTTTATGTCTGCGTTTGCTTTAAGTGACTTGCTTCGAGGACACAGAACATCACCATGGAAAATAATGACCATGATTTTAGAGTTGGTATCAATGTAATAAAAAATGTATGTTGCTGTCGACGTCCACTTATTCATCATCTTCATATTCTTCAGCCTCTAAAGCCCGAAATGGCGCGCATATTGTATAAGGAGGCATTTATAAGCGACGCGGAGCGCAAGCGCATGCAGGAGTTGCATCTGAATAAGGCACCGGGCCAACAGTGGGGTATCCCGGAACGATATTTTATTGCTGTGACAAAGGCTCCGCGGTCGTATCAAGTTTTGCGTGCTTGGTCTTGTCTCGGAACTTTCGGGCCCGTCGCGGATGAGTGCCGATCGCAGTTAGCTGACTTCCAGAAAGCATTGGGGATCCTCGTCGGAAATCGACTCCTCGAACACATAATGGCCATGATGCTAGCAGTGGGAAACAGAATGAACGCAGGAACCCTGCGTGGAAATTCAAGAGCGTACTAGGCGTTTATTTTGATCTTATACATGCATGTTGCATTTCGAAGATATCGACACGACTTGTGCTTGCTCTTTATGCGCTCCTCATGAGCGCTTCTCATAATCGCATGAAAAGCAGGATACTTGTGTCCGTATCGAATCTTCATCACTGTACAGCAAGTACTTGGCAGATTTTTTCCCAGTATCTTCTTCAACATCCTCATCTATTTATACATCATGATCGATCAGGTTTGCAGTAGATTCGCTAGCGAAGTTTGGCGAGTTGAAGAATGTGGAGGGGACCAGAACCTTGCTATCTTTTATTCTGGAATTCATGCAGTGTGAAATTCCAATTGTAGACATCAGGCAATGGAGGCAGATTATAGCGAAAGCTAAACGCGTACCTCTGCTGGAAGTAGAGAAGCGCGTAGCCGAAATCAGCCAAGAGGCACAACTCTGCTCCAAAGACTGCTACGAAGAGGCAGAAAAAAATCGTACTAGTACAACTTTTACTGCTGCTAGTAGGAGTCATGATCATTAAGCTTACCGTAGTTACGAAGCAACCACGACCTGCTTTGTCAGTGCTGGTTAATCTACAATTTTTTCGGTAAAGAGTGAGTTGAATGGAAGCCGTTTGTTAGCGTTAGGTCAAAAATGTCTGTGATAATCATTGCATTGTAGTTTGAGATCGATTTGAAATAATAAAACCCCAGGATCTACTTCTTCAAACTACATCTTGATCTTCAGCTCCCAGTGAGGTGATCCAGCAGCATCCCTTGCTGCGCTACGCTCCAGAGATTAATCAATGTGCTGCTACTGGGATGGAGCTGATGAGCGATGTGAAACGCGTTCAGGAGGATTTTCTTCGCGCATTGAAATATTTCTGTTACAACTGTTCTCCGAACAATGGCGGAAATACAGCGGACTCTTCATCCTTATCCTCAGGAGGACGGTCAGTATCGTCGAGTGGAGGGAATCAAGCCGAAGAATTCCTCACGCCTTTTGAGGAGCTTTTTTCTCAGATCATTGCTATTCAACAACGCGGATACTAAGTTTTGTGGTCAAAATTTTTGAGGGCTGCCATGATTCCTGCTAGTACAACTCACTAGACGAAGTTATACGGAGGTGTACTGGTTGCGGTTGTGCTACGGTTGTTGCCGCTGGGACACGCTGCAGCTGCCTGCTTGACCCTTGATGTCACCGCTTTTTCAACAGCATGTTGGGAGGCGTTTTTGTCATATTACGAAACATGCTGCGGCTCTTCTTCTACGGATATTGCTGCAAGACTATGTGCAGAAAGAACAGCATACGACGCCATTTTTCGGTTTCTCGGATAGAAACTTTAGCTTTATGATTATTGTCTTAACCACTTGAATACTTACTGATGTCTATACATAGATGAATTTATCGAATAATGGCGAACCCTCCCTGTCCCTCTACTATGTAAGGAATATACTTATAGTACACTGTCTGAATACTTAGAATGTCATTTTTGATTTCTGTCTTGCAAATTATAGTGCTTAGACTAGGTGGTAGGTACGTAAAACAAGATTTTAAAGACAACGACACGAAATTTCCCTTCTCTAGTTAGTCAGCTATCTCACAATCGTAGTTCTAGTTGAAGTTGTTGTCCACTACCATGCTCATGGAAGCGCAGCTGAGTGACCACGAGAGAGATTTAAGACCGAGACCGTCGTGAACACGACGCCCACTTCCTCGTCATCTGAAAATCATATTGGCCAGAGTAATTTATTGCACGCATAATTGCGCATGGAGTACATGGAGCGCAGCTCCATAAGTGACGCAAGAAGCGCCCCCTTTAGCTCCATGCAAATCCATGTCATGCGATGCGCCAAACCTTATAGATTACTCTGATAGGTACTCAATAAAAGCGTCCCTTTCAACTAACAGAGTATATTCTTTCGACAGGGTCGTATCTAGCATGATGATGAACTGACCTCTCCACAATTTCACCCTAAGCAAAAAGACAAAGAATAAGAAGAGACTCGATCTTGAGGACACGAAGATGCATTCGATGATGTGACATCAAGCTCTTTTTAATCTGCGTGACAATTTCGATTTCGGAATCCATCGTATAGGTATATGCTTATTCATGTCGAGGAAAACGAAACATCAAGCAATGACTGGTGCATAGAAGACGTTCCTCTACTTATGTCTCTCATGCCTCATCTCGGGACAAGTACGATCGAGCCGCAGTTGTCTTTCTCGTCGTGCTGAAATTGAACAAGACGATGGTGCCGGTATTTTTCTTTCATAGCCCATTTGATGTTGTACACTGGATGAGTGAGCAGAAACGTCCTTCACAGAAGGAATCAGGAAGGACGAGAAACCATAGAGGGAAGAGCTGGCTGTACTGGTTTAAGTTGCGTTTACCTTTACTTCATCGGTCTCCTGAGTCCGAGGGAGTGGAAAAACCAGAGAGCATTGAGCGAATGCTTATGCTAATTGTAATTTGTATGTAATGTCTTATTTACAATTTCGCTTTCGGTTTTCATTGATGATCTTTTTCTGTTTAATATTTCGGTTGCACCTCAGGAGTCCTGTCCTTATTGTATCTTCTAAAATCATAGCGTAAAAAGTAGAAAATATCAATAACTGTGATATTGACCTAGAGCACAAGGAAAACCTAATCCTAAACTGAAAAAAGTCGAAGTCAACATAGAAATTACGCGGGCAAGAGCGTGCTGCTTCGGCAACAATGATTTCCTCTTTCCAACATTATCGTGCATGCACCCTCTACTAACTTCTCCAACGAGCATGCAGAAGCATCAGCAACTGGAAGAGCAAGGGCAAGTATAGGTAATCGCAATGATTAGTAGATTGATTTAGAAATAGAATTTGATGAATTAGAGATACTTATAGAATCTTACAGAAAAGTTTGGTATACATTAAGTATAGTCCTTGTTCTTCTAGGTGGAGGTTCTACTTGTACTTGTAAAAAATACAACAAAGTAATAAATGAAAAGAAGTTTATTTATTTCCATGGTTTCATAATGACCGTTTGCCGTTCATTGCGTCCGTTGGAAGGCTCTGCTTCAAGTCGTGTAGTAGGTGGACCCGCTTCTTGTGGTCTGTTGAACGGTGCAGAGGACACCTCGACCAAAGTCGAGAAGCCTTTGCCTCGGTTACGCACGCAGGACATACGGGAACTCGTTTTGGCCTGTTGTCTCTACGGGGACGACGCGACGCTGGCGCAGCTCCCGGAGTGGGAGCGATCCGTGATAGAGAAACTCCTAAATCGAGTGGAGCACAATAGCAATAGTACTAGGAAGAATAGCGATAAGGAGTCGGGTGTGGATACGAAAGTTTCAACAGCGGGAGACGAGGAGAATAAAAAGGAATCCGTAAGTGCTATTTTTACAACCGAAAACAGTAAGGCGTCCTCGAAGCAGCGAGGGAAGAGCGCAGAACTCGAACTTATGAAAACTGTTCGTTCACCATAGGTAATGCTAATGATCATAGCGTGGAGCTGGAGGTCAGGCTTAGGTTTTTTATTTCTGGTCGTACACGATCACGAGCACTAGCATCCTCTACTTAAGCATCACCTACATCTGAAAGTCCTACTTCATGTTCACCTTGTTCTCCACGTGTATAAAAGTGGACAGACATAGCCAACATAAAAACTACCAACGGCAAGACGGCAGCGCATGATATTAACCATGTGGAAGATCGCATAGCCAACTGCCAACATAACTTAGTACCCGCTACCCCTCTACCCAGTTCGTGTAGCATTGATAGCTACCCGTACGGTACCCGCTAGCCTATCTTTTCTATTTGATTGTCTTTCATAACCCAGTTCTAGTATTACTTTCACCTCCTAGTCCATTCTCTTTCATGAGATTGGTGCAGAACTATTACGCTCGGAACGTGTTTGGTCGCTCCGAGTATCTGCATCGATTAACAGAGCTTGTTGGTCGTGTACTTCACGAGAATCCCACTGAGTTTTTACACAGCGATAAAGCTGAACTCCGAGTACCTACCAAGCCAACTAGTACCACTCCTACTATAGCAGGTGTGCAAGTCCGCGGAGCCACCGGCGCTGCGAACAATATCAGCAAAGACGAGAGAGAAACTAGTATTACTGCTCACCAGGACACTTGTTCGACCTCTACAGACCACCAGGAGACTTCCACTTCTGCTTCTGGGGTGCTGGACTCGAACATCAACACGGCCTCCACTTCCTCACAAGACAAGAGCTCTTCTCCTTGCGGAACTGGAGGAGCACACTCAACTCCAGATTCGAGAGTTGGTTTGCTCAGGCGAAAACATCTAGCTCTAGGACGCGCCGTCTCACCTGCTGTCTTGGAAGAGCTTATCCAAACTTCACGGAGCACGCAATTGCTCAGCCATAAGCTACCCAAGGATAGCTCCAGACATGTATGAGCTACAAAAAGGTCCATCTCTTCGTTAATGTGTTCGTGCTCTTCTACGAGTCCAGATTGATGAACAAGACTGGCATACCCAACAAGACAAGACATCACAACTTCTGTACCTGTAGTGGCATAGACTAATATCTTTATGATTCATTCGCATGAGAAATTTTTCTAAGACATTCAAACGAGAGCGGGTCAGCGGCCGAGCGCCCTGATTTTTCGCTGCTTTCTCTTGCGGGGAAGGCGCTCTACGGGTGTGTGGCGACGATTTTGAGCTTTTTCGCACCTGGACCAGGAGGGGCGAATCCCGAAGAGGCAGCCCGCCAACAGAGACGGGCTGACCGTTATGTTGTGAATTCTTGCACGTTCAGGGAGGACTAGCTCTCGCTTTCGCAGCAACCTCCGCGTCTTGTAGTATTCTCGGGCACCTGACCTCTAGTGCAGTGGTAGAAAGCGACGTCATACTCATACTCTTGTGAGTACCTGAAATTGGTATCGATGCTGACGTTGAGCTTGTTGGGGTTGTGTATTTTAGTTTTTATTTCTTCTGCTCGTCTGACTCTGATTTCTAACGCGTAAAAAGTAGAAGCAAGGATACCAACGGTTACGGGGGGAAGTTGGGCAAAGCAAGTAGCAGACACATCCGACTTGCAGACGTCTACTCTGGAGAGAAGGAGGCCCCAGATCAAGACGTACTCACCGGACAGTATCAAGCGGGTGCTGGAAAGGCGGTATAATTTGACGTTGATTGATGGGAGTTTTGATATTGATGATTTGAATTTCAATTTTTTGAGGCAGTTGTAGTTGTACCAGTAGTTCTTCAAGTTATTAAAGTCTTTTATTCTTGTTGTTCAACTTAAACTTTGAACAAAACCGAACATCATCACCTCATGAGGATCAGTGCGAACTTCTCCATGCTGTATAATGAAAGCCAGCTTCATCAATATAATTTCAGCTTCAACAATATTTCGCGTTGAAGACGACTCCAGTGGAGAAAGACGGTTGGTTATCGCGAGAGCTGGGAAAGCTCATCCTCGGAATTTCACCGCATATTGACACGTCTACAGAGCAAGGAGAACTTAAATCTATCTACGAACGAAGCGCAAAAGGCCCAGAATACAAGGGGATATTCCAGAAACATTATCTGTTGCTTTTAAGGCAGTCTGCGCAGATCTTTGTGCGAGAAGTAGATTCATTGTATTCTTGTGTGGAAGAATACATGATAGCGAAACAGGACACGACATCCTCTTGAGCAGAACGGCATAGTTTGTATGCATGTTGGAACACTTCGACTCTCTACTTCTCTAATTCTGGCGACGCTTTGGTTTTTGGCGATCTTCCTGCGCTTTTTCTGGATGTGCTTCCTTCATTACACCCGACGTGGGTGAACAAGAACGAGTACAACGGGAGGAAGAAAAAAGAACAAGCACTAGTAACAGTTTTGTAGTGCTGTTACTGCTGGAACAAGTGGTCGTTTGCAAATCATCTCACAAGAATCACTCATTCTAGACGATCGTCTTCGACATTTTGGACTTCGACGGAGGTGGAACGGGGAAAGCGTCGCAGGCTTCGAAGACGTCGCGTTCTTGTGGACAACACAGCGGCGGAACTTCTCCCTACACACTACCTCCTTCTAGGTCTAGGTGCTGCACTTGCATCCGTCCTACAGCAAGATGCCGGCTGTGATGAAGGGTCTGACGGTCTTCGTGGCCGATATTAGGAATTGCGCGGACAAAGCCGCCGAACAGAAGCGCGTGGAGAAAGAACTAGCCAAAATTCGAACCAAATTCAACAATCCGCGACAGCTTTCTGGGTATGACAAAAAGAAGTACACCTGGAAACTGCTCTATGCGTACATGCTTGGCTACGAGATCGACTTCGGGCATGTCCAAGCTGTTAATTTATGCAGCTGTACCAAGTACTCGGAGAAAAGTGCAGGCTATCTCGCTTGCAGTCTTCTCTTTCACGAGAACAGCGAGATCTTGCGGCTCACTGTGAACGTTATTCGCAATGACATGAGCAATCCAGCTAACGAGTCGGTGGCAGCGCTGGCGCTCAATACAGTAGGAAACATTGGTGGTGTGGAATTTGCCGAAAACTTATTCGCCGATATTTGCAATTATGGAAGAACACGAGAACTCCCACGATTTCAATTGCAAAGAATTTGAAGAACAATAGATCATAGTACACATCGCACGTGTACATAAGCGTCGTCCTCCCCCTCCTCCTTCTCGTTGTACTTGTCGTTGACGTGGTTGATTAAATTTGTTTATTACAAGTTTATTTCCTCTTCCTCTAAAAGTAACTCGTCGCACCTGGTGTGTCACCTTACGTAAAACGCAAGGCTCTTATTTGCCTGCTGCGGCTGTACCGGAAAGACAATGGGACTATTGATTTTTGGGATGACGGCTTGTGGCTGAGGCGTTTTCAGGAAATCTTGCGTGAACGTGATGTTGGTGTACTCCTCTCGGGTCTCGGATTGTTACTGGGAATATTCGAGACGGTGCCCCAGAAGATGAGTTACTGGACGCCTTTAGTGGAGCAGCTACTGGAAGCGTTGAAAAGCATCGTTTACAGCCCGAACCCGAGCGTTCCAGGGGTGTCTTCATTTGCAGAACTTTATGGCGGCTCGTTCAGGAATAGCTTATTCCCGTGAGCCTGTTCTGCTTACTACTCACTCGCGCAATCTTTGTTCTCTTTCTTCATCATAGTGACGAGCATGACTGCAGCTTAGTACCTTCCTTATAGAAACATAGCAGTGAAGAAGAATCCGAATCCCCTTCTGTACTAAATTCGAATGTTGCTGTATCCGCTTTCCCACTTGGCGTTCCTAGCCTGAGGTCCTTTTCACATTTATTTTGACGTCCTCTTCTAGACTTTCATGACCTCGGAAGCCCTCCGCTCGTCCGCGAGCAGCACATGTACTACGGTGTAAAAGCGCCATGGCTGCAGATAAAGCTTTTGCGCGCCTTGCAATATTTTCCTGCAAGGCAAGCCTTCTTCGCGCCAGGGACCTGGATCGGCAACGAACTTATCGGCATTCTGGATCGAATGCTTTCTGCCGCAGAGAACGGGCTGCCAGGCGCAACGCCAGGAGCAGGGCAGCAGAAACTGCCGAATACTATGAAGAGGAGTCCTCCTAGACTTGTTAGAGGACGAAGGATGTTACTAGAAGTTAGTAGTTTGATAGCCTCCACATCTTGATCTTGTTAGCTACATGATAGTAATATCGATTTTTAGGATCCATTTTCCTCTTACGACAATATCAAGATCTAGAACGACACCTCACTAACACATCAGCCCTCTCGACATGCATCACCATCATGATCAGTTTCCTTAAATTACTATCGTTCACTCTAATGTTCGCATCCCTCGAGACGCGGCCGCTAGACGAGCGCAGAGGAAAGCTGACGCGGAGCGCTTGAACCAGAGCAACGCGCAGAATGCTGTCATCTTTGAGGCTGTCAATTTGGCTATTCATCTTGACGACTGCTGCCCCGAGGAGCTTACGCGTAGTGCTTGTGCGCTTCTCGGCACATGCGTCTCTGCGAAGGAAGCAAATATCTATGACTGACGTATTTTTTGTTATCAAGAATTATTATACTCACTGTGTCTGCGAGTGCGAAGGAAATGAATAAGAATACATACCCACTTCGTTTTGGACTTTATAATCAAGATATTGAGACAAATACGAAAATTCTACCTGTATCTTGTTGTTGTTCAAGTTTATCCAACAGCAAGATCGACAGGACTGTGGTCCATGAGCACCTTTGCCTTTGCTCTTCTTTTTCTATATCTATCTCTATCTCGTCGATTACAAATTGTTGCAAGTTCAGCATCTTGAGATGTAGTTGTAGACGTACCAGCAGCACATGATGCACTACAAACCGCCGCGCCCCAGTTTTCTCCTGCTTGTTCTTTCATTATCTCCGCTATCTTGGATTGGAAGCCATGAGCAGGCTTGCTCTGACGCTTGTCGACTCTCGACTGGATAAATACCGCAACCTAATCCTAGCTCAAATGCATGAGCCCGACATCAGTATCCGAAGGCAGGCGTTGAATCTATTGTACTTTTCGTGTGCTATTTTTTTTCATCTTCCGATCGCGTACAATGTGTAGGACTGCTACTAGCTACTTGATGTTCGATTGTTTTTACGCCACATAGTGACCCTTGGTCGCCAGTTGCATTCTCTGCTAACAAACTTCCGGCTTACTCAAACGGTATCCTTCAAAAATTTGTTAAGGTATAGCATCTGCAGTCGAGAAAATTGGCAGCACATAGTCGACGAATTGCTGGAGGTGCTTTCTAATTCTGACGCGGGCCTACAGGAAGAGTTGGTTCTTCGAGTTGCAATTTTAGCAGAGCGAAATGCGCCTGATTTCACTTGGTATTATGGACGGAGAGGTGGAAGTTGAAGTTGTAGAACTTCCTATACTTGTTGTAGTTGTGACTACTTTTCAGTATCATCCTTCTAATTCATCGTGGATGTGGTCTTCAAGATGTTGGAGTATGCACCGGACAGTGTCAACGAGGACGTGTGGCATCGAGTAGTTCAAATTGTGACCGGAATCGAGGGAGCACCGAACACTGTCGCACCCAACAAGAGCACCAGCACAACCAACGAGGAACTCCAGTTATGGATCGAAGACATAACATTTCTACAACCTTGATGGGTGAGACTTGTATCTTCTGTATTTGTTTGAAAAAATGTAGCGCCTTTTGGTCTTCCTCCTCGGCTCGGCTCAACATATTGTCACTTCTACAAGCGGCTTTCTTGACTGAGTCTTGGTATAGTGGAAGCTCCATCAACCTCTAATCCAGAGGTATGCTGCGGAAAAAGCCTATGCATCCTTGCAAGCGACTAACCCGCATCCAACGATGATAAAACTAGCGGCATATCTTCTTGGAGAGTTCGGACACGAGTGTCGCGATATCCCCCCAGCAAAACAGTTTGCTCTATTTTATGAACATATACTGAGTTTCAGTTTTAGTTTTTAGTTGCGCTTTGATACAACTGACTGTAGTTTGAGAAAGCCTTGTAATCTCCGGTCCGATTGCGACGTTTGGTATTGGTTACAACTAACTGTACTGGGTTGAGAAGAATTGGGAGTGGTCTGGTTGGTTATAGGAGAAGTACGTAATTTTTGGTATCATGATAAAGACTAATCATTACCACTTCCCTTCTCTCACAGCCCATTCGTCGCATCTTGATGCTTCCCATGTGTTTTCTCCCCCTCCTTCACACCCAGCAGCGCCATTACCTGAACCTGAGTGCTGCAAGCGGGAGCGATTGGGAGTGGGTAGGCCATAGCAGCGCTGCCAATCCAGCAAGTGCGAGCGCTGGAGGCCATATAATGTATGGTGGAAGTCGCTCGAGCACATCCACGATGCGTGGCGGCCTAGCACACAAAGGCTGGGGAGTTGTTGGTAGTTTTGGTCATGTTTATGTTGATGATCAGGTAGTCATGTTGCGATATGGATGGTATGAGTGGGACCAATTCTACGCTACGTCAGACGACTCAGTCCCAGCATGGTAGGAGTTAATTCGATGATTCTCTCCTGTACTTCGACGAGATGATGAATCCTAGTTGCTCCTCCCGCGATCGCGAATGACCACGGAGCTACTGAGACTTAGTAGAAGTTGTTAACCTGGCTCTCGCTCTGTCTTCGTTGACTGATGATTGTCTTTTTCTCTCTAGTACAAAGAACTTCCTCGCTCACTTTCTGGACGATCTCTTTCACCTTTTCTGACCATTCTGTCTTTCTTTCACCTTCTCTTGAATCTCACTTTTAATGATTATCCTCTCTTGAATCTCACTTTTTGAATCTTCACTCAGGTCGCACAAAAGCCGCTTTGCTTTTGGCGTTTGGCAAGTTGCTAAACGCGAATTCTGGCGAAAGCAATCTGGTGGTTGAAATCCTTAAGATTTTTGAAGAGTTAACGGACAGTCCTGACGTGGAATTGCAGCAGCGCGCTTGTGTTAAGGTCTCAGCTTTTAGTCTTGCTTTTCTTGTCCAACATCTTCTACTCCATCTCTCTTAGTTGATCTTGATTGTAACAGCATCTACTCTCTGGTGGTAGTCGTCGTGGTATGATCCTTTTCTTCTTGATCATGTTCCAATAGATTTAGAAGAAGACAAGGGAGGAACAAAAGGTGCCAAGATATTGGAGCGACCGAGATGAATTTCAGACTTATGAGCCCGAGAGGGTTAGTAGACATGAAACGCTTGGCCATGACCATGAGATGGATTCAGATCTAATTATGAGCTTATCGCACTCCATGGAAACCCGGATGCCAGTGAAACAGCGTTGGCGATGATGCCACCTTGGCCAAGCGGACGAACGAATCCGCTCATAGCGCGCGTTCGCAACAAAATGAACGCTAGTTTTAAGGCTTCAGCTCCTTGCCCTATGACATATGAATCAATGAAGAAGCACCTTCGAGTTTGGTCCTCGTTTTTTTCTCTTATTCTCAAAAGCGGAAAACACGGCAAATATGACTTTCATGTTCAAAATGAATTTATTACGTAAAAAGCTCGAATAGTTCCGCAAGCACGGCAACTGCAGCGGGAGCGGTGGGTAGTGGGACAACAGGAGGGGGGCCACAAAGTGGAGGTGGTCCGATTGCTGCAGTGACCAGCATTGTGCCTTCGAGTCCTGGAGGACTGGGAGACGGCGGGACGTCACAAGAGCAGCTTGCATTGATGCAACCCGGGGGAGCGGGCTTTAGCCCACCACCGAGAGTGGTACTTTCAAAATGATGAATTTGTCATTCAGTACTTGTTCCCTATAGGGAGATTTTGGATTCAATAGGATAGTACTCACCGGCGTTAATATGATGATAATCGATGATCATGATGATCATTTTTCTCATGATGTAGCTCCATAATCGAAACTGGAAAAAGGAAAGAGAATCTAGACCGCGAAACTAACACTTCAGCCTCCACCAGCCTCTGCCCCAGCAGTTTCTTCACCGCGAGCAAACACCACCGCATTAGCGCTGCTTCCGCCGGGAGGCGCGAGTGCCTCCACTTCAATTGTGCCTGTTATTAAGCATCTCAGGTCAGAGTAAATGATCTTTTCCTGCTAGACTAGGTAGTGGTATTGCATCACCATACAACCTGAACCTGTCTTCCCGACTTAGGGAGTCAGATTAAGCATGCGTCCGCAACCACAACTTTACAAGTTAGTATGTAGGAGAGGCGCCATTGAGATTGAGACATGAGGATGACTCCGTGAGAGCTCTAATCTTGTAGCACAGGAATCCGCAGAGGAAGAGGAAGATGACTCTGACGAAGAAGAGGAAAGCTCATCCGACGAGGAAGGAGTCACTTTTCCGAGTCCCCGCGTTTTGTGGCAGAAACTCTGCCTTGAGGGCAAAGGCAGTTTCTACCTTTCCGCACATCTTTGTCTCTCGTTGAATTAAGGCTAGTTGTTCCCATCTTGGTTTCTCTTTCTTCTACATCAGCATGCTGGCTGCTGAGTACTTAAGCGGATCTGTTTCTTTGTTTCCAGCAAAAGGATCAAACCTGTTGTAAGTATAATCTAGAATGCGTCTTGCAATCCTCAGCAGTGGACCATCTTCAAGCTTTGGGTGTCAGTACCACGACGGACCACCAAACAAGGTTTTCTAATTTGAACACGAGTACAAGCGCGAACAAGGAAGAGTGGCAGTTTACTTCTTGAATAACTTTGCAGGAGGATCCTCGTCATCGGAGCCGCTCGCCAAGAATCGCGTGGATGCTCTCAGTATCAGCATCGAAAAACCCGCTTCCCCTCCTCCAGCTGCAAGTAGTAGAGCGTCTTCACTAAAATCCAATAAGGCAGCATCTTCAGTTATGTGAAGGTGTCTGGGGTAGGGGTGGTGATTTCTCTTGCTCGTCCCGCTAAAGTTGTGTTAACTTGATTCGTTGAATCAATTTTCGATTGTGGTCAATAAAAGCAGGTGCAGGTTGCTACGTCTCTAATATCTTAGAGGAGGAAGCTGTAAAAGCCACGGAGATTCGGTCGCAGGTAAAGCGGAGCCTCAGCCCAGGGGAGTCATTCACGCACTACATCACGCTCGAATCCCTGGCGCCCTTCTTTTATGTTGAACATCGTTTGTGGAGTAGTTCCTTTTTTTACAGTTTTTGTCGTTCTTTGTGTCGTGTAGTTCTAGTAACTTGTAGTTTGTTTCATTAAGTATGCAACTGGAACTCCTAGTTACCGCGCGAGATGTTAACTGAGAAGAATGCAAACAAAAACATTTTTCCACCACATCATGGGGATAGTACCATCACCCGATACAAGTTCTAATACCCGCAACCCCTGAAGTATGTGGTGACCTACCGACTCGACGGTGAGGACGTGACTCTGCCACTTACGCTGCCAGCGATCATGACGAAGTTTTGCGTTGCTGAGGCGGTCGATAATTTTCTGAAGCGATGGGCAGGATGCGGTGAAGCCTCAGAGGCGATTCAGACGGGGCCCGCTAAACTGATGAAGGGTCCGCAGACCGACCAAATACTGAAAGGACTCAATTTGCACCTCGTGCCGGTATAGCTTCCATAAACAATAAAATTACACTATTCTTGGTCACACTTGATAGAGGTCAGCGGGAAAACTTGAGTAGCTGCGCTGGCAAGATTTTGCCTTTTCCCACTGTGGCCGCTCCGAGTGCCGTATAAAGTTGGGCCATATATCGCCGTGCTCTTTCACGCGCCTGGTCTGGAGGGAGTTTTAATATCGGGTTGTCTGTTTTATCGGGTTTGGCCCGCCGTTAGGCTCGCAGTACTGCACCGGGAAATAATATGACGATGTCTACTTTAGTCGTCGTATTTGAGCAGTTAAGAACAACACTAGCACTACAATACGTAGTGGATTAAGTTTAAGATCATCGAGAGACAATATGAATGTTATTCGCAAATTAGGTTGAAGCCTCGATTTACTAAACACAGGTTGCGGGCGAGCAGTATATGGGAAGCAGCAAGTTTATGAGACAGTCCGTTGTTGCAAAGTTATAACGGGATATTCTTCATCACCTTTCTCATGAAACAAGTCTGCGGCCTTTGTCTTCAGACATGACTAGCGGTAGCGCGCTACAACATACGGCAATGCTGGTAGATAGTGTTGAACCATTAAAAAAGATATTGATGCTGGAGGTGTTCGCATTGATTATTGATACCTACAAAGTGATATATAATAAGCCGTCTCCTTGTGGTCCATGTCCCATCCCGTCCCTCGCCTTTCATCGAGATATATCTGGGTGGGAACCGATCGGAAATTTTGCTGGTGCGTGTCGATTTTTCGCGAGGTGCGGACAAAGTTACCGTGCTGGTGCGTTCTACTGACCCTGCAGCAAGCAAGAGTACCGCCCAGATATATGCCAGCTACTTGATTGATGCTGCGAAGAACAAATAGAAGAACAAGAAAGTCAGATGAGTAGGCGTCATGCACACAAGAATTGCATTTTGTGCAGAGAGAACGTGAATTGCCTTGTTTCCCATCATGTTGATGTATACCAGTCGACATTTGGCTACATATTGCTCTTACAATTATCTCATCCTGATTTCTTTGAAACTTCAAATTCTAAGCTATAATTTTTGTGTACGTTATTTACCTGTTGTTCTGTGTTTTTTGCAAAAATATTCATGCATCATACAAGTACGAGGGAGACTCATATTGTACACTAGCGACCGACCCACCAAGGCCAAAGAAAGGGTTCGATTGATGCAAAAACAAAACTTTCATGTACTAAATGACTTCTGGTGAATTCTGAAAAGAAAAAGAATAGATTCAATACGTCAGAAGTGAAGAACAATTTCATTGCAGCTTTTGATGTTAGTTTTTTCCGGTGTTATTTTCCATAGTCTTCACATGTGGACGACGACGTCGGCGACGAGACCACGTTGTCGCTGGTATAAAAAGGAAAGAATGATAAAGATGTTGTTGTCAGTGCATTAAGCAAAATAGGCAATATTCATTCAGAAAGAGATCATGATCTTGTACAACTGTACACCTTCCCAATTAATATCAAACTAAGGCAAGGCTGAAGATCAAGATAGTACCTGTACGATGGGCTCTAAGCCATAGTCAACAAAACTTTCGTACCATCGAAGATTTGTTTTGATTGTAGTGTTCGCACTTCTCTATGAAGATGGCTAGTACATCAAACACGAATTCGAGGAAGGTCCTATTTTTCTCGGAACGAAGACGAGGAGCGATTTTGTTTCTATCATCGTCGCCGAACTACCACTACAAGAAAGAGAATATAGAAGAGTGGAGATGGTAGACAAGGGTGAGGCGAGGGAGCGTGGGCGAGAGACATTCAAAGTTGATTTTTCAACCAAGAAGATAGTAACACGAAGAAACAAAATTGAAAATTGAGAATCACTTAGCTCTTTTCACCGAACTTTGATTGATCTTGCAGCCCTGTCATTCTCCATGTCGCGATGTCTTTACTTTTAGCACACCCTTTTATCGCTATCGGTTTCTGTTTCGCATAGTACTTGATCTTCACAGGACTTCTACGCCGCACACGCATTCGCATACCAAAGACACCCTGTGAGCAATACGTAGGTTCTTGTAGTTCTATTTTCCGGATATTTAGAAGTATTTTTCTCCAACAACTTCAAGCAAGGCAAAATGGGTGGATCCGACGCGATTTTTCAGGGCATTCAGAAGGCGGTGGAAGCCGATGGCGAAGCTCTCGTGAAGAAGATGAAAGCAATTTTCTGCTTCAAGATCAAGGATGGGTCAACCTGGTTGGTCAACCTCAAGGATGGAAAGGGTACTTGACAAACCTTCATACTAGAAAAAACAAATGAAACCTCCATACTAGAAAGCTCTTTGTTGTCTTCTTTATTGTTCCTGTGTTGTAATTGTAATTCAGCTCCTCCGTGATAGTAGAGATAGTGAAAATCCCAAATATAGATGATACTACAATTATACATTTATAGAGTATAATTTCGACTCTGTGGGCTGAGAACTGCCTCAGTGGATTCCAGGTTCCATCACAAAGGGAGAGGGCAAAGCTGATTGCACCATCACTATCGGAGACGCCGACCTCGTCGCAATGGCGTCAGGTACAGACTTGCCACATCTAGTACTTGCTCCATCATTGATCAAATTCGAATTGACATGTATCATGTCGAAACAACATAGTTTTCCTCGGGACCACCACATGTTAGCTTTTTTTGTGGACCATAGAAAACCCATAAGATGAAGTTGACAGGAGCTCCTGCAATATGACCTTGAAGATGTTGTTACGACAGACCAAACAAAACGAACACTTACGAAAAAACCGCAGGGAAGCTGAACGGTATGCAAGCCTTTATGCAGGGAAAGATGAAAATTGCGGGGAATATGGGCTTGGCGCAAAAGCTTCAGGGCCTTTTCGCATCCTTGAAGAAATAAGGTCTTTACCTATTGCGGCATATGATTACTTATGAAAGCCGTGGAGGTAATGTCTAGATGAAGTAGTTTTTCAAGACCGATTCCAATTCGCGTACCATTATTTTTCAGGGAACGACGTGAACAACAGTTATGCGCTATTAATTTTGATAAAATCTCTGTCTGATAGAGTCAGAAGATTCTTCTACTTACGCGTTCTGTAGCACTCAATACTTTTTGGTTGTTGATGTATCTATAGGTACAATTTTCATCAGCATAACGTCGTTGTAGCCTCACTTGTGAAGAATTTATTATGTCGTTGTTGACAGTTGCGCAATATTTATAGATCTAGATAAATTCGTGGATGCTATTACCACCACGACTAGTAAGAGTCTTTTCCATATTCCAGCGACAGAGAGGCCACACTGTGCGTATTTTCCGAAGATGTTTTCCAGCCCCTGACACCAGCGGCGAGCTTGCCTCTTCAACATCACATTTTCACAGCCACAAGGATGAAATCTTCCACAAGACTAGAGAAGATATTTTGTTTCTCGTAGCCAGCGTCAGAAGGAAACTAGAAATTAAACGCGAAGACAAGCTGATGCGAAAAAAAGAGAAAGTATTGCGTGGTAGCGAACAAAGGTAAGTTTAAGTAGCAGATCATCGTGTTGCCATGTTGAACCAGCGTTCAAGCACGATGACCACCTCCTCTCAGTCTCAAAGGCTGTCTCTGAGACGCTTACCCGGACAGCGGTACACGAGTCGGTCCTCTTAATTTGTGTCCTGTCAGCGCACGAAATGCGATTATATTTTCTAAGTGTCATTGTTGATCTGTTAAAAGAGAGTAGAAGTGAGTGAGTACTCCGACAAGAGAAAGATTCGAGGAAAAGTCTGTTCCGTCATCTATCTGTCCACGTAAAGAGTCTTTTATCTTGATCCCACCTCTTTCACTTTCTATTTTTTTTGACATCGTATTCTTATAGAAGATCGTCCAAAAATGTCTCTTGATGCATCTACTTGAGAATGATACACTTTTGGATATTGAAACAGATATTGTTAACACAAAGAGGACGAAAAGTTTTTGCAATAACACAAGCATCTTGATCTTCATCATTATCAAATTATTTCATCAAAGTGATTTATCATGGGTGCAGAACAGCAAGATCAAGCTGAAGTTCAAGTTTCTCTTCGCGTCGCTGGCGCGTCCGGCGATGAGGATCACAGCAACACTGCTCTCCAGAGTTTGCATGAAGACGGCGTTACTCTAGCACGAAGAGTTGCGTCTCTAAAAATTTGCAACAACGATATGTTGTTGCAAGCACGTCGCGCTGACCTTGAAGCAAAAATCGCTGCGGAGTTAGACACTATAGCGATAACTAGTGTGAACTCGAAGGACGTCGAAAAGGATTGCATGTTGACCACATGCAAAGGTGACCGGGAAGTGGGTTTGCCGCGTGATAAAAAAGGGGGCAGCAGCAGCAGAGTTAGGCAGTTGGAGAGGCAGCTCGATTTGGAGAGGAAGGCGTCCGCTACCCGTGAACTGGCGAAAAATCAATTACAAGAAAAAATTTCCTTATGCCGGAGCCCGTGAACACATCGTACAGGATTTTTCACGGAAGTATTAATAGAACAAGCTTGACTTAGTTCTCTTTGAGGATTTTACAGTAGTTACTTCATTCTTGTTCTTGAAAGAATTCAATTTTTACTAGCGCCAAGGCCGAAGCCGCATGGCATGATACTTGGTCTAGTGAAAGTGCAGGTTATTATCAGCCACTTTTTTGTTGTCAGGATAGATAAGGATACGGAACAATCGAGAGAAAGACGAACAATGCGAATACGACCTGCATTATTAATATGCCTTTTCATTTTCGGTCTTCGGACACGTGCGTAAGAAGTATATCTTGGACCACGACCGACTGAAACGCGAAAACGAGGAATTGCATACTCTCGTCATCCGCTTACGGGAAGAAACACGTGTTTTGTCGCGTCAGGTCGCGACACTCGAAGCTCAACTTATGTCGAAGTACGAGAAAAACATCTTCCGCGTACCAGTAGCACTTTTCGTTTTCTCTGGTTGTAGTGTCGTTTCTTTCTGAAGGGAGGGGAGCGATCACCATCTCGATTCCACCGCACACGACCCCAACATACAACCAGGCGGTTAACGTGTACTAAAAATGAATCACTAAAATCATGCTCGTCTTTAAGTACAGCTCCTCCTCGACGAGATAGATGATCATTTTTCTTTTGAAGCAGGAGCACTTCTTCTAAAGATAGGACAGTAGCGGGTGAAGAGGAAGCAGATAAAATCATAGGCGAACGCCTTCGGGTGTATGCCGAACGGGAACAGGAAATTACTGCAGAACTGCACGCAACCAAGATACAATTGGCATCCGCACACAAGGAAGTAGAGGATTTGTGGAGAAAACTGAAAGACAGAAATGGTAACATTATTTTTGATGTCATAAATACTGATAAGTGAACAGGCCAACGCCTAAACCACTATAAGCAAACTGCGCAGTTGGCTTTCTGCTGATTTGAATAGCGTGACCTATCAAGATCGGTGTGTACCACGACAGTGCCAGTGACACTTATATATACATGTACCTCTCATCTTGTTGCCGTTCTTTTCTTGCTAGGTCTTTGCTTCTTTGATAGTTAGAGGCTTGCACTTGTAGTTTTCGTTCCTCCTTCTTCATACATACATCACCGTCACCGAAGTTCTTGAAAAAAATACGACGACCAGATAGTGTCGAGGAGATACGACGCAAGTCGGATGAAACGATGCGTGCATTAAAAAGCCAGATGGGAACCCTGTCTCTCGCGCGCGAACAAGACCTGTACAAACGAGAGGATCTGACAAGGCAGATTAATGCTCTAAAAATGCAACTCGAAATTGCCAAGGACCATTAGAGAGCCATATCGAAAAGCAAAACCTCTGCAAAAACTGCTTTACAGAGTAGCGTAGAATTCAAAGTCATCATGCAAGACAACCAAAATCTCGCGTTTTTATTTGAGATGTTTACCGGGATCAACAATCTGCTCAGTGAGCGACGTGATCATCTAGTCGTTGCAGTTAAACCCGGACAGTAGGCTGGGAAAAAATACAGTAAACCTACTCGTGTAGTATCCAATCCGGAAACAACAACGAGGAAGAAGATGAATATTTCTACTCGCTGCGTGTACTACATCCTGATGTACTAGAAACGGACCACCGGTATATTTGCTTGCAATCTCAACTACATCTGAGTCTGAAAGAACGAAAGTTTACGATGGTGCTTCTTCGTTCTCATATTTTGTCGCTGCAAATGATTGAAGGCGTTGGCGGCCTAGCAAACAATAACATCTTCCCACTTGCGTTAATACTTCCGAAAATTTATTGAAACGAACCACCACCTTCGTTTCAGCGAAGAGGCAGGCGCAGCGCCATGACTACAGCAAGTTCAGGTAAACGGGTATGCTCAAGCAATATTGTAGCTACACGAAAATCTTTGATTTCATCCTGATAAGTGAACAGGCCAACGCCTAAACCACTACGCCACCCTTGGCTTAGTGGTTTAGGCGTTGGCCTGTTCCCTTATCAATCACACTACCTACGGTTCGAGTCCCGGTGATATACTGCGCAGTTTGCTTAGTGGTTTAGGCGTTGGCCTGTTCACTTATCGCATCCGCGTTGCTTAGGAAGGAGCTAGCGCGCAATCGTCTTACCAGCTGCAGGCCGACCCATATCTAGCTCTAGGGGACAACTTCGACCGACTTTTTCGCGTTTTTCGCGATTGGGTGGCTGAGTTCTGTTGTAATTTTTTATCGACTTCTACGTATCGTCATCGTGTTTCTGCGTCTATGAAAATTTTCGCTTTGCAGAATCAAACATTTCCCTAGTACAGGCGTTAAAGAAAGTTGGAAGAATTTGAATTTTATCAATCATCGTTATCACCATCTCCTCATTGAGGATCATACATCACTGTTCTCTGCCCAACCACTTTGCACTTGTCTCACTCATTATCATTTGGCTTTGAATAACTTTTTTGTGAACAACGATTGCATGAACGTCAGGTTTTGATACTCCATTCTGGTTCATTGTTCCTTTTTCCCTCATATGAATCATGATATTTCTCTTCGAACAAACTACATTATCGCAAAGAAAAGCAAAAAAATAGAAATGAGTTTATTATTTTTGTCGGCTAGACAGTAGCGAATTCAATGAATAATAAGACGCTACATTTTCAGTATTTTTTTGTGGAAGTAGTCTATCTCTATCTCATTTTCAATGCGTGTTCTCGTTCAAAATGCAGACGTGCGACTCCTGTTCGTTTGCTTTGTGTTGTTGTGCCACACGCACTGAAAGGCGAGGTTGCTGCGGGAGCACAACGTTTCTGGACGCAAAGACGTTACGAGGCAGGCCGGAAGACGCTATTGGTTTCGACAGCTGCTACACGACCGACGCCTCTGGCAAATCGAATCGTGTAGTCGTGTCTTCACAGCGTCAACAGAAGAACTCCAGAGGGATTTTCTTTTTACTATCTCCAGCAGGGACGATCTCGTCTCCGTTCCATAAGTTGTACAAGTACATGATGACTTACATCTTCGTGACGACAGCACTATTCCATGTAGTGAACTGCGCACAAGGACGCCGTTTGGGGCGAAAAGTGCACGTGCATCCGCACGCTAAGGCTAATGTCGATGGCCAGCCCTCCTCTAGTTCGACGCTGCTCGGACGATTGAACGGAGGACAGCAAGGGCAGCCAGAAAAAGGGAACCAACAGGCCTTCCGCAGTGCTCAATCGCCTTCGCCTAGCCCATCGGGGCTGTTCGGAAGTGTTGAAGCTGAAGAAAACGATATTACGGAGCGCGACGATGAACAAATGTCAGAGGGGAACAGAATGGAGGAAGTCGATCTCGGCCAATGATTTTCCTCCTGGCGCATCGTCACCGACAACACCGCAAATTGAAGAATTGACAGTCGATGATGTTCGTCCACGAGGTAACGACGAAAAGATAGTACGCGGTCATGCAAGTTCTCCTAGAAAACCACGAGAAGGCAGCATCAGCAAGACTGAAAATAAGGCCTATCTCCCTTGGTGAGATATCTGCAGCCAGTACCTCCGCAACTCTAGGAGATGCTGCTCAAGAAGAGGATGCTCATGAAGATAATTCCCAACATGACGATGTACAACTGACGCCCGTCAGCAGTACAAATCAAACGAAACAACTACTACTCGACAAGAAGCTCCTTGTCCTTTGTCATTCATCAAGTCAAATAAAAGGTGGAGAAGATTTCGTCGCGCTTTCGCGCGTTTTTAGAGCGTCTCTCGGCAAACGACAGGATTGACTCTCCTCAGCGTGAGGAGGGTGGCAAAGACGCAGAGATTACAAAATTCGACGAGTAAGAACATTTTGGTGGTCTTTCGCTGCAATCCATGCTTGCGAAAGTGTCGGCATTGTCCGTTGCAGAAAGCACACTGCTGGGCACTCACTATGCTGCTGACGAGGAAAACGAGCAGAGTGAATAGTGCAGAATGATCTGCAACAGCAGCAGCGTCGGCAGAGACGTGTTCACGGAAATGATGATCAACATATTTTTGTTGGTGAAACATCATTCCCGTCTCAGTCTCCTCCCAGTTCTCCAAGCAGAAAACGATGACGCGAGAGTCCATTGGGCTTCGGTGCGTTGCCGAGTGCTCCGTTCGATTGCCCCGCAGATCGGCGCACAGCATTCGTTGATGAAGCGTATACGGCCTGTCCTGCAGGACTGACAGAGAAAGAAGACGCCGATCCCTATCTCCGTTGGTATGCTTGTGAGCAAGTAAACAAGAATCCGCAGCAGTTCCAATAGCGCTACGACGCTTGGCGACAAGCACAACATAAGCGACGGGCAGACGAACGGAAAGCGCGACTACGGGAGCAGATGAAGGGCCGTTGCAACGATGTCAATCTGCTGTTCCTTGCGGCTACGCGGTGGATGAAGGATGCCGACAAGGCGGAGAGAGTCAAGAGCAGGAATACAAAGATGTAGTCCTAGATCTTGAAAGAATGAAAAATGAGTAGGACGAGATGAAAAGGATCCGTCAGTTTCGGACCTTCATTGCGTCCTTAGTTGCAGAGCGAAAAGACAATTGCGAAAAAGTTGCTGTGCGCAAGATCTCGATGATGCGACAAGTTCTGCTTAGCAATGGAAAATTTGACACAACGAGCGTTCTGTCGTCCGGACGCTTACAGGAAGATCGGGATGGGGCCACTAGGATTATGTTGACCTATTGTCTCGCATGAACAATGCGCGTCATTGAACTTTCAGTCTAACAGAAAACTCAAGCGTAGCAGTTGCCATCAGCAGTTCACAAGATTTAGATTTCGCGCTGCACTGGTCGTTTTGATTGGGTGCGGACATCGCAAAAAACGAACCCCGAAATGCGCGTGCGATACGGCGACTCTGGTCCGACGACTCTGGTCCGACATCAGCCAGTCTATGGATGAGCAGAAAGCCCTTTACACAGGTTGAATGTCAACATGCCAACCAAATAAATGGTCGCCGGCAACCACCAACGCGTGAAGACCACAAAGTGAGAATAGTGTACCTCATTTACAGCGATGGAGGCTTGCAAATTTTGGTAATTTTGTTCGCTGCCAGGTCGCGACGACACACACAGAACCCTGAAAAACATAATTTTTTGTGCCCCAAAGGAGGAGAGGAGGCTCGCAAAATTTTGGAAAAGAGGGGTCTTTTGGTTTTCAAACTCTATCGTGCTTGCCAGGGGTCTGTCAAAGAAGAGATAGCTACAGTAGTTTCACAAAGTTAGAATAGTGTACCTCATTTAGAGTGATGGAGGCTCGCAAATAAAGCTACGATAATTTTTTGTTCGCTGCCAGGCCGCGACGACACACACAGAACCCTGAAAAACACAATTTTTTGTGCCCCAAAGGAGGAGGGGAGGCTCGCAAAATTTTGGAAATGAGGGGTCTTTTGGTTTTCAAACTCAATCGTGCTTGCCAGGGGTCTGTCAAAGATGAGATTCTTCTGTCAAAGAAGAGATAGCTACAGTTGTTTGTTGCGCGCACTGGAAACAATTACTACTAGAGGGTACATGCTCGTGACTGAGATAACTACAACAAGTACGTGGAGCATTTTTGATACGCCGCCTGTGCCATTCTGGTCTTTACAACCTTGATCCTGATGTGCACCAGCTGAGTCTCTGTTTCTCCGCATCCTCATGATAGAGGCAATTATGCCCCTATGAAGCAATCTACAGACATGGTCAAGTGCAACAAAAGACATAGACAAGATTGCTAGACTAACAGAGCTCCTAAAGGCGCCATAATCAATGATGACAAGATCAAAACAGATAGTGATGGATCCACACGAAAGAAGAAATAAGAATTCGGCAGATCGTGAAGTTCAAACTTCTTGCATTGAGAAGCGCAAGATGAATTTAGAGTGAAGCTCGACACATGGTCAAAGAATACAAGAGTACGGTGGAATAAAGGTATAAAAAGATCTTTCTCGACGATCGTGATTCTACTATTGCCCGTGTTGCTAGACCAAGTGAAGATCAAGACCCATTATCCAATTTAGATCAGCATATAGAGGAAGATCGACGTTCATCCCTCGATCCGCAAAAAGAAGGTCATGATCCGTACCTTTTCGCAAACATCGGTATTATATACCTTTTTTAGGTTCAACAACTCTAAAGCAAAATGAATGATAATCTCTGTATCTAATTCAATTTTTTATGGTGTTTTTTCCAGGTGAAAGAAATTCAGAAAAGGAATCAATTATAATCCCTCTGAAGAATTCGGGTTGAAAGTAAAATCGAGAAGAAGGTAATTCATCAAACAAGATTTGCAAGTAAAGACTAACTAGTTGAATTTGTTTTTCAGCGACCACATTGTGATTATCTTCTTTTGGCGACATATATTTTGAGTTTCTTGCTCAATATAACTTCCAAATAGAACAAAATGGCGAAGTCTAAGAGCGTCGAACCGACCGTCGAGGTCGAGCACACTGCTGTGGCTGAAAAGAAAAAGAAGAAGAAGAGCAAGACTTCCGAAGAAGTTGAAGTTTCCGTTGAAACCCTGAAGCGTGAGGCCGTGGAGGCAGCAGCCGACGAGGAGCCAAAGAAGAAAAAGAAGAAGACCAAGACCACCGAGGAAGCAGCTGCAAAGACTGAGGAACCTAAGGCTGCCGAAGAGGAGCCAGCAGCTGAAGCCGGCGAAAAGAAGAAGAAGAAAAAGAAGAAGGCTGCTGAAGAAGAAGCCACGACTGAGACCGCAGAATCTGCTGCCCCGATGGACGTCGATAGCGAAGAGAAGCCAAAGAAGAAAAAGAAGAAGTCCGCTGATGCTGCCACTGAAGAGGCTGCCGAGGAAAAGAAGACTTCCGAAGAGGATGCTGAGACCGAGGCACCAGCTGAGGACAAGGAGGACGAGGAAGAAAAGAAGGAAGACACATCAGCAGAATCCAAGGAAGTCATCATCTTCGGTCTCCAGTGGGAAGCTGATGAAGAGGTCGTCAAGAAGGACTTCGAAGAGTGCGGTGAAATTGTCTCTTTCCGCATGCCGGTTGATCGCGAAACCGGAAAATACAAGGGTAGGAAAAATATAAGTAGTTTCTTTATGGGGCTCTTTTTCCCCCTCCAGTCATAATACAAACACAAACCCATGATGCGTAAGTTGACACGAGCCCTCTTGACTTGTTGCACCACCTGTCATCCACCCAACATGTTAGTGTATAATATCGAAGTCGAATTACAGGCACTTTTCTATTTTTTCTTGATTAGAGAACTTATACGCCGAGAGTGGGTAGTACATCTATCTATCTATATCTATCTACCTGATCTTTACTAGGTATGGCATTCTGCGAATATGCAACTGCTGAGGGTGTGAAGAAGGCTTTGGATTACAACGAGACTGAGTACTCCGGACGTACTCTGCGTGTGCGTATCTGCGAGCCGGATGGCAAAGGAAAGGGCAAGGACGGAAAGGGAAAGGGAAAGAAGGGTAAGGATGGAAAAGGAAAGGGCAAGGGAAAAGACGGCAAAGGCAAGGGAAGCTATACCCCGGGTGAAAAGCCAGAGGGATGCAAGTACAGACAACTTATACATAGTTTCTCGAAACTAGTACGTGAACATTTCCTATGAAGTTCAACTTCAAGTTCATCAGCAACTACATCTTTGTTTTCAACCTCGCCGCACTCCAAATGACTCTGAAGAAACGGGGTCATAGGCATTGACTTTAAGTACTTACAAATCTTGTTTCTCTCTCTCACTCGATCGTTCCGTTGCCACAGGTCCGTTATCTTGAAGTGGTTGAACTACGAGACCGTTGAGGATTCCATCCGTTCGCATTTCGAAGATTGCGGTGATATCCAGGGAATCAAGCTTCTCACCGATAGAGAAACCGGTGCATCCAAGGGTATGGCATTCGTTGACTTCGACAGCGAAGAAGGTACTTTTGTTTACTTACTCCATTAGAAGAAAACCTAAACCTAAAGATCCAAACCGTGAATGTAGTAGTGACCCCTACTAGCCAAGAAAATCTCCTTGAAATAGGAACACCAGTAAATCCCTGTTGTAACTTGTAGCAGGTGGATTACAATCAATTTGTCGTCTCTAGAAGTAAGCTTGTCGTATCAGTAAGTTGGCAATCATGGGTAAAAGACCACTATTGTAGTTATCTCGAGATCCTGCATTTGCATTTTGCAGCTCTAGACAAGTACAGACAGCATATTATCCGATTTTCCCTCGCTTGTCGCTAGCTGGTAGATGAGTACTTATCTAGTCTCATCTAGTCCCTTGATCGTACGCGAAGATATAGATAGAACTACAACTGGTGGCCTGAATCGTATCTCGTGTGTAGATTACCGCACATTAGTACGCCGTCTTTTACTTTGACGATGACGAAGTCCTCGAGAAGGAACCTACTTCCACAACCCAAAAATATCAGCCGTCGACAAAGCGGTCAAGAAGTGCAACTCGGAGCTTGACGGCAAGAACATTATCGTCGACTACAACACTCCGCGCGAGAAAGGTGACGGCAAAGGAAAGGACGGAAAGAAGGGAGGCAAGGGCGACGGAAAGAAAGGCAAGGGAAAGGGCAAGAAAGGAAAGAAGGGAAAAGAGGGCGACTCCATCAAGGCTGCCAACATGGGAAGCATCCAAGAATTTGCCGGTGCCAAGAAGTCCTTCGACAGTGACAGCGAGTAAATTGTTCGTCAACGAAAACGTTAAAGTGTCAGTATCTGTTTATCGGTTAATTGCCTACCGATTCGCACTATCATGTTTCCAGGTTTTCGCGCACCTCTGTACATCTTACTGATTCTATTCTTGTTCGGCCAAATTTCAATGTCCTCCTAGGGTGTTGTCGTAGGTCAGATTAGAGGTTCCGTATTTTAGCCAGTTTTTCGCACGACCCGATGTTGTATTGTGTTTTAGATCGAAATTCGCAACCTAAATTTGTCTTCTCTCTGTAATTGCTTGTATTGTTCGACCGAATCCTATGATAATGAACAACAACTATTTAGAAGACCAACATCGACTAAAGTATTTGGAGATCGAGGTTGAGCAGTAATGGGCAGCCTTGTTTTGATAGGTACACATTATTGAGTATTCATTGAAAGCACTAGAAATGTAAAAGAATTTTAAAACTCAGATGATTGAAGGAGTTGCTCTTGCATACGTACTAATGATGTAGCGCCATGGTGGGAAGGCTCACACTCATGTGGTGATGGTGTGCTCACGCATGGTGAGACTAAAACGAATCGAAAGCGACGAACTCTTCCGCCCGAAGAACGAAGATCGACTAAAAGCTTTTCACTTTCCTGCATATAAAAATGAACTTATTCAGCTTCGCAGCAGATCGACCTGCAACAAACCTGCACCAGGGCAGACCCTGAGGTAAATTGAATCGTTCAAGCCCATCAGCATCAAAGGTCGGCCGTTTGGAGTTCGTTGGGCATGCTCTTACCGGCAATCGCACCTGAAGTCGTGTGAGACGGGGAGTACCGTTGAGACGAGCAGTAGGAGCTCTTGAACTGAGCGACGAGAGAAAGAGAGTATGTTGTGTGGCTCGGCACGTCGGATCATGATTCTGTATTTCGAGCCCTTCTGGATCATTCATCGATGATGTGTCGGGCAGCATCATGAAACTTTTGTGTAAAGTTGTTATTGAAGTAGGACCCTTTCTTGACCTATCTTTATTCCGCGAAAGTAATTGTATTAAGCGTCGACCCTTTTGTTCCACATTCACGTTCATCTCGTGTGATATTGCACTTGCGATATTCCAACTACGCGACCGCAAAACTGCTCGGTTAGTCGTTACTCGTTTATTTGAGTACTTGTTTCTTAAAGAACTTCGTGGGGTGATGGAACTACTACAACTAGAAAAAAAATGAACCACGCTTGAAGTAGTCGCTTTCCTCGACATTTGTCTCCGCGTAATGGATTGTACTAGCGCTACTCAATCGCTTTCGACCTGATGGCGCAGTGGTTATGACCACTAACCTAAGGCATTTGACTTGCTGCTCTATAGAGATGAACGCGACGCGTAACATCAACACACTCTGAAAATTCAAAAGATTTGTGTTTCTTTGATCTGTTCACGACCCACCGTCAGGATCACCTACTTGAGCGCCATTAAAAATCAACAAGGATGACGAAGAGCAGTGTCTTGGCCCAGCTGAAAGCAGCGCAAGTGCGTCTCATCGCTGCAGCAGAATCTCTTTGCGACAACTTGTGTAGCCAGCGGACGCGCCTCGTTGGGGGTAGTGTTTCGCAGTTTGTGCAGAAAACATCGCAGAATTTTGCCGACAGCTTGGGTATTCGCGAGGTCGTTCTCGCATTCGTAACCGGGTGGGTTCTTTGCGTTTCCGTGGTTCCCCTTGCTCTCTTTGCCATCGTCTGGGCGTGGATTGGAAAAAAAGTATCAGATTGATAGTTATGTACTTCTAGTTCTTCTAGTTGTATTAGATTATAGATGAGCTACTTAGTACAATCAACACCGACGACCAGAACTCCTTAATATCGATCCTCGATCTACCCAGGCCTCCGACTGGTGTGATTGGGTTTTGTGCCCCTTTAGGGCGGGCAGATTTAGCAAGAACAGGGATTCCAACAGTGCTACCAGTGGTTTTCCAGAGCAGCACAATGCTTGCGATGGAATGATAGCCGGACGTTGCCGTGATTGTCCTCGAGTGGAGTCCTCGCGGTCATGTGAAGATGATGTCGCGCTTTCGTCGAGAGGCGGTTGCAGTGTCACGCTGTTTGGCATATCCGCATGTTCTACAAGTCCGCCACCGTCGTGTAGTGGTTCGCTGGAAGGTTTTTCCGATTGCTCCGACGAAGCATCGGACTTCGTTCACTCTTGTTCAGAGGACTACACAGACGACGACGATTGCCCGCTCTCATTTTCCGATATTGATGAGGATGCCACCATCTCAATGACAGTGCTGGAAGAACAAGATGTAGTTCTTGAAGGTGGTCGACATGTTTCGCGTTACACGAGAAGCGGTAGCTGGGATAACACGACTACGACTGCAACTAGTAGTAGAAGCACAACGGGAACGGTTGACGAGGAGCACGCAGCAGAAAGGGCACTTTCATCTTCAAATGATAAATCGGTGACCGTGGTGGGTTGTTTCTCGAAGAATCATGAGCAAAACACCTGCGCGAGTCCTGGCAAGCAGAATAAAACCCTGTTGTCCCGTCTAGTACAGCAATGCTTTTCGAGGACGCCAGATGAAGATGAACAACGTGCTCACTTTGCAGTGCCCACTGGTGCGAGCAGTACTGGTGCTAACTCGAAAAAACGACCTGTAATATCAATCGAATTTTTGCAGAAGAGTATCCCTGCCAGGTTCGTTAGCATGCTACTAGGCAAGTCGCCGCGTGCATTTTCTGGAGGTTTGTCATGTTCGTTGCTGAGGACGCCTCGGCGATTTTTACAAGGAATTCACAATTGCCTGGCTTCGATCCGAAACATCAAAGACAGAATCTTCGTCAGAAGTAGAGTGTTCGCCTCTCCTGCAAGTAGCTTCAACAGGATCAGAACGAGCAAGAGGACGACGACAGTTGACAGGAGTTGTTCTAAGGACGATGATGAGATGGGTGCATTTGCTAGGGAGAGCGTGTCCCAACCCCAAGACCGAGATCCAGCGCATAGGAGTTCTACTTTCAGCAGAACGATCACGCCATTAATCGACGTCGACGAGAGCACCATCGACGTCGGCAGTTCGTGGAAGAACATTCGTGCGACCGCGAAACGTCGATCTATACTTCTACAGGGGTCGCACCACGATCATGACGATGACAGAAATTGGCAGGATAAATGTGGCTCCGATGCTGATGATGATCATGCCACTGTGCCTGCCAAAGCGCGGCCACCGAGTTGTAGTCCTACTAGAAGACCGCAGCTAGGTCGCCGATTTCTTTATCCGTCTCTCGCTAATGAGCGCACGAGTGGCTTGAAAGCGCCTCGTTTCTGTGGTCGCGATCATCCGCTATCCCGTGCTACTTCAGGCCATACAACTTCTACTTCGACCACCATTGCAGCTTCATCTAGCTCATTCAGCACGAACGAGTCGAGCGTAAGTGGGCCACTGGGTGCGTTCTCCTCACCCCTGTCCATGTCACAGACGCTTAGTTCACTAAGTCAGCCGACGCCTTTTCGAAGTCAAGGCAAACAGCTGAGGCGGAGCAAGTCGAATCTGAGCGACCTGCTGCAAAGCAGCATGTGCCAGCACTTATGGCACTTTTGTAATAGTTGTAGTCACAACTAGTAGTAGAAGAGGATGAGAGAATAAGAATAACTTGAAGAACTTCAATATTGAAGACTTTTGGCTACTTTTTCATATGATCGTCGATAGATGAAGATGTCACATCTTATGTCACATTGTGAACCAATCCGAATCGACCAACATCATCAGATGAAGATGTGAACAGGAGCTACTATTTGTTATAGACTGAGAACTTCCTTCTAAATCACAAGAAAAGCAGTAACCTGAATAACGTGCTGCATACTCAGCGTCAAAGAAACGGATTGCATCCTTTAGCGGAAGGAGAGCCTGAATCTTTGCTGTTCACTGCAAACGCATAATGTAGCTTTTGTTGCACCGAGTGCTGCTTTTGTTTCGCAGGTTTCTTGATTGGCTGATACATTATAGAATAATGCGATCTGCCTCTGCCACCAGTTTCCACTAGCACCTAGTGATCAGTAGAGGATTAAAATGTACGACCTTGTGCCTGTAGTCGTAGTACTACTGGTAAATATGCCGTGGTGAGGGATGCTGGTATCATCGTTATGCTGCTGGTTTTCTCCATTATTCAGAACGAGAACCCTACGTGTGTCATTACCTCCATTTGCCGGACCCTCGTAGGGCAGGCAACCGGCGCATGAGTTACTGACACTCCTGTGGAGGGAGCTGGTGACAGCGACCGGCTCTCGCTGTTAAAATGTAGTTTAAGTAAATAGTACGGTTGACTGTCGTGACTGATGGTGTGCTTTAGGGTGGTTTGCAGCTACAAATTGAAAATGAACTTGAATTGTTAGAACTAATTTCCATTTTGATAGATAAGAGGATTTGTCGACTGTAGTTTCGCTAGGCTATCATTCCTCGTCCTCGTCTGGCAATCAGGAGAAAGAGGCATCGCAATTGTACTTTCGTAGATCAACGGTTCTCTTTCTCCTGTATAATTATATTTTCCACGGACACAGATTAACGGATCCAATGTGAGAGCTAATGTGATGTTGAAGTACCAGGAGTGGACTTGTCCCGAACCCCGGGCGGAGTTTCGCTCTGTCGTGGACTTTGTAACATTGATGTAGACGCTGATGCAGACTCGAGGACAGTTAGAAACGATTTCTGCCTTTCCGACAATATTTCTCTTCTTCAGCACTCTTATTTCATTATGAAAGTAGAGAGATATCGATATGCTTGTGTGTAAGATGTTGATCAATGATCACCTAGAGCTAATACAGTAAAATGAGCCTTTGAGTGGTAAAGACACTAGCGGACAACGTCTTGTGTGTAGAAAACTTCTTGTTGTACTACTACTAACAGTACTGGCTAGGACTGGGAACGGTTCAATGCTGTTCTGTCTGCTAGCTTGTGTAGCTCTGTGTTGTTGAGGTGAAGTCGTTATTACTATGCTATTGTGATCGTGCTGGTCGGTGGACCATCGCCTATTTTTATGATCAGCCCTTTCCCTTTCCCTATTAAAGAACCCTGTTGCACGGAAGATGGAGGATACGTAGCCAGCAAATTGCGCCGTGGCGCCAGGTGCAAGTGCTCAGTGCATCTGCCATTTTGAAGCACTAGGAATTTTTCATTGGTACGCACTCCTTCGCTTGACAGACTCGTTTACTTAGTCGACTGCCAATGCTACTGCTATGTTGTAGTGTGGCTGTGGATTAGAAGAACTTAAGGTTGAACTACATTATAACAAGGTTGATACTTGAAGATGTAGATCATGCACTCCTTTGATGAATTTTATTTTTGTGAGACAGTGCCAGTGCCTCTGCCTGGATGAGCCGTTCGTCATTGAACACGATATATTTTTTTTGATGTTGTTTGTCGCTCCCTCCCTCTGCCTTTCCCTCACACTCACCGGTTGCCTGAGCAGCAGTTCTTGCATCCGATTCTTGGGTCTTGTTTTGCTTCGGCGCATAGTCAATCTCCGCACTCTCTGGCTTTCTTGATTGTCCTTGATTTTTTGATACCTTTCTGTCTCAACCAATGGTCGCCTGAATACACATGCCTAGTGTTCAATATTTGTACTGTATTGTCGAGTAGTATAATTGTTCGATATTTCTTCTATCCCACTCTACAGCCAAGCTCAATACTGCAGCCTCCGCCCTTTCAATCGTGCATCGCTTGTTTCATGAGATAATTCAGCTGCTCGTCGCGTTTGTCATGCTAATAGGAGTCCCTTGTAGCCTTAGATGAGAATCTTGTGAAACACATTTTCCGCGTCCTAAGTATCGTCCCTTTGTTGTGTCAGTTGCAACAACCTTGTTTTTATTGGTTGGAGGGTAAAACTCCTTCGCCGCGCTAGTTGGCAATCTGATGAAGGTGTAAGGAATTTTGATTTTCTTTTTATCCGAAGCTTCAAGACTACGTACTATCTTCTCGAATTATCTTCATGAATCGTGAATCATTCTACTACAACGAACAGGCAGGCTGTCTGTGTAAGTGCTTGAAAAATCAATCAACTATCTGGATGTTCTGAGTCTAGAGACGCTGACTTAAGTAGTAGTTTTATGTGCAGCATTGTATTTCTATTAGCATACTATAATTTCCTCTAAATCTTCTGAATTTGAAATTTGAAAAGCAAACGATGAAACATTAATCTATCACGTTGAGGTTGACAATATCGAGATAAAAATCAACGATCTCTCTCACTAGTGTATAGTACATCATCTTCTATCTCTATGTGTGCTGACTGAACTACGAACAGGATAGCAACGTGTCACATCAATACAACAGATTTTGTGCTACGAACCATCGCGTATGGGTGTAACAGGGACTGTTGTGTAACATGATGAAAGCAAGAGGAAGAATTAGTTGGCGCCCACTTTCATTCTAAGCATCAAGAAGCGTCAGGACCAGTACATCACGCGTCTCGTGTGGGCATACTATGCAACATGATCATGATTAACAGCAAGCAGAAAAGCGAAATACTAATCATGTTTAGCTTTAGGTCATTTCTTCATTGTGTACTAAAGTTGCTTGGTTGATACTCGTCTTTGATATTGTCTGAGTACTGCAACGAATTGATGGTGTTGCATTCTCACCCCGAAGAAGTAGACCTAAGTACTCGATCTCGTACAGCTAAATGGTTTTATCAATAATTTTCCTGCAGCCACGTGTGCACTTGATGTTCTTTTTATCTACCAAGCCTATCTTTGGCCTTCTTCATAGAATATTTGCTCTTGTTGTTGTCTACTTCTTCACGAAACTGCTACTGCTACTTCTACTACATACTACACTACAAATGAAAAGACCTTAATATTTCGGGGAGGACGCCGCTGAGCGGACGAAGCATGGGAAAGCTAGCCGGTCATTGTTCAATGCCTGAGGCTTCTGAAAGGGCAAGGACTGACATTCCCATGCATCGGACACTCCACTGAACAAGTAAGGAAGAAGACACGCCCTACTGTAGCAGTTGGTGGCCGTTGGTTTCTCTCTAGGGCACATCGATACCTAGAGCGTGTCCTGATGTTAAAGCGATTATTCGAGATTAGACATTCATCTTGGCTCTTCAGCAGCCGCGCATGCCTGCCATACATCATAAAAGAACAACCGCGCACCTCCACGCAACCGCGCACCTCCACGCAACCGCGCACCTCCACGCAACCGCGCACCTCCACGCAACCGCGCACCTCCACGCAACCGCGCACCTCCACGCAGCCGCGCACCTCCACGCAACCGCGCGCCTCCACGCAGCCGCGCGCCATAGATATAACTGTTCACCACACAACCGCGCACCCCGCGCCTCGTCTGTAGGTAGCGAGTGACACGCACGCACCACCATGGGCGGGGGGCAACCTTGAGACAACTTAGAGGCTTACAATACACACAGGCACCCCAGCTGGAGCTGGACCCGCTACGCAGTAACGTGACCTGGGCCGCGCCTCTGTGAAGGTGGCCTGGCTTCATTGAACAACGGCGAGCAGAGAGGGCCGTCTGGGTTTACCGCAAATTTACTCGAGACTGAGACGAACCCCGAGCCGTGCCTCTCCGTAGATCGGCTCGCAATCTGTGCCGGCCTTACGCTTGCGGGTGTGTGACATCTGGCGCCATATGCGCCGACTAGACCCAAGATCTTCCGGGAGGGTGTGTACCTGCAGCTTCGTCGACGTGCCGCCCATATGCGTCCTCGTTCGAGATATGTACTTACATCATAGACACACTTGATTCGACTTACTGCATTATTCTACGCAATTCAAACGCCTCAGTATATAACTTACTGTACTCACTACTTAGTTCTTTCTGGCGTCGTCAATACTATACATCGTTCTTTTTTAGTACTAGGATTCTCTATTTTTTGAAGTTGTCGGTCTACGACTACTATGATGACCACGTTCTTATCGGTGGAAAAAAGAATATACACTAGCAAATGCTGTAGTAACCGCCGGCAGGGAAAAAGAAAATGAAAATCAATGTTGAGTCGGAGGGATTATATTTTATGGATTGGCGGTTCTCACGTTGCAAGGGTACTAGAGCTTTGGGCGAACACTAGAAGTTAAGTGGATTATTACATGGGTGTGGCAGCAGCTCATCGGCGGTATACCGTAGGACAATGATGGGACTCTAAATTTTCAATTTGAGGTGGCTCAGAAGTGGGCGCTTAGATATAGTCGCGTCGTTGTAACCTGCAGCTTGTGCTGCTGCTAGATTTACTCAGAAATACTTACCATTTTATTTACCTTTATTTTTACTACTTACATATGCTCTAATATTATTTGAGCTCTAGTTTACGACCATGAATCATGACTATGAAGAACATCATATCGTTTGTCATCATGATATCACGCAGTCAGAAGCCTTGCAGCTGAACTCTGCACGTACCCGTAGTCGCTGATGGGAGCTAAAATGCGCCCGAGGACAACTTGCGCTCCGCGAGCAGGTAAATGTGACTTTGAAACAAGTCAAAGTTGCCATTAGGAGTTATTTTCCAAGCAAAATTATGTTGAAATAGACCCATAATCGACCCTTGATAATTGAGGAACCCGACCCCCTTCTCTTGTCGCAGTTTACTATCCCTACCACTATGAATATTCAACATTTCCAAAGTGGAAGAACTACACTACTAAGTAGTACAAAAGAAATAAAAATATTATAAATGATCGCGTCAGACGAAGATGTTAATATCGTGTTGCCATCATCCTCGGAGTCGAGTCAGGTGCCGGGCGGACTCGTTGTGCAGGATTCACAACCTAACCTAACCTGCGACGCAGGTGACATGGCTCCGGAATCTTGCGGTGCTGCTTCCCAATGTTTCCACGTTGTTCCGCGTTTCATCAGTCCTCGGAGCCTCTGAGAGTACGAAAGGATAGCCTTGACCCCTTTGAGAGATCATACAACTTCAACTTCAAAAAAAGGAAATGACATAACCATCGCCATCAGATCCACAAATTGACTACTATCGATCGTTCTCGTCTTCGTCACTAGTCCAAAAAAATCTATCACCGTTAAAGATAGCTTCACTCTCTCACTTTCGCTTTCGCTTTTGCTGTATTCTGCTTTTTCTCGTTGTAAAAACTCAGCCTCAACATTGCCCACTCTGTGGAGTCAATCGAACACATAAAAAAATGAGTCAACGCAGAACTTAGTGCGAGCGCTTGACTGATTTTTCTAGATTCTACTATCTGTGCGCTCATCCGATTCAGGCGCAGCTCTAGAAGTGATCCGTGATGGTTTCCTGCTTTTGCATGTACTGGTTCTGTATTCTCGGTCTTCGATGAAAATCGAACTGAGTGAAGGGCTTGGTCTGTTTACTGTCCACCGTGAAAAATCTGTAAGAAATGGTCCTCTAGAATCGGTCGTACTACCCGCTATTCATCATCATGATAATTAGATGCGTGGTGAGTGGTGCCCTCCTACTCCTAGACTCCATCTTATTCTAGTAAACAGCAACAACAAGTGGTGCAGCGCATTACATATTATAATTCCTCGAAAGAACAAGTATATGTAATCTCGCATCTCTACGACTCACTGACAATGGAATTTGACATGCCGTTTTCCAACGCATAGCAAGATGAACCTAGTTCCTGGTGTATGATTCTGCTCTCTAAGACAGTTGTAAAAATAATTGCTAGGTGCTGGATGTCGACGTTGTAGTCAATAGCAGTGCTGATTTTCTACAAGATCACAGCCCGCTCGTCGCATCTTTAAGGAGAAGTAACGGATGTTTTTGTAGTGGTACAACAACCAATATTATGGTGGAATCAGTTCTTGCCTCAAGCAACAGAGGTGGTGCTGGCACACCCAGCACAACTCTAGGTGCAGGGAGAAAATTAGATAATGTTGGCGAGTACGTTCGATGTGTCGTTACTGGCGAGGAGAATGCGCCTGGTGCGGAGGAGGCCTGTCGGGATATCGTCTACGCAATCCAACTGCGTGCCAAATACATGCAAGAACAGGACGAATCTCTACTGCGGCAGCGATCCTCCAGCAAGAAAAATGGTCGAGACACACAGGACTCCTCTACGGAAGTTAAGGCTCCTCCCACTAATCCATCTTCAGAAGCAACTTGAAGGTGTTCCACAAGAAGACAGAAGCACCAAGATGCGACTTCTCGGGATATTGGATAATTATGCGAAAGCTCTAATATAGATGGCGGCACTTACACGTACGATTGTCGAGCGGGAGTGTTTCACGTCCAGCAGTTGGATTGCTCCACAGCTGATGAGGGTGATGGCACACTCAAGCCGCCAGCGCTGTTCCACGAGTTCGTCAACGACGAAGCCCGTTTGCGCAGTATCTCCACGAGTGGAGGCACTAAGTCCTTCTGTCGGCGAGAGTTAGGACTCTTGCAGCGCAGTTTCAACATCCATCAATTGCTTAACCGCGATCGTGAATACAGACAGAGTCAGCACTGTCGTGGAGATTTCTACAAGCTTGCGAAGGTAGACACGCACGTCCATTTGGCAGCTGCAATGACCGCAAACCACCTGCTAGACTTCATTCGCCGAAAATACATTCAATTTCCAGACGAGGTGGTCATGATGGACAAAAAGAAACCAAATCCGGAAACTGGTAAGTTCTAAAATCTACAGCTTTCCTACAATATGATTTTCTTTTGCATATATGATGATGCGCTCCTTCTAGTACCTGAACTTGATGCAGTTGTATTTTTGATTTTAGTTCTCTAGAAAAGAAAAATTGAAATGGTTTATTTTTAACTCCTTAAATAAAAATATAGCGTTAGCCTTACTATTTCTAATCATGCAACACCTGAGTCCATTTCTTGTTCCTCCTCCTCATTCCACCTCCTTTCACATGACCCACATTCCTCTTTCCATTTTCTTTTTTCACATGACCCACTCTTATCTCCTTTCAGGTGCGCCACCCTGCCCTGTCACCTTGAAACAAGTCTTCGAGCGTTCTGGAATTACCTGCGTGGAAGAAATGACTGTGGATAGCCTCGATGTGCAAGCCGAGGAAAACCTTTTCGACCGCTTTGATCATTTCAACGCAAAATACAACCCGTTTGGAAACAGTGACTTGCGTTTATGAACAATCTAGTACTGTCACAGGTAGTTTTCTCAGTCCATAATCACGATTCTGTACTAGCAAGTCCCTTTTTACGGGTTGGAGGAAGTAGATCCAGTTTCTGTTACTTACTACGTAGTTCATTTAATGTCCAGGTCCCTCATATTTTTACGCAACTCGTTTACAACGAGGGAGCCCATAACACTAAGACTAACAGCAGCACTCCTGTTGAAGTTGACCTCGTTCATACCACACGGTCTTTCTGAAGAGCTCGAATCACTTGGGTGGACGTTACTTTGCCGAGCTGACGCGGGAGATTTTAGAGCGAGACGAAGGCAGCGCAATATTCACCGAATACCGAGTGTCGATTTACGGTATTAACCGCAATGAATGGACAGAACTCTCAGACTGGGTCGTGGACAACAACCTATTCAGCAAGAACAACAAGTGGATGGTACAGTGCCCGCGTGTCTTTAACGTCTTCAAAATTATGCTCTGGGCATGAAGATGTCATGATAGATTGCCAGATTTTTCGTAGCTGCGAAAGGGCAAGAGATAGGGAAATTGGAAACAGGTTATAAATAAATATAAGTTTGGAACTACATCGACCCAGTTGTTTGATAAGTGCATGATGATCGATTCTTGTTCTTGGTAAGCTGTACCTGATTCCGATTCCCTCTATTTTTCGTACCAAACGACCCTAGCGCACCTTCCACATCTACTTACGTTATTTCGACGGAGGAATTTTCTTCTCTAATGTGTAGCTGGGTATGGTGACTACGTTTCAGGACCTTTTGTCGAACGTGTTTGAGCCTCTCTTCGCTGTGACCATCGACCCAAGCTCGAACCCGAAGCTAGCAAAGTTTCTGGAGAACATGAGCGGTTTCGATTCCGTCGACGATGAGAGTAAGCTTGAAATCCCGTTGGAGGGATGCCGTGAACCGGCATTGTTTGGCAAGGATCGGAAGAAGGAAGAAACCACCGATAGTGACAATCCTCCGTATGCGTACTGGTGCTACTACATGCATGCGAATCTGTACGTCTTGAACGCTTTGCGCGCTCGCAAAGGCCTAAACACGTTCAAGTTCCGACCCCACTGCGGCGAATCCGGGTCGCCATTGCATCTGAACACGGCCTTTTTGTGTGCGGACAGCATTAACCACGGAATTCAACTGCACAACACGCCGGTGGTCTGCTACTTGTACTACCTCTGCCAAGTCGGCTGTGCTGTCTCGCCACTTTCGAATAACGCACTTTTCTTACGACATAAATACTTAAACTAGTCTGAGTCACCGTCAGAGCACACACTTGAGAGCACACTGCAGTCCTCCAGGTGAAGATCTCGATCTCGAAGAGAACCATCAAGGAACTTCGTTTGGACGTCCTCACGATTCCCCTCATCACAATGAATCTCTCTAATTTCCATCCCTTACCGCGAAAACCCATTCAATGAGCTGTTCCAGATCGGCCTAAACGTGTCTCTTTCCACTGACGACCCGATGCAGTTCCACCGGACCGAAGAGCCGATGCTAGAGGAGTACTCAGTAGCTAAACAGCTGTACCGCTATTCCGTGGTCGACCTGTGCGAAATCGCGCGCAACAGCGTTCTGCAAGGGGGTTTTGACTCGGGTACTTGTATTTGTAAATATGCAGCCTGCAGAACCCTCACTTTCAGTTTCACTTAGCTACTACGACAGAAAAGATGAGGCTTCCATCTTGACTCATTGTCTGCAGTAACCATGCTGCATATTACTCCGATCAGACTTATGAGTTTCACAGAAGCACAAGGAGAACAATACAAATTTGAATAAATTGTTCTTCTCTAGTACTTCCTAGTTCTTATAGCTAAATGATATAAATTCTCACACACATCATCACAGCAACAAAGGAGAGGCAGTTGGGGAGCCTAAAGTGGAATTATTTTCCTTTACCGCTGTCGAATAATGCGGACGTGACGAATATTCCAGACATCCGCATGAGATATCGCTATGAGACAATTTTAGAACGCATCCATGGCATTTTGCGAACTCTATCGATGCCGAGTCTAGCGATTCCAGGTCTTCCGCACTTGAAAGGGACGCTGCATGACGCGATGGCGTTGCATGCGCGGGGAACGCTAGCAAATATTGGAGCATCTGTCGGACTCCACGGAGAAAATGCTGTGGCATCGGCGTCCTCTTTGTTGCGGGATGACAACGCGAATAATGGTGCGAAATGGGACAGCACAACCTTGAAGCACGTCGTGCAGAGAATGAGCGGCAAACCTGTGGCCTCCGGGGAAGGCGAAGATACGGCCGCGCGCGTGACGGAAGGGGATGGAGAGGCTACGAGTGGAGGACACCACGGGCAGTATTTGGACCCAGCAGGTAACGGAGGAGCAAAGAATCCACATTTTAACGTAGTGGGGGCGACGGCGCGTGGCCTCGAGCCCGGATCACTGGAGGTGGAACTACCGGAGACGCAAGATAACGTAGAAGCCGCGCTCGATATCGGTGGGACACGCGGGACCGCAAAGCACGTGGGCGTCAAGCGTGCGAGAACGATAGTGATGAAGCTCGCAGAGGCACGGCGCATGCGCGAGCGCGCGGCAGAATACAAGACGATGATGGCAGAGGAGGACTCGCAAAGACACTACAGTCGGATCCACATGAGCGCGCCACCGGCCGACGACCCAGAAGAATCTCGTCGAAAGGAAGCGGTTACGCGCGCACTGCTGCGAGTCGAAGCTTTGCGCGCTAAGTACGTCTTCAAGAGCATACTCTACGAGCGGGTTGGAGGTCAGAAAGAGATGCGGACCATGGCAACGGGTAAAATCGTGAAGCGGAAAACTCTTGATAATGGTGCTAACGGCACCCAGTCTGGCCAGTACACAGGAGGCTCTCCTTACATGAGCGCGACATCACCTGCTCTGGACAGCGCTGGAGGTGCAAGTGGAGTTTATTCCTCGTCCTGCATCGTACCGTTCACGTACACTTTCGAGCGCGGTGTCATTCGCATTGCCCACCAGGGTAGTTCCGGTCGCACATCTACTCCTTCGGACCTGTTTGCACCGCCACCGAGTTTCGAGAGTTTTGTCCAGGACTACACTACTATTTGCGCTATCCTGCAGTCGGCTCTCGTCCGTACCTTCTGCTACGAACGACTCGAAGTCTTGGCGCGCAAGTTTGATTTGCACATGTTTCTCAACCATGAGATCGAACAGAGCGCAGCCGAGGCGACTCACTCCGACTTTTACAGCATCGCGAAGGTGGACAACAATGTTCAGTTGAACGGAAGCATGACCGCGCGGGAGCTGTTGGAGTTTGTGCGAACGAAGTACGTCGACGAGATGACTACCTCGGGTCGCAGCGGCGGGACCGAAACGTCAACCACAACAGGAGCCACGTCGCCGGCTCCCGGAAAAGCAGTTGCAGGGCACAACAAGTCTTCGGGACAGGCAGTCAGGAGTAATGGCATGGGTATTCTAGCCTCCATCTTCAGGGAGGAGTGCAATATCGAATCCGCGGACGAAATGAGCGTAGACAATCTGCAAACGCAGGCGGATGAGAGCCTTTTTCTCCGATTCGAGCGTCTGCAGGACAAAAAGAGTCCCTTTGGAAGCAGTCGTTTGCGGGAAATCTTTCTCCGACCGCGAAAAGGAGGTGATGCTTCTCCAGCATCAGCAGCAGATAACGTTGACGTGAAGGAAGATTTCTTTGCTGAATTGCTTCGTGACGTGGTGCTGCACCGAGCTGTGCGTCGCAGTGCAACAGAACACCTAAACCGAAATGACGCGGTTGGCGGTAAGGCCTCAGCAAAAACGATAGGAGAGTTGGGCACACAGTCTACCGCAAGCGGGATCGCGCGACGCGGGCACGCCATGAAGCAGATTTCGAACGCGGCGATGCACCGCTTGCACGCCCACACCTACTGCGAGTACCGCCTGACCATTTTAGGAAAGTCGCGCAATGAGTGGTTCGAGACCGCACGATGGGTCCTGGGCAACGACTTGGGCTCGTCGCGCAACGTGAAGTACATCATACAGATTCCTCGTCAGTACGAGGTGGCAGCATCGCTAGAAAAGTGGCTGCAAAATCTGTTTGTGCCTGTAATGGAGGCGACGCGAGAGCCGGAGAAATATCCGGAATTGGCGGAATTTTTGGCCAAGCACGTGGCGGGCTTCGACCTCGTGGCAGCGCCAGGAGAAAACTTCTTTGGCGCTGGTGCAGGCGGTACTGGAGGAAAAGTCATCGCGCGTTTGCTTGGAGTGGATCCGAGGAACATCAAACCCCCAGAGCCGGCTGCAAATGGCAACGGCAGAGCTAGTATTAAGACTTCCCGTAATTCATCTGGAGAAAGCATCTTTGACATTGACACGTTCTCAACGGGAAAACACGTCAAAGATGCTGTCCAAGATGAATTAGAGTAAGCTCTAATAGTAGAAGTTCCAGGAACAACAAGAAGGGGGTACAAAAGTCTTACCCTGTCACCTACTCCGCGTACCTCTACTACATCTACGCGAACGTCTACATGCTGAGTCGCGCGCGAGAAGCGAACGGCCTGAATGCGTTCATGTTGCGTCCGCACTGTGGAGAGTCTGGCGACTGGTCTCAGTTGGCCTCAGCGTTTCTCCTCTGCCACGGCATCTGCCACGGCTTACAGCTCAAGTCTAACCCGGCGATCGCCTACATCTACTACCTCATGCAGATCGGAGTCACGATGAGCCCCCTTTCCAACAACGCGCTCTTCAAAAAGCTCCGGGATCACCCTTTCCTGGATTTCTTCAGGTACTTGTACAACTAACCTGTTTGTTCTGATTTGGAACCACGGGCACTCTCTAACGTTAACCTGTTTGAGTTTGTTCTGATTGTCTTTCAGCTACTCTTCTTACATATTTCTATTTGTAGTTTGTACCATTGAGTGACTTGAGACCACTATCTAACCTGTCATTTGTAAGCAGATGATGATGAGTTTTTAGAATTTGTTTTTCTTCAACTCGGTGTCTTTGAACAATTGATGCTGTAGTTATAAGGAGTTTCTATCTTCATCAATTTACGCCTATCCATTTCTCCACCAGGTGGGGTCTCAATGTTTCTTTGTCGACCGATATGCCTCTGGTGTTTCACGCTACTGACCACCCGCTGATCGAGGAATACACGATCGCGCAGCAGTACTGGAAGCTGTCTTTAACGGACTTGAGTGAGATCGCTCAGAATAGCGTGTTGCAGAGCGGTTTGGATCCCGACTTAAAAGAAGAATTGCTGGGCAAGATTAGGGCCACTGATTACAATTCATGTCTACAAGTTCAAGTCATTTTATTAATTCTGTTTTCTTTTTGAAATTTTGAGGTAATGAAGCCAAGAAATGAATTGCTTTGAGCTCTAACAAGAACTGCGTCTACAAGAGCTACAAACATCCTCAGAAATACTGGAACAATGCGGATAAAAGCAACGTGTGCGACATTCGCGTCAGTTATCGCAAGCGCTGCTTTGCGCGCGAGGCAGACATCGTGCGTTTTCATGCGGGCCTCGACAAAAACGCATCCTCGAGTTCTTTGGCGAACAACACGACATCATCAAGGGGACCACAAGGCCAGCCGCAGTCTTCCCCAGAAGACGACGCCTTGGAGGACGGTACAAATCTGATGGCAGGAATGGTAGGGGATGATGACGAGAAATTTGCTGGCGATGATCCGAGCAGCACGGACCCGGAAGTACGCGAGCGCTGCAGTGACGGGGCGCTCAAATACGCACACCTTTTGGCGCTACTATCGACCTCAGGAAAGGTTGCGCCGGGGAGCGATCATCGCTTATGGTGGGATTGTTCATTTTAATTTTTTTAGAGATGGGATGCAGATGCTTGACCATGATTTTAGAACATGTCCAGGCATTCACTGATGTGCACTTACTTATAATATATATAGATATATATATACTACTGCTTTGCGGCGTAGTTGAGCTGCTTGCAACATGCAAGTGGAAGTGCGAGGAATGTTGGAGAAGATTTCCATTTTCCTATTTTTCGCCTTGCAACCTGATGTTCTAGAAATCTTCGAGGCACAACATCAAGAATAGCAAGACAAACAGGAGAATCAATAGGCTTGTGCTTGTGTCCATTGGGTTTGGGAGAATGAATGTTGCTTCAAACTCGTCTAATTTTCACGCCGCTGTCTCATTCTGACTTGGCGCACAATATGGCGCAAGTGCGAGCCGCCGCAGACGCCGACGAGGGTAACATGTTTTTAGACACGTTAAAATTAAGGCTTGAGGAAATCCATCTTCCCAGACATCCTTCCCCTGTTTCTAAAGGGAAACGAGTCCGGAGATGCTCACGGGGGTGGATTTCTGCAAGTTCTAACACAAGGAATTCGCAACGGTGATTTCATGAACCGTTCTGCTACCAACCTCGACGACGCAGATCGCGGGAGCTGCGCGTGCGTTCTCATGTGATAAAGATTATGGATTTGGATGTCTGTCATTTTTGACTCGCGTAAAGCTTGGGATCTAGGAGACGCTGACGATTACGCATAACAAAATCCACGGTGTAGAAGACAAGCACAAGGAAAAGATTCTATATAAGTCAACAGGAAAAGAAAATCAAGATCAACGTAGCAGAAATGAAGTAGCTGCACTTTATATATTTATAGTCATACTAGTACGACTAGAAAAACTTCTTATTTACGACCTCCTCACGCTCAACCAGACAATCACAATAATTGCAAAAGTACAACCAGGTTGAGATGATGTATCAAAATATTATAGTATACATAGATACAGATACAAGAAGCAGTGTAGAAGAAGAACTGCCTGGACAGACGCCATCATGATGATAATTAAGAACTAAACTATAATTACGATTAAGAGTATATGAAGCAGGTTGACGTTAATAAGTAGATAGTGTCCTTGTCTGTGGTTGTGGGTTTATTTGGCGAACCGGTACCCCATTGCGAATAAACCTGCGCACACAACCATAGAGCTGAGCACTCACCGGAGGCGTTGAGCAGGGCTCCGGCCTGCCTTCGAAGGTGAGACCTCTGGGGCTGACAGGACCACGACAGCGCCGGCGCTTAATTCGTAGTAGATAACTACTTGCCTGCCTTTTCTTTTTTATTTCGGTTTTTGTTTTTTCTAGCTAGGTATGCTCCACCAACATTATAAAATATGAAGCAGGTTAATAAGTTCAGGACTTCCTTGGACATTTATTCTACAGCAGATGCAAGCTTGTTTTAGTATGATACGAGATGTTGAATGAAGGAAAAGGAATACATCAGAACTCATTTGAATTTTCTTGGCATATTAACACGCGGAATAAGTTCATCTTGCATAGGGCGCCTACTCCAATGGGCTTGATGGTATTGATCCTCTAACTTTGTTCAGTGTGTGTTAGGCATAGTACTTCTCTGATGAAGTAGTCACCGCCCTTCTGGTTCTAAACAAACTAAGCTCAGTGACTAGCGATTGACGACGGACCGTGTCCAGATAGCCACAAGATGCAAGATGGCTACTTCTTAATCATAGTCTGACAAGAACTTCAATCGCTCTTATAATGAATCCATTTGCATATCGATCGTATTAATTATATTTTGTTTCGTCTGAATTTGATTTGCGTCAACGCAACGAGACATCGTGGATGAAGTCCCCTCTCCTTGTTGTATCAAAGCTTGCTCAACAACAACATTCCACGACCACATCAATCAATACCAGCATTAGTCACGGCTTCAGCATCAGATGCCGTCATGGACACATACTCCTGCTCCCGCGTCATCATTCTCGTTTGTTCTCATCTGTTTTGATCTCGTATTATAGCATCAAACTCCAATAATTTCATCTCTTCCAGCACGTGGTCTTGTGTCCATTCACGTCATGCGTTTGAGAGAGAGAGAGAGTCATAAGAGGAGGGAGCGCGTCGCGCTTCAGAAGCGGCACGACGCTGATGATTCCATGCGTCTTATAAAATCCCAGCTCTCTGACTCTGTATCTGTTGATTTATCCCCGATCTTTTAAACCCTTTGAAGGTTGCTCTTTTCAGCATCTCTCTCATCTTGGGTTCAATCGCCTTGCGCTCGTGATCTTCGTGAAGTTTTCCTTATGGGAAGGTTTTGGCGGGCACGACGGTCGATTCACGTCCTCGCCTGCACTCTATCTAGCACTAGCTGTTGTCCGTTCTTTATGGATCCGGACAAGGCATCATACATAGTCTACGTTTTTGCATTGCTCCTCCTCCTGCACGTGCAGCACCCACTTCTTGTGTTTCGAAAAGATACTCAAACAGTGCGTGCTACTTAGGAAGATATGAACACTTACACTGTACAGTGAAAAATTCTTTTACCTGCTCAACCAACGACAATTTCTATTATCGTGTAGATGAGAATCTTCATCACCAGCTGGCAGATGCAAAGAAGACCCGTGGCAACATGACTAGCACTTCCTTTGCAGTGGGTGTCGCTTGCGCGCTGGTGGCTCCTTTGATGATTACAGGGGGCTTGGTCGTGTGGGACGCACGCTGGACTGGTCACGCAATCGCTTTGAACCTGTACAAATGCGCAGCCGCTTCCGTTTTATTCGCCATAACTGCGACTTGTATCGGCATATGGAGAACTGTAAACATCAACGACAGTGCGGAAGGAGCTTCGTCGACGTTCTTCGGTGAAGATAGTTACACGGTGTTGCAATTTTGGGTGCTGATTGTGTCGGGTCTGATAGGCATCACCATCGGCGACAACTTCTGGCTGACTGCGGTGCAACTGTTTGGGGCACAGAGGGTTGTTTGTATGATGCCACTCATTGAGAACGAAGATATGGGATGAATGTCGTTCCTAAGTAAGAAGGCAAATTATGAGGGGGAGCGGCATTTTTGATCCCTTATCGACGCGGTCAATGAGTGGAAGCATTCATTGTTTTGGTGGATAGCCTTAAGCCCTTTCTATTATGGGTGTAGGGAATGCGAATGCATCATCTCACTCCCAAGTGATCTGGAAGAAAAAAACAAGAAGAAAAAGAGACCCACAAGTAGACTCCTGAGGTGAATTCCCTATGCCTCTAATACTAGCGGTGTTTTTGGGATGGCTCTTTCTGGACGAAGGCGAGTTTCTCGAAAGCTGGGCATTTGTTGGCGGCCTCACGATCACTTCTGTAGGCGTGGTTCTCACGGCGAGAGAGGATAAGGGTGTGGCTGAGGACGGCAACATCAGCGGACGAGAACCAGAAGTTGTAGATGAACGAAAGCAGGACCACGAGATCTTCGCTGACATCAAGACTGGTGAACAAGCGCATGCTGCAAAATCAGAACAGCAGGTCGCTGTCTGTCAGGAACGTAGCGTCGAAGATGAGCAAAACGGAGTTGAAGAACCGAGTACGGGTAGTTCAGCAGGTGGCACGAGCAGCACAGATACAGGTCCATCTGCCCCGGTGACGACTGGTGCTGGACCTGCAGACGCGGCAATTATACGAGATGGTGCTGCATCAAATGAAAATGATAACCTCGTCCGTGCAGAGCCAGGAGCGGCAGTAGATGTAGAGCTAACGAGTGTGAACATTGAAATCGAGGTTTCGCAAAACGTCGCAGAAGTAGTTGGTGGATCTAATGGCGAAGTACACAAAAGCAAACCTTCTAAGGACGCATCTGCAGCTCCCGAGAATACTCCAGCTGCGGCTGCACCTATGATGTTAAGTCCATTTAGTGGTCCTGGGAGTCTTTCGCCCGCGGCCCGTTCGGTTTTTTCGAATGCCGAGAGCCGCTTTTCGGACATTCGAGAGCATGTGAAAAAGCGCACTGGCACGGACTCCTTTGCGGGTTACAGCGCTGCTGCTTTCAATGTGATTCTCGATGTTGCTGCTGCCGTGATGACAAAGAAGTGGTGCAAGAATTGGAGCCCACTAGACGTTAACTGTGTGCGCTTCGGGTCGACAGCGGTAATCATAGGTTTCCTCACTGTTTTGGCGAGGAGGTGGATGTACATTCATGTTCATCGACAGAATGAAAGGGCTTGTTGTAACCATGAACCCAGCAAAGTAGGTGGAGATGTCATTATACGTGACGAAAAAGGTCATGGAGAAGAAGAGCTTCAACACAACGAAGTCGTGGCAGCAGAAGATCTTCGCAAGACTGCACGTTGGTACGAGATGCCGACTCTTTGCAGAAAAGATTGGCTCTTCGTTTCCGGTGCGGTCTTTTTCGTCACATTCTTAGGTCCAACATTAGCTACAGTCGCTCTGTTTCGTCTTCCTGTTGCTCTGGTCATCGCACTAACCAGCGTAGGTCCCCTCTACGCATTACCCGCGGTCTACATTGGCAAAAATGAGAGTCCCACACTGGCAGGTATTGCGGGAGCAGCCCTCACCGTCGGCGGAGTCGCACTCCTCTGCTCTGCATCGCCTTAATGGCAAACCAGCATGACGCGGCTGCTAAGATACTTATTTCCACTCTCATTTTTTGAAATAAGTGAGATCCATCCCCATTCTTCACTGAAACTATTGAATTGTTGCTACAGCACTACGTGACTCTGCAACACCCTCTGTGCTTATGAGTTGTTCTACTTCAGCGTTGTCTGAAGCTGCTAGCTTCATGAGTGAGTGTAAACATTGTGGAAGACTACATCAACTGCTGAGTCTTATTATGATATTGCTGAATTCTTGCACCGGTTCTCATCTGTGATGAAACACTACAGCATTCTGCTCTCTGTACTACGAGGATGTCGTCTGTGAGTAAGTGTCAGCTACGAGAGTGTGTCGCGATCTGTCAGCCGCATGTCTGTCTGTGTGTCTATGGTACCAAGTGAGAGTATGAGGAGATTAGAGAAATCTGATGCACTGAGAAGAGAATTTCCGTAAAGCTAAAGACGAGAGCTTCTATGTAATATTCGTATTCTGTCGAGAGCCATGATCTATCATCTGATAGGCTGCTGTGGACCTTCCGGGAGCGGATGAGCGAAGTGAGTCAATTACCGGAGAGCATGTAGAAGCCGTCGATGTAGTTAAAATGTTAGTACTAGCGTGATATCTATATCTTGGAGGTTGATGTCGTGACTGTAGTAGGAGGTGCGTCTTCGACCTTGTTGTTGATCAGCTTGGCAATTAGTTTCTGGCAATTTTCCATCATAACAGTTTCAATAACAATTTATCGTTCTTCAGGATACGCATTTTCCTTTCCACTTAGACCCGAAGAACCCACTCACAAATATTCTTGATCAAATTAGCGATATTTCTAATCCAAATTTGAATTTATCCCCATTTTTCGCTTCGTTTCTTGAATAGAAGTGAGTTATCACGACGTGAATCCTCCAAAGAACCTCGTCCTCTTCCCGGTTGTTTCCTAGCCTTCAAAAGAGCTTGAATCTTCATCATCTTTTTTATCGAAGTCAATTCCTTTTCCTTGCAGTAGGAACTACGAACTAGTTGAGAGTTGAAGTATTATTTGCGGTATTAAACATATTACATACCCATACGTTTACGTACATCAGCTGCACGTATCGTACCAAAACGAACCTTCTCCTTCAAAAAAAGTACTAGAGAAACAAGATGGGCGCTCCCGGAGACGGAACGCCGCCGCTGAAGCCGGTGCCCAAGAACAAGATTTCACCGGAGCGGCAAAAGATGATGAAGAAGACCAACAGTCAATTAATGAACAACCCGGAGCTAGTGGCCGAATTGGCACGCAAGGGGATGGTAAAGATCGTGAAGGAACCCCGACCGGTAGTGCCATGGAACGCCCAAGCGAACAAGAGAAAGAAGAAGGAGAAGGGCAGCTCCTTTTTGTCCAAGTTCAGCTTAGGTGGCGGTGAGGAGGACCAAGAGGAAGATGACGAGGACGACGCGGGTGCACGAGCAGAAGAGGAACAGAAAATGACGCAGTCTCGAAAAAAGTTCTTCTGCACACGAGTGGCGGTTCCGTTCGTCGTCTTCACCGTTGGCTTCACGCTCTTGATCGTGTTCCTAGCAACTCTCATCAACGTGCTCAACAGGGACGATGGTACTAGAAAACTTAAACTAGTACTTATTAGGTTTTGTCACCGTTTATTACAGAAGCAGTGACTAGTAAAAAACATTGATCTCGAATTTAATACAAGAACTGCCTAAAAATCGTCTTTCACATTCAATTTTACTTAGGTAAATGCACAACGATTCGATTCAAGCGGGGAAAAGACTGCAAAGATTGTTCTTTTGAGATCGCAATAGATGGATTGGACAAGACCGGCTTTCTCAACGTCAGATTCACTGAAGAAGGAAAACCGGAAATGGAAGCCTATCAAGGTATTCAATGAATACTATCCATCAATCACTGGTGGTAGTAATATGGGCATGTAGAACTTATTTACATAGAAGATACTTTTTTGTTCTTCAAATCCAAGAGTACAACTTAATTGATTTAGTACGAATTCTTTCATACATTCTACAAAATACGTGTCCACCTCCACGACAGATCCCGAATTTAAGTTCCTTTGCTCGTTGTATTAGTATAGATGCCGTAGAACAAATTGGAATGTAAAATGGGTTATGACTTTATTATCTATAATCACAAACACAAACTAACAGGTTGCGGAACCACTGATTGTTGCGCATTTCGGACATCGTATGATGCCGATACCGGAGACAGCACTTTCTGCGACGCAGCTCCTTGGGATTGCAATTTTCGGGTACTAGGGCATAACGACTCTGTCGATTTAATGTAGTCTATCTCTTCACCATCCATTGTTGTTGTTTCCTAGATAAAGTTGATCATTCAGATTATTTTTAGCTTCAGCACTAGCCTCCACAAGCTTCGCCCGGCTTCAGGTTAGTTTAGCACTTTTCTGCGGCCTCCCACGGGCTACAGCCGCTAGAGTAGAGACAGCCGGCGGGTGAGCTGATGCACCTTACGAATTGACTACGACAAGAGCCGAGTGCCGGCGGTGGCCGACTCAGATGCGTCGACTCATGTGCAGGGCATTGCGCTGCCTTCGGTTTTTTTTTTGAGATTGCCGGGCGGGTCATGCAAATTCTTAAGAATTTGCAAGACCCCCACGGCAGTCCAACAAAAAAACCAGAAGAGAGCCACCAGACACGCACAAGAATCCGCAAGCCCCAACGCACGCAAGCGCCTCGCGGTGGCGCCAGGCAAGAACGAGGGGCGACCTTGATGGGCCAAACAAGACAAAGCAACGCAGGGCCGCGCTGCTTGGGTCTCTCTACGCGCTTACACCTGGCGGGGCTTCTTTGTTTCGTCAGATGTCTCTCGTCAGAAACAGGCGGGCGCACTTCGCGGGGTCGTGCGGCGTCGCGCTTCGGGCTGTGGCTGAAGCCTCTCGGCTGGCTGACGTCTTTCACCAAGCTGGAGACTAAGGCCCTCCATCAGGCTGATGCCGTTCGTCAGCCCAACGCTCTGCGCCAGGCTGGCGGCGTTCGTCGGGCAGGCCGGCGCCCCTCGGCAGGCGTCTTGGGTCAGGCTGAGGCTTTTCGTCAGGGTCGGGCGACGTCTCTCGTCAGGCTGAAGCGCTTCGCCTGGCTGACATTCCTCGCCGGGCCGAGACTCACGCCTTTGGTCAGGTTGATGGCTTGCTTCAGCTCGGCGCCGTTCGTCAGGCTGATGCACTCGCCAGCCAGGTGAGGCCTCTCTCCAGACCGGCGCAATGCTTCGCCAGGCGTCTGCCTTGCGTCGGAGGGAACAGGCTGAGCGGGGCCTTTCTTCGGGCTGCGGATGTCTTTCCTTCGTAAGATTGACCCCGTTCTTTCGTCGGACTGACGTGCTTCGCCTTGCAAGAATTCCAGCCCAGCAAATGCATCCCCGAAAGCTTCCGAAAGTTACCGTAAAAGCAAGCTGGCAACTTCTAAAACTCACGCCGAACCCCAGGCGGGGCTTGGTCCTTAGGGGTCTGTGTGTGTTCTTCATTCTGTTGGCATCTCACCCCTGGGGTGGTTTTCTTGTATCTCAGTCGCCTGCGCTGCTCTGCTGTTTCCCCATGGCTGTCAGCCCTTCCGCTCTTCTAGCTAATATATGAGGCGCGCGCCTTCGTGAAGTTGTAGGGGGGTCGTATTCGTGCAATCACGTTTGCGATTTGGTTCGCAGAGCCGCGCCGCTACTGGTTCGCTCAGCTGGCGGCCGTGGTTGGGTGCGCTTGTCGCTGGGTGTGGTCTATTATCAGCAGGTGGCGCCTTGTGTTCGTGGCTGGGCCTCTCTGTTCGCCTGGTGCTGGTGCTTTGGTGGCTTCGTTGCTCTCAGTCTTAATACCGGCTGGCGTTGGCTGTGCTGCTATCGTTTGCCTGGTGGTGCCTTTGGCCGTGGGTTGCGCTGCTGGTTTGCTTCTAGAAATGGACACCACTCGGGTGCCGGTGCGTGGGTAGGAGCTAGGGGCAGACACCCACGCGGGGGCCAATCAGTAGGCGTGGCGGTTTTGGCGTCGGTCTCCGCCGGCCTCCGTTGGCACTGGCAGCCCCCTACCCAAGTAGGCCCAGCGTGCGCGTTGAAAATGAGACCAGTCCAACTATCAGCCGGCTGGCGCTGGGGTGGATGCCGTGGGCAGCCAGGAGCGAGCCGCCCACTCACCGGAGTGTTCGCTCGACGGAGAGGCGCGGCCGAGGTGCTTCGACTTATCTCTGGCGCAATACCTCACCAGCGATGGCAAGCCTGTCGCCGAGTGATCAGCGCAAGATGGACGGGGGGGCGCTGTCTCTAACTCTACCAGTCTGCTTGGGAGTGCGTAGCCATGTGCGCAGCAATCTGGCTCATTAGGTAGCTACCCTCTCCCGGTCTTCCTCGCCATTCTATCCAAGTCGCGCCGAGGCGGTCCCGCTCTCGCTCTTGTTCGTTCAACTCATGGCATTCCTTCGCCCGTTCTGTCTCACTCTCTGCCAGTCCTCGCCCTCGCCTCTTGTGATAGATTGAGGGACGACGGGCGAAAGACTGCGAGCGGGTGCAAGTCATATACTGACTGCGTGAGAGAGTGCGGGTAAGCCTCCTACGCTTCCACCCGTCAGCCTCACTCATTTGCTGGGCAGATTGCTGGGCCCTTCCTCTGTCTCTGCGCGCGCGTCGCTGTATCGTATTGCCCTGGCAGAGTGGCGCCGAAGATGTGCATGCGCGCGGGGTCTTCTTTTGTGACTTTGATCTCCCACGTCGGTCCACCGGCTTGCTCTTTCTTGCGAGTTCGTTGGAGAGAGACTACACAAGAACGAAAGCCAAGGCCGAGCCAGTCTACCTAAGAAAGAGCGCACACCAGTCAAGCAACCAACGCAACAAGAAAGAAGACAGGCATGAGGTAGGCGCTAATGGCACACAATCAGGCACATGGCCAGGGGCTGCCTGGCTACTGATCCCCGTTCGGCATTTGTGACGGCTCCGAGATCTGTGGGCAAGGAAGGTCGAGCGCCACTGCTTGACGCGGCGAGGCTTTCACTTCCTCGCCCTCGCGTGTGAAGGGCCAAAGCGTGAAAGCGGCAGAGACAGCCGGCCAATCTGACAGACACCGGCAGAGGCTGGCAGACTGGGTGGGGGACTCGCTCCGCGTCTGTGGCTCAGACAGTCTACCAGGGGGGGCGACTGAGTGACCAGCCTGGGGGTGGAAGCATATAAGAAAGCCAGCGCTGGCCAATCTTTGCAAGCTTTTCCCTGTGGGTGTGGGGGTCGTTCGATCACTCACCTCCTTAGTTGGCGGGGGCGAGCGCCTGGCCCTGAAGATCGACAGACGCGCGTGAGAGAGTGCAGGAACCAGCGGCCGAAAGACTGACCGAGCGAGGAGCGCGCCCATGCGCGTAGTGTGTGGCGCAAAGGCGTCCAATGTCCACAGGGTGGGTGACTAGCGTAAGTAGCTGGCTCGGAGGGTGGGAGGGACGCCCGGGCCATGCGTGGACTTTTAGGCCGGTGTAGCTTGCTTGCCGTCCGTGTGCTCTTCTTTCTCTCTCTCTCTCAGGTCGGGCACCGTGCTCGCTGCGGTGGCTCGCGCGTCCCCTTGGCGGCTCGCTTCGTTGTGTGTCTGTGGCAGAAAAAGCCGTGCGGGATTTTGTTAAAGTCCGCGTCTTTTGTTCGTTGGCCTGCTGTTTGATTTTGGTGAAAAAGACGGCAAAAAAATCAACAAGCGCCGACAATTTCCGACAATTGCCGAAAGTTTTTGAAGATCCGAAAGCTGCCGAAAGTTCCCGAAAGATTCCGAAGATGTCCGAAAGGTGCCGAAAGTTGCCGAAAATTGCCGAAAGTTGCCGAAAGTTGCCGAAAGTTTCCGAAAGTTGCCGACGTTTTTTTCTCGGATATTGTCGGAAACTTTCGGCAATTTTCGGCAACTTTCGGCAATTTTCGGCAACTTTCGGCACCTTTCGGACTTCTTCGGAATCTTTCGGGAACTTTCGGCAACTTTCGGACTTTCGGAAACTTTCGGCAGTTTTCGGACATTGTCGGCGCCTGCTGGCTTTTTTGCCGCTATTTTCACCAAAATGAAAAACCGAACCAACAAGAGACGCGGACTTTAGCAAAATGGGTGGCCGGCGCCCTTGTGCAGCAGTGGGCCTCTCTGAGAATGTACCAGAACAAGCCTGGGCCCCCGACCGCCTCATGGCGTGGCTATGTAGCGTGGCCGCTCGTGTCTGACCTGTCAGACTGCTCGCTGCGCATCTAGCTACGAAGCTGCCCCGGAGCTTCTATCTAATGCATGGGCGCAAGTGAGGACAAATAGCTTGGGCGCCTTGTCGTTCTTCCGAAGTCAGTGAGCTGGCTGCGTACGTCTTTGAATATGCCACGCATGCACCCCCGCCCGTCGTACCAGCGCAGCACCCAAGGGGGGAACGCATGCAAGCGCGGCCAGCCAGGGGCGACCAACCTACTCAGGGCCTAGCTAGCTGCGCTAGCAAGCTGCCTAAAAAGATAGGCGTGCGCGCTGAATGATAGCAAGCAGCAAGCGGCGAGCGAGTGAGGGAGCAGCCAGGGGCCCAACCATGGGCGCACAAAGCTGCTTGGTAGGTCGGCTGAGTGGCTCGCCCCGTCAGACAGTCACGCGCCCACGCCTCCACAGAGGCAGGCGCCTGACTGGTTGGCCTTGGTACGTAGGTAGGCAGGTAGGCACGTCGTGCGTGAGCGAGCGCGGGAGGCTGGCTCCCTCTGTCCTCCCCTGCAAGCATGGACGAAGCAAGCAAAGAAACAAAGAGGGAGGAACGATGAAAGACGAGCCGGCCACAGACTGACCATCTCACTCAGGTCTACCTTAAAAAGAAAGGAAGCGCGTTCGCCTTCGTTCCCTCCGACGTCGAACGGCCTCCCAGGTCAGTCAGCCAGCGGCTGAGCGGGCTTGTCGCTTCTTTGGGGGGCTCGCTCTCCTTGACCCATCCACCGAGCGGGTGCGCGGGTTGCCTTTTTGAGTTTCTTCCCATCCGTACCGCTTCAGTTTGTCAGCCCGACGCGCCTGCGACTGCGTTCTGGGCTGGTAACTAGGCAGCCACTGGGAACTGGTTCGCTATGCTAGAAATAAGACACACGCAACACCACAGAGGGCGGGGCGCCCAGACGGGGGGACCAGCTGGCAGCGTGTGACCGAAGGGGGCGGGGACTGTCTGAGCCAATGCAGGCGCCACCTTGTGCGAATTCTTTAGAAGCCAGCCAAGTAGCCTGCTTGGGTGTGTGTTCATAAATCAATATGAATGAGCGCGCTCGGCTTGTCTTAGTTAGTATGAATTTCCTCGGCTTTTCTCACAGCTGGCCCCTGGTCTCTGTCTGTGTCTCCTCCGCTGGGTGTCTGTCAGTGGCAGACGCCAGCCAAGCACGTGAGAGGGCAGCTTGCTCCTACGGCTGCTCCCGCTTTCTTTTATCCTAAGGGGGCGGGGGGGGCAAGCTGGGCGACGGCGACCGTGGTACGCAGCTCAAACTCAACGGCAGCGGCGCAGTTGGTAAACACATAGAAAAGAGAGACGCAAGCAGAAGCACAGAACAACGGGCCCACGCATGCGCGACATGTCCAACAATCGACTACATACCTAGAAGGCCCCGCGGCTTTTCGGTCGTCAGTCATGGTCTGGCGTGTATTTGCTAGCCGGTTTTTTGGTTGTGTATATACACTCGGCAGATGCGTGCATACTCGTAGGGGGAAGGCAGTGCCAAGAAGGGGCGGGGGACTTCTTCAGAAGCGCGCTGGTAGGCTGCCGAGAGCCAGCCAGAGCGCGCATGGCTGTCAAGCTCAGACCGACAGAACGAGAGAAGAGAGACGACGAGAGCCGAAGAAGAGAAGAAGCGACAGCAGCAGCGTGCCGGCTTGCTTCGCTGTTGCTTCTGAGTAGACTACCGAACTGACATCCATCCAGCGGGGTGCCACATTCAGAGAGGTGCCGAGCGTAGTACTAGGCCCACCCGCTTAATATATTAAAGCGATGCGGAAAAGACAGACAAACCGAGCACAAAGAAAAGCGAGCCAAGCGGGCCCATGCGTGGCGCTTGGCCGCACTTGGTGACTGGTGGGCCAGACTAACCACCTGGGCACACGCTGGCCGCACGTGTTCGGCTTGGTAAGGTTCAACACCTTCACCAAATGCGTCGCGGCATGCTTGGGCGCACCACAGTCGTGAACCCGCTGCAGAAGGCTAGCCCGCACCCGCAACGCGTGGCCCCCTTGCTGTGTGTCATGGTGTAGGGCTTTTTGCGGTTTCTCTTTATGTTGCTGGCCTGTACTTTCGGAAACTTTCGGAAGCTTTCGGCAGTGTCGTACCGGGCTGCTACTTCTTGCATCTGATCGCGTTCGCCGGACTGACGTCCTTCGCGAAAGGTCTTCGCTATCTTCAAGGGCCTCGCGCCACAGGGAGGCCTCGCGTCAGTTTTTCTGGCGGAGGTCGTTCGTCAGATGTCTGCTGTCGCGGGTCTCACTCTTGTCGTGTCGGAGGTCTTGGGCCCAAAGGTCGTCTTTGGTCCACGCACAGGTCGCCGGTGGTCCACAGTCAGGCCGCCTGTGGCCCAAAGGTCGTCTTCGGTCCAAAGGTCGGCTTTGGTCCAGAGGTCGTCTGTGGTCCAGAGGTCGCTTTTGGTCCAGCGGCCGTCTTTGGTCCAAAGGTCGCCTTACTTTGGTCCAAAGGTCGCCCTACTTTGGTCCAAAGGTCGCCCTACTTTGGTCCAGAGGTCGAAGGGTCGCCTTACTTTGGTCCAAAAGTCGCCCTACTTTGGTCCAGAGGTCGGCGCACTTTGGTCCAAAGGTCGGCTTACTTTGGTCCAAAGGTCGGCTTACTTTGGTCCAAAGGTCGCCTTACTTTGGTCCAAAGGTCGCCTTACTTTGGTCCAAAGGTCGCCCTACTTTGGTCCAGAGGTCGCCGCACTTTGGTCCAGAGGTCGCCTGTGGTCCCGCGGTCGTCTTCGGTCCCAAGGTCGTCTTTGGTTTCAAGGTCGTCTTTGGTCCCAGTGTCGTCTTAAGTCCCAAGGTCTCCTGTGGTCCAGAGGTCGCCTGTGGTCCAAAGGTCGCCCTTGGGTCAAAGATCGCCTTTGGGCCAAAGATCGTCTTTGGGTCAAAGATCGCCTGTGCTCCAAAGGTCGTCTTTGGTCCAAAGGTCGCCTTTAGTCCGAAGATCGCCCTTGGTCCAACGATCGCCCTTGGTCGAAAGCTCGTCTTTGGCCCAAAGATCGGCTTTGGTCCATGTGTCTTTGGTCCAAGGTCTTTGCCCTTTCGGTGGGCGGTCTTTCGTTGGCTGTCTCTCTTTGGACTTTTCTCCCCAGCTTGCGCCCCCACCCCCGTCGGCCATTTTTCTGCCTTCTTTTCTGGTGGTCTGCCACGGGGCCGCAACGTAAATCCCAACAAGGAAACGGCCGGAGGCTATCGGGCTTGAGACTGAGGGGAAAGGGCAGGAGACTATGGGCAATAGCTTCGCGAAAGAAGCTGACTAATCTCCGGTGGGTTAGGCGGGGAGTTTTATGGCGGCGATCAATGGCGAGATTAATAATATAGATTAATAATATAGATTAATAATATAGATTAATAATATAGATTAATAATATAGATTAATAATATAGATTAATAATATAGATTAATAATATAGATTTTTTTTTTGTTATGTTTTTTATCTATCAACTTATAATAATTTACATCTTCTACCATCTACATATCCTACCATGAATACAACAGTTGGCCGGTGGCGACATGCCGCAGGACTTGCAGGAGGGACAGCTGGTTGTGCGCTACATCCCGCTTTACGTTGGCATGGTCTTCATCTTTTTTCTGTGGCCGATCGTGACGATATACAACACAGTGAAGGACAACAAGTACATGGCACAACTGCATGCGAACCTAGAAAAGGCCAAGAACTTCTCGGAAAAAAAGCGCAAGGGAACCGATAACCGCGCTGATGCGGATCCGGTCTAGGTTTTTTTTTCCACAAAACGACTACGACAACGACTAGACCTAGTCTAGTTCATCTAGATGACAAGTTGTAGAAAAAGAAAGGTGGAATAAAGCAAGATGAATCGGAGGCGAGGAGAAGCTGAATCGGAGCCAGAGAGAAGAAGCAAGGTGGGAACGGTCAACAAGGTGTGACCGCTACCTTCATCTTCCAGGTGAAACTATTTAGTCGCATAAGTTTAAGCATGTATACATAGTAATTGCATAGTTTGTCATCACTCATGGAAAATTAGCCAGCATGATAGGTTGTAGAATTATAACCGAACAGTCAGTTTATAGATTTTAGATGAAAATGTAGATCTATTCAAGAACAGATAGCAGGGAGTGACAGTATAATATCACAATGATTAACAATGAGAAACGATTAACAGTACAAGGACACGGGTTATTTAACGCAAGAACGTCGTACGCATGGGCATGTTTTTATATTATTTGGCATATTAATTTGTACTTCAGAATTCTTGGGATTGGGTCGAAGATTTGAAAATATCGAAACGATGAAATTATGGTAATATTCTAGCATAAGCATATATCTTACAAATGTAGCAACGTGGTTATGGTAATAGTTTGTCAACGTTAGAAAATGATGATATAAGATATTGATATAGATTGTACTGAAGAGGTGGCCTCAAAATCTAGTGCATGTTAATATTATCCAACATGAATTTATCTTGTTGAATTCCTAGAAGAAGGACTTATAATTGATGACGAAGTTGATGATAGTGGCGTGACATGAAGGACATAACTAATATTAACAGGCGCAAAGTTCTGCTCGATGCCTGCCAATATAGAAAATATCATTGCTCTGGGCCATAACAAACACTTAGTGATGAAGCCACTTAAAGTGAGCAATGAATGGTTGTTAGTATGTAGTTATTGTGCGTGCGGAACGTGCTTGCGGGTTGTGTGGTGCTGGTCATGGCGAAGCTGCATCTCTTCTCGTACGAGCTTGAGTTGGATACAGAGCAGGTAGAACACAGCACAATCCTAACGAACCAACCGCATGTAACAATGATCATACTAGACAGGATTTGTCATCTATAATTAGTGATCTCTTTGAATGGTGGAGTACTAGTACACCTCGTTGTGCTGGTGGCACTGCTGGTACTGGATCTAGATCGGTCATCTCCTACTTACTATTTTATTGCAGACAAAGATGTTCCCACCAAACTCCTCCCCCATTAATAATCCCTGAAAAGAACTACTGCAAACAACAAAAACGCCTAAGCAATGACTTGGTGAGACGCTTCTAGGTCATGGCATGCTAGAGGCTAGCATAGCTGCAGTCGCGATTTTAGTGTTCGGCTGAAACTTTGCGAAAGATTCTCATGACAAAGACAAGTCATATGAAGCAGGACGTGCAACAAGCAACAATTGCACAAGATTTTTGAAGCAGTATTGGGAAAAGTCCTTGTCCTTGAAAACCAGTTTGATGAATCTAAATGCATGACACTACAACTCGCGGCGAAAATCTTTCAAGAATCCGTTCTGATGACAGAGAAGGATGCTGATGGTAACGATGAAAACATCAAGTTCCACAGAAACAGCACCAAACACCAATTTCAGCAGTAACTACAGTCCTCAGTGCTAGTACTTCATGACAACAAAAACAATGGTAATCTACTCCACCCAGTTGAAAACACTCTCTTAAGCGTGGTGGACTTGCGATCATCATCCCACCTTTGGTTCGCGGTATTAATTCCGATTTCAGCAGGTCCCGCTGTAAGAGGAGTTGCATTTTTTCGTGACGTTCTCGTTCTGATGGTTCTGCTTCTGGTGTTGTACAGATGTTTTTTTCAAGCTATCGAATCTGAATCATGTACAGCTTCTTAGTCGCTCACACAAATGTAAAATTATGCTTGTTTTGGTTTTTTAGCGAAATAATTGAATTCTTTTCTAATCACATCTGTAACTGCATTCAACGTTCTGGGATATTCGTTCTTGTCGTTACGATGGTCACTTTGTTTCTTTTCTGAATCCGCAAGTAAAAGAACTCAAAATGTAAATAATAATTTTCGTTTCCAGCGATCATCAGATTCGCCTTCCTTCTAGTATCATAATGCGTAAATGGCCAGCGCCCTCTTATCGAGGTCGAAGTAAGTAATTGATCTCTTTCATACAGATGTTTCCTGAGATCTCCTGACCTTTTCTTATCGTGTTCTAGATCTTTCCAGTTTGTTGTTCAACTTTGTTTTCACACGTGCCCCACCCAGTGTGCGTTTATTTTCAGAGTAAGTATTAAGGGTGTTAACTACTTTTACTTTCAGCTTCTATGTAGTACTTTTCTTTTTCTACATCTACTAGTACGGATCACCATCCATTCATATTTTCACCTCGAGGTTTAGGTGGACGCGGACGACAGTCATTGAGATGAATGTTGCAAAAAAAATAGTTTTGCGCTAGGGCTAGCATCGTCGCTTGATTTTTTAGAAATGAAGGAAACAAGGATGAACAGCATGCGTTTCTTGTTGCAGTCTCAACCGCTAGTGCAGTCACATGCGTTCGAGGGGTAATGTCGTCGTCGTCTTCCCGAGAGGACTATCAGCAAGAACTCCGCCGTGCTTTCGTCAGGTGCAGCTTCATCATTCGCAGGAGACGTTCTGCATTCCCAAGTACGTAGTGATTGCTAGTACAACATCATCATGGCTTTTCATCACAATCAGTACGGTGGTGGAGGCCAGCGCCCGTATCACGAGGGGCAGGGGCGAAACGGTCTTCCGCTTGGAGGCAAAGGCCTCGGATACAATGCTGCCGATGGCAAGAATCACGGGACACCACGAGGAAAGCAAGACCGACACGGAGGGCATGTGCAACAGCAACATGATCATCATAAGGGTGGAAGCAGTAGTGGTAAAAAAGGCGGGGGCGCTCCGCACTTCAGCAAAGGCGGTTATCAGCACCCTCATCAGCAGGCGCATCAGATTTCCTACGGAGTCAGTCAGTCGCATATGGCTGGAGGAGGCCCATCTGCAGGTGGTAAGGGCATGTCTCACGGAGGACTCCCCTCACATGCCATGGTATCCCAGCATCAACACGGCACTCATACTCCCGCCGGCAGCCCGCCTTCGTCCTCTCCCACGGGGGCGCATCACGGGAGCCTTCTCCCACCCAGAGACGTGGCGCAACAGCACTTACTAGGAGGTGGACTCTCGGGAGGAGGTCCTGGTGGACATCAGTTTTTACATCCGCAGGCGAGTGGAGGACCTAGCGGCTTGTCCAGCATACCCTCGTCAGGGAACCTGGCCGCCGCTGGAGCGGCACCGTCCCGACTCGCCACGCCCGGAGCTGTAACGGTTTTTGGTGCGGATCGGGGAAGCGGAGTTGGAGGTGGAGGTGCAGGCAACAATATCAACTCATACAACGGAACAGGAGCAATGCGTGTAGGTGCGACGCCAATGGCTTACAGTGTAATCTCACCACGAGGTGATCATGGTACAACAGGCGGAATAGGAGGAGGAGGAGGAGCACCCAGCGGCCATTTTCCTGCTGGTATGACTTCCGGTCAACTCCCGAGTGGAAGTGGGCAGAAAGGAGGAGCTGGACTTGTAGGATCTGCCTCTGCTCCTGGAGATCATCCGATGACGAACAGCGTAACGAAAAAGCGTGCTTCCTCTTCCATGAGCAACGTTTTTTCAGTCGTCCAGAAAAAAATTCAGGGTCCACCTCTGGTGCTCACGAATTTTTCTAGTGAGCAGCGGGAAAGCATGTCTCAGTTTGTCACTTCCGTAGTGTTAGGCAGGGTAGTTTCTCACTATCCTATGTGGGCTATGCTGAGTGGCGCTCCGCTTGATTTTAAGGGAAAATAAGAGGGGCGCAGGGCAGCCCACTCGAGTCGGGATAGTGAAAAACTACCTCTAATAGTTGATGCGTTGAAGATCTGCGCATCCGGCATCCAGGGTGAGCTCCGCGAGCTGCAGCGCAAGATTGTTGACGGAGGGGGAGCCGGTAACAAAGAGCCTAGCAAAGCATCGACAACCTCTTCCAAGGATGACGAGCTCACTGCTGTGGTCAAACCCACTAGAAAACTGATGAAGGAAGTGACTCAAGCGCGAAAGAAAGAGCTGGACAACTTAACCAAAGAGATTCTTAGCCCAGGCTTTCGAGAAGTCCTGACAGAGCTGCCAAACGAGTTTACGGATACAGTCATGGAGACGGTTCGAAAAGACCTAGTGCCGCATCTTTTTGCGGTTGAGCAGCGATGTATCTTGCAGACTCTCTACGGGGCTGAAGTATTTGGCCCGTCTCCTGACGAACGAAATGGCGATAAGGATAAGAGCAAGGACGTGGACATGACCGATGCTGCTAGCAGTACGGACGCGATCCTTGCGGCTGTCGCAGATGCTGCTGGAATTAACAGTAAAACGACCCCCGATGCGCAACGAGAGGACGCGGCGCTGAAAATAGATGCCGATATTCTCGAAAAGAATCGGACGGAGGTGCTCGGAGTACCGCAACAGCGGCGGTTACGGGACCCATTAGGGCCCTCACCTTGGAACAAAGAAACTGCTGGCGGAAGCAGCTCGAGCACGGGGCCACCCAATAGCAAAAACAATGACCTCATTGCGGCGGCAAACAAGACTCCGGAACAGCAGAGAGCAGGAGAAGTTCTCAAAAAAGCGCAAGAGGGCGTAGACAACATCCTCTTTGTCACACCCCAAGAATTTGAGGACGAATTCAAGAAAAAAATGCAAGATGGGAAAATTGTCAAAGGTACTTACTTCGGGCTTAGAAGTGCTTATGATACTGCACCGAAGTGGAGGAGGAGGTACATCTGATCCACTAGCATTCCCATTCGAAAGCGAAACCAATAAGTAACATGCACGGTCTCTCACTCTCTCTCTCCCAGCAAATACTTTCGACGGACCTACTTATCCTTGCTGTTTTATTTCTATGGGTCTCATAACGGCTTTATGCGGATGCAGAGTTACGCCTACTAGAGTAATCTCCTCCTAACAAATACTTTTTGCAACAATAAACGAAAACGCCTCCCATCTTGATCACCAACTCCAACACAGCCCTGAGTCTAGCGGACGACCTAGATAAGCGTACGTTTCTTGACTTCTGCTTTGATCGCTGTGTCGACCTACCAGATGATTCCGATCTCCTCTTTCGCATACCTGGTTTTAAGGATCGCGTCCTTTTTCAAATCGAAGATAAAGCAAGGAAACTCAATGATTGGTACTTTGTTTATCTCTATTTCAGAAATGTTCATCTACAACTTGTACCTACGTACTGGTTTCTGTCGCAGATGCAGCACTGTCACTGTAGACGTCGTCGTATATTAAACCGTTCCAGCCATGATCATGCTCGATAAGGATTGCGCGAATGAGTTTCTTTGATGAAGACGTATTAGTTCTTCTTTCCCTAGAGATAAGATTACTCAAAAAGAAAAACATTTTTGCTTATATGATGTTGATGTTGAATTACAGGATGGACAAGATTCGGTACGCGCCAAAGGATCGGCAGCTGATTCACGCCCTAGGCAATGTAATGGATGAGCTGATAAAAGAGAAGTATCACCGTGTGTGGGCACACGAACAGTTGAAGAACGAGAGCTACAAGGAGTTGAAGACGTACCTTCTGAAGATGCTAGCGATGGTGCTCACGTTGTGCAGCAGCGTGAACATCGGCGACCGTGCTCACATGATGCTGTTGAAAAAGGTGTTCTTCAAAGTGGACAACCAGAATGAAGACCGCATGGGAAAGTGGCTGGAAATGATGAAGCGCACGCACGAAAAGAAGTTTCTAGAATGTGCAAACAGGCTTCTGTCCAACAAGCGCTTTGCAGGACTCGCGACCAGTACCCGGGAAGAGGTGGCTCTACAACAGAGGAAGCGCAAACAATTCAAAGCTTCAGGTGGAGCTGATGGAGGTAGCCACGACGTCGTGAAAAACGGTGAAGATGGACAGAACGACAAGCCTGGCGAATTCGTTGACGACGATTTCGACACTGAAGACGACGAGGATCTTATCGACGATACAACAAAAGATGAGCTGAGCAAATTGCTTCTGCCAGATGGTGCAACTGCTGCTTCAGCTTCAGCGATCAAAAAGAAGGACCATGACTCACGAAAGATGAACTGGGACCGAGTAGAGAATCTGCAAAGTGGTATAATCAGGGAAAAAGTGCGAGCTTTGCTAGGAGATGAAAAATGGCTCGACCTCAACGAAAACTTCCAACTATACACCAGATTGGTCATGCTCTTCGGAGAAGGACGGAAAGAGTACTCCAACATTTTTCAAACTTTTAGGTTTTCGTGTTTATACTTTATCTTCAAGCATTCAGTCGAATTATCGATCCGGATTCTGTAGCATGCATGCAAGCACTCTACTTGTTTTCGTCTGAAGATAATCATGTCTTCCCTATATATATTATAAGAAGTATATACTTTTTACAATTACAACTACAGGTTTCTCCACCTTGTTCCTCCCGAGAGCCTGTTGAAGTTGCTCCGGGAACATTTCCGTGACGACTTGCTTTTTTGGCCTCAGTTCAAAGTCTACTACAGAGGCGTAAAGACCTTCGTCCCGGATTCTTTTCCAACGATGATCAAATTAAGGGTCGATACAATTCATCTCCAGCTCCAAGGGTCATTTTCTTCGGTTTCCTTCAAATTTTAGGACTTTTCCGAAGACAACATGTCTTCAGGGAAGAAATGAATTGTTTTGAGCTCTAATCAAGGAGTTTCGATGGTATCTCTCCATGTTTCCCTCCGAAATCGAGTTTAAACAAGGCGACAATGCTCTCCACAAATTCGGCGGGATGGATATCACATTCAAAGATAAGGAAAACTCCGGGACGGGAAAAACGCATGTACTTAGTTCTCTTACACATGTTTTAGTACATACTACCTAGTAGATACTTGCTCTCTAAAAAATTTGTGTCTACTGCTGGGTTGTAGCAAGCAGTACACGAATAGTACCACGAGTGCTAAGGTACCGTGTACAACATGCTCTATTCTTCGGTGACGTCCCCGTCCCTTCTTGATCTTCTTACAACTTCTTCCATGTCCATCACGGAGACGATCATGCAAATAAAGTAAAGAAAACCTCTCACCGCCCAATCCCAATGTCACGTCAACATCCAGGTTTGTTTCCGCGGCAACAATGCGTCGATAGCTGAGCTATCTATTGTAGAATTTTTAGAGAAGTTTGGGCCTGTCTCTCTGCGAGACCAGCAGCAAGGTGGAGGTGTCAATCTCCAGCTAGGTGGCGGCAAGCCAACCGGGAGCGCCGGCGTCGGAGGGGCAGCTGGGAACCCCAATATCGGTATCGCACCTGGTGGAGTTAATGCCGCAAATCCCATGGCCGCTGCCAATGGTCGCAAACCCCAGAACCCTCCCCTCCCGGAGGTCGTTGCAGGCGCAAAAGAACTGGCAGAGATCCTCCGAAAACAAAATATGGCCAACGATGCGATTATTGAAAAGGTAACTTTTGGATGTTGTTATGGTGTCTACTTTTCATCTTTGTTTCATCAATCTCTGCTACCTCCTTGTTATCTACTTCATAGTGCTTTTTCCGCGGACCAAGACCAACAGGTTTGCGGATATCTACTTCATAGACATCCACGGCGCTTTTTAATATTTTGCCTAGAAGTACCACTACAACCAACTTTGTTATGCTCATTTTTGTTCATTTCTACTACTACTTCTAGTTTTAGCTAAGAAAGTACTTCTAGTACCAAAAGGATCTTGTGTCACCACGCAGATCAAAGACTACGTGGCGAACTGTACGGCAAGTCCGGATCAGATGCTGACGTCAAAAGTTTACCTGGTCTTCGCGCAGCGCAACCGCAATGTGCCACCAGGCGTACTCCAGATCGTGCAGAACAGTAACTTTGTGAATAATGTTCCAAAGGAAAAGCAGGTCTTGTTCATCAAAACCATGGTGGAAAGACCTCACCTGATTCCAATTTATGGTTAGTTTTTATCCATTTTTCTCGGCATCTTGCTCCCCTTTTGCCTTGTATTCTCATGAAATACAAACGGAAAGAGGTCGAGATGAGGGGACCAAGATGGAGCACAAACTGAGTCTAACCAATGATGAATCAATACATCATGGGCGCGTCGACTGCCACACTCGGAGGCATCGGAGGAGGAGGAGGGTCGTCCTCATCGTCGTCCTCTGGAGGAGGTGGAGGTGCTATTGGCGGAGGTGGAGGTACGACTGCTGCCGCAAATTTGGCAGCGGCTCTGAGTGGAGGCATGGGAGGTACGAATACTTCCGTAGCAGCACAGCTCCAGCAACTTCTTAGTGGTCGAGGACAGGTCGCGAATCGTATCCAGATGAACTTGGCCGGCCTCGGAGGTGGAAACGCAGGCGCACGCGGAAATGCTGGACTTGCAGGATCCTCAGCCCCCTCTTCCGGACAGATGGGCGGCGGCAAAAATGCAAATGCCGCTGCGACGAATGCAGCCTTGAGTAATCTTTTGGCAGCGAAATTACAACAGCAACAACAAACGACCTCAAACGCTGCAGCAGCCCCTTCTGCGTCTTTCCAACAGGAATCGTGGGTAAACCTAAACGCCCCTCCATCAAGAATGGTACTCAGCTAGCTTTTTTTAAAGAATCGCAATTGTATTCATACAAGATGATGCACATACTTATAATCCTCTTTTATCGAAGATGCATAGTTCTTTCTACTTTAGAGCTACTTATCGATGCCGAGAAGCACGACTGCGATCTATGCGTATGATACCTTCAACGAAATCAATGCCCAGTAATTTCATTGTTTCCCAAAACATCCTCTTTCTCAAAGTCAAGTATTCTTACTCTTACTGTTTTTAATACTTTCTCACAGCCCACGGCGTCCCCACCTGGCCGTCCCACATCCGCAACGGATTTGCTGGGAGGCCTCGCACAGCTTGGCTCGGAATCGCCTAAAAAGCGGCAATCTTCGGGAGGAGCACCGATGCCAGCAGCAGTTTTAGGTCAAGAGGACGATGAGATTTAGCCGAACGCGAACCTCTAAGACGCCCCTATGTATGGCTGCAGTCTGCACAGATCTTCTTTGCGCAAGATTCATTGTATTGCATAGGAAGGAGCACTCCGTGTGCTCTACCTAGTATGAGCTGCTCCCCCCGGATGCTGTTTTTGTGAATCACCCGGAAGCTTCCATAGTACCAGTCGTGGTAGTCTCTCTATGGACCTGAATCCAGGAGAATCAATGTTGCTCTTTTTATCTTCCTCTCCCGCTTTCCTTTTGCTAACAAACTACGTTGTCCTCATCCAAGAAGAAAATTCACTGGTATGCGTATTATCACCACAATCACAATTTTCAGTTTCGGTATTTTCTAAACATACCAACATCCATTCATAGAAGAATTTCAAGAATCCTCCTACGTACTTGAGCATGCTTAACTTAGCATGACCTTTTTCCTCCATGGTCATGATCGGCATGCGCCACAAGAATTTTTAAGAAGGAGAATGAAACCGCAACAGGCTTCTCTGTTTCTGGTAGAAGGGGCAATGACCTGTCACTTTGCAATGTCTACCTCTACTATTCGAGACGTTAGTAACCCGCAAGCGCAACTACAGGCTGATGGACTTGGACACGTTGTTCATTCCCGTATGATTGACAGCAGAGTAGTCTCACAACATCGATCATTCCTGAGGACGAAACGCACAATACGTAATCCACCGCAAGCGCTATCGGTCCTCTCTATAGACCCGGACACGGTTTCTAATTTATGCTGAAGAACGACATCCTCGGAGCGAAAGCGATGGTGCACGAATAGAGCGTTAGAAAAACTCTTGAGAGACTTGAGCGAACGTGAAAGTCATTGGAGATCAATCCATCACAGAGAGCGAGAGAGGAACTAAGCAGAGAGTAGACTTCGCGAGAGCTGATTGGGTTGTGTTTGCTCCAGCAGGGGCAAGAAGCTAGATAACTACCCTGACCCCGGAAATCCTCCCTGCTTCAATTCATTGCGTATCTATCAGTATCTGCTTCAACCTGAAATTACGCTCGATGTTGTAGTTGTTTGTGATGTAGTTGATGGAACTAAAACTGGTGTGATTGAGAAGAATTGCAACTTGTGGATACTCTGAGGATTGCCTAATCAATCCCGACATTTGCTTTAGCTCGTAACAACAAAATGTTTGCCGGGGCCCTACGGCGGCGGCCGCTGGCAGGCGTAGGCAGGGCCGCTTTCGAGAGGACCACGTTGGGCCAACATTACAGCACAGCAGCGTCTTCAAAGACTATACTTGCACCGAACTCAAGCAGGCATGTCCTGGATGGATTCGGGGGACGCAGGCTTTGGGCTACACCCTTCGTCTTCGCGTCGGTGGGGGAGAAGAGGGTAACCTTAGAGCATGTTGGATGACCTGATGTCGCTGCCATGGGAAACTGCCCTTAAAGTAAAGAATTTGAACTGTAAGAACCACGAAAAACTGGCTTTCGCTTACACTTCTTTTCAGGAAGTCTTATGAAATTTACTAGATAGCACGACTGCAGCGGACTACTTTCCCCAGAATATATCTGTCTGAACATCAGTGTTTTGCCGCAGCAGCTTCATCAGTTACTCCCACCGATCCGCTAGCGCCACCAGCAAGAGTGGTCTATCCACAAATAGGGCCTGGAGACGCACTTCCCATGGACACTTACCAGCCACATCCTTTTTATACCAGTCTCGATCCTCGCAACCCTGGACAAGCGTGCTCCGATCTAGGTGGCGGCAACGAAGGTTCTACTCGTCCTCCCTGGCTAAAGAAGTTATGAACTAGTCGCGGTTTTATTTTTCAGTGTTACTAGTCGTCCGATATTATCGGCATTTCTGATTTTGGGACTACTGTTACTAGATTGGCACATCTTTCTCAATCTTATTTCATACTTCTACATACTGCAAGTGCAAGAACTAACAGCAAGAGGAATAAATAAGACTTTCTCTTCCTCAAACTAGGTATCCCGAAAGAGTATATTGCTGTTTTCATCCAGCAGCAGACGAAGCGAGAACCAGAGTTTTTCGGTGTTTCCACCTATTCTGGCCTGATTTGGGGAGTCGTTTGTGGATGGGGCCTCTTCTATGGTTGGTGGAAAGTCACCTGTGATTACCACGATACCTTCTTTCCAAGGATCTTCCTCTTCGGCGTTTTCGACTAGAATTTGTGCTGTACAACTTTGGTGGCTGCATATGGATGACTGGCAGAGGCAGGTTGCTTGCATCTACTTACTTCTTTTGATCACGAGACGAAGATATGTTGGACAACTGACCACAGCTGGTCGGCATCAGTGTCCTTCATGCCATAATGCTTTTGCCAACAGTGTTTGTGCTCTCGTAACATGACTTCATGCTTTGTAATTTATGCTCAAGATGGAATAAGAATCATAATGGCAGGAGGTGAGAAGAAGAAGGGAGAAAATGAAAAACTAAACTTATTGATACTCGCTTCGCGATACATTGCGATTACCTTTGACCTATTACATCATGCCGCCTGGATGTGAGGTTACAACACTTTCTTGCGCGCCTTTCTCATCGACTGAAGATGTTTTGTCCGAAAAAAGTTATGAAGTTCCTCTGGTGTGAAGAGGGAAGTCGAGTGCTCTAGCACCACAGAGTGATCATCTATAGTGAATTTGCTTCTGTGCTGGTGCTGGAGGTCATCTGTTTGAGTGATGAAGATGAGAATTCTATTGCCGCAGTAACCACGCTAAAAGTGAAACACGAACTTCAACAATACCCGGCTCGAAGTATATCATGAGCGGAAGCCCGTATGATTATCATCTACTCGCACGAGCAACCGTATGATTATTACCATGAAGAAATGTCACTACTCGCACGAGCAAAAAGAGTAGAGTTCATGAGAACTCATGAGGCGAAATGCAAAAAGTAGTAGTGAAGAAATCTTCTATACCCCTGGAGTGGGTACATTCATTCATTCATTCATCTATTCTCTTTTCCCCCCTTGTTCGTCCTAAATCCGACTTGAAGCTCTTCTGCTAGTACCTTGATATGCTCATTTACATACATGTGCGGTACCCACTACTCTTTCCTCCCCGTCGCTGTTTCGTGTCCTGAGTGGAAAGGGTCCTGATAAAAAAGATTTTGCCATACTGCATGTTATTTACCCTGCCAATGATAGAGATGGACATCATTCAAATAGTGAGAACATGTACCCTATTTACCATCATTTTGCGGTGCGTCCGATTCTACGACGTCGATGAAAATCGCTCATTTCAGTGCTGCGCGACAGGCAGCCGCGCACAACATCAGATGGTCGTGTCGATAGATCCTCCTGGATGATTCAGTCGCCCTTTCGCTTCAAGAAGCAAACACGACCTCACTTCGAAGATGGCGATGTCGTCCTGCTTCGTCGGGTCAGTGGTCCGGTTAGGAGGGGGAGAACACGGTCGTTGGTCACGAGCTCTGTTGGAGGAAGGCTCCCGCTTTGCACCAGCGAAAACATCGAGAGCTGCCGTACGAGGTTTCGACGGTGTGTTGAAGGCCAGAGGTGGCCTTACAGGACAGGAACGCGATTGGGTGGAGTCATGGTTTTTGCCGCTCCCTTGTTCAGCCACAGTGAGTGGGGGCATCTCTCGACGACAGGCACTAGCGGTTTTCTTAAATCGAAGCTGCAGCACACCGCAACTGGAGCGTCACGGCTTCTCGTCGTCTCCGATATGCTTGAGAGGTGCTTCTGGAGGTTTTCTGCGCTCATTTGCGTCAGTCTCCTTTAAGGAACGACCTGTACCAACGCCTTCGTCTGCCGCCATGGTGGAGCAGAAAAAAACCAGCGTGTCTTCTAGTCCGTTCGACATACCAATCGTCACACATAGTGAGTTCAGCGCTTGGCGTGGTTGGGCGGCACGACATGCGAAGAAAAACGCACGACAGGAAGCGAAAGGTGTATCAGAAACCTCCACGGTAGAGGCTCAGACAGCAGCAGGAGGAGTTTCGACTAAAAGCGATAAGAAGACCAACAACAACTTCCACAAGGAAAAAGAGGTGCCCCCACATGAGAAGCGTCTGCAGGAGTTGAGGGATCGCGTTGCGATGGCATTGCACGAAACGGGTGTTAGCAAGGCTGCAGATTTGTCGGCTGAGAACCTCGACCGCTACGTCCTGCAAGGACAATCGCAGATATTAAGGCACGAATCGAACTGCAGCTTCCTCAACTAGCCTGTCTATCAGCATTGTAGCCTGCCTATTCTCTTTCAAGGGGTTAATGTCGTGTCCAAAAATGACGTCATCAGGGAAGATCTTTTTATCAGAACTCGTACTACTGCGACAATGCGTATTATGCAATTGCATTGCACCTCTAATACCTAGAACTGTAAATATATGGTTGTTAATCGTAATGAATCATGAAACAGGCAGATTGATAGTACGTGGCGTGGTCTCAGTTAGCCCACGCAGTAGGTCTAACCACACACTCGCTCTAAGAATACCTGTCTCGCTTCCGGCTGCAGACTTCTTGGGTATGAAGGAGGATTACGATGCCGCCATCCAAAAAGAGTGCAACTCTTTGCTGAGCGAGGACGCTTTTGAGTTGGTTCCTGTAATAGTGGCGCCAAAGGACGCTCTCGTCGACGAGATTACGCAGCAAGAAGTAAGGGAGCGAGCGAAAGCCGACCTGAATATTCTACCGGGTTTCATGCTGTACACTCTAAAACGTGGTAAGAAAGCGAAAGCGCGTTTCGTTGTAAACGGCAAATCGGACAAACGGTTTCTGGATCCGGAGGACAAGAAGATGGCGAGACAGAAGAGAAAAGGCAAAAGTACTAGTGATCGTGGTCCTTCATCTCCTGTGAGTCATAAAAGTACTATGGCTTCGGCTTCTAGTAATAGTCAACGCAGAAATGGAACTGAGAGTCAAATATCTGCCGACCCCGACAACACAACTAGCTCTTCGTCAGGAACATTCACCACTTCTTCCTCCAATCATGTTCCATGTAATCACGGACACACTCGCTCCGAAAAAACAGCGAGAAGAACCAAGAATGAACATCTTCTCCCGCTCACCAGTAATACTGGAGGACCTCTACTAGAAGGGATAGGGAAAGAATCCACTCCGCAGACAGCAGGAGAGACAGGAGAGGACTCGTCCGGTGATATTTTGCAGAGCTTGCTAGGGTCCACGTCCAGAAGAGAGATGGCTAGCGCTTCGAGCGCTAAAGCCGCTCGTCGAGGCGAGGTATACGCCCCCACAGTGTCGCATCGTACTATACGCATCGGGTTGATGCTATGTGCTCTTCGGGGGTGGGTTCCGAATACCACCGATGTCAAGACAGCCTTTCTGCAGGCTGACAAATTTGATGTACCTCCCTCGGATGACGGAAAGAAGCTGGAGCAACAGAGCCAGGATGTAGGGACGAAAATGAGGAAAGAGCTGAAGAAAGCAGAAACAACAGAGGTAGAACCTTCACAAGGAGGACGAGAAACCCATTGCATCATGCGACAAGGAAAGGAGAAAGGATCACAGCCAGAACCAGGAGGAACACGAACATTCGATGGAGTTGAGGACTCCAACACAAAGATCAAAGTGGCGAAAAGTCGTGAACTGTCCTCAACATCAAAAAGTGTCATGGGAGGTTCGCAGACTAAGCTCGGGAGGTCTTCAAGCGATGTTTTCGTCATGTTGCCAACGGAAATGCGCCCGTTTCTTGGTGAATACACTACGTCAGAGAAGATGTTCCTCCATCAGCAGCAGATGCTCTATTATGGACGAGAAGTCATGGGGACGAGTCGTAGGGTTTTCTAACTTATTGAAATATAAAGTTCAGCGTAGGATGAGCAGGGATTTTGTACTACCTTAGAAAAAGGAAATCAGACTCAGTCGTGTCCGTAATTCAAGAGCTTCGAATTTGGCCTGTAGCACCAGGCGTGACTAGTATTATACCATCGTTTTTTACAATCATCAGCGGGTGCCAGAATAGTGCAAGGTAGAAATGTCGATGTCCGCCCCTCTTCATATTCATGTGAGACGGAATGTCATGTCTCGTCAGGGATACGCTGACCGCGCGGCCTTCGAACTCCATAACCCGTCTACTCACAAAGGGCTGGAGAGGTTACTAAAGACCCATACGATCCGTAAGCTCGATGATGTTGTCGCTGAGACGATACACAAACGACCAGCCGCTAAACGCCGCGCACTGCCGGGAGGGGACGATAGCACATCTGGCCACCGCATGGCTGAGCTTGAAGACAAAGTAGATCGCTCGCGTTGTTCCACAAGGACCCGTGGAACACAAGAGCACACTGTCAGAACGCCAAGTAAAGCGTCGACGCGGAAAAGGAAGAACCACGTAGAAGTTCATAAGGCAAAAGGTAAAAGCACCACTTTGGAGAAAAGCAAAGTCCTGCCTGAGCGATTTCTGCTGACGAATCGCACAATAAAACTTCGCCATCTTCTGAGGCTGAAAAAGCCTGTAAACGGCGTGCGTGATGGGCCAAAGCGCTTCTACGACTCTCTGAAAGCGCACCTGCTGCGCATTGGATTCAAACAGAGCTCCTTGGAACCAACCATGTTCTATTTCTATGAGGAACATCGGCAAAGTAGGAACGAAAGAACTTCATCTTCAAGAATAGTAAATCACGATGAAGAAGCGGATAGTACAACTAGTTGTACTAAGACTTTGATAGGTTTTGTTCTGGTTTACGTTGACGACCTGCTGCATGCCGGAAATTCGCGCTTCTACGACGAGGTGTATCCTCGTATACCTAAGGCCTGTTCATCATCAACATCATTTTTATCTGGTATTTATGGCAGAGTAGTTTATAGCACGCATGGTGCATGGAGTGCATGGAGTAGCATGGAGTGCATGGAGCGCAGAGCTTTAAGGGGCGCAAGAGGCTCCCCCTTTAGCTCCATGCTACTCCATGTGATCCATGCACTCCATGCCGTGCGAGCTGTGGAACCTTATATTATAAACTGCTCTGCTATGGCCTATCTCCCAGAGTGGAAGGATTCTCATTGATTTTACGGGGATTTCAATGGGAGGAATTGGAAAGGGAATCTGCATCGACTCAACCACAGATAATAGTCTAATTCTAGACAACCTCAACCACATCAAGAAAGAGAAGAAGCACTAATTAAGTTATATGTCGCTCAGCGTCAAAAGATACCTCCAGAACAGGCAAATGAATGAATGAATGAAATCAACTGCCTCCGCTAATATACTTGAGCGATTCCAAGTGGGAGCGATGGAGTCTGCCTCAGCGCCGAAGGGGATGATGTACGTCGGACACAAGATATCTACCTCGTCTTTAGTACTTGCTTCTAACGAGGACACCTATGGCAAAAATGGTTATGAAAAATTTTCGCGCATTACCTTGGACGTGAGCTCTAGAGTCGATGGATGGGCCCCATTGATCGAGAGTTCCAGCATTGTCGCTCGTGTCCTCTCTAGTACTAGTGCTACAGAACTCGATAGTAGTTCTCCAACTCCAACTTGTAAAGATAGTCTAGAACCACGAACAAGAACAGCTACGGCCGTTGCAGTTGCACAGGAGAAGGACACGGCTTCAGCAGTAGTTTCAACTCTCGAGGACCACAAGCACAAGACCAAGACAGAGTCAGAGATTAAAAATTGTGATACTATTATCAGGCGCAGTGATTCTGCTGCTGCCGTTGCAGATTATCTGGCATCTACCAAGGGTTCACAAGAAGCTTCTCCACGCCACACTGTCGCGGAAATTGAGGCAGCTGATTTCGATCAACTGCTGAAAGAGCTGCAAATAGACGTTGGAAAAGTGACTTCGCTGCGAGACTCGCGGCCAGACATTTTGTTCCTCCTTGCTCGTTGGCACGCCTACTACAACATCGCGAAGCTGTGTAATGAGCGGGACACAGTGCGCCTAGCTGCCTGTCTCCAGGACTTCAAGGAAATTCTGAGCTCGCTCTCGAGTCGGAGCACATCTTCATCTTCTTCTCAGAATGGAGGCACCAAAACCACTGTAGCATTGAAGTTTTTGTGTCCGACATCATCCAGAACTCCATTATACAACAAGTCGTCATTGGGAGAAGTACAGACGGAAGAATCGGCTCCAAGTCCAAGCCCAACCAAAACGCGGATGATAACGTCTCCAAGTAGCGCTAACACTGCACTAACTGCATCGACCTCAATAGATTTTAGCGAGCAAAAGAAGATGAACAGGTGTGCTGGAAGTCCTCCCGTCCCGAAACGAGGTTCTTGTAGTAGAAGTACTGAAGGCCGCCATGAAGATCCTGTGCTACATCTGGTTGTCCATCTGGATTCCCGTGTGTTGAGTGGAGCAGATGAGTCTTCTGAACCTAGTACCAGGACCAGCGATGACTCCTCTAAGCCTAAGGATAGTTTTTTCCATTTCGTGCAAGGATACACCATTGGACTTGCAGAGAGCCTCCGCAGAGAGAAGCCGCGTGATGCGCAAGACCTTCCAAGAATCACACAGAAAAACTACAGGCGAAGCGATGAACATCAACTCCTGTTTGAACAGTCCACGCACCGACGCACATCAACAAGCCTAAAGAAGTGGAAGAGCAAGAGGAGCAACCGCACATCCACGACAAAGTGCACTTCTAGGCTTCTGTCTCTTCTAGACTGGCAATCCACAATCGTGAAGTATTCCTGTAAAGCAACGGCGCAAAAGTACAACACTTGCGAGGAAGTGTCCACAGCGGTCAAAAATTTTGCAGGAAACAAGGCGAACAACAACAACAAGGTTAACAAGAACATGCAGGTGTCGCTTACTTATCCTGTCCTTTTGACACTTATCCGGATAGTCGAAGATATCGCAACAATGCGCAAGCTTTTCTCCGAAGCAAACGGATACTTCTTAGATCACGGTGTAGCTGAACAAGGCCAAGCGGTCTCCTCAGCGTCATCATTCATTGAGGGTGCGGGCCATTCTTTATCAACAACATCAGAATTGTCGTGTGTACAGCGACAGCAGTCTTCAGATACCAGAGTCGGGAAGCCGCATAGCGCAGATCGAGCACCAGGGCATCATGAAAGTCTATCAAAGAAGTTCGAAGTATCAAATAATGTTGTAGTCGTTATCCCTCGTAGAGGAGGCGGAGCAGCAATAGCTCCGCTTCTGCGCCGCATCCGCATGTTGATGTGGCAGGAGGAGAACAGAAATAAGAACAATTTTGCGTGTGACCCTCTGACGAAGAAGGAAATGTCGACGGCCGCGAGCAAGTTTTCAGGGGAAAATGCTTCAGCGTCTTCTGGATCTAGCAGCACGAAAAACCAGAAATCCAAATCGTCGAATGTAAAAACACCAAGGACAGAGGTGACAAACAAGAAGAACGAGAGGAACATGTATAATGCACCGACTTCACCACCAAATAAAACTACTTTAATTACTACATCTTCACTCGAAAACCGAAAGCAAAACACTGATAATACCAGTAGTCATGCCACAGGCACACAAGATGAGGATGTCATGAAGATACAGATGGATGAGCAGTTTGTCGGACTGGCAAAAACTGAGCAAAAAACCGCAGAGAAATTACTCCAGGCCCTTGAACAGCATGGGCTCCGTTTTTTGCCACGACTCGTGTACAGGAGAGAAAATCAACTATCCACAGCATTAGTTTTTCTTCACAAAATGCATCGGGGGACCAAAAGCAACACTATCTCAACTACGAGAAAGCCACAAGAAGCATATCGGGGCTATCTCAATCGCAAACTTTTGAGAGGAAAACTCCACTCGTCTAGTTGCCGTTTACGGGAAGGTCATACAAATTCAGTGCATACAAGTAGACATCACAGATTGGCGGCAACTAGGCCAGAAGCACAGACTTTGACTCGATCATCAAATCATCACAGGGTAAGAAATAGACATTCACGCATACGGGGACCCTATGTCAAAAAGAAAGGAAGCGCGCTGTTGCGTTTTCTTCACTGCAGTTCTACACCGACATCGTGCACCTGGTAGAGTCCACAGATCGATGATCAATCAACAACCTCAAATCTAGCGACGCGGTCCGAAGCAGCCTCTACTTTCAGGTGAAAGCGTATCATGTGTCGCGAGCAGTGTTCTCCTTCACACCCGCCTGAAACAAATCTTCACCTGCAAGGACGCCTATGTCAAGATCCTAGTTCTGAATGAGAAATCTCTAGATGATCAAAATCTGCATGATCGAAATTGATGATGAAATACCAGATAAACGCTCACCAAGAAAAGCAAACAGAAGAGATCCAAAGGAGATAGAGCAGATCACAATACATTCATATATGTTTTAGGGCTGCACGGTACCCGCCCCTCTGTGGTCTGGTCTGTGGTGGCGCGCGCACGCGCTTTTCCGCGCTGATCTTCGCGGATTCTAGTGGTGGAAGGCGTCAAAACTTGGCGCAGGCGGTCCCTTGCGCCTCTCAGCGGGTTCCTCAGGGACCTCCTGGCCTCTGCTGACCCTCGCAGGCGGGGGGTCTCCGGGGTAAAAGGCCGCAGAAGGCGGCCACGGTCGCAAGAGCCAGCAAGCCGATGACCAAGGGCCCGGAGGGTACAGGCCGCACGGCTCAGGGGGTCCAGCCCCTCGCCTTTTGCCGCCTTGGAAGGCCTTCCAAAACCGGCGCACTGCTGCGGCGGCGAAGCATATCGGAGGCACTTAGGGCACAGGCAGGCACCTGGAAAGGGGCGCAGGCGGTCCCTTGGGCCTCTTTTGAAACCTCCCACCTAGATCGGAGGCCTGCAAGGAACAGCTAGGCAGCTGGAGGGGAGCCAAGGAGGTAACTTGGCCCCCTTTTCAAGCCTTCCACCCCTGGCAGACGCCTGCCAAAGGGGTCCGGGCCGCACGGTACCCCCCCCCGCGCGCTAGGGGGGGGGCTCCGTCGCCCCGCGCCCTGGATCATAAATACACGCCGCGCTGCAGCGCTCGAAAGCATGAATTTCACGAAAAATAGACTTTGTTGAAGTTGCTTCTATTATATATAACTTTCTTTTTCTATTCTTGATTCCACCTCATAAAAATGGTTATTCCATTTTCATAATCTTCATCGTCTTCATCATGATCATGGGCATAAAAATGCTTCTTCTCATCTCTCTTCGTCATCTTTTCCTTCAAAAACCTACAGCACCGGGCGAGTGTTAAAAGAAAATTCCTTTTGAGCGAGAACGATATCCAGCGTAATCGAAGATCTATGACGAAATAAATTATAATTTTTCTTATGCTCTTTATTTTCTACTTCTTATTATTAATCGCCGTTGCCGAACTTCTAAGTAAGGAATTTCTAGTACTAGCGATATGAAGAACTATAATTTTCGTTATATATTATAATCTCTATCTCACCGGCACCGCCACCGCCGTACAACTCAGCAATTAGTAGAATATTAGCAAGCAACCCAACATTTCGCATACTCGCAACTACAATCATTTTCAGTACTTCTTCTAGCGACCACATTAACAACAGGGACGACAAACGACCACCCAATCCCAAATTTGTATTTTGATAGCTAATCTCGATTGGGATTTTTTTGCGACCATCACTAGCACTACCCCCCCCAACACAATAACAAATAGAAAATGTCGGATGTTGACGTAGTCCTTCGCAACAAGAACATGCAGGAGGCAGCAAAGTTTCTGCATGTAGACGGCAGCGCATTATCGGCAACCGAATGCAAATCTCGAGGAAATGCAGCTATGAACGACCAGCGCTACAAGGACGCGGAGGCGTATTATCTGCTGGGAATCGGGAAGCTTCACGAGGAGGCTGACAAGAATCTACACAAAAAAGTCTCGACTTCTACACAAGAGAACTACAAGGAAATATTCTGTGCTCTCCACGGAAACGTCGCTCAGGTCTCTTTGATGCAGTATTATGGAGTCGGCAAGAACGTCACGGCGAAGAACAGCAATTTGTGTGGAGGGCAAAATCGAGAATTAAGCAAAGAGGATCTTCATCGAGAAACTAGTAGTTGCGTCAGTGGTATATCCATGTTACCACTCGGGGATGCGGTGACAAAGCTGCGTCTCCTTGCGAAAGCCCTTCATCACTGTGAGGAGGTGCTGTCGTGTAATGCCGATCACGTGAAAGTGCGACATCGCAAAGCGCAGGCACTGTGTCTCGTGTTCCGTCTGGTCGTAAGCGAAAACTCTCTGGTTTCTCTCCCGCCCACCTGCTCAGTCCTGGCTAGTTCTTCCTGCTCAGGAACAAGTGAAGATGTAAGCGCCAAAATTTTCGTTGAGGTCGAAAAACATCACGTTTGTTCCCCATCTTCCGCAACAACTGCTGCGCCGTCGCCGCGCGATGACCTAACAATACAGGGCGACAGCAGTTCTGCAGCATCAACTACCTCTAGCTCAACATCTCTTCTCAACACGTCTGTCGAATCATTCTCTAACAACGTCGTGGTCAAAGAAAAACATGTTCAACATCTTCACGGTGTGCATCTGCAAGCACTCTGTGCGCCTCAAACGATGAAGCACGTTCTGGAACTAGTGTACCACGCACTCGCCACTTTGCAAACAGAGAAGGTGGCAGGAAAACTCCCGTCAATAGATGCGACACACCTGAACGCTTTGCGGATGGAGATTTGTGCCTTGATCCGCAAGCACAACGTACAGAACAGCGATTACCGTCTGTATCCTTTTGACTATATCCCCCGTCCCTCGCACCTGCCGGAAAAAAAGAGCCTGAGAACCTGTAAGACTTCCGCCGATCATGGTGCAGGTACTTTCGCGACTAGTCCTCGTAGTTGTAGTGGTCCTTCATCGCTCGATTATGAAGGGTTGGCGCTGGAGCATCGCGGCAAGAAGGTACTAGAGCTTCACGCGCATGAAGAGGGAAGGACTTTGATGCCCCTTGCGCCTGTCGACATTCTGGCTGGTGCAGGCTGCGAAACGCGACTCCCGTCAGAGATGTTTTTTTGCTACTCAACGCGCAACCACCACGTTCCCCTCGTGGATCAAGTGGAGCGATCGGTGTACCGTACTGTCCAAGGCAGTAGCTGTGAGAGCCATGCTTTCTGGTATGGACAAGACTTTGTTTCCGAGCACGACGTAGATGGACGACCCTCTTCCACTAACCCTAGCGTTAGTTCTAGCGTCGACACGACTTCTCTTCTTGCTAGTGGAGATTTTTTCGTACGTAGTTATGTGATCGGATTTCATAGAGTTGGCTGCACCGATCTTGCTGCAGATGTAGATGACGATCCGCGTATGATTGAGAAGCTGTTGAAGTACATTGTCGCGCAAAACTGCAAAGCCGAGGAAGGTACCCCAAAATGTGGGAGGTCGACGTTTGCATGTTCAACGAGCAGCAGTAAGCAAGGTAACAATACCCGCGAGAGCTTCTCTAGCAGCAAAAAAACTTGTGTGGTTCCTATGTCGCCACCGGAAAACTTGATCATCGTTTTGCACGGATTCGGCGACGAATATCGTGCTTTCACGGACCTCCCGGAAAAGTGGCGTCTGCCTCGAACCGCCTACCTCTTCCTTGACGGGCGCGAGAAGCTCCCTGACTGGCTTTTTGAAGAAGGTGAGAGGGGTCGGCAGAAGAAACAGCACAACTCGTGGTACACGTGTTTCGACTACGAGGAAACCTATGATTACCTGCCAGAGGAGTCGGGGCTAGTGGCCAACAATTGTGCTGTGACGATTAAATCCTTCCTCGTGCCTTTGATTGAATCCTTGGTGACTGAGGGGGGCTGGCGTTTAGACCAGGTCTTTCTTGTGGGTTTCGGCCAAGGGGCTAATGTCGCTCTGCAAGTGCCGCTAGAGGTGTCTTTCCGCAATAGCCGCGTGCTTCGCAGCTATCGAGCCAGATCTTCAACAGCACGACGAAATAATTCGGAAATTTCTACAGCGAGTTCTTCTTCTTGTAACGTAACTCCAAGAACTACATCTCCAACATCTGCTTCTGCGACACCAACTCTTTTTAAGACTTCTTTAGGGAGTCGAGGAGCGGCAGAGCAGTGCACAATCAGTCCTCAAAATAGTTCTGGCACAAATGGTGTTGAGCATGATCATGGGACCAGAACTCCATTGATCTTGAAGAATCTGGTTACATCTTCTTCACCTTTTCTTCGTGCAAATCGTGCTGCAGTGACTGCAACCACTCCATCTTTAGGAGGCATTGTCAGCGTGAGCGGAAGTTTGCTTGGTACTTTAAGGTCGTCCATACTTGGGAGCGAGAACCTGGAGCCGGCTGTTATCAACCTGGAACTTCCCCCAATGCTCCTCATTAGCGGAGATGAATCGGACCCGCTTTGTCCCGCGAGCCGCTCTCTGGAGACAAGCGTGGCAATTGAGCACCTTGCAAGGGAACGACAAGCTTACCGCGATGCCAGAGACTACGATATCAATAGTGCTTGTCATCGTTCTGATGGAGGTGGTGCCAGTTTTAGTATCAAACATCAGACGAAGAAGTCTCCCTGGATTGCTTGCCGTGACGAAGAAATCACCAAGCAAGAAAACAACAATGTAACTACCCCAGCACGTATACCAAAGCTCCCCAACAAGAAGACCTCTAGTGTTTCTCCCTTCAAAGAGTGTAATGGTGCAACTACAACCTCTGGTTCTGCTGGCGCTAGGGCTAGGGCTAGTGGTGCCACATCTACAGCTACAACCTCATCCCCAGTGACGATGAGGGTGTTCCCCGGTAGAAGGTCTGGCTTTCTGCGTGGAGCTTGTAAAGAGGAGATGGAGTGCTTGTACAAGTTTTTTGGGGACAATCTCAATGGATGCGGTCGTAAAGCTCAACACGAGAAGGCACAAAACCTGCTAAAGCAGCAAGGGATGTACTCTTGTTCCTCTTTTTCGTAAATACCCTTCATGCTTCATATTGCCTCGTCTTGTTAGTACCCTGGTATAATGGCTGTACAAGAAGGTGAGCGCTGGAGGAGGAAAGTGCGATCACATAACTATGGTCGTCGAACTCGCACATAATATTATAGAATGAGCCAGAACTATACTAAAAGTTTTTGGATAATCTCCCACGGACGAGCTATACCCCAACCGTACGTCTAGAAGTAGAAAAAGCGCAGGTCGACGTTCTAGATATTTCTACCCAGAAAATAGTGTTTATTCTAGTTCTGTTTGCTGATTAGCTAGATGATCAAGATGATGATCTCGCTATGTTCTATGAAAGATGTTGTAGATCTTAATATACCCCTGTGGCTGTGCTAGTTGGTTACTGGTGTGGGTCATCTTTTTCTCTATCTGAACAATCAATCTATCTCTTATGAGCTTAATGGGAACATTCTTGATTGACATTGATTCGAGAGGAAAGAAGGCTCCAGCATGTATGTAATTTGCTCGGAGAAGAAGAAGATACCGATACCCTGTTTCAGTTTCTCCCCCCCCTTTTCCTTCTCCTTTTCGTTTTCCCACCAAATAGAAATACGGCGACGCTTCTCTGATTGATATTTTGATATGGTGTGATCGTCCCTTCTATTCCGCTTCAGGATTGATCTTCGAACCTATGATGAGTTCCTTAAACAATCAATCAGACTGAAACCACCGCACGTGATCGTGGAGTACATTGGGTAGAAGCATGCTTCCTGAGCGTAAGTGTGCTTGTGTCGCCTTCCGCATCACGAGAAATTATGCCGTATCGCTGACTCCGTCAACCCTCCTCTCAACTTGTTGTTCTGCAAACTTTTCCTAGCATGAGGTGAAGAAAATCGACTGAATTCTTGTGTAACTAATGGTCGACAACGTCGTCGTGATGGAGAAAATAGAAGAAGGCTAATCATAAAACATGTTAGTTGTACGACGCTAAGAGATGGAGAAAGTGGTGTGTGATCTACTCCTTCTGCATATTTCAAGTGAGCCTTCAGGATCAGGTTGGTACTCTCAGCATTCTGTTGTCCTCCTTCGATAATATCGAATCATTACTGATTGTTGCTGCCTGGTAGTCGTTGCACATAGAAACAAATAATGAGAGAAGTGCATTATAATTGATGAGTTGTTTCTATTTCCCGTTATTCTTGTTGTACCTCTTTTGCCGTCGTGAATCCTTTCCGATAGCAAAAGCAAAGTCCTTGGACACGTCTATTTAATTTTCAAAGGAGTAGTCGGTCTTAGTGGAACAGGTCGTCGTGGCACAACAACAAGCCAATACAACTCAACTGATTGACGAGAACAATACATCCGTCCGTTCTCAATGAGGGTAGAAAAGAACTAGAACAAGTCTACTTGGAGGTAACTTGGAAGGACTTCTAATTATATCTACTTCTTCATGGAGATGAAATGTAAGAAGAATGTGAAAAAGACATAAGGAAAACCAACATTATACTTATAGGACGAATAAAAATAATATGTTTTTTAAGTATTAAAAAAGAACGAAATAAGAGGGGAAAAAAGGGAAAACGAGGACACTACTGAAGCCGTTTCTTATGGTAGCTAATATTATTCTATAGTTAATAAAGGTACGCGTTGTTAAACACAAAAAAACAGAATTCTGAATTCCAACATTAGGTAAAATTATCGCCATCAAAAGTGCATCTTGGTCATGGAATTCGGTTTCGAGTACCCACTTGCACTTGCAAGCCCACACTACAAAACACTTGGACCTCTTTGCACACACGCCCCTCATGCAACTTATCTCCCTGGGAGATTACCTCTTGTTAGGTAAGTGAATGAATGAATCTTCAGACAAAATACTGAGTAACTTCATGTATGGACCGGAAAAACTGGTCCCCCTGTATTATATATATGGGCCCCGGTGTTTTCCCCCCTTTAAGCGGAGTGAGGCCGCAAAAATCCCGGGCCCTTATTTTTCTGGCGGGGTCCCTTATATTTCTGGCGGGGTCCCTGTAAACCCTGGGGCCAACGTGGTCCCGGGAAAGTGGGGGGCCGCGGTATCAGAAGCGGCATGGAAAATAGGGGGTTCCTGGCTCTTCTTGTAGGCGACTCCCCCCACTCGACTGCCAGCGCCTAGCTGGCCTGTGTTATACGCGTCCGGACCCGGTGGGGGGCCGCGCGCGCTTGGTTGTCCCGTGTCTTGGCAGCCGGGTCAAGCTAATTAGACGCACTCCGCTGCGTCTTTCGTTTCTCTCTCCCAGTCGGCGCGCCGCAAAGTTCTCCCGCTCTGGCCGCAGTACTTAGCGCCCGCGAGAGGTAGGCGCCTGGGCAACTATCTTCAGGCAACATCTTCGCGGCGCGCTTCGCCTTATAACTTTCAAAATTCACGTCTTAACTTTCGAAGTTCATTCCTTAACTTGCGCGCTTTTGCGGTGTTGTCAGTCTCCGCGTGTCTTGGTCTTCAAAATTCAAAACTCAAAAGCAAAACTCAAATAAACCAAAATTCAAAATCAAAATGAAAAGTCGAGATATATATAATCAAAGTCAAAACTCAGAATGTTAAAATCAAAACCAAGGCAAAACTTCACAAGAAAAGAGACAAAATCATTTATACCCCGCGAATGGGTATTATACTACTACGCGCAAGTGTTGCGTGTCCTATGTCATAAACCCTGGCATGCCTCTCTCATAAGTATCTACTTTTGGTCATCGCGCCGGCTGCTACTTCGTTTCTTTCGAGTATGTGATCACATAAGTTCAGTTGTCCTACTAGTCGTCTCGTCCTTTGTGCGCGAGAAATCATTGGAATTTCGGGTTATTGGAATTAGTTACATCGAAAAGCGTAAGACATAGATCTGGCGTCCACATATCGGCTCTATCTCGAGCGCTAATATAAATAGAATATTTATACTTTGTGAATTGTCAACTCAGGTGAGAGAATGTCACTTTCTCTTCATCGCATGTTGTGGTGTCGCCAACAACAAACATGATCAAGGTTACGTCGATCCTACGATCTTCTGGATTTGATTTCTTGATAGGCAGTGACAGACTTATGAGTAAAATAAAGAAGTATTTCCACGTTGCCACGTGGTGTGCTTCACACATAACTAATGGATCGCAAAAGGAGGCTGATTCCGAATATGAAAATGATCATATTGGACGTTGTATTTGTCTCGCTTTTAATGATTGACTACAGTAGGATTCTCGACCATCCGCGTGGTTGGGTCTGAACAATAACTACATCATCGTACGAACGCGCTTCTTGTTTTGAGGTCTACTTGGGTAGATGTAGTTGTAGGTTGGACCTTCACAACCAAATCCAGAAGACTGTCCTATGTATAAATGTTTCTCGATTTGAGTGAATTGCTGTGTAAATATCTGCCGCTCGATTCCACTTCTTTCTTTCAACGGCTATTAGCAATCAGCACATGTTGACTACTCGTTGGCCTCGTTCCACCCGCCCAGGTGTGTGTGTCATTCTCGTTGGATTTTCGACAAGACACAAGCAGCGGGGTTTCCTCTCACAATATTATAGCTAGCCGCTAGATATCGGGAAAGCCTTGCTCTTCTTTGCCATGCATGATACTAGGTAGTCGTAGTCCTTCGCTGGCAGGCTGCGTGTATTCAGCGGAGGGCACAGGTTAACCCTGCGGGAAGTAGATCGATTCCTGTCGTATCCTACAACTAGTCGCCATTTAATGAACACAAAATCTATTCGACAGTCGTTTGTATCCATCTTGCGTTGAGCTGTCGCACCTAGCGTCCAGGCTGAAGCCGCCTACTTGTGCTCTATCTGCCGCCGGTTTGCGAATTGAATAAAACTACGGCTACTCTTCTAGCAGCACTAGAATACAAAAAATATGCGAGACAGGATGAAATCTGCAATCTGACATGCATCAACGAAGGGCCTATTACTAGATCTTCGTTGACGTCGTGTCTTGATCTCGACAATTTCATGACCACTGGTTCGTAATGATATTATATTCCATTCATGATCTCATTGTGGCATTGCTGCGTCTACCGATGGGCCTGATGGAGAGAGTTGTTATTTGAGTTGGCCTCTATTTGCTCTACGCCCGCAAACATCTCCAGCGGAAACCAGTCGACTGGTGCTGCAAGGGTATGAATTCTGTGCATGTTCATCTTGCTCGTAGAAAAAGAAGTCAGCACGATTCATGTTGCTCGTCGATAACTATAATATCGATATTAGTTAGTACATAATAACTAATTCACTAACTAACTAGGTGGGGACGAGGTATATCTTGGTATTGGTTAAAATTCTTTAGAGAGACTGAAAAGAATTAAAATAGTTGAAGTTGTACCTGTATCGTATTATACAACAACAACAACGAAGCTAGCTGGCGAAAGTTTCGAATAAAGTATGTCTTGAAGGATTCAGAAGTGTCTGCAGCCAGGTGATGTTGTCAGAAGTCGACGCAGTCGAGATTACGGGCATCGTTTAATGTCATTCATACGTATTCTGCATATCTATGAGGCCCTTCAGAGGACCTGTACCTGTAGTCTTCGGGCATCGAAACGACATCAACAAGGAATGGTACACACGCTCACTTCAAAGACAATACCAAGTCGCCATAATAATTCCAAGAGCCTCATGAACAACTTGCGCAGTGAGTGTGTAGCAACTTGCGGCAACGTGAACCACCTTTGATAGATTATGATGGAAATAAAAAGTAATAGAAGCGACGAGTGGACGAGCAGCGGCAGTTATGTTCAACCTTTGAAATTGTAACCCACGCTGTTTAAGCGCGAGGACCCCTTTGGGCAGTTAATCTAATCATGAATCAAATTGAGCATCCAGACGCATATCGAAATCCACATGCACACTCCATTATATTTATATGTATCTCACTTCTCTGCAGTAGTGGATTCTTTAGAGATTCGGATCAAGATGTGCTGATGGAAAGTTGAAGATCTTCTGACTGATTTCGATCTCCTCAAGACACTCATGCATGATGTGCTTGATGCCGTACTCCAGTATCTGGCTTATGATCCAGAGATCTATCTTGGCTCGACGCGAAATCGACATGATTTTTGCGTCTGCTCCGCTGTTTGAAGTTGGAGATCCTCAAATAGTGATATCATTTGAAATTTGTGGAATTTAAGCAACATCCGTGCCGTGCCAAGAACGGGCTTATGCAGTTTAGAGCAATTATACGACGCCAACCATGTTGATGCAAAACTCAAGAATTAGAACTCATTAACAAAATTTCTCATGTCGACGAACATTTTTACGTATCTTCCAGGTAGGTTGCCCATATGCCGATCGATCCTCATCCATTCTGTGTCGATCACTTGTATCTTCTTCTTCATGTATTAATAGTAAGTAATATTAATTTGTGTGTCAGAACAGTTAGTTGTTAATCTGTGTGTTAAGAAGGTGAACTTGAAGGACCACTTCAATCGATCGTTTTCGCATACAAAATGAAGATCGACCGCACACGTTTGCTGGAAATAGAGCGGTTGGCGAATGAAGTCCTGATGGAGCAGGAAGATCTCAGAGGGCACATCCGCCAAGCCGACACTATCCGGCAGGGGCTTCGTGCCACAGCACCTCCTCCGAAACCTTTGCTTAGTCCTGCAGTTGGAGCACGAGCAGCGGAAGGAGGCTCTATTAACAAGTCCTCATCTAGTAGTACGAGTACCTCGTTCATCACGTCCTCCTCTGCTGGCCCTGGCGCTACGATTTACGAAAACAATCTGTGGCTGTCGACTGGATTCGAGGATGGAGGGCAGTTCGTGCGATTCGGACGACGGGAAGCACGAGAAGGCCTTGAACGCGAAAGGATACGGAATGAACGCGACCAAAGGGAAAAACGAGCGGGAGTGAAACAAAAGTTGCGGGAACTCTACGACATGCACCCGACTGCCGCGGAAATCCCACGCGGCGTGCTAGACCTTCTTTGCCGCGAAGAGCAGCTGGAGAAAGACGAAAAAGAAGCGAAAAAAGACAACGTCATTACCAACAAAACGGCAAGAGCACCAGCACAAGCACAAAAAGCTGAGAAGAAGGAAAAGGACGAGGCACCAACGTTAGCTAGCAATAGCAATTCAAATAGTACGAGTAGAGCCACTTCTCCAGCTAGTACTAGTGCTGCTTCTGCTACGGCTAACGTTAAATCGAGCAAAGCAAGCGTGTCAACATCCACGAGTCACTCGAGTTCCACCCCGACAAGAGTGCAAGAAGCAGCTACTCCGGCAAAAATGAATACGCCAACCACAGCTGCGTCCACCCCTGTAGTCAAGAGAAACAGATTAGACTACTCTCAGTGGAACAACATTACCACTTCAAGCAGTGAGGAAGACGACAGCAATTAAATACGCCCATCCGAGCGCAAGCTTCAACTTCATGGTTGTTGGACTTGGAGGAAACATGCTTAAAATTTGTACCCTAGGACGGACCATGAAGACAAATCGATGGGGGAGTCGGCACACATTTCACCCTCACGACTCAACGATGCCCATATGTAAGACGACCAAGACAAGTGAAAAAGGTGCACAGCTCTGTCACTTGTAAAAACTAAACTGATGGACAGTAGAGGCAACATCGTTCCTCCACACCTTCCTCCCACTTTCACCACAGTTGTTCCTCTAGTACTTCTGAGGTCAATCTCTGAGAGAACAAGTCTACAACTACTTACATCAACGAGCTTGAGAGAGAGAAATCAAGTTCCTGTTTGTTTGTTGTCCCAACAGAGGGATTGTTCAAGTAGTAGATTCCGAGTTCAGGAGAGGTGAGAATTGTTCGAGTCGGGAACAGCTTGATTTATACTCTGTTCCAGAGGACGAGCAGCGGGTCATTATTCTGAGCAATCTATGAGCAGTAAGTCTAAGTTGTACTAGTTTTCGATATCATGCGTTGTTCGTTGTCGGAACATGTAGTCTAGTAGTACTGTTTCTGTTATAAGCAAACTTATAGTATACTTACTGTAATATTTTTTCGCGTGCCCTGTCCAATTTTTTGCCATCGCTCAGGAGTTCCTGTTGTACCGCGGCCATTGAATTTCGGTGAATAGTACCCTCATGTCTTTATATTGACACAGATTTTTAACAGATCCTTCATCTTCTTAGACTTAGTGCTGTTGCTTAGGCCTCTATTGAGAAGAACAGCATGCTTCTCTTGTCGTTTGTTCTCCTTGTTGCTAAAGATGGATGGGCATCTTTCGGCGGCCTCCCACCTTTGCCTGCCTTGAATCAGGGTGCATCTTCACTGGGTTTTTCATCAGCTCCTACCGATACTGCTCCAGAAGTAGGCGCAGGTGCACGACCTAAAAATGTTAACGCTGGCAGCACGGACGTGTTGGGCCTCCAGCATCAAGCGGGAGGAACAAGTGGACCGTGCGCTAGGCTGACTGCTGAGTCAACTAACGTCGGTCGCGAGTGTTGGGCACAAGTGTGGATTGAGGCAGGCTGTCTTGCGGACAGCGTGCCCCCATACGAGCAATGGCACGCGTCCCAAAGTCTGCAGATTCTTAGAGTCGACGCTCAGCAATGGGCATCGTTGCCGGACCCAAAGCATCGGAGACAATGCTACGGAGCTGATGCAGCTGGAGGTATAATGGGAGGAGAACAGGATCTTCAATACGGCGAAGCAGGGATGGTGGAGCAAGGGCAGCAACAGGGCTCTGGGCCTCTTGCTGCGCCGACGCCTCCAGGCAAAAAGCAAGGAAGCTTTGTTTAAGGGGATAAATCAATGTAGTTTTATTTCGCTAAACTTGTATTGTTCTTGTGTATTATATCTCTCCTAGTTAGGACGGTTCTACCACTATATAGTGCAATTCCAACGTCGAGTGGGAGAAATGATAAGCCCTACTCCTTGAACTACAATTACAACAAATGACTTCAAGGACGGATTGAAACATAGCAGAAAGTTCCAGTTGAGCCCTTTTTATTTGTATAGTGAATGTGGACGTGAAGCTGAAGAACTTAATTATACCTAGAGATCTTCTAATTCGAGCATTTTGCAGCGTCATCGGACCACTTTGTCTCTTTGATCCAGAGTTCTCGCGTTGTCATTGTCAACTTTGGTAGCGAGATGTGTGGGTTTTGCGTACTCATGGCACCCGTCTACGAGCTGCTCGCTGAGAAATACGCCAAAAAGCGGTATGTTCTGGCGGATCCGTCAAAGGAAATCAAGGGAAAAACATTCGCGCACCAGGTGCTCTTTCTCTATGTGGACGTGCAAGCTGTGCCAGATGTAGGCGACATGTTCGGAGTACAGGGTCTGCCAGCCTTTCGCACTGTCATCGACAGTGCTGTGGTTCCTTTCCTGACGACCGATGGGGCTGACACTACAGGCCTAGAAAATATGGTTTCGCAGGCATTTCAGTTGGCTGGGCTCGCCGAGTCCTCTGGAGATGACCAACTAAATAATATGGCAAGCCTACCTCTAGGTAGCGGAAGTCAGGCGATCGACGTTCCAGGGCTCCTACCAGGTATATTTCTACTTCTGATGTTGATGAGAGGTCATTTAGCGTTGAGGTAATCACTACTTGATCAATAGTATAATATTCTTGCAGAAACAGGAGTACCACCTACGACAAGTAGATCGAAATGCAACTTATTTTCTATTTCAGTCTACTTACTTTGATCCTGGATGAAATTACATCTGTCTTCCTTCGCAACACTTCTTGTCAGGAACGACGGGAACTAGCGCAGGCGGGGTTCAGTTGGATTTTTCAGCGGCTACTGATCAGGATCTAGTGCAGAGTCTGAAAGCCTTGCGGCGTGAGATTCGAACCCGTGGTAGCAAAGGTGCAGATACTCTAAAGCTCGCCTTGTATAGCTCCGACATGACCGACGGTGGCGCATCTTCATCTACAACCAGTAGCGCAAAGACGAGAAATACAACAACCACGACTGGGATGGATTCCAACATGGATCGCGTAAAAATCCCCACTGGAGGAGTTGAACCTGCAGCTGGTTCAACAGCAAGCTCTGCTTTTCCTCTTGCTGCATCCTCAGTACTCGGAAAGCCAGATTTGCTTGGCGTGAATAAAGACGAACTACAGTCTCTCGTAATCATTGGTGCAGGGCCCGCGGGCTTGGCCGCTGCGTTGTACGGTGCTCGTGCGGGTCTATCTCCGGTCGTGATTGCCCCAAGAATGACACACGCGGGTCAACTTCTCGGCAAGGGTGTCGACGTCGAAAACTATCCTGGCACTGAACGCGGAACGGGTGCGGCTCTTGTCACCGACATGCGAATGCAGGCTGAAGCGTTCGGTGTCCAATTCGTCACGGGCTATGCGGATGGAATCGATTTCGGGGATATAAAGTGCTCGTCAACAACATCTCCAAAGACCTCAGCAAGTAAGATCTTCACATTGCGATTGCAGAAGGAGTTGCTCACTGGATCACCAGCAACGGATAGAACAATTGAGCCACAGGTAGCACCGCAGCAGCAGAAAAACAAGGTGAATCATGAGGCGTTTGCTATGCAGTCGCGTGCAATCGTTCTAGCTACTGGAGCACAGGCACGCTGGCTCGGCATCCCGGGTGAGGAAGAGCTTCGCGGACACGGTGTGTCAAGCTGTGCCGCTTGTGACGGCTTTCTCTATCGCGGGAAAACCTGCGCTGTCATAGGTGGCGGCGATTCCGCTGTGGAGGAAGCAATTTTTTTGTCCAAGATATGCAAAGCGCCGTTGCACCTAGTGCATCGACGCGACAGCTTGAGAGCGGGAAGGGTCCTCCAAGAACGGCTTGCGCGACGCGTCGACGCTGGAAAGGTGCAGATGCATTGGAACAAACTAGTCACTTCGTTCATCGCAGACACGAACGTCGATGACGCGCTAGCTTCAGGTGCAAAGAAACTCGTGTCCATCACTCTAAAAGATGCTGCGAGTTCTACAGCCTCTATGTCTGTTAGGGACGACAACAAGACAACTTTAGACATCAATGCGGCTTTCGTAGCAATTGGCCACGATCCCAACACCGCTCTGCTCCAAGGAATAGCACGTTTCAAAGGAAGTTCTGGCTACTTGCTTACTGGAAGTCAGGCTCAGGGACCAACTTCATCAATGCCAAGCAGTACAGAGGACGTAAAGCGGGAACATTTCACAACCCAAACATCAATTCCCGGACTCTTCGCCGCAGGAGATGTCGCAGATTCCGTCTACAGGCAAGCCATCACATCAGCGGCCAGTGGTGCGCAAGCTGCTATGGACGCCGATCGATGGCTTTCTGCATTAACGCCATGCTTCAGTCCTGGAACTTCTTCCTCGAGCTAAGTGCAACATCCAAGTGTAAGAGGATGGAGCACAACGACGCACATATAGTTGTGGGATCGTGTTCCCTGTCGCCCTGGTAAATTCGAGTTTCAGCACCGTCAACGTCATTCTGTTTCAGTTTCTGCAGACCTAATTGCCTGTGCATGTATCTGGCTGTCCTCTCACTCATGAAATCGACGCATTGTTGAGTGCTGACACACCAAGCTTGAAAACATTCAAAGGACATCTCTCTAGCCCTCCAGTCACCTCATTGGACACTTCTAACACGATAAAAAGAAAATGTAGCAGTCTATTTCTGTCTCTGCTGTGATTATGAATACGTATGTTGCTTTGCAGAATTGCTTACACCAAGAAAATGTGTCACCGAGGATGATGCCGGGCATCACCTCGGTAGAAGCAGAAATCAACTGTGCTCCCTTTGGAAACAGAAAGTGCACGAAAAAACCGAAAGAAAAACTGGGTACGAACTTTGTTAGAATCGAGTGACTCTGCCACGCAAAAAGTCAAAACCTCAAAGAGGTGGAAACATTGAAGAAAACAAATATTGTAGAATAGGTGCAAAGTTGAAACTCCAATTCATCTGTGAGAAAAAACGTGTTTTCGTCGTGATAGAAATAACAGCAATTAGAAGGGTGAGTTCCGAGAACCGACATCACAATCACTATCAATTGATTGTAGGAAAAACCACGCCTTCGTGGCGGATTAAGAAGAGACGCGAGAGTCGCTTTTGATAGTCAAAAATATCTATTACGATCCATCCGACGAAGTGCACGCGCAGACAAGTTCACATAGTAAGTTTTTTTTGAAACATGCCAGCGCAGAAGAGCAGCCCTGAGGTCCAGGAAGTCGAGGACTTCTTTGCTCCAGCACCAACAGGAAAACAGGCGAGTTTGCAGGATGCTTTCACTTATGAGGAATCCAATAAGAATAAGAGTCTGTCCCTGGACGGCGTATTTGTGTTCTCAAGAGTGAGACAGATAAAGATCAACATTCACATACATCTGTATGGCTCTCATCGATTGTAGTAGAGTAGATGAGTGAGACCTGCTCTAATTCGATAAGTTCCGCGACTCGAAAATAAAGGAAGCTCAGGAACGAAAGAAAAAGGGACTCGATACTAAGAAGCAGAGAACACAGGCACAGAAGGATGCCTTACGACAGAAGTGGATCGACGCCCTGAAGAAATATATCGGCGTGCCGTACTATGTATTCTGTTGATTTTGACCATCTTACTTCTACAGGAATCAATGAAAATAAATAGGATTAGGAACAATAAGTGTCTTTTTGAGCCTGGGGGGCACATGGATTAGGATTGACATTGGAATTCCATTGAGAAGGTTGCATTGAGCAGGGAGGTGTCGAAGCCAATCAAAATGAAATACAAACAGGTATGCCAAGCGATATGTTGAAGAAGGATCAGACGAGTGGAACAAGGGGGTTTTTTTGGATTGCTGTGCACTCTTGCGACAGGCATCTGCTGACTTAGAATCGGAGTGGGGATGGAAATTGGGCAGATGGAATCAGACCTATCAATATGCCCTTTGTACAACTTCTATTTTTTTAGTGTGTAGTTTTAGTTCCACTTCCAGTGACTCCTCCTCCTTCATCAAGAAGAACAATAAAAAAAAACAAAAACTACGATGAGCATGAGGGAGTGTTGTAATCGATTTAGTTTTTCTTGAAACTTACTAATTATGTAACACTAAGTAATACTACAGGCAGCAAGCAAGTCGAGGAGAAGGACATGAAGCCGGGAGACCTGATTTTCTATGAGGCGACCTATCACGATCACTGGCGCAAGGCGCAGCATTGGAATATCACGCACATTGAGGTCTACCTGGGACCAGGCAAGCAAACGATTGGTAGCCGATGGAAACAGCATGTCGCATTTCACGACACCTACGAACTCGGAACAGACGACTTTCCGTCGAAGCTCTGGAAAGTCCACAAATTCCACTTCATGTCCCTCGAACCTTGGTACTTCTATCAACCTTGTTGTGCTTTTTCTCAGTATAAGTAGTACAGTAGTGAAACGACATGATACTCCTCGAGTGAACGACATACTGCTCGATTGGGTGTGAGCGGTAGTACATTCACTCACTCACTCACTCACTCACTCACTCACTCACTCACTCACTCACTCACTCACTCACTCACTCACTCACTCTCCCACTCATCTGTCTTGTGCCAGTGAGTGCGAATGTGTCTAAGAAAGTAATCAATCTTTTTATCTTCAAAGATATACAGGTTGGAGTCCTTCACTCTGCCGGAGTTTACGATTGCAGAGGCATATGAAAAATTCCCGGTAATGCCGCCTCCAAGCAATCACAAGAGCATATTTTTTGTCCCGGAAACCGAGGTCGAGGGCGGCGAAGAGGACGAAACCTCCAAGAAGTAGCAGGTCGCTTGTTAGTTACAACATTTGTTCCTCTCTCTCTCATCCTAAATCGGTGAAGGTGAAACAAAGAAGTGTCTGTAAACGTTAAGTACAGTCGATAAACGCTATGTGATAAAAGCACGCAGATACATGAATATTGTCCCAGAAGAAGCGCGAACTCATATTAAGTATACAAGGCAGAGCCCGGGGTTAGAAATCAGAGCTACAATTCGCATTAACTTTTTCGCACATGATTTGATTGCACAGACACGAAGATACACTTGTAAGAAGATATGATACCCTTTATCTGCTGTTTATAGAAGAAGCGTCCTGTGTCCGTGTGGTGTACAGACAATCAGCCAGAATACGCCTGGCGCTTCAATATGTATACTATAGAATTCGGAATGGTATGCGACTAAAGTTGATGCAGTAGCTATTGAAGCACGAGAAGAGTTCTGTCAAGAGAGTGGCTGCTCTGCTATAGGATTTTACCAGTAGCACAATACTAAAAGATGTAGATTAATAGAAGAATTTCGGCATATTAGTTTTCATGAGCATGATGTGAGTCCTAAATGACTCTGGGAGTTGCATCTATGTTTAATAGGATACCACCGTTTCCAAGCATCGAAATTCAAAAATTAGGACCACAAGGTGTGCTGGTGCAATCAAGTGTATCAAAAAACCGTCTAGCAGCTCCAAGAAACCGCTTGGTTCGATCCTGTACGCGTCAATATACATAGATCTGCGCAACCTAGTGACTTCTGAGAATGATAGGCAGGGGCACTCGTTTTATTCAATTTTTGAAACCTAGTCGTAGTCCTCATAGTGCATGGAGGCTTTGAAATCTACGACGCGCTGGGTGTTATTCAAGTCTTTTTCTTTTATCTCATCGAGCACCTAATTACGTTGCTGTATTCAACATATTGATTATAGCAGTCCGACGGTAAGCCCAGGCATGGACGAACTTGTGAGTGATTTTTTGAAGGACTTTGAAGCCCTACAATAACGTCGTGTCGAATCCATTATGCTATGAAGATTCTGTGACATCTACACCTACTATGCCTTCATATTTTTGATTTTGATTCTGAAGAAACATAGATGAGTGAAAAGTGTATTTTTGATGTTGTTTCGGTAATCTTCACGATGATATTTTCGGAGATTGATTGAACGAACAAAATTTTGCATTCATCGGACTTGCTGCGGTATGATCATTCTAGAACGTTCATGCTTCTGCTTCCTAGAAAGCAACAACTGAGAGACATTTCGTGCGATGAGTCGAATTCTCGATTGAGGGAGATAGTATGAGCTAAAGTGGAATTCATCAAGAAAACACTTCATGTTTTTTTACAATTGTCCTTTAGCAATAGTAACTGCACGTCGAACATTGACGAATTGAATTGGTGTACTGTCGTGTCGTCCGTCGAATTTGCAAACAAATCCTTCGTACCAACACATGTTCTGGAAGTAAATGGGGCCTCAAGCTCACTAGAGTGTTCTAACCACGAGAAGCGTTTTGTCGTTGTTCCTTTTCTATTCGATTCCGGACGAGGTCCAAATAGTTATTATATTTTCACATTCTTATTTGCTCAGAAAGCAGGTTGCTCATGCGTGTTAATGTTTGTGTTTGTCTTGTCTCTTAGAAGTGAGTATAACAAAAATGACCTTTTGCCGTCGAGCTCGCAAGCACCGGCGATACTAGCGAATAAAGGGCCTCTCTGCAGCGGCTGATGATCCAGATCCACTGTGAGTCGCGCTATTATTGGCAGGAGGACAAAAACAGATGCCGGCCGTAATGCAGTTGGGAGATGCTGTGACGCGTATGCTGGCAAAGACAGCCAGCGCACCGTCCGACGACGACTGCAGCTACCACTTACAACTTCGAGGTGGACCTGGATCAACTTCACACAAGTACGGAGTAGATTTAGCGGCCTCCCATCCGATGATGCAGGAACGGAAGTCGTATGCCAAAGGCAGCTGTAACGACGTCCGAGGCTTGCCACCTCCCGTTCTGAAGTTGTCGCAGACGCGTGTCGGACGCTCGACGCGTGCCCAAATGCTCTCTAAACCACGATGGAGCACGTCGGTCCTAGCGGAAGAATACGAGAAGCCGAGTAGACGGCGTCGGACTGTTGATACTAGAAATAGAGGTGCGGGAGATGATAGAGATAGTGAAGCTAGTGTAGAAGTAGAAGAAGATGTCGAAGATGAAGATGGAGGAGGTCGACGAGAGGCCTTGAGTGTAGAAGATGGCACATCTGTGGCTACGCTTCTTGTCGGAAGAAGAAATGGTAGAAGCGGTATCGACGAAATGGGTGAGGAAGATGATTCGTCGGCACGCCTGGGAAACCGTGGCATTTCCAAGGACGTTTTTGCACAGCATAGGAGGGAAGAGTTGCGTAGTCGTGAGGAGTCAGGAGTAAGTCGTCGTGGTTCGGTGATTGCCGTAGATCGCACGCAGTTGACGCAGAGCGGTGCAGCACCCCACTCTTGGACCTACTCTTCGGCTGGAAGTAGGCAAACGTCCCCTGTGAAACAACTACATCAGCAGGGAAGTGCTACTAAAGCTTCGTCTTCTACCAGTACTGAAGGAAGAACTAGCAGGCCTGCCCCTAGACCAGGAGATTCTAAGGATACTCTTTCGTCCGACAAAAATGCAGCAAATGATACAACTACTGCGTTCCCCGAACCAGATTTCTATGGTGATGTCACGTTCGACCTTGTGCAACACTGCGGAGCGAAGGGATTGCGTGATCGCTTTCAGCGCGAGTTGGTTTTAACCAAAGACATGAGAAATCCGGTCCGAATAGACCTACAAGAAGACAGGCAGCTGCACACCAACGTGCTCAGTCGCAAGGAGGAGGCTGTGCGGAAAAGCTACCGAAAACCCTGGGAGGTGGACAAAAACTACTTCGAGAAGAAAATTGAAGCTATTGGAGAAGGGAGAGAAGTAGAGGACGATGAAAGAGACTCTGCTACTGCTTCTACAGATGCTTATCGGTATAGGCAAGGGAAAGACTATTCAACAACGAGGGATTCAGAGAAGAAGAACAACATCAAAGTAGGACCACCATCAAGAAGACCCACAGTTGCGGAACATCAAGCCCAGATGAATAGCAGTGCCGCTTCGTCGCTTTCAACATCAACAACTTCAGGAGTTGACAATGTAGACATCAAAAGTTCCGAAAATAGTGGTAGGATGAGCGTGAAGGAAAAACGGCTTATGCTAAATCGTCAGAGTGAGCAGTCTGTCCTTGTTGAGGCATCTCCGGAGAACGCAGTAACGCTGCGAAAGAGGATGCGTGAGAAAATGGTTGCGAACGAATTGGCCGGCGAGAGCGTAGCTTTGAGGGAAATGCGTGCGAAGGGCATGTTTTCAGATTTGAAGTTAGCCTATAATCCACTTGCTGGGCTGGTTCCCGAGAAAGAGGACAAGAAGCATGCCGACGAAGACGATGCCGAAGACCATTCAGCGAGCCCACCGCGATCACAGAAACGAAGAGCAGTCACAGTGTCAAGTCAGAAGATGATAGGTGAACCCGCGACCACGGGTGCAGCGGCTGGTGGCAGAGCAGGCGATCGTGATACCAAATTGTTGTCGGAAGGCCGAAGCAAGAAGGTAGCAGGGCCTTCATCAGCACCAGGTCCACCTCTTCCGCCTTTGCCTCGAAGTATTGTGGAAGAGGAGCAGAGTTCTGAAGCGGAGGTGGATCATTTTAGCATTGGCGCCACTTGCTCAGATTCGTTTGTGCCGCACCCGACTCAGATTCGTGGCGTCAACGCTGCTATTGTGCGGTCTCTTCAAAGTCAGGGCCTCGATACTGACGCGCATCCCCTTGCGGGCTTGAACGTGCAAGGGTACGGCAGGAGAAGCCAGTGCTCTTCGGATGATGAGTATGAAGAGCGAGATCCTGATCGAGGTACAGGAGGAGCTGCCGGTACAAACAGTGACTCACCTTCAGCGGCCTCCTCGACGTACAAATTTACAACGCCCAATTTCACGAATCGTGGAAAACAGGCACCGTTAGGTGTGCCACTACACCCGCAACCACCAACGGGAATTTCATTCACAAGTACGACAACGCGCTTTCCTAAGAAAACAACCCTTTTTAGCCGTACAACAGGAACTGCGGGAATCAGAAGTGAGGAGGAAAACGATCCCTCGTCGCCTCTCCGACTGCAAACTGACGTGTTGGGTATTGTTATTGATGCGTCTAGCAATTATACAGCACCAACAGGTGGCCAAGTAGGGTCTGCACAAACACTAGCACACGACCAGGAAGAAGATGGTACTGCAACTGCATCAAGTAGTAGCATGGCCGGAGAGTCAGGAGTAGAACAGACACCATCAGGGCAGACACAGAAGTCGTCTGTCGAACGCGCTGCGCCAAAGGCTGCAGAAGGAAGTTCGTCACAACCTAGTGGTCCCATAAAAGAGGACCGATTACCCGGCGAAGATGCTGCAGTGAGCGACGCACAACAAAGCGGTACTGCGGCAATCCAGGCTCAGGAAGAGGAACTAGTTTTTAATCCGAACTACATGGATCAATTTGCGGGACACAGAAGATCTTTACCTCCGGGACACCTGCCGCAGAATCAACTGGATGCGGTCAAGGAAGAAGAGGGGCATAGACATGCTCCAGCTTCTCCGGAGAAGATAAAGCAGCAAGAAAATTTCATGTTTTACACCGGGAGCATGGATCATGCAGCTGCAGTGGGCCACGACGATTCCGGAAAATATGCGTCGCAAGAAGAAGAAATGGAGTTAGTCGTGGCTGGCAGGCAGCTGGACGAGGGAAGCCGAATCGTCGCCAGTGGTTGGGCCTCTGATATCCGTCAGAATTTACTGGACGAGCAGCAGGGCTCTGTAGATCCATCATACGAGGTGAGCGACCCCACACGCCAGCGCATCTTATCGGGAACTGGCGGAGTTGACGGTCATCTTCACATGAAGAATAATCAAACGAGTAAGAGAGAGATCCCTACGAAGAAAAAGACAAAGAGTGGTAAGAAGACTAAAAAGGATAATGCAGTAGACGATTCCTTTCTAGATCGACTCGCCGAAACGAGAAGGCAAGAAAAAAGCTCGATATTGCTGCGTAACACTGAGGAGGAACGCCAGGCTGTCCTATTTTTCGCAGACCAGGTGGCGGGTGCAGCTTCGTCGTCTAGTGCTTCATCTGGTATAGACAATAGCGGCGGAGGTGGAGGAGGAGGACTTTTCGCCATGCAGAAAGCGATAAACTATCAGAGGCATTTAGTACAAATGCGGTATCAGGACGAAAACGCCGCTGCCGAGCGATTGCTTCCATCGACGTCGATCACAGGCGCTGCCCTAGAAACCGGACGGAGTGCGCCACCTGGCCCACCTCCAAGTCAAGCGGCCCTATCTACTCCTATGCACCGGAACCAAGGCACAAATGACAGTATGCCTGCTCAAGCAGTAGGTAACTTCGGTGTGCCAGGTTTGAATTCCGCAAGGCAGCAGGCCCCTTCCGTTTTCGCGGGCAGTCCAGCAGCGACAAGCAATTCTGAGCTTATATCAGTACGGAGCAAGAACGATACTGCGGCACCAGGTCTCCATCAGGTAGAGCATCAGGAGAGTGGTTCGACGCGGGAGCGCTTCTGGGTGGATCGTGACCGCGTTGCGGCAGATCATCGCGAACGCAACAGCAACAGGAGACACCAGGGCAACGTGATCAATAAACCTGGTGGCGATCTCGACGTAGAACCTGAGCCGGAGAGAGCTGCGACGCCACCTGCTGCTAAACGACCTGCACCACCATCCGGCGTCGGGATGCCGTTAGCGTCGACTCGCCCATTACGAAGCGACGATATCGGCCGGTCTGATACTGCGACAAATCGACCTAGAGGCGACAGTCTCAGTTCGCTCCTGCATGTTTCGGGTGACCAAATAATAAACAACACCCAGAGGAGCCTGAGCCAGAACAAAGTGAGCTTTCTTCCAGAACCTATCATGGCTCAAGATCCACATGTAAGTGGAGGTGAATCATCTGCTGTCACAGGAGCATCAACTTACTCCTCCGCATCGCGACGGGCCAGCAGTGTGGAGAACGTAGAACCGCCTGGTGGTCTCAAGTCACGATTTCGGCACACCGGAATCGACATAGTGAGAGGCGCTCGGTCGAGCTCTACTGGTGGCATATTTCCTGCCGAGCAGAACTATAACAGCACTGTTAAAGGAAAAGGTATGACCACGAGCACGACATCAACTTCCTTCTGCACCAATCCTGGTGCAAATGCACCCAGCAGAGTAAATAAACCTACAGCTACAAGAACATCTAGTACTTCATCTTCTTCTTCTACTACAACGCCTGACCTCCACTCAACATCTGCGAGTGCGAGTGGGAAGCGCTTAAGCCTCCGGCAAGAGCGGCATAAGCGATTGGATAAGCCTTTTTTCACTATTGAAGACGTGGATATCACGGCAAAATTTCTGAAGACTCGCTGGGATGACCATCTCGTCAACAAAATGAAATCCATGCTTGAACAGGACTACGTTCGCCAGGATCAAAAGCCAAACGCTAGTGGTGGTGCATCAAATATTGGCGCAGGCGGAAGAGGAACAAATCATGATGCTGCCAGAGATGGAACAAATACGTCAGGAGCAAACGATGATAAAAATGCTGAGAACAATAAAGAGTGCATCCTTTGTTACAACGCGCCGAAAGACACGTTACTGGCTCCCTGCGGGCATGTCTGCGCTTGCATAGATTGCGCAGAAGAACTACTCACGAAAAAGCATAATTGCCCGATATGCAGAGGTTACATCAACGACATTTTTCGGGTTTACGATAGCTAGATCTATGTCTCTCATGTGAACAGAACATCTGTCTCAATCATAAAATGCACCTCAGCTACATCAACATTTTCAGATACAAGCACACGACCAAAAAGTATATCATGACCACAGTCATGATCGGCCAATCTTAAATGTGACCACCTTTTTTTCATTATATTTTTTGATTTGATTTTTCGCAGTGCACGACAGCAACATGGAATTTATTCTCATTGATTGATGATTACATGCCTATTCCTAAGGTTCATCCACAACAATATGATATAAAATTTACGATTTCATCTTGAGTCATTTTTCTCACATATTGACATCGTAATTTCAGGCTGGTAGGTATTCTTCTTGTTGATTTATAGTCCCGTCGATCCCCGTCCCTCAATACGATGTATCGCAGTGTGATCATTTAATCATCTCTTGTGAGTCTCCGAAATCATCTTCTTGTAGAAGTTGATCGAAAGTAGTTCCAATTAGTAAAAATGGGACACCTTTTGTTTTCCCTCATAGTGTGTTCTGCGATGATGCGAAATACGATGATCTTCTATGTGTGAAACCAAAAGGTAGCTTATCTGCGTGAGTGTACCTCCATTTCCCCGATGACATCAAGAATTAGACTTAGAGGTAGAGAAAATATGGAAATGGATGTACGTCATGGTCGGCTACGTGCCCCTTGATGAAGCCTTGACTCAAAACGTCGTTGGTCTTCATGTGCTGTTTTAGTTTTACTGATGTCGTGCTAGTGTTTGAGGTAGTACTTTGTGATGACAAGCAACCCATCGGGGATCAATCTGTCTCACGCCCATCAGCTGCAAACTGGGATTTATAGTGAACAAAAGTTGCGAGTCGAAGATCAGGCTGAGTGATCGATGTTGAGCAAATCAAGAAGATGACGTTAGATTATGCTCCTTGGGGAATGAAAGACATCGATCTTGAATGAGTGTAATTACAAGTTTTATCACTTGCCTTTCCAGGACCAGGACGTGAACGTGATGGCCATAATCTATTACACAGCATGCTATTGGTAGTGCTAGTGTACTAGTAGTCTCCATAGTACCCAAACCCCAGCGTGTAACTTGTAGTTGCAGGTGTATCTATTGGTAGCCAACACTTGGTCGAACACCAAGAACACCAAGACAACACTTATATATACCAAACTAGAACTACAACTTGTTCTACTTCTTTCAAAGAGATTACTTTTACTAGTAAATACTAGAAATAAGGATGCCTGGTCTTGGCAGTGACGAGCTGCGACGTGCTGGCACCGTCGCGCCAAATCAGTTCTTGAGAAAATCAGGATCTCGTGGTCGAGCGCCCTCTTCGGGGTCCTCCTCTGCTTCTCGTAGTCCTCGAAGAAGCGGTCGAAACAAAGGTCGTAGCAAAAGAGGTCGCCGCTCAGCTCAGACGAGCAGCAGCTCTTCTTCGTCTTCAAGCGACCAAAGCGATAGAGGCAGCAACAGCAAGAACGCCAGCAGAAAGGGCCTACCAAATCCGAAATCATCAAGTCTTAATAAGGTCGAAGACAAAAGTATCAAAGGTCCTCGAGCGGAAAGCAAACTCAACAATTCTCCGGCAAAAAGCTCCAGGGTTCTAGGTAGCAAGGACACAGCGAGAGATTCGAAAAAGGGAAATTCCCCAAGAACCACGACCAGAGGCTCACCTCGCGGTACACGACGAGATCGAAGCCGTAGTCAGTCTCGTGGAGCAGGTACGCGCAGAAGACGGAGCGAAAGTCGGGGCAAGACCAGAGGACCACCACGCGGAAATGGCGGACGACGCTCTCCTCCCCGAAATTATCGTGACCAGCGTGGTGGGAAAGGAAAAGGATCTACCAGAAGCAAAGATGACCGTGGTGGATATAGTTACAATCAGAGCAGGCGAGGAGGCAGTAGAGGCCGAGCCCCGACTTCATATGCGTTCCGAGATCGGCGTGGGGGTGGGGAGTCAGGAGCGGCGCCAAAAGATTACAAAAGGAGGCCCGGATCTGCGTCCAACAAAGACCAGTCAAGAGCCGCGTCACGGAAAAGCAGGAGCCGCAGTCGTCGAGGCGTGAACCCGCGTCAACGCTCTTCCTCGTCGTCGCGATCGGATGACGCTCGAGGCAGAAAAGAGGAGCAGGAGCATGATCGAGAAGAAGCTGGTGCTGCAGACAAAACGCGCGGAAAGCCCGAGCGAGAGGACAGAAAGGGGGATGCTGCGTCAAAAGAGCGACAAAGCAGTGCCGCTGATAAACGTGAAGACGAGCGCCGTTCTAGTAAAAAGAGAGCAGAGACGACAAAAACCGCTGCAGGTGAGAAAAAGGAAGACGGGAATGGGCGACAGCGTGATGATGGTAATAGTACTAAGGAAACGAAGAGCGCAGAAACAAGTTGCAATACTCCTGAAGACAAGCAGACCGACAGTGCGCCTGATGTTGCTTCCAGACTACAGCCGAAAGCTGTCCGTGAGGCCAAGGAAGAGCCCGAACAAGACAATGAAGACCACAAACTTGACGGCACCGCAATCGAGCGCGATGCCGAAAAAGACAAAGCACAAGTATACGTCGATATTACCCAGCACGTCGGGTTTGATGTTGGTGGTGGTGCTGGTGGTGGCAAAGATTCATTTCACGGCGATGGAGAGAGCCAAAGCCCCCACGACATGTCGAGCCGAAACAGTTCGAAGGAGAACAATCCTTTTGCGTCCACAGAAGACCACGACAATCTTCTTGCTGGTGCTGGGTCGGAACAGTCTGCTCCGATGGTCGTCGACGAGCTTTCGCGAAATGACGATCCGCGACCACCTTTGGGAAACGGAGAAGCGAGTAATCGAAACAATCCCTTCTTTGTCGCAGAGGACGACGATCCAAAGAATAATGTTGACGATCACGACTCCACTAAAGGTGCCTTTGCCGTTGCTGCCCAAGCCCATGTTGATGCTTCTGAACATGAAAAGCAGGCGGCACAGGTGCTGGATGTTGAAGGAGAACCTTTATCTGTTTTGGCGGAAGACCCTCAGGTGTTGCAACGCGGTGACCAGCAGGATGAGTCTGAGGACGATAAGGGTCAACAAGGTGCTGTCTGCATTGCGGAACATTTATCGAGTTCGGATGATGACGATGAGGATAGAAAAAGCCTTCCTCGAAGGAAGAACAAGAAAGCAAGAGCCACAAGAGATGATGTCGAAGACCACGACGATATTGTTGTTGACAACGAAGATGGTCCAGAGGAAGAGGGAGAAGGCGGCCGACGCGACAAGAAAGGGGCTTCATCCTCAGATAGCGAACTCGTCATTCAGCTCTCGGAAAATCAGCGAGCACGCATGGACGGTTTCCGAAAGGAACAAGAGGGCATGATCAAATGGCGAAGACTTCACGATCACGGATGGCAGTGGAAGAAATGGAATATGAGAATCAAAATCGTACTAAGTACACTTAGACATCCTCGGCATAAGTAGATACTTGTTGTTTTGCTTTTCTTCGGATAATCAATTTTGAGTTTGTGTCAATCGTTTTCTTGCTTAATCCTTCTCGACGTACTACAAATACTAATACACTTTTCATGACATCGTTGTTAAAACCTTCTTCATTTGACCCGAGCGCGAATGGCAGAAGCCTCCTGCTATCAACGGGGCGATGACAGGAGATGAGCCCGGAGCACGGTATGTCGATCGAGAAAAATTTCTGAAGGATATGCGTGAGAGAAGGGCAGAGAGGGACAAAAGGGTAGAACTAGATCTTAAGGCTCACACGAATTCTCCATCTTCAGAAGATAGTACATCTTGATGGAGGAGCTGTTCTTTCATGGCTAACTTATTAAGCTAGAAACAGCTCCAAGACGAAGCTTAAGATGGATCATTTTCATGAGCTCTTCTAAAGATGGCAGCGACTGGCAGAGGCCTAACAAGGGAAAAGCTCCCCGTGGAAAGACTATGACAAAGATGTGTGAGAAGCAGACTAGAGCCAAATATTTAGTAAGTACATCTTTCTGTTATCTAGTAGTTGCTGTCTGTTTTCGTTGTTTTGCTTCAAGTAGTTATTCTTTCTTGCGTAAATCCGCTGCTACCGCAGAAGCAGTAGTACTTATCTTCACGGAAAAAACCGCTGCTCTAATACCCATGGGTATGGCCGTCTTCTGTCTAAAGGGGGAACAAACTATGGCTTCGACGACGATGAGGGTAACGGCAAAGGCGGCCGAGCCAAAAATCCTGGCACAAAGAACAGTAGTGATGCAGAAGAGGGAGCAAGTGCGAGGTAACCGATGAGAACCTTGAAGATTCTCTTGCTCCACCTGTTCATTATTCTGCTTAAGTTAGTATAATTTATCGAGCTTGAGTTTTATTCAGTCTTCATTTCCTTTCCGTGTTGTATCTTGTTCTATTCTAGAAGTAGAAAGCATCTTCCTGACCCGTCGTGATGGCAACACTCGAAATGACTTGATCATACCATAATTACCAGCGGCGACGAAACGGCGGGTGGCGTTGCTGGAAAGCCACGCGAAGCAAGAAATTTTGACCTTGAGAATGAAATAGAAGTAGAACGCCTTCGAGCTGAAGGAGTCGATGCCTCGATGCCTATTGCGCGACACCAGCGTCTGCTTTATGATGATCGCAGGCTTGACATGCGGGCTGATGGTACTTGTTTCTAATCTGTTCACGCAAGAAGAATGTATAGGTAGTCGTAGTAGGGTGTTTTCTTGCAATCCGCAGATGCAGTTATCGTACAACAAAGCGAAGTGATCGCAAACGCAATGCTGTCAACTTCTCGTCAGTCTATCTTGTACGCATGTTTCTTTCCTCTGTAAGATTTTTTCTCATGGCATGCAGGTCTTCACAGCGAGCGGCAGCCTCGAAACGACAGGGACCGGAGACAGAGCCCCGACGGCAAGGGTAATGGAAAGAAAGGCAAAGGCGGAAAGCCACGCCCGGAGCCAAGATGGGGTCATGACGGATTCGAAGCTATGATGCAAGAAGTACTGCTTACTTAAGTATCAACTAAAGTATTAGAAAAGCAAAAGTGCTAAGGCGCTACTCATGCTAGTAGACCTTTAATAGGTTTGTTTACTAAGTCTGCTAATCTGTAGAAGAAAAATGTCTTCCCATGCATCCCAACCTAACTCAGGACGCTGGCGGCCCGCCTCAGGGTCCCAGACCCAAGATCGTCCTCCTGGAAGCTAACCCCGCTGTGCGAGCAGACCGCGACAAGGTTGCGAATGGCAAAGGTGAACGTCGGAAAGGGAACCTCGCTGCCAATGCAGATGATCTACAGAACAAAAATAGACCTTCCCCACAAGGCGTCTCAACATCTCAAGGCCTCCATATCGTAAAGGGCCCGCGGGCGGCCCGCATCGCAGGCCTAGTGTTATGGTTAGCTTGTATCCATCTTTCTCGGCATCTTGGTCCCCTTTGTTTTGCCTTGTATTCTCATGAAATACAAGGGGAAAGGGGTCGAGATGAAGGGGCCAGGATGGATTGAAGCCGAGTCTAATAGTGGTAAGAAAGCGTCGGGAAGTACAGTTGGACGATGCAGCTGAGTTAACGTCCTCAAAAGAAGACGGTGAAGCTGAGCCACGACCAAACAAGAGCATCAACACTTCTAGTTCATCTTCTCCCACAACTACGCTCAACTACAAGGAAGACCGTGTCACCGTGAATCAGGTGAGCTTCAAAGCTGGTAAGAAGCGGCCCAATACTGAAGTGCGAGAGGAGCAGAATGGGGAAGGCGATCCCCCTTCCTCAAGAGCGGCCTCTCCTGTGGTCGTTAGAAGGCGTGGAGTAGATCAACATGTTGAAGGAAACAAAGCGCGAAACCGAAGTTTTGAAATGGCGACAGGAGCAGCGACAGGCGGAGGCGTTGCTCGAACCAAAAACAGGGAACAACTAATTCGTCCTCGAACAGAGGAGAAGCAGGTGAGGGGTTCTCAAGTTTCACATGATGATGCAGTTTGTAGCAGGAAACTACTGCATTCCAAAGTAAATAAAGCTTCACGCATAAAGGAGCGTGCCGCAGACTCGTCGTCCGAAGATGAAGACGATACTGGTGCTAGGGCTCCTAACGCCGCCAAAGATTATAAGGGCCATCTGGTGCGGTTGCGGATCAAGGAGCCAAAAAAAGGACTAGAGGAAACCAAGAAAGGGTCGTTGGGGTCTAAACAGGTTTCTGCTCGAGCAGGGGTAACTCGGTTGAAAAAGCGAGATGCAGACGCCTCTCACGATTCTTCTTCATCTGATGCAGAAGAGGATCGCAACGCAAAAGCTCGGCGAAAGAGTCGGCGTATAATAAAACAGGAGCCTAAGAAAGCTACTTCGAATAGTAGTGCAGCAGATGCAATAGAGAAAGCATCTACTTCCAAATGGAAGGTAGCCAAGGACGACTCCGCACATCATAAGCGCTCATCTCGTAACGAGAATAAACCGAAGCGCGCTGTGAATAAAGCTCGACGAGGTCATGCATCATCATCGGAAGAAGTAGACGGAGAGGGAGACATGAAAAGAGACATGAAAAAGCGTCACCGAAAAGGTGAGAAAGAGAACGTAGGGAAGAAGGCATCAGCGACGACTGGGACCGCAAAATTCGCAAAAAGGAGTCGTAGAATTGAACGAGAAGACGAAAACGATTCATCTTCGTCATCCAGCGTAGAACGCAAGAAGGCAGAAGGACCTTCGAAGAAATCCAAAAGAGCTGGTGCTGCTAAATCAACAACAACTACAACTGGAGGAGGCTTCTCACGTCGAGACAAAGACCATGATCGAGGTCATAGTACGAAAAAGCGCAGGCGCCTTCCGGAGAAAAACGATTCTTCGACGGACGAGGAGCAGGAGGAGGAGAAAGCCAAAGCGCCAAGAACAAAGGAACGCGTTAGACATAAGGGACTACCTCCAGCAAGCGAAAATACAAATAGAAGCACCACTAGTAAGGTGAAACTCCGTTCTAGCAGGCAAGCGGCATCGTCATCGGATGAAGGCTCGTCGCCAGCCGTCGAGCCTAGGGTTGTCCGTGATGAGGCATACGAAAAGCGAAAACAAGCAAAGCTAGAGGCTATTCGAAAAGCACGAAATTCCTGAAGATATGATCATATCATCTAGTTTAAGCTTTCGTATGCTCATACTATCGACGATCCGGGCTCAAGACGTTGGTAAGAAGGTTACATCCGCACGAGGAAGCAGTAAACCGAGCGCTGTGAACACTGACATAAGCACGTGAATAAGTTGAAGGCTGTGTTCCAGAAAAAGAGAAGTAACAGGATAAGCTTAACAACAAGCATCAAAAAAGCTTGATCCGATCCTTATTTTGTATTTGTTGTACACCTATTAATTTTTATCTTGAGCAACCGCAACATTAATGCCCTCTACCTTTCAAAGAGAGGATGTTGCGGAGGCGAAATACAAACATAGATATCATTTACATTTTTCCTTAAACAACATGTCACATGATTGTTACAAGCAAACGATTTATCCGCAGTATGAGACTACTTAGCATGTATCTCTATCTTTTATTTCACTTGGCAACCAAGAGCAAAAGCCCCATTGTATTTATCGCTCATGCCATGAAAACCAAGTGACCCCATCAACCCCTCCTACCTAGACAGGCTCTTTTTATCAGAGCAGAATTGCCACCTTCAGCAACATGAACTCATTTACGGGATCCCCGGATGTTTACCGGAAAGAAAAAGTCTCGAAGAAAGTAGAGAGATCAAATCTCAAAGGTGTCAGAGGAACTTCTTTGTGATGTTTGATCGCACAGTTGTACTTCAACAATTTTAGTATTTGTTCATCAGCATGTTGCAGTCAAAACAAGCAGACGAACGCAATGACTGGACCGAGCTATCAGGGTCTGTCCTACTTTTGTAGCCGGATCGATCATGTGTTCCACAGCAAAAGCATCACATACAACACGTATGCACGACATGCTGATTTTTTCATCATCTAAGATGACTCAATTTCGACCTTGTAAGTACTTGTTTGAAGAGTGTGAGGGTAGCAGACAGATAGGCAAGCTCTAAGTCTCGTCGTGTCCAGAGGGTACAACACTGCTAGTCAAACTGTCTGGTTCGACCTATATTGTAGCACAACCCACAGAAGGAACTTGAAGATGTGTAAAAATTCTAATTCGGTTTCACTTCCTGTTGACTAAAAACATCGACATCACAACGAGAGCGACCACTAAGAGACATGAGGGGGACCATAACCAAGACCAGTCGATGAAGATAGGAAGCTTGATTGGAGAGTATTCGTTGTCCTGTTCGACGTGTTCGTTGTCTTATTCTTTTCACGAGGTGTTAAAATCGCGGAAATTAATCAAGCAAAAAAGTCCAGACGTCGACGACCTGGCTTGAAGAGAATACTTATCAAAAATAAATGTTACTTGCCCGAAGTAAACCTGAAATAATACCGCTTCACAGGACTCAATTTATGTAGTAAATTATACACATGATCCACATATTACTTATGAATAAGTGACTGGATACCCTTCTCTTTCTCATCCCCCAATTTAAACTGACTCCCATGCTATGGACTATGTAAATCTTCAAAAGTTGTATATCGATATCGATTGTAGTTTCCCCATCGACACGAAAATCGTTTCGAGATCGGCAAAATCTTGTTGTCGTTGCCCGTAACACTATGAGTTCGTTGTCTTCTCCCTATTGAATGCCAAGTCTTGAGCTTGGATTGTATTATCGGGAAAACGTTGCCTCGACATGATGTAGACGATCATGGTCAGTTGTAAGTGTGAAGAGCTAAACTACCGAGTTAGACATTGACCACACTGGAAAGAAGTACTTATTATAAGTACTAGATCGTCATCAACATCCTGATTCTTCAAACTGATAATCCACTATCTAGCGTCTGGTGCTTCTCAATGAGAGAGACCGAAGAATGGCGGACGACGTCATCGGGAGGTACTTTGCACACCCGCCTACGCCGTCCGTGAGCTCGGATGAGCCGTTCGTGGATGCCTCGGTGGATCCGTGCAGTCATGGGGAACGCGCGTTGGAGGACAACGAGAGTGCGGGGCGACACGATGAGGGCTCTTCACCTAGAACACGAAAGATCCAATCTTCATCCACTACACCAGTCGCGGGTACAAGAACTGCATCATCAATCATGCAGGAGCTAAGCGGCAAATATTTGCGTGTCTATCGCCGTAGGAAGCGACGGAAGCGCCAGGATCTTCCGCCTGATCCAGTCGAGGAGTTTTCGTCTTTGGGTGATACTGGCGGAATATATCCAGCAGACGAGGTGCTGGAGCTCGACTGCTCATGCGAAGAAGTACTAGATGACGCGCCTGCTGCTGCTCCGCCACCTATAATGTTGCATGATCAGGTAGCTGCGGACTCCTGCGGCAATATGCCATCTTCTTGGCAGCGGGTCGCCCCACGATGCGCCGCGAGAAGAAGACGAAAGTCTCTGGAGCAATTAGGGGCCGCTCGATTTGCTCTTTGGCCGTCTTCATCGATGACTAAGAACAGGAGCGACGATTTTTCTGCAGACTACAGTCCGTCTTCAACATCATCAGCTGATTCGCTGACTAGAACAGTTTGGAGAACAAGTTGTACACCAGAAAGTAGTGCGAATCGCTCGTCCAGCACGCTCAAAAGGAGTCGCAATAGAACAACGCCGAGATGTCCTCCGGACCTACGAGCTGAAGGAACTGGGTGGACTCGGCTCTGGCACTGCGGATTAGCTAGAAAAGCACCCTCAGATGTGACTCTGGTCTTGAAAACAGGGTGGGATGGATTGCTGTCGTTGCAGAAGAACCTGGTGCGGTGTAGAAGACGTAAAGGCGACCTTCCGTTCTTTGCAAAATCACAGCGACACCGCAGAAGCGAAAACCAGTTTCTAGATCGCACAAACCGGTTCTCTGACGAGAAAATGCCACCCTCGTCGTCGGATCATCGAGGTCCCGGTCAACACCTAGGCCGCTTTCTTGGCGTATGGCTGCTCCTTTGCGTTTCATTCGCAACTACATCCCCGCCTGAAGATGCGCATCCACACCTCGTGCGGACGACATACAAGCTTACGGAGCCAATCAACGCGGAGGTAGATGGTAGAAAAACAGCGTTTACCCAGGTCGCAGAGCAACCACTCGCCTCAGCACCTACTGCACAACATGAATCCTCTATGAAGTCTACTCCCCAACATGCAGGAGTGCAGGCAAGAGAGCGGCGGTTGCACGAGAAGGCGGCAACAGCGCCGAGAAGGATCTTGGACGAGGCGTCCGACAACATCGTGGCGCAGCGCATTCGGCGCGAGACAGCAGAATATGATCGACCCAAGAACGCGCAAGCCTCCACGACAGGGGGTTCGCATGATTCAAATGGGCTTCTACAGCGCCACTTTGCGCATAACGCCGACCTTTTTGAACAGCGGAAAGACGGTTCCATAGTGCAGCGCCATGACGGGAAAGAAGTCGCGCCACCGACGGAGCCGAAAGCTCGCGAGCGGCGCGACCTAGAGATGGGGAATCGTCGCGCTCTGCTTGCAAGTATCGACGAAAAAACCGGTAAAATCAAGGACCGCGATGCCCATAGGAAAGCTGCGAACGAAATTCACCGATTCAACGTGGCAGAGCGCCGCAGACTGTCTGCTGCTGGCGCAGTCGACCCGAGCGGCGAAGTATCAGATGAAGCTCTAGCTGAAGAAGGTAATCAGAACGCTCACGGAGGTGCGAATACGCGTCAGCTTGCCACAGCTTCCACAGAGGGAAGCATCATCTACCCAGAGTTCGTCAAGCAAGAAGTGTGTCGAGGAATGGACGAACGCCGACCAGGTTACTACTGCGGAGAGCGATGGGGAATCACGAACATCGTCAAAGTCGAAGATCAATGGTACAACAAAAAGTTCTTTTTTTAACGTCAAAAATCTAGGTCTTTCTACTTTTCATTCAAGATACTCGTTCTCGTAGTTGCTCGTACCTCTTTTTTTTTTACTTAGAATGATGATAGGAAACTTTAAGCTTGTGAGTTTCTTTATCAATCAGGAAAATCAACGAGTTGGAGTTCTTTTGGGATGCGCATTGTACGAATCCTGTAGTCGGTGTATCCAAGCAGCAGTCCTTCTCCGACGAGACATTTTCGAACGAGGACACGAGTGCACTCGCATTTGACGGAAACAACAAGACCATGTACACGGCGAACTGTCGAGCATCTTTGAGCGGATGCCCCGCGTTCATTCCCGGAGTCCAGGGCCAGCGCATCGACAACGAGGGACGCCTAAACACGGTGATCTACAAGCAGCTAGTGCGGGACGACGAAGTGCCGGATCTGTTCGGCAATGTGAAGCTGTATGATCCCGCAAAGACCACGGTGACACAAGACGGAGCGATCAAATGTGTACGCATTTTCCAGTCTCCCATCACGACGGAGCAAGCGTACCGCATCGGTGTCGTCTTTTGGGATACGCTGCAATGGGTGAAGTACGACGAATTCGACTCCTTAGCGGGTGGCGGCTGGCAGTCGCGCCCCGCAGGCTCGATCACGATATGGAAGCTCACGAACGGTAACCCAACCGCGTCGCCATGGACCGTGAACGAGCTGTATTTCTACGGTGATCGACGCTGCGACTACGTTTTGAGCGGGATCCCAGTCGGGACCGAGAACGTGCGTGAATTGCCACAGTGTCACGAAGCGGGCACGTGTGACGACACTAGCGTGGAGAAAATCCGCGATGGGGATATCACAACGGCTTTCAAAGCGCGTTGTTCAGAAACGGAGGTTTCGGCACCCTGCAGCTCGAATTACGCATTCATCGGCTACGATTACGGCTACACACCGCGCACTGTGCTCTGCATCAAAATTTGGCAAGAGGCGCATGCCGGTTACGGACAGGCATGGCATGTATCGCAACATAGTGAAGCGTTACAACTGCAGTCGTGGGACGGTAGAGGATGGCGAGTCGACAAAAACTTGTACTACAAATACTCGCTCCTTCAACGTCTTTTCTAAATGGAATTTCAATTTCATTTTGTAGTATCTACTAAGTCTATCTTTAATCATGAGATCTGGAACTGGATCTTCTTTTTTTTACTGGCACTCTTCTAATTCTAGTGACGAAATTTTCACTAATACATTTACATAGTCAACTTTTAACGGCTTTTTTCACATATCGTCGTTTACCAGGTACAACCTGCTTCCGAACAAGTGGAACTACGATTATGCTCCCATGAACACGCTGTGGCGCCTGACGGCTGATGTGGTCATTCCCGAGTGGCGCGTCGCGGAGATCGAGTTTTTCAATAACCCCTTTTGCGACACCACTGACGAGTCGGGTTTAGTACAGGTTCTGCCGATCCAACGCGTGCCTCTTCCTGGAACTGCGTTCGACAGCAACACCGTGCTAGCATTGAATGACGAACAAATCGCGTGTGCAGACTCGCAGATTCTTAGCTCCTGTAGCGCAAAGGTGTTTGACGGGAAGATTGATACCTTTTGGCAGGGTAGCTGTAGGCCAAACGAGCCGTGCGAACGCGAGAGCAACTACATCGGAATCTTCTCGGACCTTCCCATCGATGTTCAATGTTTCAAAATCTTCCAGTCTCAAGATCCAAGGTACAGCGTGGTGACCTTGCATATCTCAACGTGGGATGGTAACGGCGGTTGGCAGATCCCTAATCCCTGGTCTAGTCTCTCCTCGACCATTAGCGGAATCCAGAATGATTTAGGCGGAGGGTACTCTAAAACAGCCTCATCAAAACGTAATTCTAAAAATTCGAGGATGAGTGTCATTCTAATGAAGCAGCAAAGGAGTCGTACAACTGCAACGAACTGCTCATCGTGATTCAATTTAGCTTGCAACTACATGGTTGCAGTTGCTGAAATTTAGCAAGAAAGATGCTCTGTATGGGTAATCAGAATAAACTGTACAACTAGAAACACCGTCCACCATCACAACCACATGAACTAATAAACGCGACAGCATACATACTGACACGACCATCTTTTAAGATCTTGGAACCGCCGACCGGCTTTCCAGTATTCGATGTGGAAGTTTTCGAACGGCGTGAGCACACAGCTGCAGTGGCGCGTCGTCGACGTACACATTTATGCTGACATTCACTGTACGGAACGTATGGATGGTATCGCGTGGCTCGCTAGTGGTTCTGAGTCCATGGCCAACAGTGTTGTCGCTGCGAGCGATGGTAACAACCAGACCTTCTGGGAGGCCAAATGCCTGGGCAACACACTGGGGTGCGATCGCTTCACTGCCTGGCTGGGCGTGCAGCGGACCTACAACCGACCCGAAATCCTAGAGTCAAATGTCCCGCAGTGCCTGGTTGTGGATCAGTATCGGGATGCCGCGTTTCAAAGCGGAGACATCCGCATGGAAACGTGGAACGGCATCAGATGGTAGTACATCTACATCATAATTTGTATTAATAAAGGACGAGGTAAACGGGAGTTTGTAGCATATGTAAGTAAGTATCAACATCGATCTTCTATAGAAGATGATAGAGTTAGAGATAGTGATGATACTGGCCGACTCTCATGGCAGTGATGACGATTAGTTCGTTAGTTGTAAACATTTTTATTAAAGAATCTACCCGATGATCTTCAACAGCCGCTCTTTCCGTAGTTGGTCTACAATTACGTTTGTTGAAGTACACACGTTCATGTTGCATCTGCATGATAATTCATATCCATATCTTCAGGTACGATCCAAAGGCTGAATTCACGACCGCGTCAAACGATTATAAGACCTACTACGCTGGAATTGGCGGTGGCACCGGACAAGCGCGTCCCGCCTTTTCTGGAACACAGTGGAGGCTTCGCGCTTCTGATAGTGTCGAAATTTGGTGGGTACTGACGACTATAGTCGCGGCTCCAATTGAATATTAGCGAGTGAAGCATGTGGGGCTGCTCGTCCCCGTCGTTTTTGATTTTATCCACTCGTTGTCTAAAACTACATCCGAAATTAGTACACGAAAACATGACAGCATGTTCATCTAAGTATGAAAGAGTTTTCGGACTAAAATCGCTTCAACTTACTGCAGCATAGAAAAATAAAAACACTTTCCACTCACGACTGCTTCGTCGTCCAGGTCCTTTCGCTCGAATTCTTCGAGGATTCCGAATGCAAACCAGAGAAGGAAGTGCTTGTAGACACGAGAAATAATCGCGCGATTGGTTCGGGATACGCTACTGGCCAAGAGCTGGCGCAATATATACAGCGTAACGAACCACGTCTTGTCCGCGATTGGGGACCGGAAGCCGTCGACTACGCTGTCAGTACTCAAAAATTTCTATTGATGAAGATGAAAGGACTTTCACTCTATTCGGTTTGCTTTTGTCATTACTCTAACCAGGTACTTTTGTCATTACTTATTTTGATAAAAACAATCGATCTTACTCTCTAGCTGTAGATCTTCCTTTCCATCTTCCCCCGCCGACCCGTACATCAACAGCAATCGAGGCGAACGAGGAGTATCATTTGATGAACGCCTTTGACAAGAGTGAAGAGACTTCGTGGATTGACATTCGAGACAAGAGTCCGGATGGTTCTCGCATGATGTCTGCGTCCAAGTATCCACTGTGGGTCGGCGTAGACTTCGGGAATGCACCTACAATGAGCGTGAATTGCATTCGGATTTGGCAACACCCCCAGCATTTTGCGCGAGACATGCGTCTAGAATATTGGGACGGAGTTCAGTGGGGCCAAGTGGACTACGGAATCGACCAAAAATGGAATCTGGAAGGCTTCTCCGGAGGCAGCTGGCAAAGGTACTTAAAGTTGGAAAATTTCCGTGATGTCACGTGAACACACACTTGTAGACTTCCATACTAGCAGTTTGATGCTACTTACAATAATACCTCGAAGTCGAACAAGTATCCCCAAGATGCTGAGAAGTTCTTTATGATCTTTGTCCATGTCAATCAGAAGTATGATCTTTTAAAATTATACTTCTAAACGTAGTACAAGTACATGATCCTTCTCAACCTAAATGTCAGGTGGCCAGCCGGTTTTCAGACCGTGTACCGTATTCAGAATGCGGTGTTGGTTCCGGAGAGTTGGGAAGTAGATGAATTCGGGTTTTACGACACGGTTGGTTGTCTCGGAACGCCCTTGTCCGGTGACATCATTGTCTCTGGCTTCCGAAATCCGTACGTCGGCACCCGTGCTGTCGACGGCATTGTGCGTTCTGATATGCGTGAACCCGAAGGCGGTGGCGTAGTGAGGTATCCCGACAGCTTCTGGCGCGCGGGATGTTCGCCCTGCGACCCAGGCACCGCGTACATCGGCATGGACTTCGGCTTCGAGCGACGGCAAGTGAAGTGCATGCGCATCTGGCAGGCGCCGGCGATCGAGCGACAGTCCCCTGTGATCGACCTGATGTACTGGAACGGCCGTGATAAGTTCGTTCGCGACGATGACAAGCGCTTCTTCAGCATCGGCGGAGGGAGCTGGAACAGGAGACCCGCGATGAGCAACTCCATGTTCCGTCTGCGCTGGGTCGAGACCAGGCCACCAGGCAAGCGGTGCGACAAGGGAAGGCAACGGAGCAATCAGAGGAGTTGGGGAGTAGCAGAGGTCGAATTCTTTTCTGACGATGACTGCAACTCCAAAATTCCTCTGGAGAACAACGGTCGCGAACCACAGTGGCCGACATCGTCGGGAGAAGTCAACACTGTGATTGGCAATAGGGCGCGAAACATGCGAGCAACTGTTGTCACAGGAGGGTAGTTTATTCTCTTGATTACACCACCTTTTTCTCCTTTAATTAACTGAGTTCTGACACTTTTCTCTCGCTTTCCCGGTTAATTATTCGGCATGATCAATAACGATCCTGATCTATGCCATCGATTCGTCTTCATCAGGTAGAACTTTAAAATATTGTCCAAGATGTGCAGGACGATAGCTACCCTAAACTACTTAACCGTTCACGGCATCGTACTTCCACTTCCTCGTTCGTCTACTGCGCCCGCATCTCCATGACCTCCAGGTATCGACAGATCGAAGCACAAGCGAGTGTAAACTACGACTACTATGCATTGAACGCAGCGGACGGGAAGCTAGATACTATCTGGGGAGCTGATTGCAGAACAGCTATGAATGGCGAAATAGACGATGCGGCGATGTGCTCGGAACGAGATTGGGTAGGCTTTGATTTCGGCGCGCCCAAGACCGTCAAATGCATCAAGATCTTGCAGGCTCGAAGCGACTTGAATCAGGTATGATTTGTCCTGTCTTCCTTTCTTTTCAGACGACGCTATAGAAGAAAAATTTGAATTTATAACATTTACGCTTGCTTTATAAAACTAAATGGATCTGGATGTTGCCGTCATCTTATTCGCTGCTTCGCTGCCCTTAGTCTTATTCCGATTTCGTACTTCGCAATAGGATAATGCATAGTGTAGTCCGAATCGAAAGCTACATTACTTGGAACTCGGATTCCGAAACCGAACAATCCTAAAAATCTCTCAGTGTTGCGACCCAGCTGCTCGTATGGCAATGGATCGATGGAATGGGACTGACTGGGTGATGACAGAGTGGCGACACGAACCTCAAGACGATGGCACACGGGATGCTGTACGCGTCAGAGCCGATTTCACTAACATGGGACAGTGCACTCCAGACAACATCGAACGGAGAGGGCGCCGCGAGACCGAGTCCTGCATGATCCCATTGTCGTCAATCACAAGGACGCTTGGTATAGTTGTTACGATCTTTAGTATTACAGTTGTGGCCATCTAATAGTACATAGAAGTCGAAACTACGACTAGGCTCTCGTGTGGATGTGCTCATTTATGATGTTTAGTTGCTAAAAAAAGTACTGCGTTGTTGTTGACTATTTTCAGTACAAGTAGCAAGTGCTTAGGTTATACGAATCTCGGAATTGTGTTTGTGACTATGCGACTGAGTAAAAAAGACATGCAGCGCATTGTGAAGTGATTGTTAAAAAATGATTTGTTTTGTCGTGGTCCCCTACTTCCCGCTCCCGACTCAGGTCATCCGCTGTGCATCAAGCACGAGTGGTGCACAGAAATCGGGTTTCGTGGCGATTGCTGTCCCACCGGCGGCGACCACATGTCGCGATGCTGCTGCACATACCTGAAAGAGATGAAGATATTCGTCGACGAGATTGATCTCGAAGACCGCGGCGACGCGTACGATAAGATGGACCTTGAAATGGTCACAATTCAGTGGACAAAAGTTCTGCCTTTCTGGTTCATGATCCTGGCCATCATCTGGTTCGTCCTAGTCAATCTGGAGGAACCGGATCGCGAAAGCAAGTACCACATCTACTGGGAACGACACTGTTTACCTTTGAGATTATGGTTCAACACGGAAGGCTATGCGCAGCGCTTTTTGCGCAAATTCACCTTCGAGAAATCGGACAAACCGCAAATCAAGGTGCAACTTCTTTTGGATGTTGTTGACTCTCTAGAGGATGATCTCTATTCTTGCCTGCTTTGCCGAAATACAACTAGCGGAAATGTAATTTACAGCACGAGCAAGTAGGAAAATTTATTGAAGATGTTTTGCACAGTCCTTCGCAGTTTCTCTTGTCCTTGTGGAGCTTACTGGTTCTTCCGATTAAAGCAGATTCACGGCAGTTTCTCTTGTCCTTGTGGAGCTTACTGGTTTTTCTGATTATAGCAGATTCACGAAGAACTTCATCATCGATCACCAAAGCGACCAAACTAACATTTATTTTTTGACTCACTTACACTTCTTGACAACAAAACAAAAAAACCTTATGAATACACCTACATCAACATCTCACCAGGCCGCCAAATTTCTTTCCGTTATGTTGGCCTTTTTCGTGCTTGGTGGTGCTCTCATTTGGATCATCCTTGCGTATGTCGCGGCTTCGTTCGTCCTCTACTGCTATTTCATGGCGGTTCTGGTGGTGAAGTGGTGCAAGAGTGTCTATTTTCCAGGACACGACCACGACGAGTGGCGACGGCACGCTATCACGCAAGTAGCCATCAACCCCGACCAGAGCGACGTAAAGTATCCGACGAGCTTGGGTCTCGTGAAGGTTTTCGGCTCCACACTGGCGTTCACCTTTTTCTTCTTCTTCCGCTGGATCTTCGACCTACTGTTGTTCCAGAGCATCATGTTTATGCTGGGCTTCGGAGACACCAACATCTCGGCATACATGATTGTCCTCCAGGTTCCGAGAATATCGATCCCGGCGTTCGACGACTTCATAGATACGGGAACGGATCTGATGAATTCGGTACTACTTTTACTTATGCCTTGCCTAATACTGCTTTGGCTAGGATAGAAATGAATGTTACACGGTAACACTTATAAATAAAGGTAGGTCAGCGTCAGGACGAACGCGTTGGAACGCTTTTAGGGACTCAGTTGCTCGTGTGGTACTTTCAACACTCCGTTTCTTCGATGAGATACGTCTTAATCCACTTTACACCCTCAGATCCTTGGTGTCGCGCCAGCTTCTTACGTGGAGATTTTGTTTTTTCTTTTCAATGGAATTCCACGTTGCAAGGGCCCTGCAGTCCTGTTCGGCAGCATGAACATCATGGCGATTTGCCTAGTGCTGATCAAGATTTTGAACTATGATTTTTTTGGTCTCTTCGCCGCGGGTCGCTACGCCATCAGCACGACCAAGCCCAGCTGTCAGCAGGCTCTGTGCCTAGGTTGGAACATGCTAATGGAGGCCTTCATTTTCGTGACGGCCCAGTGTTTCCTCGTCGCGGTGCAGATGTTCAAGGACCTAGCGATGCCAGGTAGTCAAAATTGGATGTGCCCATGGGACGACGGCATCGTGGTCTTTATAGCATTGATGCTTCTCTACGGCTTGATCATCTCGTTTTTGATCATCGTCATCCTTTGCGCAAACGGCCACTTCTACGGCCAAGACTACATCCTCGGACCGCTGGGTCGACAGCTCGGCATGAATTTTGATCGTTTGGATCCGGACGGAACAGGTACAACAGTCGAACTGATGCTCTTTTTTTATGCTATTCTACTTTTCAAAAAAGAACCAATTATGTGGTGCTATAACTAGTAGAACCTTATGTTCATCTGCTTAATCGCACCTTTGCTGCGAACAATTCGGATAGTATTACTCACTTAGGAACAATGCGAATACTCACGACCTACACTTTATTTTATCCAGAAGGTCCATCCAGGTCATGACTTTGTATACCTATAGAACCTCCACTCGCCTACTTGCACAAAACCTACCTCAGGTCCCGATGGTGGCATGATCAACCTAGAGGTGCTTTTTGCCGTGATTCCTACGACGTTTGGCGTTTGGTTGGACGACTGGAACGTGCCAGCGTACCTCATGGTCGAGCGGGCTCACGTCTACGCGGAAGAGCTGTGGACTCCACACAAATGCGACTGTTGTGGTGAAATCCATGTGCCATACGAGGATATCATCCGTGCCCAAAGCCGTAACGTCTCTCTCTGTTACCAGGCTTTACCAGCAGGTCTGCTGTTCGGCAAGTTGTGCGAATACATGAACTTCCCGCCAATATACTACGAAGGAAAGAGAATGCGCTGTCTGCTGAAGGTACTTCTTTCACACTTGTGGTTGTCGCTTAACACTTGTGGTTGTCATTGTTGCAGAAGTTCATCTACCTTTTTCGTGTAGCTTGTGGTCTCTTATGCATTCGTAGCCGTAGATACTAATATCTAAGGAACATCTTAGTAGATGTCATACACCTACAGATGCATTACATAGCACTACTAAGTACTTCATTGTGTAGTCTTGTAGGTCCTTACTTCTCACCGTAGCACTCACACTATTCATCACACCGAACATCAGGTGAAGCATTCTCGTCGTTTGGAGTACGAGTTCTATGGAAAGCTGATGAACACGTGGTTCCCGCGGATTTCGTCACTTTTCTCCTTCGGCTTGTACATCCAGCTGATCGCCACAATTTTGGCGATGACCGAGGAAAACTACCAGACGGTAGCGAAGAACTCGTTCTATGCTGCGTTTGCACTTTGCTTCGTCAAATCCTCCTTCCATATCTTTGCGAGGAGATTTGTGCTGTTCCTGGAGGGGAGAAGCATGGAAGTATTCTTGAAGAAGAATCCAAGGGCCAAGCCACCTCCTAGCGACGAAGAGCTCAAGAGAAAGGACAAAGAAAAGATTCTGGGAATCCAACGGCACGAACTGCCAAATCTCCGGATCTTGTTAGGGCATCTGGCGCATGGCATTGTGATCGGGTCTGTGTACGGCGGGTTGGCTGTCAGTGGACAGCTGATCTCCGAAACCGCCGGTCTATGGGTCGGAATGAGCATAGGTACAAGTTTTTTTTTCTTAATGTGAAAGAAAAAGAAAAGCATCATTATCTCATAAGTAAGTCTGTGTGTTTGCTGTAGTGTTTAACAAGAATCACTCAACACAAAAATTTGAGGTCTTGCCGGCGGTTGGTTACCGATCTATATGTACTACCTGATGGAGAACCCGGACGTTCCAATCTTCTTAGTTGGCTCCTTCAAGATCGGATTCGCGATGGTGATTGCTTTAGGAGCGTTTTTTCTCGCCGATGAGGCTGGCTACTCCTTCCGCTTCGCCCAGATCATGGCAAGCACATGCTTCACGCTGCAGGCGCTTCCCGCTGTTGTTTGCTTTAAGAAGCGTACCTACGACGAGCGCGGCATCTTGAGCCCTAGCTTGTTGCAGCCAGTTCTTTTTACGTATCGCGGTATCCCGAACTACCTGGCGATTATTACAGCCATGTTCATGACGTGCATCCCAGCCAAGATGCTGGTGCCAAAGCCACTAGACGGCAGCGAGAAGGAACGCGTCATCGACGGCATCACGACGCAGGGTAACTACCGTGACCTGGCAGCGGAGAAAGACATGCTCGGTTACGTGCTATTTGCTTTGATTATAGCGAGTTACCTCACGGGTATTGTGGCCGCGTTTCTAGTTGCGGAGCAGCTGCACAAACGGCCTGTTGTCTTGGCCATCGCGTCTGCTTACATGATGATTCTCGCCTTGCAGCCCTTCATGTTCATCCTGTTTGCGCTCTTCATCGGCGTCATCTTCGGCCTGGCCGTCGGTGGGCACATTGAGTCCAGAGAGGTGCAGAGAATCAAGGGCATTTCCCTACACGACAAGATTCAGGTCTACGGAGACCTCAGTCACGCGGACAGCAAGGCTGCGCGAGTCGAGATCCAGAAGGAACAGAAGCGCCAAGCTTACGCGATTCAGAACGCCATTGACGAGCAGAGGCCAATATGCCTGCCAGGCGAAATGGTCACGGTACAACCTCTTTGTTTTTCTTCTGATAGAATTACTACTCGTCTTTGTCTCTTAAAAATAGAAATAGTAGAACCACTCCTCTAGCTCTACGTACTGTCTCTGTTGAACAACATGGTGCAAAGCAAATCTCAGTCACTATTCTTGCTGTATTTCACAACATGTCGACAACACGAATAACACAACAAACATCAACATGCATTATTTTTTCAACATCAGATCGACGAGTTTGGTGACCCAACGGACCCTGACTACGTGGCTCCGTTGGAGCTGCCAGCGATACCTTCCATAGCGGAGCTGGTTCAGCAGAAGCTGGACGGCGAGGAAGATATTGTGAAGGATTTGAAGATGTCGCAATCGCGTGCCGCCATCCAGTTCGCGGCGGGCCTGAAGGATCTGCAGAGCGAGGAAAAGCCGGGTGATAAGGTCGAATCCATGTCCTCGATCGGGCAAGTCGGAAGCGCGAATCCGAACCGAAGTCTGGTGGCCCAGAAGATGAACCTAGAGAAAATAAAGAGCGGAGAAGCGACTGGCCGCGTTGCTAGTCCACAGTTGGCGCTTACAGGTGGTCCCGGAGCTTTGCCGCTCGAGGATGGAAGTCCGTCCGGCGGCGGCCGCAAACCAGACCACGCACTCGAAGTTCTCTTGGCCCTTGAGGGGAGACCAGGCGCCAGACTGCTCAACGTGCCGCAACTTGCTCTCCCTACCATCGATCAGGAAGGCGACATCGTGGCAGAGGAGGAAGAAGAAGAGGAAAACACAGTGGACGCCGATGATATGAAACTAGAAGTCACAAAGAGTCCAGATAACCAGATTGTTGCTGCTGGAGGTCAAGATCCAGCCGACATGGAGCATGGTCACGACATGGTCTTACGCGACAACGAACCGGCACAGTATACCTTCGACGAAACCGTGCATCAGTGGTAACTTATCTTATACTTGTGACTAATCTTCAGTACGCTTCGAACGCTGTTGTAGCAGGAACGTTCACGACATGGTTCAATTAAAAGGTGTGTTCTCGTCTCAGAATGATTCTGCTCTACTAACGAAGATGAACAAGAAGCATTCTTTATCTTTTATCGCAACCTATACCTACTCAACATCCAATACCTTACAGGTATGACCCTTACACCGGGTACTACTACGACGATGCGCGTCAGGAGTGGTATTTGCCACAGAGTTCGGGTGGAACGGGACCGTCAGGCTCAGCAGGGCCACCGAAGGCGACGCGCGCCAGCTCCCTGCGCAGCCAAGCCGAGCATATTCAGCGAATGCACGATCGCAAGAAGGGGGTACGAAAGCCTGGTGGAAGATAATCATATCTATGATATCTCGTCCAGCGCGTATAAGCTTTTACTCTTTTCTGCAATAATATGGTCAAGATTACGACTTGTGAACTCTTTTATCTTGTTCTTTGAAGTACTTAATACCGAGCTGCTTGCAGCATGCAGGGGAAAACATCTCATTGTGATTTGATAAACAGCACGAACGATCAACATCAACAATGTCCTTGGGTTCATAATCTTTTATAGAAAGCCGAAGTCAGCAGCAGCACATCAACCGAAGAAGTTATACCGAATTGAATATTCGCACAGATTCGATAGAATAGATTTTTATAGCTAAAGAACGTCACCATCTCAAGACGTTGAATTTGTACCACCACTGTTAACGAAGCCATTGGTGTGCTGCTTTATTGCACTTTACTGAGCTTTGATCTGTAGAAATTACGATTCGAAGTGATTCCCATTCCCCTTCATCTTAATGATTCACTGGTATCCCCAATCCGTTGCCCAGTTGTTAGTACAAATAAGTGTGAAGCAGGTGTTGTTTTTAACATTGTTTTTGAAAGAAATATTCTTGAGCTCGTACAACTTCTGATCATAAGGCTAGTACTATGACATAATGAAGTGGAAGATCGCCAGGAACAAAGAGGAAAAGAGCAGCAAGAAATGATCAGATTTAGGGAAAATGACTATTTGAATGCGAGCCACAAGATGAGGCTGCCGCAGACCAAAGCTAACCGATATTAAGCACATCTAAAAATCCAGCGACGGAAGAGGACATTTATACAAAATCTTCGCTGGCGCGAGTATAATAATAATTGAAAAGCATGCACCAATAGCAATAAAGACCTCAAAATCGTTCTTGCCTAGAAATAGAGACTCACCAAGAGACGTTCAGTAGCATATAATTCTGACAGAGCAGATTAACATTATTATAGCGATGGATAGCGATACCAATAAAGGTAATCTTCACGGTAGCGGTAGCGGATTATAAGAGAAGATGTTCACGGTAGCAGTGTCGATGTTTAAATAGCAGATGATGAGTAAAGTGATGAAAGATGTTGTTGATCTTCGAATATCATTTGAGTCTTGGTGCAGAGCTTGCACATTTTGCTTCGTTGATCCTGCTCTTGAAGAGAACGCTGTTAGATTATGACACCTTGAAGATGCAGTTCCAGTTACTTCCAGTTCAATTACTTTGCACAGAAGTTGAATAAGTTGAACATGTTTTTGAAGTGAACAACTTGTTTCAGTTGTTGAGGGTACTGCCTAACTAGGTCGGATGTTCTTTTTTTACTAAAAGCAGACGTGGTGGTCTGCAAGTACAAAGCATCTAGGTTCTTTCTCTCAAAGCTGACTCTTCGAAGTTGGACTTTTCGAACAATAAGAAGTAGGTGGGGGCTACTGCTACAAAAAGTCGTTAAAAGCTGAAATACTACAAAGTCAAAGATAACGCCTGTGCGGAGCACGTGCACAGCTTGCCTTCAGCGTACGCCGTACTCCTTTTGGCCACGACTTTTCTGGTGCAGTATCGTCATCGTTTCAGTTGCTGGGAGCTGCTCGAACCTTGTACCAGTGAAGGCGTCGGTTACCAGCATTCCATTGATGCGCTCCATTGTAGTTTCAAAATAGAGAAAAGTGTCGCTCTAGTCATCTGTTGCGGATGCGGATAAATCTGTCAGGTTTGTTCAGCTGCAGAGTAGAAGGAGATTCTTCCGGATGTCAGTACTTACTACTTAGATGAGGAGAGGTCAAACCATCAATGACAGGAAAAGAGAGACAGAGACAGGTAGAGAGAAGGAAGAGATAGAGAAAGGGGGAGAGACGAGGAAATACAATGGAAGCTTTCACAGACCGCGGCTTTGATTTACGCAAAATTTTGTCAGCACATAATTGATCTATTTCTTACTCGCAGTAAAATATTTTTACCTCATGATTATCTCTGGCTCTGGTAGTACTTACGTCGTATCTCATCAAGAAAATGCCGGCGTCCAAATCCTTTCAGGAATACAGTCGTCAAAAGGCGGAGGAAGACTGGCAACGGAAGGTCGACAAGCGTAAGAAGGAGCTCAGCAACGACGAGAGAATACAGACGGCTACAGAATACAAAAAGATTGGCGCAGACAAATTCAAGTCGGGAAACATCAGCGAAGCGATAGAGTAACAATGCTTATGCTGCTACGTAGTGTACTTAATTGTCGTATCTTCACGATCACGGGACGCTCGGCTGGATGACAAAGAATCTTGATCTTCAAAGTTCTTCCTTGACAAATGAAATGAGTCCTGCGGAAAGGAAACTACAGATTCAGAGTTCTTTGACCCATTTTTTCTCGAGAAAACACTTTTCAGATAGTTTTCGAACAAAATTGATATTCTTCTTTATCGTGCTTCACACTACTTTCACAATCATCATGATGTGTGTCTCAGGTACTATCGCGAAGCGTACTGCTACGTGCATGACCTAGTCGATGCCAGACGCCGAGAACGCGTGAAACTTACGGTGCCGCTTCTCCTGAATTTGGCACTGTGTTACGAAAAACAAGGCGACAAGGTAGTACAGGAACTCGAAAGAGAAAAGGTTAAGTTCGACCCAGCCCAATTTGGCGTACAGTACAAGTCTGCTCCGACCAACAATGAGGACGAGGAGGAAGAAGATGAAGGTATGAGAGGCTCGCGGCAGATACTCACAATAGCCACAGATTCTGTTTGTCCTTACTTCGTTCGATCTATCATCATGCGGGACCGACGCAAGCGCTATTCCAAGGACTCTCGTAGTACTACCATCATTTACTCACGCTTCAATATACTGTCGCTCTTCCCTTGTGATGCTTTGGTACGTTTTCCTCAAACTCGAAATACTATATTTATTTGTTTGGATTCGAAAGTTTTCATTTGCTTTCCGCTGCCTGCGATCGCTCGGCCAATGAACTCGCTGCCGTTGAACGCTTCCCAAGAAGGGCGTCAGAAAGACGCGGTTGCCCTGTATGAGAAGATGCGTCACGATGCTCGTGAGGCCGTAAGAATTGCGGATATACCTCGGAACGAAGTCGAGGCCACTTTTGTGCTGAAATCGCGCCTCCGACTAGCAGTTGCTGGTGAAAAGCTGCGCGACTGGGAGCTTGCCGCCAGAGAACTCAAGAAAATTCTGCAGGAACAGCAATTGCTGCAAGAAAAGGTGTATGACACCAGGGGATGAAGAAATATTAAATTGACTTTGGCAGTTGTAGATGATAACGATCTCGATCAGTAAAGGATTCATTATTTACGGTTAGTCTAACAGATTATGATAATTCAGATACAATTTAATTGGAAGAACAGAAAAGAGTCTACAAATGGCGGTTACGATGATGAGTGAGTGTCTTATCATTCTTCCAAGAAGCTGTTGTTTTTCCGCCTCCTCATACATGGGGCTCCTATGAATTTAGACGAGTGAATGTGAAAGAAAAATACAGCGGCACACTACTAGAGCAAATATATAATTTCAATAATATCAGAATTACGGAATGGGAAAACACGACAACCTTCAAGCTAGTATCCTCTAGGCATTTGTATTTTTTAGTTGTGTGTCTAGACATCGTTCAAAAGTTGCTGCCTTCAAAATCGAAAAACGGCGGACGGAGTCGATCTCTCAAAGGTCGAGGCAGCTCAGCGTGCCTTTGTTGAGGATGCCCTGACCCGCTGGCCACGCGTCTCTGCTGCCCTCGAATCTCAACGCGCTTCTGCAGCAGTTCCGCGTGGCTTCTTGAATAAGAAGAAGAAGGTGACGCAAGACCATGTGGATGCACATCAAGCAAGACCAAATAATACAGAGGGAAAAGACACTGACCACCCAAGCAAGAAAAAGCTCAATGACGAGCGGGAACATCAACAAGAAGGAGACCAAGTGAAAGACCACAAAAAGGATCAAGGCAGCGACGATGATCCTGAGGCAGAGGCTGCGAGGAAAGCTTTCAGTTCTCAAGTTTTCGAGAAGCTAGCCAAGTCGAAAGGCAACAAGATGCTGTACGAAGAGCGGGACCGCGCCATGGAGCCCGCTAGGGAGAAGATTGCGCACGACAACAAAGTTCTTGATCTAGAACGCGAACTCATGATTATGCTTGTTCATCTTGTTGGCTAGTCCTAGTAGCACGAGGACTAGCATCTTCTATTGAAAATATATCCATGAAGAAGATGATTGCACTTTATGTATGAGAATCATCCGAGATAAGCAGGCCCTGGTGCTAGAAGTACGTAGGAAAGTCCTTGTGACGGCAAAAATCAAGTATAATTGAAATTGTGATCATTACAGACGCGAAAGTCACAGCTGGCAGGACGATTCGCCTCTAATGACGATATCGTAGTCGAAAAGGACTCCGAAAAGGCAGCTACGCTGGAGGAGTATCAAAAGCACCGGGAAGCAAGGTTTGAGACGCAAGAGGAGCAGTTGGGCTACAAAAAGAAAGTGCTGGACAAAATTGAAGCTGAGAAGAAAATCGCCGAGGAAACAGCGTGGGCGCAGCGTCTCGAAAAGCAGAAACGTACGAGGGAACAGCAGAAATTATGGACAATGATAATGTGAATCAATTGTTTTTTTACTTTGACTCGTACTCCGAAAATCTCCTGGTTCAAATTGGCAAACTGATGTTGAAAGGAGGTAGTCCTAGTTTCTAATCCCCGCTTCAGTCAGGTTGCGAACAGGAAACACGGCTGCTGGGTCGCAAACGATTCATCAACCGTTGACTGCTGGTGATGACGGCGACAACGACCTGCACGTTGAAGAAATAGACGCCTCGACTGGACAGCCGCTGGCGCATGATAAGCTCCAGCCTGCAAATGCGCCTCCTCCAACCAGCAACTTCGGACACCAAAGCATGGAATGTGAGCGCCTACTCAAGCATCGCTTAAAAGAGATACTTCTCGGCGTAGCACTAGAAAGCGATGATGACCTCCCACAGAAGAGCGTCTATGAAACGATTGGCAAGATGAATGTGGTCGATGAGGGAGAGGGCAGCTATTGCCTAAAGGGACTCATCGCGAACGTCGAAGTAGAAGGCGATTGCGGTGTTTTCCGCACGAAGTCTTACCATGTATGGCCGAATCAAGGTTGTGGTTGTAGAGGAATCGTTTCACTGAGAAGTAGAACACAGGAGTTGTAGTTTCTTTTTTCCACCTGTACAAGATGAACACATTCATAGATTCTTCTTTCTTCCATCCCATCGAAGATCCTCCCTTTCATCCCTCCTTCTTCATACTGGGCTGAAGCCTTCCACTACTGGGATTTCAAGCTGGAAATCGATTGGGAAGTATGCGTAGCGAGACGAGGCGCCAAAAGCTACCGGCATGCCGAAGATATCATGAAAGAGGTCGCGAAATTATGAAATTCATAGCGAAATCTTTTGAACCTCCTCCTGTTCCCAAAAAAAAGTGCGACGATACAGAAACTTGTATTAAGTGATTTCATGTATGGTAAGGCATTATTTGTTGTACTTATACACCTACTCGTTAAAAGATTTAATTTCAGTTTCTACTTGAAAATCTGTCTCTCTTTCTTTCTAATGAATGGTTACCGTGAACCTGTCTCTGAGGCGAACTCGAAAACTGGCGCCGGGCATTGCGATGCTCCACCTACAATTGCGAAGAACGCGCTTACGTGGGGTCGGTTTTCGATACTCGATTTTAGCAGTGACGAAAAAGGAGAGTACTTCTAAAATCAAATAAATGCAACTACAACAACGAACAACAAGAACTTCAACTTTTTTTCTGTCAAGAACGAACGAAGTGTGTGCCGTCTTGCGTAAGGTTCTTGAACTATTTCTTAGCACCTTCTCGGCGCCGTCGAGGAGCAACATCTAGAGGGACAAAACGCTACTTCGCGTCACCACTTTCTCAGGTACGACCAAGAAGCGCTTCAGTTTTCGAACCTCACGGAGCACAAATGCGAACGTGGCGGGAAGTTGACACGTTGGAGCGAAGATCTTGCGACTGACCTTGGTCAAGTGGTCCGCAAGCGCCTGACCCGATTCGTAACTGAATTCAGAAACATGGATGTCGAGTAGCAGGAAATATAATCAACTTCTTCCAGACCTCATCGACTTCTTAGTCTTACAGATTTTCATTTTTATTAACAAAGTAGTTTGTTAGGAATCAATAGGCAGGGTCTGCCCGCATAAAGGATAAAGAATGCGAAAAATGAGCATGAAAGCGTTTCTCCGGGTTTTGGACATTTCAAAGACCGAAAAAACGTGATGAAAAGTGCTGCATGCCTTTTACTTGTTGATGATGCACCAACACGTGCGACAGCGACTCTGAATCTAAGTAGATATTGATATATCTCCTCTTCATTTACAATTACAATCTTCATCCGGTATCCATCGCGCGTGGCTGCCAATCATGTCATATCGCAGCGCAAGAGCAAAAATGAGGTTCTCATCGTCCGCTACTGTAGTACTACCAGCCCACAGTAGGTTATCAGGTAATGACTGGGATGACGATGGTGATAGAATTAGAGAGAATCTTTCCTTCAGACACGCGTGGCATCAGAGTGAAGACGAACACAAGCTATTTGATAAAAGAGGTAAGGACCAACGCTACCATTTTTCAATCAAATGTTAGCTTGATATTTATTTGGGTTTGCAAAAGCAAAAAGCTTCGCATTTTTGAGTTTGTGCATACGTTTTGCGAATATTCTTGGAGTCGTCTCTTCCAAGAATTTCATCACGTATTTTCTGTTCTCCATAGTTCTTTTCGTTTTTTTATCAATCGTTCGTTTCGCAAGTTATACTCGGTTCTTATTTTTGTTCTTACATTTTTACAACTTGCTAATTCATTGTACTTGATTATTCCCTGGGTAAACGTACCTTCCAAGAAAGAAAAATGGCTTCATTTCTATGGTCGTTGGTCGCTTCGGCATTGGCCTTACGCACCATAAATTGTCTTCATCTTGACCAGAGCCCCATGTCGAGGGTCAGAGTCACCTTGCTGCAGCTTTTGGTCTCCTACCTTCTATTTTCAGGCTTCTCGAGTGCTGGCGCCTTTGCTGCACATCTCAAGTCACCGAGAAGTCCGCTGCCTACAGGTCTGGTTCCGACAGTATCTGGAAGATCTACATCTAGCGCATGGCCTGAGGCAGCACCTGGCACGCAATCAGTTCCTCATGCTTCACCGTCAGATGAAGCAGGAGAGGCTCCGCAACGAACTGCTCCTGCTGCTTCGATAGAGGGGCAGCTTCCTCAGTATCTTCTTTACGACGACTACCTCTATCTACCACTATCCTCTTCCCTCGAAATGGAGCTTCTCACTTAGTCTGACAGACAAAATTGAGAATGATACAACCAATTACAACTTCAAGAAAAGCGTGTTACTGTTATTCTCTTTGATTGAGATTAGCTTTAGCTCTAACTCGCAACAACACCAAGTCTGCCTCCGCCTCCGATGCCGCCAATCGGGACGCCACAAAGTGGTCTCCTGGAGCAAGCTGCGGCTAGGCTCTTACCGACTCTGTTAGCTCAACACCAGAACATGGGAGACTTGCTCAATGGCGGTCGTCACGCAGCGACTCAACCATTTCTTGCGCCACAACAAGGTCAAGGGTCTGCTTCAGTTAAGGCTACTATTTGAATATATAGACGCATCTTTCCAGACATCTCCGTGGTCCCGTCTCTTTCTCAAGGGGAAAGGAAACAAAACGGGAACCAAGTAGATCTAGATGCTCTACTTCCAGATGGATTGATGGTAGTCGGTCCTAATTCAAAGCATCAGCAGCAGCAGCAGCAGCAGCAGCGTGAGCCTGAGCTTCATACCACAAGGATGCGCTCACTATTACCAGGCGTTCTCATGGAGTGCGAGAGGATTATACAAACATGCGAACTTGCTCTTCTTATGGGGATTAGTTTTCTTCTTTTCTACTTGGGACTAACATACAACTGGAAGTATTATCATACGTGGCGGCACGTCTTAATCTTACTCTTTCTCTCCTTTCCTCCAACAAGCATACTCGGAAAGCACGTGCACTTGTCTAATACCAACGAGTGCATCCGTGAATGCTCCAACGACTCAGATTCGATTCAATTCAACGCAGGTGCAAACCTACCGCGTAATATTAGAGGCGAGCAGCCTCCTACTCCACAAGCTCCAGTACAGGGACAACATCAGGCACAAGTTGCAACTTCCACGCCAGTAGTATCGCATGGGAAAGCATTATATACGCCTGGTATCCAACATTTAGGATCTGCGTTTCAACAACAGCAACGAAATGATCAGGACCGATGCAACCTACAGCAAGAAGATCCGCTGCGCCAGCTTCGAGGACTGTCGTATGGTACTGGTGCAGGACGAATCGATCATCCGGGAAGTAACGGTGGTTGTGGTTCTAGTCATCTTTCATCAAGACCGATCGAGTTAGCGGCTGCTCTTCCTTCTTCTTCTGCATCCCCAGGTCATTTCGCGTCCTCACCAACACCAACATCAGGAGCTGCGCCTCCAGGTCATTTCCCGTCCTCACCAACACCAACATCAGGAGCTCCCCCTTCTGGTCATTTGCATTTCGCGTCCTCACCAACACCAACATCAGGAGCTCCCCCTTCTGGTCCCCTTGCATCAAGGCCAGAACTAAGTGGAATGATGAGCGAACAAGTACTAGACGGCGTCGGCGATGGTTCATCTCCTTCTCTGGAAGACAAGAGAATGGAAAACCTCATATGGCAGAGTCCATCTCGTAGTTCATCGTTCTCGACTTCAGCGCCTTCTATCACAGCGCCGACGTACTTTTCCCGTGGCGCGTCGTGGGAAGATTGTAGTCTTTTTCCCGAATGCGCTTCTTCCTTTTCGTTCCCTGGACAGCAGCAGCAGGGTGACGAAGACGATGACAAAGGAATTATAAAGTTCCAGGAAAATCCATTACACTCAAGTGGTGCCACCGCCCAAACTACTCCTGGATCTCGATCCCCAATTTTACCCGCCCCGAACGGGACAGAAGCAGTAGGGCAAGCAGCTGCAGAGCTAACTTTTAAACCCCTTGAAGCGTCCCAGCGGCATCATGCAAGTTATGCAGAGGGACTACCAGGTGATTTGACTCAGAGTGAAAAAGAAGACGATCTGCTGCAACAACTCCTGCGACCAGAATCGGCCGACAATGATGCAGAAAACCCTCTTCAAGTTCAAGGGAAGCACCCACATTTTTCGCGGCAAGGAGATTCGACAGAAAAGCAAGCGCTGGAATTTTGTGCATTTGAAGGCAGCCCTAAGATCAATCCAAACTATTCTGCTGCTTCTTCGTCCTCTAGGACAGCCCAGCGCCACGAACTGTCCTTCATCAAAAGCATTCCGTTCCAGGAAGCGTCTCAAACTAGCTGGGCTACCACGATTCGCAGAATGCGGAACGAGCGCGCGGCGTCCAACAACGCGAAAAATGGGTTTTATGGACAGGCGTGTAGTAGTACCAATCTTGCAACAGCGACCGCAACTACTCGCAGCTCATCTGGCGTCGAATCCTCGTTAAGACAAGCTGCGCCGCCTGTGTCTGTGTGCAGACAAGATGTTAAGAGGAGCGCGACTAGTAGTGACGTTGGAGGCGACCAGAGTGACACGGCGGTGAGGATGAGAAGTGCGATGAGCGCAGATGTGATATCTCACCATCAACAGCAGCAGGGTTTTCGTAGCAGTCCGACTTCAGGCAGAGGCAGCAAAAGACCAGAAAGACGCGTCACCTTCGAGGCGCACGAAGAAAGGCATGAAGATGATGTAGCAAAGTCGACTGTAACCCCGCCTTCTAGGGGTAATACAACAACAACCGTGGATTTGGTGGATTCTAGCACCTACGGACGTTCCGGAAATCCGAACGCGGCTGTTGATTATCCCCCGTACTACACTATCACTTACACACATCAACACCAAGGTCCTGCTGATTCCGCCATACCTCTAAGAAAGGACGACACTTCATATAATGCTATACCACAGTCAGACGTCAGCGCCTGTATGAATGAGGAAACAGCTACTGATCAAAAATGTCGGCACCAGTCAAGTCCAGCAGAGCAACGGCTGGCAAAGGAGCTAACTTCATCAGGCCCTTTACCCTCCTCCGAAACAGACGAAGGAGTAGATGCAGCATTTGGAACTCTGATACAACTAGAGGAATTGATTTTCGCCAATGCGGTGAGATGGAGTCCACCGCTTGACCGCGCACACACTGGCATAACACGACTTCAGGGCGCATACAAAGACAAAAGTGGAGAAGCCCGTGGTGGAGCTAGCTACAAATATGCAGGGCTTTCCCACGCTACGCCCAGCGCGTTGCTCAACTGTATGCGTGATGCCGCTCTCGTCGGACAAGATTAGGACTGACCATTTATCTGAGACTCAAACTAGGAATCTTTCAATGCAGATAAACATGAATTTATATCTATTCTGTTAAGTAAATCTTTTTCTAGAGCTCTGGTGTTGCCGATTCACTAGACTTAAACGAAAAAACTCTAACATCCTCTCGTTTAGAAGTTCTCCGTTTGTCAATAGGAATATTTGTTGTGATTTATTCAACGAATATCAGAAAACGTATTATAACGACAACCAAGAGAGACACTCACGGCCCTAGGAATAATTGCCCATAGTTATTTAGATCTCCTCTTCTCTATCTCTCAATCTTCCAAGGCAATTATAATCTCACGCTTACCACGTCATTTAGACCAGTACAACTACTTGTGCTTTTGGTACTAGTTTCTAATCTGAGACAACTCCAGGAAAGAGAAGTATCATACCGCGATCTATAAAGATCGCGCCACGACGATTTCAGCCTGCCAACATTTCGATCGCCAGTGACCATTTTGCGTCTCTGCAAGACTTGACCATATATCGGCACTACGAGCTTGCCTCCACTTGGCCTACGATGACGATGATAGTCTTAAGGGTTATTTCCACATTACATCCTCCACTCACATTCTTGACCCTTGTTCAAGCGGAAAAGAGGTCACTCAAGGATGTTCTGAAGAATGTACTGCTATGCTGCAACAGCAACCTTTAAAATTCAGTGCGGAAGACGAAACGCACACTCTGCGCCCGGCGTCGGATTCGCCGTCGGAAAAAGGACTGATACATCTGTATGTCACACTCCCGCAAGCCTTGCGAATGGCTTTATATTCGTTCCTATTGTTTGAAAACGAAGTTCCGAGGAAGTTTCGACACAAAGCTCCAGATGGCCGACAAAATTAAGGATAACTGGCGACTCATGCGCCTATCTCTAGTTCATCTGACTACTTTTTTACAGAGGGCGACTCCTTCAAGCATACTTTTGCAACTAGGCTGCATATCTTCATATCAATATTTTCTTTTCTAGTAAATATAGCTGCTTTGGACGAATATTTTCTTCAAGAAAAATAGATATCCGTTGATTAGCATCAAATGACTTAAGTTGGTATACTACAGCTCTAAGACAGAAGGCGACAGTATTCCCTGCCGGGCCTGACACATGGCAATTTGGTGCACATATTCGAAATCGCATTGCAATCTATTACCGAACCAGGTCTGGCAGAAACCCTGCGGCAACAGTGGCTACCAGAATGGATTGATCTCTGCAAAGGCATCCTACAGAATGCAAACGCCAAGTAATAGTAGAGACGGATACACCTCCTCTAGCTCCACCAGATGTATACCACCACTAACCGTGTATGTACTCAGCGAATAATCCGTCTCCATTGTAGAGATGTTCCAGATCGTATTATTGCAGAGCGCATGAATCTAACTAGCTGTGGTATCTTCCTCTTTTCTTCTTTTTGTTGTTTGTAAAATGCAATGTCTCCTATGCCCAGACTGTCTGCAGCCATGGCTCCCGCAAGTCAAGCCAGAAAACTGATAATCTTATGCTAAATAGAATTGAAGGATAGTCGTGTGTCTGGTTGGAGCTCCTAACCGGATTCTAATGCTCAGGCTGATTATATGTGTCACTCCTGCAAAGACGCAGGGTTAAGTCTAGTACTAAATCAGAGATTCTTCATAGATATGAAGAAAAAGAATGTGAAAAAGAATGTGCAGACGATCGCCTTCAGAATGAGGTCATGCAGCGGCACCATCTTTTTATCTTTATGTAAGTAGAAATGTAGTATTGCTACTGCGCTGTTCTTGATTAGCCGTAAAGATGCGATTTAATCGTTTCTCTCTGGGAATATATCAAGGCACTACTCAAAGTAAAATCTCTCACCCGTTTTCTGCAGGGAAAGTTGGCTACATCATCATCTTCATGGGGTATTCGCGTGGTCTCCTGTCTTCAAAACAACTATGACCACGTAGATGAAAGATGTGAAGTTCATACTTTTACTTCGAAACCCAAAATCAATCCTAGAGCATGCCAACAGCTTCTGGGAAACGGATAAATCAGCACTGAATCTGAAACATGCGAAGATGAAGAACAGTTTCTGGGAAACGAAGGCGGAAAACGCATGAGCATGATCTTCATGCTGCTTTCCTATGCAACATCATCGAAATAAATTCGAACCCTTATATTTTTCTTCTGTTCAAGCGGACTGAATAGGCGGTCTCTCCTTGTTCTTTCATATGCGACGTGCAGCGTGCTTCTTCAACGAGATCTTTAAGAAGAGAGAGAGAAACTCTTTGTTTCTCTTTGCAGATTACTTCGCACAAGGCCACTCATTCACGTTGCGGAATCTGGTTCTGGACTATTGACTTTATTGTAGTGACATGGTCAAAAAAGTCTTCACTCTGTTTTATTCATCGTTCTTTTTTACTCCGATTTGCTCCCAAAACGCATACATTCAAATACCTGACAGTAGTAAAGAAATACAAAAGTAGAGCAGTTTGTCTTCCCAATTGAAAAAAGACGTAGAAAAATTTGTCATCCCGCTTCTATTTGAGAGTAAGAAGTATACTTCGTTGTGAAAAACGTCGAGAATGGTATTCATTATGGGAAAGTCCAGTGCTCCTGTGGCTCGGCCCACGCCTCGTTCTACGGTCTGCTATGGTTTGTTCAGCCTCCTCATGTCGTGTGGCGGTCATGTGGCGCTGGCGGCACCTGGTTCCGATTATGGTGCCTCTCCAGTTCGGCGCCGTATCACTGGAAAAAGACCGCAAGGAGCGAAGGCTAGTCCTAAAAAAGGATCTAGTCCTGCAGATGGTCCTGACACCTCCGTGGAGGAGGCGAAAACAGACGCCGTGGACCCGGCTTCTCCAAGGCCAGCAAACGCCGACACTGTATGCTCACCTTCTCTACCCGTTGACGACGGCGCTCCTGCGGCGACTTCGGACTCGAGGTCCTCTGGAGAACAAGACGGAGGCCGTCAGGACGCTGCGCTGTTGACCGTGCAACGGTCTTTATGATGAAGAATATCATATGCCTGTTTACCATGTCCACTCATCTAGTTCTAAAACACATAGTCCGTTGGTTAAAACATTTTTCTCAAGCTAGTAGCAGTAGCGAGCAGAAGCAGTAGCACATTCAAAGACAAAAATACGATATTGTTTATTCCAAATCATGCTCAGTTTCAGATGTACCATTCCACGATTTGTCTCCTCTATCTCTAAGTAGTCCCTCGTACGAAGGCACGAACGATCGACGCGAAGTAGAGCGTACTTCTCAGCGAGAGTCTATGTCGATCCCTGCAGGGGATGAAGACGGTGATGCTGCTTCTCAAAACGGTTTGGATGCGGGCGAAAACCCACCTTCTCAAACTGGTGCCGCGACAACGGGCGCTCAAGAACAAGCTTTCATCGAGGCTGGTCAGGAACCGACCAACCATAAGAAAAAGCGTTTTCTGACAGGCTTTTTGCCATGCAGCAAGTGCCGCCGCCGACAGTCCTCAGAGGGAGACCAGCAAGCGTAACTACAATATACTAGTAGGTTCGTTCTACGTAGTAAGCTCCATCCTGATCCTACCTGCGGTATTTCGTGCTATGAGAAAAAGCGGTGAGCTTTACCGTACTAACGATTGGCTTCCGTTCGATGCAGTAGATCTGCAAACGATACTAAGGATACGGGAGGACAGGAAAAAGATGAAGCACGGACAAGTCACTTAATATTTGCAAGCGCAAGGTGGTAGGGAAGAGCGAAAGGAGATTGCTCATTCTTGATCTTGAAGTAGAGAGCCTTCTTCTCCTTAGGCTTGTACAAATATATCGTTTCAACATAATGAGTCGCATCATGTCATCAGAAGCAAGAATGAAAAAATATGAAAGTACTTAGCTTTAGTATCTTCTCATCCTCATGACAGACATCGTGGAAAATTCTAATTCCGATAATTACTTACTATGACTACGCCAATGATTTCTGAATAAGCCAGCGCTGAGCTCAGAAAGCATAGTGGCAAATTAAATATAAATTTAGATCTCCGTAGTGAAACTTATATTTACCTACAAAAGAATGAGAAACGCACGTCATTAAAAACTGCTGCACTCTTGTAGATGATTCTACTTGAATGTGCTTTCGTCTATCTGCCGACGAGTCTCATTAGCATTACCTTGGTTTTCGTTTCAAATTTTCCAGGTTCTATGATCTTTTCTCTGGAGGATCAGTCACGGAAATTGTTTCTTAAAAACCTGTCAAAGCTACAACAAATCAAATGAGTTTCGCCACATTTTCTTCTGGTAGCGGTAGGGAATCCAAAAAATAGCTGCTAGTTCGTTGAGTTTCTGGATTCTCGCCTCCACAGGAATGATATGTCATATGTGTTCTAGTAGTAGTAAGAAAGGCTGAGCTGATGATGAAGCTCCATTTCATTGTTATCACACACACGTTGATCTGTGTCCTCTGAAGCCAGTAGTACATCATGTTGTATCCCGATTTCACAGGCACAGCAGGTCTGTGGCACGAGTACGAGGGCAAAGTCTGTAATTTCCTCTCAACATAGGGATTTTTTTAGATAACCTGCTTTTGTCAATAACAATATCCCAAAAAAAGTATCTATAGCAACAAATTTAATCGCACAGGCTTGTCCCTTTAATACCCCCCTACTCTCCCATTATCGCATCTATGCTTGGTCCCCTCGTGGTAGTTTGAGATGTGAAAGAAAAATGATCATGCTAATCATGCGTGATAGATTCCATGTACATATTATATTTGAAGAAGATATGAAGATCATGCATGATTCGTCGCTCCTATTACGTATTTATAATCAATTTCATTCAAGAATGTGATTCCATTCTTGCTAGCATTCTTGTGAAGTTTGTAGTAAATCAGTTTTAGTGATTACTTCAACAATGTCGTTATTGCCAGTTACATCATGACGAACAGTATGACCTCTCCGGGACGGGTTCCCGATGAGCCGCCCTCGACGAACAAAATCCGCGTGAAATTTCTACGTGATGACGGCTCGTCTTCCGTTCCCGATGGCGATGAAACGACGGCGATCATATCCGCCAAACCGACATCGCGCTTGGAGAAGGTCGCACGATGCTGGTGCGAACGTGCGGGAAATTGTGACTTCTCCGGACAACAATTTTTCCTACTGAGTCACGCAGAACAAGGAACCGAAAATCAGGAGAAACAAAAGCCTACTCGTCTGGACGCGACACACATGCAGAAACACCTACGAGATATAGCATCTCTGACCATGGGAGTGACCGGGAGTACTCAACAGGGTAGTTCCTTGGTGGACCAACCACAGGAAATTGTCGTCTTAGTTCGGCAACGTCAAACCGTGTTATTTCGCGCGAAAGCAGAAGTCTTATGGGAGTTGATGCTGGACAATCGCCGTGTAGAAGGAGAAACCAGTAGAAATGGAAGTAGACTCTTAGCAGTACCACAACTGCCAGACAACGCTTCCGAGGAAATATTCGGAAGCCAGTTCTTAGCCGAACACTTCCCACAGCTTGCTTTGGACGAAGAAGGATGGTGCGCTGGGAACATGGACTTGATGTTACACAAAGCAAGGCAGAATTCTTCTTCCGAGACTACGGGACACGAACTCAATGGAGCTACAACAACCTCGACTGCACCTACACATCTGCTCTCCGCACACTCGCTCGCCAGACTTGTACAGGATCAATTCTTGTGCAAGTTTTGCTCCTTGTACGGCAGATATTGGGACTTTGAGATTGCCGTGTCGCGATCTTCAAGCGTAACGACTTCATCCTCAAGTAGCAGCTCATCAAAAACAGGGGAAAACGAAAAGGCAGAGGGAGCTGGTGTCGCAGAAACGATAACTACAAGTAGTGTCACACTGTCAGCCGACGATATTCTTGGGCTGGTTTCTTTTGCTGAAGATCTTAGTGCTGTCAATGGGGTTAAGTTTAAAGAGCTAGATTCTTTAATAGTCGGCTCGGGTTCTGATTCGAACTCACATACAGGAGTTACGACGCCCAGCACGACTTCTATCGAGATTACTGCGACAGCGAGAAAATTGAAAATGTATTTGCGGTTGAGCTCCTCTGGCTTTGCTTCCGCAGGAACGGTGATAGTGCCGGCACATCAGCGCGTAGCAGGTATAAAGAGCATCCTTGGGGAAGGCGACAACGCCAAAATCGAAGGCGCGCACCAGGCTGCCTTTTATGCCTTAGCCCCCGCAAAGCATGTGGAGTTGATGAATCAGTGTGCGAATAGTGCTGAGAAGAACGCCCTAATGAAGAAACTCGTAGATGCAAGGGCAGACCTACTAGCAATGAGCAAGAGTAGTACCAAGTACAACAGCACCTCTCAATCTCACTCTAGCCCCACAACGGCGTTCTCAAATTTGTGGGGCTCTAGTGGTGTTCAGTGCATGGTCGATGATGAAACGGTTGGGCGCTACTTCTTGCTTGATAGTAGCAATGAGCAGCAGGAAAATCAAAATAAGAGCCCTGCTTCGAATAAACCAAGCACTTCGACTAGCGTACTGGTCGTGCAGCCGGAGACCATGTTAAAGTTGAATTTTTCGACTGATTGGGGCCAGGCGCAGAGCTTTTCTGTTTTCGATTGCTTCACGCTTGCCTACGTCCTAGCACAGTGGGCCAATCCAAACCTCACAGGGGCAAAGTGCCTCAAATTTCCGGAAGGAACAGATAATGCTGTCTTATGTTGGGACAGGAAGGCCAAAACCAAAGAAGGAGCGTTTGGACAATCCACAGGGGCCTCAAGCTCCTCTGCAACCTCGAACTCGCAGAATGAGCACGCGACTCCCTCTTCATCTTCAACTACATCGCTCTATTTTTACAGCATTGTCATTCAACAGCAAACCAAAAAGAACGCGGTCGTGTCTGGGGAAGGAGTTACATCGAACACCTCCTGGCGCACTGAGAAGCGTGTCTTGCAGCGTGTACGGCGAAGTGACACCCCGTGGCTGCTTTGCTGCAGTGCCGACGCCGCAGACATTCGCATTTTTCGAAACGATGAGGCGGCTTCTGAGTGGTTAAGAGAGCGAGCGGAAAAATACGAAACGGATGTAGCGCAGGCACGACAGCGACAGGCACCGGCCAAGATGAATAGCTCTGGGGTTGCTGCTGAGGATCACGAAATACCTGCGGAATTACCAGGCCAAAAGCACGCCGGACGCCCATCGAGTGCTGGAGGGGCGAGACGGTCGACATCGCAGAGAAAGTCCAGTCCCAATGCAAAATCGAAAGCAAAAATGGCTGCTGCTGCTGCCTCGTCATCTACTTCTATTCCGAAGAAGCAGAGTGCACCCAAAAACGCTACTCCGCATGACTCTGCGTCTACAGACGCCATCTTCGCGACCGCAGATGATATGAGGCAAGTGGCGCACGAAGGACAAGTCCTGGCTCGTCTGCATCGTCATGCTATGCGGCGACAGCGAATAGCAAAGCAATTCGGCGACGAGGATAGCGAAGATGAGGAGGAAAATACAGCCGCACTATTCGGAGAGGGCGAAGATGCTGGTGGTGATGGACTTACAGTAGGTGGGAGCAAGGAAGAGATAGCATCGAGTGGAGATGATCATGTTGTTACAGACGTTACAGGGCAACAGAGCGAGCAACGACTGATCATGTCTTCGTCTAGCTACAGCGGGGGAATAGAGACAAATGGCATAGGTCCAGCCTTGCCTGAACAGAATAACAAACCCAGCAACGACCCTGAGAATACGAAGGCAGGTGACCCGGATCATCCACAAGAAAAGCCAAATGGCGTTACTGCAGATAAACAACCCCCTCAAGGAACTACCACAACCACGCCGTCAAGCTCTACAAGTAAGACTGGCCAAAACATGCCTCTTTCTCCTATGCCTGATCCCGCCTCTTATCGTGAAGTTGCGATTGGCGGTGTTCCTATCGTCAAAGCACGCCCTTTGATTACGAGGCCAGGATACTCTGAACTCCACGGCTTAGACTCAGACGACGAGGGCAAACCCAAGAAACGGCGACGGCTTGTGCAAGGTGGAAAGATCGCACGGAAAAGGAGCGCCGAAAGCATTGCTGACGACTCAAGTAACTTTGTTAACCAAGAACTGCTTGATGGTGGATTAGGATCAGTCTCGATTGAACACGAAGGTCGAGCTTCGACATCTGCGTCTGCCATCGACGGATGGCCCCCTGGAGTAGACCAAGCGATGAACATACCATCAGCTTCCGGTCCCTTTCCAGCCGCATCTATGTTGAACCGATCCGTGTCGGCTAGTGGCGCGTCCTCCTCGTCAGGAGGAAGAGCACGAGCCAATCCACCTCCGCCTCCACCAGGACGTGGCAGAACGCGTCGTGGGCGTGCTGCTGCACAACAGCAATTCCAAGTGATGGATTTGAATGATGGATCCATTCTAGACGCTGGAAATTTTGGCGGTGAAGTGATGAGCCAAAAGGAAGCCTACGAGCTCGCTCTGGCTATGTCCTTGTCCAGTATGCAGGAGGAAGAAGAGCAGAGGAAAAAGAATGAATCCAAGTCATCTCGTCCTGCTGAAGGTGAGAGTAATGCTGAAGCTGATGGTCGTATTGATCCTGAACAGTACCAAGTAGAGCAGGGTGGTGAAGATGGGGAGCAGCAACCTTGTCCATTGGAAAAGATCAGGGGGGAAGAAGATGATTTGCTGCACGACGACCTTGATGGTGCCCCCGCGGACCCGATTAATTCCGATCCAAGAGGTTCACGCTCACCCAGATTGGAAGGCGTTCAAGACGGAGTGCCCAATGATTTTCCACCTGCGCAAGCATCACATCATGCTGAAAATCGTCCGCCACTTCAATTGGCAGCTCCATCAGGCAGCCCTGCCAACGCACCAGTGGAATCTTCCCCAGATCCGGAGAGCAGTGCCCAAGAGTTGGACGAATTCTTTGGACTGCTGCTACAAGGAGGTCCCTCAGGGTGACTCGGACCTGCTTGCCTCGCATGTTCTTACAACCCTAAACCGAATTATATGTAATGTTTTCCTCTGCTGTTTCCTTTCCGATAATGATATACGTAAAACTTGCGGATTCATCTTGTTGTTGATTCTCAGCCTTTGTCAACTACAGTGGCCGCAACCTACACGCTCAAATGTGACGCCTCAATCAGACACTAGAAGTAGGCCCGATGCATTTTCCGAAAGAAGTCTTAGCTTCTTATGATCTCACCGTGTTCAATCTTTTTCTTTCTACATAAATGCTAAGCGCAAGAAGCGCGTATGAGCCGTCAAGTCGGTCCTCGGATGTGAAGAACCACACTTCATCGGTCCTACGATTTGGTTGCCACCTGTCGGTTTTCGCACATGCGAACCGTACTCCTACTTACTCGGTCGTCTCGTTGATAATGATGGTAGTGTCGCTTCCTCATCGAAGTCTGTCGTGAGGAAACCCTTGATGTTGATATCGGGGTTCGCTATCTTAAGTGGGCGAGTGTTCTTCATCTTGTCATCAGTCTGATCTAATAGTAAATCAAGAAGTCTTCTAAGGGAACATACCAAGTACGTTTTTCTCTGTCGAGACCGCGTCCAAGATGTAGTGTCCTTTCAGCACCGAATTTCTCCTGTCCAGTATTCATCGGTATGCATTGCATGTCAGAGCCACCAGCCCCCTTTACCCACTCCCACTCACAACAAACAGGACTTCATATGAGATGTGCGTATCCATCCCCATCGTCCCTTGTTTTCCCCGTTATTTTTTGATTTTGATGCAGGTTTTGAACTCCTCCACTCACCGATCGATACTATTCTGTTTCAGACACACACGCAGCTCTATGTCTATCATTTCTTCGAGGTACAAAAGTACTAAAATAAATAAGGGCTTTCGGCTGGTTCAAACAGAGAGTTTATCATATGCGTCAACTGTTGAATAGCAATTGGCAGGGTGATGCGTGTCTATGTGTTTTTTTTTGAAGAAAGCCCCATCTTCACGATTTTCTTGCGTGAGGCTCTCTTGGCGCACGAGTGACGATTCTCCCGTGATGAAGCTGACCACCAAGCAGGTTTAGAAGGCACATTCTTGGTTTGAGCAGCGCAATAGCCGATAAAGATACACATCCACGCTCGTCATCACCCAATGGCGTCAACATCCTTTGAACAACCTTGTAGTCCCGTTTCCGCGAAGGTTGTGGAGCAGAACGCGGGAGCTGCGGGAACTGCTACTTCTTGGGGAGCAAGAATGATGCAAAATGCAACCTCTACACCAGGGTTCCCAGTGTCGCCTATGAAGCTGTTTCAGGCTCCGATAAACTACTTGCAGAGACGTGTGCCAGACGCGAGATGGGGAAGGTATTCCTCGTGGCCGAAGGAGGAAAACGCGGGAGATGCGTCATCATCTTCTAGCGGCGCAGCGTGTTACACTTAAGGCTACAAGAAATCCATCTTCGCACGCATCTCGGTTCCCTTTCTAAATGGAAGAGGGGGCTCAAGGTGCTGCTGAAAATGGATTTCTCTTAGTTCTAATGCACTAGCTTACGACGGAGATGGCCGCTTCGACGCTGGACCCTCCTCGAACTGGCATGGACGGCCGCGTTTATTATCGGCTCAACTGTCATCACAAACGCGCTAGATCAGCGGAAAGAGTGGTACACTCGACACAATTTGCTGAATTATTTGCAATTACTTACATTTCAGTATAAGTAAGTTTTTTCAACAACGAACATAAATTCAAGTGCGAGATGAGACAGTAGACAAACGGACATATGCAGAAGGAAAATGAATAACCAAGACGAGCTTCTCGCGTGTAGCTATTGATACTGAAGAAGCTGCAATGATTGCGAATCACAACAGGTGGATTACGCCACCTTTGTCTTTGACAATGCACGATTATGTGCGTGGCCACACCGTTGGCTTGATCGGTTTCGGCTTGACAGCGTCGCTAATGTTTCTAGCAGGTCGAAGATCGAAAAACCGGTACTACGACCTCTTCTTTGTCCAAAGCGTCAATAGGGAGAATAGATTTGACCTCGAAGAAGGCGGCGTTAAAACAAGTGGCGGTAATGAGGACGCAGAAAAGACCGCTGAGCCATGTGTCAACGCAGTTGCATTAGGCAAGCCGCCAAGTAGTACTCTACTCGTCGAGGGTTCATCAACACCGACGAAACGACCTCCTCCTCCTCGTGCAGAAGACAATACAACAAGTCAAAATCTACACTCAGCCGAAGTTGTAATTGCGAAACTGAATCATGAAGCTGCAACTTCTAAGCCGAGGAAAAGAGAAAAACACTCTGCACAACAAGCAGCCGGGCAACATGATAGCTCGAGAAGTACAAGTAGTACAAGTTCTGGTGAGGTTTTCACGACTTCCTCTGGCGTTGAAATCGCAAGTCCCACACCACTTCTTAGGACTGAAACGCAGTCAACTTTCGCAGATTTGCAGACAACAGACGCGACTCCTAGCGTAGGACCCAGAACACTGTCGGACGATCTAGATGCGATGGAACTAGGCGAAGTAGAAAGAGGACACTCGTCTGCATCGACAATGTCAAAAGTTGCCCAGATGAATGAAGAAGGAGGATTAGGATTAGGAGTCCCAAAGAGTACAAGCTCTTGTATAGAAGAAGATGAAGAAGCAGTTCCAGCATCGACCGAGGACAGTACTAAAGGTGAAGTTGTTGTCCAAACACAAACGGCGACAGGAACTGCAAGAAAAGCAGGCGCAGATGCGCGAAGCGATGTCAGTAGCATAGTCCCCGACTTGGTACACATTGATGTCGATCTGTTGCACGTGCCACCAGAACACAGAGACAAAAACGCGAGTCAGAGAGACGACTGGATGTCGCCTCTAGCTAGGTCCCTTCTAGAAGCAGCTAAAATCGGGTGGCAGCGGGTCTCAGAAGTTGCCAAGCGTATTGACAATGGCTGGAAAGCGTTCCTGAGGCAGATGCCGGATCGATACTACCACCGGCTCGTTTTCTGGACCTACCTGTTGAGTACGCCATTCCTCTTCGGCATAACCTTCATAGTGGACTCGCACGACCCGATAGAGGGAGAGTACTTGCCGCAGCATCGAGCAGCTCATCAATCCATGAGCAGGTATTTTGGAATAAGCAGAGTCGCTCATCAATCTTCAGCTTCACCTTGTACTTTGATAGAAATTTCCATTTTTTTACTTACCCGTAATGACAACAATCATGTTAGCAGTGACGAAGACGATGACAAAAATTAGATACTTTATTTTGTTACGGCTCAATCCTAGACCCACCACGAGGAAAAATATATCTCCAATCACAGGGGTTTCTTCACGTTCCAGCTGCTGCATCAGGGGGGGTTCTTATTGTGGAACTATTGTCGACGAGAGGACCTGTTTCTGCCGACAATTAGGAGGGTAGTGCGTACTCGCTTCTTCACGAAGAGCGAAGCCGCTTTTCTAGAACATGGAACCGCTGGCACAGAATTAGTGGAACGATATGAGGTACTTAGTACTACATTCGTACCATTTGTTGTTTCGTGTGTATTTTTTCGGTTGGATTATCGGGGTTGCATGAAAAAGAAAAAGGATCATGGTAATGGTTTTCTGTAGTTGTAAATTGAGTTGTACGACGAGTACTACCAACGAACCTATCGTTTTCGTTATCAAAATTCAAAATATTTGAGATAATAAACCATCGAACATGTTGTAAAAAATCCATCCCACGCCATCTTATAAGGTGCAAGTTCGGTACATAATTCGGACGTACCAGCCCCGAGTATGGCGTTTGAGGTTAGCAGCATTGGTCATTGGTCTTTACGGCGCTATTTTTGGATACTTCGTTCTCATGTACGTTCTTTGCGCGAACAGCAGCTGTAGTCCGAAAAAGCTCCAGAACATGACAGGTGTGAATCAGTATCTCTGCATCTGTTCCGTCATCCTCTACAACTTATCGCACCCATATGACTTCCTCTTGTGGGATGCCTGAGCCTGAAAACTGGGCGGATGACGCAAGGAGAGTAAAAGTCGTAGTCCGTCGTACAAAGGACGCATGCGCATAGCATGCTGCCAGGTACAGTCATAGCGGTCTTACAAAGTGGAGCATGACAATATGGCATGCTGCTAAAAGTTAGTAACAGTATAGAAGCATGAATTCATGATCCGCGACCGCGTTTTGGTCTGCTATCAAAGGACTGCTAGCTCATTCAACAAGTTCCTGTTCGGACAGTATACGCAGTGGTAGTACCAGTAAGCACACCAGACAGAACATTGCCTATTTGTATTTCCCCTAGTTTTTTTACTAGAGAGAGTTGCTGCTAGCGCTATCGTTGAGATGCATTGCTCTTTGACATCCCCAAGCAGCATGCTCTCGAGGGTTAGCCATTTGCTAGCTCACTTTTTTTAGTGCAGCACACACACACGTTGTTCGGAAAACATTAACATTTCTTTGCATAAGTACTTTCAGTTGAAATTTGCAAATAATGAACAAGAAGAATTAGACATACATGAAAACGGAATTCTCTCCCACAGAAAGCAACTAAGTAATTAGTAACCCCACATTCATATACTCAAGCCAGATGCAGATGCCACTAGCTAACAAAAAATGATCGATTAGATGTTTCGGTTTCTATGAGATTATCATCCAGGTCTAGCTACATTTTTGATGTTGAAAATCTTGACCATAGACTTTTGCTTGTATACCAGTGCGAAGAACAAACATCATTATAAAAATATTATCAATTATTTTCCTCTATTTGAATTTGATGTATAATTTTATCGTTGGTCATAATCCTGTATAATTTCACTAGCCTGGTGTCATCCTCATCAATCTTCGTCTCCGAGGGAGGACGAAATAAATAAGGACTTGGTCTTGGGGGGAGCATCGCGAAACTCGGATGCGAGATCGGCCTCTCCGTTTCCTTCATCCCTGAACGTGGAGACTGGGTTGGGGTGGCAGCTACAGGTCGTCAACATATTATGGTAGAAAAACGGTTTGTAAATTGCTTTTGGTAATGATCTACTTCATATAATTCAGGTTAGGTAGCTGCTAGCTATAGTTGTAAACAGGAAAGTAGCAAGATGATTCGCTTTCTCATTCCTTGTTGTAGTTTGTTTTTGTTCTTTGGAGCTCGTTATTGTACATCATATGAATATGAAACAGGGAAGATAATACGCAAATCTAAGAATCACGTGAAAAGCTAAAGCAAAAAGCGAGAAACAGATTTGAGACCAAAACTTTTTACCCACTAAATTCCTTCGCCAATACAAACTACGAAGTCACTTTCATTCTATTCAAACGCAGACTACACGCAGCATAGAGGAACATACTAGAATACAACAGCCATTAGGTTACTACAGAATCGAAACATATTTTTATCAACTGCAGTATCAATAATCCGACAACACGAGATAGCGTGTGAAAAGCATCAAAAAAAGACTGTAACTAATCGTTGGACGAGGACCAGGAGCAGTAGGTACCCGCAGATTATAGGACGATGTAGTCCAAATGCCTCGTAGATGAAGATTCTGCAATCTGTCAGCAGCTGCATTGCAGGAGTCCTTGTATCAATCATTGCAAGCCAGGCGTGTGAGGTCCGAATTCACTGTTGTTTTTCTTCAATGCACCGCACTCCCACAGATAAAGTTGTAGGCAGAATCCCAGTGGCGTCCACTGCAATTCGTACACAACCAAATTACCTCGAGAGACCGAAGGTGGAGGAGTAAGCGAAAATGAATACTCCTCGCACAAGAAAGTCATATCGATCTTCAGGAGGAGAAACTTCGATCTAGGCATCACTTACTTTTGAAGTGATATTGACGACGGATGCCGTGTGAGGATTAACTAAATTTTATACAACGGCCTAAGATGATGATCAAAGTTATCAAGTGTAGTTGTCCACGAGTTTTCACCGCTTCTAGTTCTAGTACACCTAAAAAATGTCATCGTTCTTTTTCGCATCTTCGACTTCTTTCTTCAAACATGGCAGCTTTCCCAGTCACTACACGAAGTGCAACTGCCCTGGACGAATTTTCTTTGCCACCAGGTACTACGCGACAAACAATGCGGCAACTTCCTCTCAAGAGAGCCTCCGTGATGCATTACGCTTTATCGAGGATGAGAAAAATCAAACGTTTCGCATCGAAGGGATCAAAGCGCCAAAAGCGCAACAGCACCATCACCATAATCTACGTGGAAGACAACGTCAACATGAAGGGTCTAGCCGAGAAGAAAGTAGAACTCAGGAAGTTAGTCATGTTGCTGAGGCGTCAACACGGACTAGCTGCACGCCTTCTGTATCAACGAAAATACCGGATGCCAGTTTTACCAGCACGAAGACCGAGACGTCCTTTGGAGGATGTACGACTTTGACGTCAGCAGAAGCGGCTGCTTCTGCTATCGCAAACCAAGTCCAAGCTGGCAACGGGGAGGACTCGTCAAAGCTGTTTTCTCCAGTACATCCTGAATACGTGCAGCAAGGTTCGCCTGATGTGGCCCTTACCTCTGCGTTTCCTAGTACTCGTCCTCAGATATTACGTCCAAGTAGTGACAAGTCATTATCTTCGTCGTCGTGGCACCCGATGACCAGTCCTCAACAGCGGAATAAGTTAGAATCTCTTGGCTACGAAACGATAGGCTCGCATTCTGCGATCAAGTTGTGCCGCTGGACGAAAAACGCGCTAAAGGCGCGAGGACAGTGCTACAAGCACACTTTTTACGGCATTAACAGCCACCAGTGCATGGAGATGACGCCGTCATTAGCTTGCGCGAACAAATGCGTCTTCTGCTGGAGAAATCATCAGAACCCGGTGACGAAAAAGTGGAAATACGAAGTCGATGATCCGCAGTATTTGCTTGACGAAGCCTTGAAAAAACATGAGACAAAGTTTTTGCGACAAGTGCTCAGCGGATTGCGTGAGCGTGCTGATCCTGTCCGTGTGCAAGACCTGGAGAACAGTTTGCGGGGAGTCGGAGTTGTACATAATCAACAAGGTCAAGGAGCCCCTGAGGAGACTAACTATAATGGACTGCATGAAGGTGGAGCCCTCTCGTCCATCGAAGTAGATGGTAAACAAAGCCAAGAACAGCATCGACATCCTGCATTTGCTTCAACTTCTGAAGATGGCTCATCATCCGCTAGTGGTCCTTTGCTGTCTGCTTCCAGCACAGAAAATCCCTTCGATGTTCTTGACAAAATCAATGCGAATGATAGGAGCAGCTCTGCCGTCAGACACTGCGCTTTGAGTCTCGTCGGTGAGCCAGTGCTGTATCCGCGTCTCCCGGAATTGCTTGAGCGTATGTATGCCAAACGAATCTCCACTTTTTTGGTTACCAATGGGCAATTTCCAGACTCGCTAGCTGCCGTCCCAGAGCGTTATTGCACTCAACTCTATTGCAGTGTCGATGCTGGGACAGAAGAGAAGTTGCGGGATGTTGGCCGACCTCTATTTAGCGATGCTTTCACGAGAATGCAAAAATCTCTGGAAATCTTGCGGGAAAAAAGGTGCCGAACAGTGCTACGATTGACCTATTTGCTTCCGCGAGGGCGTGAGCGTGGTAGTGGAGCTAACAAACTAGGAAAAACAAGTGCAAGTGCAAGTCTAAGTCTATCTTCAGAGCTATCAGAAGATCATGCACAAGAACTAAGCGATGCCGTTTCTGACGCTGCCGATGAGTACGCAAGTGTCCTGCAGATCGCAGAAGCAGACTTTATCGAGGTCAAAGGCGCCACCTATGCTCCAGAGGTATTTTCCAAGACTGGTCTCACCCAAGCGCACGTTCCAACGCATAGCGATGTCATAGAATTCGCTTCAGCCATACAGAAGCGCCTACCAGCGTACGGCCTGGCCTGTGAACACCACCACAGCTGTGGCGTGTTACTAGCTCGAAAGGATCGATGGCTACGTCAACAACATGTTGAGCATGGGACGACACATGGAGATGACACTAGGACTAGTAACATGTATTGGCGGACGTGGATTGACTTCGATAAAATGTTTGATCTCACTACATCTAACGACTCACCTCCGAATACATCAGTGGACACTGTTACTGTTTCTAGTTCTGAAACTAATTATGAGAAGGAAAACGCTCCTTTTACGGCCTTGTCGTCGTGTAGTAATAGTACTAAATCTAGTAGATCTACCACTAGTACTAGTTTCGGTAATCTAGAACCAAGCAAAGACTTTTCCGTGAGAACTCCTGAATTCGCGCTATTTGGCAGTAAGGAACGCGGGTTGAATCCTAGAGATCGCATGCGTCGTTCAGGGTGTAGACCTGACGATAATAAACTTGTGGAGCAGTTGTCAGCAGCAGCGTCTTCGGATCTTCATCAAGTTGAAAGTCCTCATCCCCAAGTAGTCCAAAGCCCATATACCACGTCGACCGCGAAGCTAGGTGGATAGTAATATACTCAAAACTATGTCGTCGAGCAAGTGCTGTGTTCCCGTGGCGACATTCAGCGATTCACATCTTCTATTTCAAATAATACAAGATCGTGGATTCGCAGCTGTAAGAGTTGTAACTGCAGGACCTAGAATACGTAGACTTAGAGAACGATGTCGGTCTGAAGCTAAGCCACGAGAACTTCTGGAAAGCCTATAATGCAGAAAAAAATGAACTGCTTCTAGATGATAAAAAAAAATATTCGTGGTCTTAAATCGAGGCAGGAACATTAATCGGTCGAGTCAGTCTCAATCTAAGAGCGGAACATACATACCTTGATTGAATATCGGTACTAAGAAAGACAAATTAGGACACGTCGGTTTAGTTTGCCACTAGTTCTGGCGATGACGCGAGCCTGTCTGTCTGCGCGTCTTTCTGTCCTTTTCCACGACGACAAAACCCAGCTCCTCTCCGCCTGCTTGATCTGGACAGCATATATAGAACACTCTTACGCTCCTAAAATGTTTACTGATTTCAATTTGAGTCTTTTTCTTCGTCTTTAAGAATCAAACCCATACCCAAGAAAGTTAAATAAAGGAGCTGACCACTAATGCTAATTGCCTAGTAGTACTTAAGACAATCATATACACTGCAATCTTAAGCTCTATATTTGGGAAACAAGCCGGGGCCAGCATTAACTTAAAGAGATTCCTTCACTCTTAAGCTCTACTTGGCAAAGAAGCAATTGTGACCGACATAACCAGTTGCAGTTCTCTCTAACCTTTTCTCTTTCTTCATCATCCTGTACAAGCAACAAGGAACAAGATGTCGTTTCTCCCTGCTTGTGGGGTTCTGAGGTACACGGGCAATTTGCTTAGTTTCGGCTACATCCGATGTCATCCGAATCCTGAGGACTACGTCTTTGAAAATTGGGTTACCCATGAAGGCGACGTCGCGACGGAACAGTTGGAGAAAATGCAGGAACTTGGTCAGGAAGTTCTACAAGCGAGGCGGGAATTGGCAATAAATCTTGTGCAGGCACGAGAAGAGGCGAAAGCTATGTGTAATGTTCATCTTGTACAAGAACAACCTCGCCTTCTTCTAGCATTATCATGAAAATGAAAGGATAAGAAACTGCTGAATATAAAATGCGCGGAGTCTTTCTTCTATAAAAATGAATTTTCTTTATCGACCAATCATGTCTATAATTCTTTCAATAAAGGGTCACTGAGCTCCTGAATCTTGCATGATCTGACATTTACACCATCATCGCACATCAGGTCGCGAGTATTTTGAAGACATCGTCACGCAGACTCAACCTACGCCCTCGTCCTCGTCTTCTTCAAATAAGGAGTCCACGAGTGCAAGTGGTTCTCCCAGTTTGAGTCTATACGACAAATGCCGCTTAGCCCAAAGCGCGATGAGGGAGAGCGTGCTGGTGCATGGAGCGCGGCCCCGAGGTTGCTACGATAGTTCACAACCTTTGTCGCTGAAGGGAACAAAACTATCGGACGGGAAAATGCCTGCTGGGCTGGAGCGTGACCTTCGGAGTGGTGCTAGTTCGCGACTCTCACGTACGGACACCCGCAGAACGAGTGCTGAGGCGTCATCAAGAGTTCGGAATTTATGAATGTTGCACTGTGTGTCGTGTTAGTCGAGTTTATTTTCGATTCCATGGCAAGTGCAAGTAGATAATTTTCGCGAGGACCCAAGAACATCATGCATACAGCTGCTCAAGTAGAAAGACGATGTAGGAAGTAACTGTAAAATTTCACAAGAGCAGCCAGCAGTTGAAGTCCTGGATATAGTAAATAGATTGCCAGTACTACAATTATCATAGTACGCGAGTACAATCTTCATACGCATACTGTCCCACTTTCATACCCGATCCCGCTCGTTGGGTCGTTGTTAAGCGACGTTGGTCAATTCGGAATGCAAACGTTTAGGCAGCTTGACAGGTCACTCTTTTCCGGTTATTTCTCTTCCTACCCGTGCCGTAGGCCAAACGACGAGCTCGCTTGCACTGGCCGCATGAGAATAGCGCGAATGAACGTCGACGCACACAGGGCGAGAGCTGAGAAAATGTGCTTTCACAAGTTAAGACCGCCGTTTTTGATGATAAAGACGCTATAATCCATCTTCCATTAACCAGCGCGCTGTGTGCGTATGCTGATCTTAATCTGTCTTCTAGTTGCGTGTATTCGTCTTCGAGTGGCTCTTTTGTAAGGGAAAGGGGAACCTTGACAGTCAGATGGTCGTAGATGGATTATAGCCAAGTTGTAACTTCCTCTATGTCTTCTTCTAAGCAAAGGTTCTATACAGCAGAGCATCGAGCCTGGGTTTTACTCAAAACGGCAACGAGATCAAAGAGATACCATGATCGAAGAGACTGGAAGCATGTTCTAGCAGTACTAGCCTCCACGTGAGATCTTTTACTGCTTCATCATGTTTACGAATGGAACGCGAACGTAGATCATGCTAGGAAAGAGCTTGGATCAGTATTTTGTCTTTTCCAGGCATGCTTCATAACTGACCAATGTCAGAGAAGCAAGAAGCTGACACGGATACCAACACAAGATCCAAGCTCACCCGGCCTCGGCCTATGGTGTTCCCCGATGCTTTACCTGATTATTGTTTTAGTGCAGTTAAAAATAAGTAGCTAAAAACTGATATACCCATGTCGCTTTCTATTTGCCCCACAGGCGCAACGAGCAAAAAATCGGTATTATAGGTAGATTGATAATCAATAAGAAAATGGTCTTCCGCTGTGAGCCAACTACTCGGGTCGTTGCATTGTCCTACCGCACTCAAGCGTATCCATACTGATACTTGTTCTTGTATTTCCCTAATTTATCGATCTCTAAGAACATGGCCGCATTCCAAGATGCCTGACGACGAGCAAGCGGCCCAATCAACATCTTCAACAACGCGAAGATGCCTGACAGGCACACAGCAGCACGCTGATCGTGTCGCCACCTGCGTCATAGAGAAGTTTGAGAGCCTGAAAAAACATGGTAAACCGCAAGGCAAGGAGTGGACTGTACTCGCTGGTGTCGTTCTCCGGACAAAGACATCGAGCTCATCAAGGGAGTCTGTTAGGAAATCAGCAGGAGACCAAAATGAAGGAAACAGAAACACAGTGCACGAAACGCAAGGCCTCGATGAACGAGGCAAACACGACGAGCAGGAGGATCGTGACGAGGACGCTTCTTACCGATGTATAGTTTTGGCCACTGGGACAAGGTGTGCAGGTAGGCAGCTTGCGGCAGAAGATTATCTAAATGGCTCAATTGTCCGGGACTGCCATGCGGAGGTGCTGGCACAAAAAGGCTTGCGGTTGTGGCTTGCTTCAGCTCCTGACGATACAGTGATGGGTCTTTTGGAAATGAGTGGGAAGCTAGAAGAAAGGGAACGTCCAAAACCAAACGCAGCTGTTGCAGCGTCGCTTCATTTTTACACGTCGACTTTGCCTTGCGGGGAAGCTGCTCTCTGCCCTACGTCAGCTGATAGGACCGATTGCAACCGGACGGGAGCAAAGAAAATGACGTGGTCATTTGGCTCTGCTCCTATAGGAGAAGGAATTGGAGAAGAAAAATACACGACTACTTCTACTGCCATCGCCAAGATGAAGAAGTACGACGCCAATCTAGACATAAACAATGTTAGCGACCGAGGAGCCTTGCGCACCAAGCCGATTGACTCTAGGCATGACGAAAGTCTAAGATCGACGTGCATGAGCTGTTCTGATAAGATCATGCGCTGGAACCACTGCGGTTGGGGTGGAATCGGATGCCTCTCCATGTCAAGCATAGTGGTGGGCGGCAGCCTATTTGAAGAAGAGCATGTAGCAAATGCCCTCTTTCGACGTGGTGAGAGCTGCTCTAAGCCTGTACTTCTCGACGAAGAAGAGCATTATATCCCTGATGAAGAACCGAAAAGGCGTAAACTTTCAGCAGAAGAAGGCAGGACGCTAGAGCGAGTGGATGAGCAGCCAGCAGTACCTGATAAAAGCATGCGACAGCCACGTTTTCTTCATACTGAGCGACAATTCTCTATGGGTAAGCCTGATACCATTTCAAAGAATCCTGCAGCTCTGGGTCTGGGACAATTGGCATCTTCCGCATCTACTTCTTCGACTTGTGGCTACTCGATCGTTTTTGTCGAACAGCAGTCATTTTCTGATGGCGTGACATGTAGTTCTACATCGACTGGATCCAATACACCCGAAGTGCCAAGAAAGATAAGTGGCAGAGACGTGCATGAAGTTCTGCTTTCTGTCCAGGGTATGAAGCAAGGTGGCGACAAAGCGCGTAAAGCCGGACGAGACCTTAGAAAATTTGAGAGCGCTTTGTGTCCCAGAAGGCTGAAAGATTCCCGAGAAATGGCGTCAGTTGAAAGACGGGATTTCTTCGAAGAATATCGAAGACGGAAAGAAATATTTCATAGAGTAGTTCCACTAGCACAGTCCTGGAGAAATGTGTCAAAGTGGAAAGATAGAACCTCAAGCGAAAGAACAACAGATCATCTGGAAGAACAAGAAAGATCTACGTAGCATTTCTTCTCACGAATGTGGAGATAAAAGTGGAGGAACTTTTTAACCAGTTCCTCTCTCCTTCCTAGCGACTTCAGCAAAAACGTGAAAGTGAATGAGTCACTAGCAGTCCTGAGCATGCGTTTGCTTGCGTTTTCCGTCGTTTAGAAGTATGACTCACAGTTGCCAGGAAAGTACAGAAGGGGACCTTCTGCTTGTCTATTCGGTTTTGGTTGTGACACTACTCTCTTTCTGTCGATCCACATTCGCTCGTCGGAGTCTTGAATATATTGCTGAATCCCGAGCAATTGCTCTCTCTATTATATCTGTTTTAATACCGCCAGCTCTGCGAGAGGATGAAAGTAAGATCGAGCGTCGGCAAGAAAACCCAAAAGATCGTTTTCGATGGATTCTGATACTCTACTTGATATCTTCAAATGGGCTATCCTTGCTTCGAACGACGTGATCGTGAAACGAGTGTGTCTGAGTGATCGTGTTGAGAAGGACTGCACCACATCGGTCTCCGTCGGTTTGCATCGGATTTGAACCACCTGGATCTGACTTATGAAAACTGACAAATGACGCCCCTTCTTCACCTCTCTGTCGTCTACGTGCCAAAGTCGACCAATTAAACTAGTATCTCGAGTTATATTAGTATTAGTATTAGTTCGACTATTGTCAGTCTTGGCGGGTTCTCTCTTTCAGAGTTCCTTTCCCCATATTGTTTTACTCTGTCTTTATCTCGTTGGCTTACAGGTTCTACTCTTCTGTGGATCTTGTCACATCGATTCATCCTGCCGGTAGGTGCTATAAGCTTATCAGGGATGCACAGAATAGAATAGTCTTGGTTGCGGAGTTCCGTAGCGCGAAGTACTCTGCCACGATTCATTGGAGAAATCGAAGCAGCTTTTCTTATGCCTCTTTGACTAACTAGAGACAGAGAGTCGGGCGAACAGTCTAGAGGGTCGCTTGAGTAGACATATTTAATTTGTTTCCACGGCTGAAGCAAAAACGCTAGGTTCTGCGTCATTTCACACTAGGTTCTGCGTCATTTCTGGATAAACAAGTGAGGCCTGCAGAGAGATCAGCGAATCAACAGCGGCGCTTTATATAAATGTACCAGGGAGGGAGGCCCCCCCCCTGTGGATGGATCTGGGGTGGACCACGCCAGAGGGGTCCAGCCTTGCCATCTTATTGGCCAGGCCTGTCGAGGGGCTGCCGGGCGGGAAGGCCTCAAAGCGCCCACTTCTGACCCCTTCCCGCTTTTTGCCTGTACCCTACAGACCTGGCAAAGGCAGGACCCCGCTGGCTTGTTGCATGTACCCGACAGACCTGGCAAAGGTGGCAAAGGCCGGGCCCCGCTGCCTTGTTGCATGTATCCACAGACCCGGCAAAGGGAGCAAAGGCAGGGCCTCGCTGCCTTGTTGCGTGTACCCTACAGACCTGGAGAAGGTGGCAAAGGCCGGGCCCCGCTGCCTTGTTGCATGTACCCTACAGACCTGGCAAAGGGGGCAAAGGCGGGAACCCACCCCCTTGGCGTAGGGTTGGGCACATGCAACACGCCAGAGGGGCCCAGCCTTGCCACCTTTGCCAGGTCTGTCGGG